CTGCCTCGTGTAGTTTGGCAAAGAACTTTAATTTGTGCATTACTTGCGACGCCGCAAGGACTCGCGAGCAGAAACTTTGTCATATATAAGTTTGCAGCGAGTTGCGGCTGCCAGCCTCCCCTCTTTAAGTTGCTCGTAATACAACTCATTAAATTTAGAAAATACTGGCGGGGAAAGTTTCGCTGTGGGCCCATCCGTTGACATCTACATTTACACAGCAGCCAGCCATAAACTTGGCCAAGATGTGGAGGCCAAGACAGCCGGGCCATCCGCGCCGGCGGCGATTCCTAACCCGGAAATTTAAGTTCTCCCTTTGCAGTTTAATTGCAACGGATGTTGGCGTGTAAATTATTTTGTCTGCCTGCCGCAGCTCTGGCCTCATTTCTGTGCTAATGAGCAACTTATTAAAACTTTTACCAGCCTTCCACTACGGATCGCCTGAATAGCCCCAGACCAAGGACAAAAGGATGCGGATGGTGGAGCCTGGATAGTGGATAGTGGAGCGCGTGAGCCGAATAATGAAACACAAACCGAGAATAACCGATACAATTGGCACTGGCAATTGAAAACAAAGCCGTTGCCGAACAGCCACCAGCCAACAGATAAGTTTTACAATCAGCCAAAAACTCATTTACGCCCTCGAAAAGCAAAGAAATGAATCGAAGGAAACTTCAATTTCCCGCAAACTCAATGGAATGCTTTTCCGCGTACGTAAGAATGGCGTAAGGAACTTGATTGAAGTTATCCTTACTTTTTAAAGGACGTAACAAAAGTCCTGCCTAAACTAAGAAGAGTAAAATCTGTAAAAGGTATAACCCACCAGGCGGCTTCCTATAAGTAAGGGGATAGTTTCTTCGTAATATTCTTTATAATTCTTTTAGACATAGGCCTATAAAAGATATACAATTACCAAATTAAAATTGACACTTGTTAATCCCAAAAATGATCAAAAAACTGTTCAAATACCCGTAATCTTCCAGAAAGCCGCCATTCAACCTGCTCCTAAGTCCCCGTCTCAGCGGAAAACTTGCTCCACCCTTCCTCATCAGAAGTGTTCATAAAAATCTTCGAAGAGGCCTTTGAGTGGAGTTGCGTGCAAGGATGGATGAGTGGGTGGATGGCTGGAAGGGAGGGGGGTTGGAAGGACTAAGATGGGCTGAGGGCTCCTCAAGTGCTTAGACAATCGTGTTGAAGCTTTGATTTTCGAGCTTATGCTGGATTTGGTGGCCCAAGATTGCGAAGAGCTCCTTCGTCGACTCGCTCGCCCCTTTCTCGCATATCTGCAGTACGCTTATGAGGGCGGGTAATTAAGTTGAAGTGCCCAGAGATGTGTATATAGACCCACCCACACCCCCGCAAATACGGAGACCTTTTGCCTAAGTAATTCTGAGTCGATGACAGACAGTCTGACTGACTGACTGACTGGCTGGTAAAAGTGTTGAAATGTCTGCGGCAGCACTTAATTAATTAATGTCGAGCCAGGCAAACGGGCGAGCGAAATGAGAAAAGTTTCTGTGCTCGGGCTCAGGAATCGGGGTTCTTGGGGTTCTGGGGATACTGGGGCAAGTCCCTATCCCAAGTCCCACGTCCCAAGTTCCAACTCCCTGGAAACTTGGCAGCTATTTGTTAAGTTGCAGCCGTTCAATATTTGTCACCGAACTCATTAAGCAAATTAATAGACAAAGTTGCCAATTGCTGACAATGGAGGTTGCCCTCAGCGCGTTCGGGTATTGCCGTTTGCCATTTTATTTACCGAACCGGAGCTGAGAAGCCAAGTTGGCGTTGGAATAGGGTCGACGTGGACTTGTGGTGGCAATAAAATGGCACGCAATAAAAAACCCAAAGTCAACAAACAATTCCACGGAAGACTCTCGGGCTCGGGCTCGGGCCCAGAAATCGATTATGGACGCCTCAAGGAGGAGTTCCCTGCGAATGTGAATGCGAATGCGAATCGACGACCCGGTCTTGGCCACGTTTTCGATTTCGCCATTCGGCATTCTCCACCTGATGCCAGTTGGTAGGACCACCGCCATCGCCACCGCCACCGCCCACTGCCCTCCACTCCGCATCCCATTTATCTGGTCTCCTCTGCGAAATTGCCAACGTTGCAGCTCAAAAGCGGAAGTGATTTTCCGGCGTGTACGTGTCTGCTCTCTCTTTCACCCGGGAAATGTGTGTGTCGAGGGCGTTGGAGCTGGTGTGTCTGTAGGGGAAAGCAGTTACTTTGAAATACGGACATTTGGGTGTAATTACAAAAATAAATAAAATTATATTATTTACTATGTACATTTGCTGGGACCCAATAAAAAGTGGCATCTCATTCGTAATCGTTTGCCTGATATTTAAGATAAATTATTATTTAAAGACGGTTAAGAACTTTGGACAGAACTGACTGACTTTGTTTCTTCCTTCCTTCATTAGATATCTCATTAAATGCTTCCAAATGGAAACCCATATAAATAGGAACAGCCAAACCCTTATTTCGCACTCCCTATCACAGTTTCGCACTTGGCCAACAGTGACTTCTGGGGCACCACTGGCAGGTCCTTGCTGCATAAACCCCACAACCAATATGTGTGCTCAGTTTGGAGGGGGAAAAGGGAAGCGAAAAGGGGCGCGGATGGCAGTGAAGGATTTTATGACCCTTGATAGTGGCAAGCGATTTGTTGCGTGCATTGGTGGCTGCCGTTGCATTTTCAATTTTGCAGCGCGCACTTTTGGCATCTTTGAATAATGCAATGGCAACCGGGTTGCAGGCAGGGGAGTCGTGGAGCTGTGGAGGCAACGCATCCCATCAGTGCAGAGCGTAGTATCTCCGCCTGTCGTCGCTGAGCTTATTTTGGCAGCTTAGGCAGTCGTTCCCAGAATTTCCAGTGGGTTCTATGTGTTTTCCGTGCTTTTATAATTTCCAAACACGAGCGTGCAATTTGAGCGAAGCCAATCGCGTCATGTGGGGCAAGTTGACAAATATGCAGCACGTGCTCTGGTTCGCCATAAGGGCAGTTTGTGGATTCGGATTGATGTGTCATCATGGCTATCAGCCAGATAGCCAGACAACCAGACAGCAGCTTGATTTTTCCGCAGAACATTTGATTTTCGGCATCCAATTACGGTCGATAGCGTGAAAAATATGCTTTTAATTAGCCAAAAACAAGTGGCAAATGGATTTGGAATTTTAAACAGAAAAACGAGAAATGATTTGGGAAATCTGCCTAAAGCCAGTGAAGTGCAGTTCATTTTCATTTGACAATTCAATTATTTTTCAAATTACGATTTAAAGATCCCTCTCTTTGGAATCCATTTTCGAACCGTTTCCAACCATTTATAAGTTAAATGCCTTTTCATGGCCATCAGGCATTTACCGGTGGCACTTTCACACTGCCGTAGCCATAGCCTTGCGAAAATCGCTCAATACTCATTAATGTTAAAGGGGATTTCCATTTCCAGCTTAATGTGCCGTGGCCGGGCTTTTCACTTCCATTCAAACTCATTCTCAATCGCAATCGCATCGAGCGTCCTCATTGTTTTCGGTCAGCCAGAGTCGAACGTAAATAAAACGTAAATGGATGCATTTTTAAGTGCCTCTGCGATGCATTAATTTTAAACAATTTACCTGCGAGCCGAGAGCCCAGCTCGGACTCGAGGCATATGCGAATTTATATTTTAAATTCAAAGTGGGGGAGAACAAACTGCCGAGGCTGGGAAACGGGGAAAGCTGGGAGAACTGGGAGCCCCCGGGGCGAATTTCCTTGTGGCTGCAGCTGCAGCCACTTCAATTTCAAAAGCATCAGCTCCTGGTTCCTGGTTATGTTCCATGGTCCTGCGGTGGCCATTGGCCGCTGGCCTTTCCCCTTTACGACCACCTCAAGCCCACCTCATCTCACCCACTTTGGCTCCAGATTTGCTTCTTCTCCTTTTTGTTCCCTCTTTGTTCAATTTCGCTGGAGTTTTCTTTGCAGTTTGCCAGCGCGATTTTCCCTTTGCCTTGGAGTGAAGAGGGGAAGGTGGCAGAAGCCTTTAAGCCAAGTTCAATGTTTGATTAGCCCGCTTGCTCCTCAGTCCTGTTCCATCCTGCTCCATCCTGCTCCATCCTGTTCCATCCTGCCTTCCTGTTTGCTAGCCGCTTATTAAGCATACGCCTCGTTGTGCGCAAATATTTGAAATGTCTGGCATTTAGCGACTGTGAAATGTATTAATTATAAAAGAGCCGCGTGCATTGACCGCAAGAACCGCACACGAAATCGGTAAATGAAATTGAAGCCAAGCGGAGGACTGGCATTTCGGCAATGATAAACTAACTGACGAAATTCATTTATGGCTACTGTTGGCCAACTGCGGTTGCAGTGGCAATGCCAAAAATGTCAGTTCGATGTGGAAATGAGAAATGAAAACGATAAAGCAGAAGCAGCCAAATTAACAGTCCGGATTGTTTAAAACAACAGCAACCCTTGCATCTAGAATTATGAAATTCGGAAAATGAATTCTCTCGTAGGCAGACTGTGCTGTGGGGAAAAATGCAGCTCTATAAAAACGTCAAAAGCAATTTCATGTTAATTTTATGCCAATTTAATTTGACCAAATTAAGCGTAAGCCTGTTTAACAATAATTGCCCACTTAATGATAAACATTCGCACTGGACTCGATTAAGGTGCAGTTCCCTGGCAGCCGAATCCGATTCCAAATCCTGGCTAAACAATCTGCACGATTTTAATTACGATTTTCAATTAAAGTGCGACACAGAAAACCAATTTGCAATTGGCTCCGTTGGCCTGAAAGGCCAAACACTGAGGAAAAGCTAACTGAAAATATGGAAATTGTCCCCTAAATGGCTCAGAGGATAACGATTCCCACTTTTGAATGATCTTTAAATGAGATCTCGAATCGTGGGGTATTGACTTAACCAAATTGTTCAAGATCCAGCTTTGTATTTTCGAAATTTATACCTACCTTTTTCTTTCAGTGCACTCAACTCCCGTTTCATCTTTTCTGCCACCTTTCAGATTCTGCTGTATCCCGAGGAGGGTTGGGCGCGGACCGCCTCGTCCAGTTACTGGACCATCACGCCCTGCTTCTGGCAGCCCAATCGCTGTCGCATCGTCGAGTGCTCCGGAACCCAGCGGCGCGCAACGAAGGCCCGGATGCTGCCCCTGGAGCAGCAGGGCTCCCTCCTGATTGCCGGACACTTTCGCCGGACAACGGCGGTGGGTGGAGGAGCGTCATCGCCCGGCGCAGGAGGGGTAGCGGGCTCCGGGTCGGTATCTGCGACGCCCACTCCTGCAATACCTGCCACTGCAGTCCGGCCGGGGTCAACGGGTTGTGACAAGTCGCCGCCCGCGTGGAACGACGAGTTCAAGCTGTATCTGACGTCGAACATCTCGATGGAGGACTACAACATGGGCTACTGCCTCACCGGGTTCGTGGAGCGCCGCTGCCAGGTGACCAACACCTTCCAGATGACTCACTTCGCGGTTATCAAGCGCCAGTGGCCACCGTCGCCGTCCAACCTGGGCAACTCCTAAGGCCCCCGAATCCCACTTTAGTAATTGTGATCCGATCTTTTGTTTCGAATTGGTAACGAAATGAAATCATATAAGCTGGTTGAGGCTGCTTTCACTTTCAGAGAGTTTTTTAAGTTATAATAATAATTCAAACTGCTTGAAGGTGAAAGCAGACACAGTCCTCATACGTACCGATTAAGTTCTTAGCGTTTAAGTAGAGCCAAATGTTTGTTGTGCAATCTCGAATTAAAATCAAAATAAATTTCGAAAAATCTATAGAAAATGTATCATAAATTGCCGAGGCCTCGAAACCCGACAGCCACTAGATCGTAAGGCTTAGAAAGCTAATGGCAGAAGGGATCTCTAATGATGCACTGCACTTGCCCTAAGCTACGAAATTCCGTGCATGTTTAGTGCGTAAATTGTAATTTTAACTAAATGTGCAAGAGAAATACGGAAAATACGGAAAATGCGGAAAATAGGAAACTAGGAAACCAAAACAAAAACTTTACGTGTGCTTTCAGTGTTGTGTAATTTGAAAAACGGAAACAAACCGGAAAAAATAAGCGAAAAAACCAAATACTAGTAACTGTTAAATGCTAAATGAAACTAAACCGCTTTGCTGGCTCCCACACACACACACACACACACACTGGCACAGTCACAGGCACAGGCACCCACTCACACACTCGCACACTTAAGCTTGGGCAGCTACTTAATGCTTCAAAAAAGTGCAACAAATTGAAACTTGTGCTTGTCGAAGCATGTGATTGTGAGTGCTCCACTATAAGCTGCTATAGTATATTTACGAGCCTGTGTGCGTGTGTATGGGTGTATGGGTATATGGATGTACCGTGTGTGTGTGTGAGAGCTTGTACTCTTTTCTACTACATACAAAGATGTACTTTAACGGCCATGTTTGCGAAACCTATTGCCTTTAAGCTTTAAAATATAAGCACAACTCGACGCAGGCAAACAAGTCAACAGCCTCGAGCATTGGCCATTGGCCATTGGCACTAAATAGCAGTTCGATAAGCTAACATTAAAGTTAATAATTCAACGAGCTGTTTGCATAAACATAGGTAAATATTTGCTTGACTTGAAGTTGAATGCTTGCAGAGACTTCGAAGAGGTTCCCTTAAGCTGTTTTTATGAATTTAAGCCAGAAGAGCAAGGGGCATGGTCTCATCGCGCTCGATCTGTTAATTAGTGTCACTAGCCTTTGAGATGACTAGTCCACAGGCGAGTTTGCCAACTGTACGCTAATCTAAGGAACTAAGCCTTTAAATCACTCTATCTCTCTCTCTCTATCTCTCTCTCTATCTCACTCACTCTCCCACTGACCCACTCATGCTACGGCTCTGTCCCTCTCAGTCACTCACTCTGAGCATGATACGCAACGTATATCAACAATTCGTCCAATAATTGGAGACTTTCGGCGCCACAAGCTGCCACTGCCAAGTGGCAAGTTGGCAAGGCCAGAGCTCCAATTGCCAAAAACCCTAAGTGTTAAAAAACAATGAAACCAAAACGTAAAGAAAACCAAAGCTAAGTCAGAACTCAACTAAGGATAAGGATAGTTTAAAAATCAATATTTACAAGCTAGAGAATATGAATCTAGATCTATATATATATATATTTGTGTGTAGGCTGAACATTTTTGCGTATATATATCGGTGTATTTATATAACTGTATTGCGATTACATATACAATAACATTTTTGCTGTAGTTCGCATAGCTCGCTTTTAGGCGCTTTTACACGCAAGCGAATAAGGCCGAGGAGCTCTCAACCTCTCTCATTTGCTTCAGACAGATCTCCCCTGCCACTTTACTCCTAAACTAATTGATATTTAAGTATCAGGTACCTGCCAGAATCAGCAACAACAACAACAAAAACAAAAACAACCAAATAAATAACAAGATATGAATATACATAAATATTTATTGAGCAATTATGTCTGTGCAAATATTTGTGTCCATTTTAATTAGAAGAGAGAATAATAAAAACGTCGAGAAGAAAGCGAATTATTTTTTAGAAAAAACTGGCAAATCGATGTCGTCTCCCCGAAATGTATAAATGTTTTATTAGTGTTTAGTGTGAGATTCTCTTGCTCTCTCTGTGTGTAGCAACTTTTTCTGCGCCTTTGCTTAAAAACCAAACCACAACAAACAACAGACACGAGTTCGGCTTTAAGCTGAGTGGCCAACAACACTTGACAACAAGTCGAACAGAACACGCATGAGCTTTTTTGTAGTTCTATTTAAACATTTTTAAATAGCCAAAACCAGTCAACAAGAAAATCCCATTGGGCATTAATTAATATTAAGCTTCTATCGAAATAAGCGATGTAAACGAGCATAATTAGTCTAAGATAAGTGGGTAGAAAAGGCGGCAAGTGAAAAACACAAATCAAATCAGATGGAAATGCAAATGAAAATGAAATCGAAATCGAAATCAAACACGTTGATGGTAATTCAGCTGCATAAATCAAAAGAGAACAAAACGTCAGCAAATGCAATTTGAGCCGGCAGTGTAATGAAAATAAATACCCCACAGGTAGAATGCAATTGAAAATGAGAAATCAAAACATTGAAAATAAAGAAAGAAAGCAGATAATGGTTTTTCTCTGGGAAATAATTGGAGGGAAAGCAATTTAATTTGCCATAAAGTATAGACGGGTATTATGGTAAGTAACGATAAGAATGAGTAAAATAATATTCTTGTTCTATAAACACGAAGTACATGGATGTAATGAAGGTCTTCAGCTATATATCCAACTACCAAGAAACATAGCAAAGAAACCTCATTTGAAATTCATTTTGGCCCAGTGTGTTAGATTGTTTTGATGTGCCAATGTGCATATCCAATCAGTTAACTCGGCACCCAACAGAACCCATCTGCACCTTGTCCCCTTGGCGATTTTACGGGGAATCAAAGCGAGATCTAACCCCTGAAGTGCGCCAAGCCATTAACTTTTATCATTGCGCAAGGCTCACGCCTCAGTTTTGTTTCGTTTGCTCAGCCAAGGACGAAGGGCTGGGGGCTAGGGACGAAGGACGAGTGGACACTTCAGCTCGCCTGGAAATGCACCTGCAACTCCTGTTCACCTGCTCCCGCAGCGCCGGCGGCATAAATCGCGCCCTCAGTTTCAACTTTCAACAAAGATGTAAGCCAAGTTAATTGCTTTTTGTTGCCTTTTTTCCAGCTCACTTTTGCCACGTTGCCGTTTCTGTTTCTGCTTCTGTTTCTGTTGCCTCTGCAATGTCAACAATGAAACTAACGTCAGGCAGCTCCTGGTGGGCCGAACACCCTACCTTTTGGACCAAGAACCCCAGGACCCCGGGACCACCGATGCTGCTGTTGTTCTTGCTGCTCCGGTGCTTATTTGAACAGCTCTTCACAAACAAGAACTTGGCAACATGGAAGCATTTACGAGCGCATTTCGCGCAACCATTTTGTTGCCTTGGCAGACAAACGGCTCAGCTCTCGGCGGCTCCTGTCACAGGGCATGGCCTAAACCTTGGCCACCGAAGCACAGCCAACCGGATGCCGGGGTCGAGGAAAGCCGACGCAAATCAGGAAATGAAAATGGTAAATTCTGGAGAAGAGCAAGAAATATATTTTCATTAAAATATACCCAGGCAGTAAAGTGCAGCAAGCACTCAACGTGTTTGCCCTGTCATTAGGGCCAAGAAGGAGCTGGATGCTAAATAAATTGTTAAAAAATCTTAAATAGTAATTGAAAGTAAGTAAGTAAAATCCAAAACTAACTACGATCTTTCCCAATGTACGGGGATGACTTCTTTAAACTGCTTCTTCGCCAAATCCTGTCCGCAGCCACAGGCCACTATTATTAATGATGAGTTACAGGGGGGCACTGAAGGGACAAGACGAAATCGAAAGACTTTCTCTGGGTCCTCAATCAATTTACGATTCATGGTGTAAGCCCAGAAGAAGCCGTCGCTAGAAATCGAAATCAGTCGTCTGTGAATATTGCAAAATGAGCTTCCGCCTTTTGCCTTGGCTCCCAACTTCCGGCAACAATTTCCGTTTCCTCATTACCTTATTTTTTCATCGCCGAAGTCGGGACTTTGGTGAAAGGAGGCCTTGGAGGCCTTGGAGGCCGTGGGGGCGTGTTGCCGCCCCCTGCCATATGACAATTTATTACGCTGGAAGCTTCGATTTAAATTGCTTGACAATTATTACACAATGACGAAGGACGACGGCGAATGAAAAATGTTCCGTTCGACAATTTACCAAGCGGCACGACACGCCCCCTGCTCCTCCTCATTTGCCCCCGCCCAGAATTAATGATGGCAAATTTGCAAAGTTCACAAATTTCTTATTAGTAGTCCATGGCTGAGGAAGTCGGTTTTTCCCGCCCTCTCGTTTTCCCGCTCCTCCTCTTTGCCAGTCTCCCCTCTCGTCAGCAGTCGGCGCCCTGGGTTCATATTTCATTTTAGGCAGTTAGTTTTCCTGCGGAGGAAAATTCGAATGAGGTGGTGAATGGATGGTGAAGGGGCCACCTCCCTGTGGTTTTAAGTTTTCGCACTTTGCCACCAGGCAGAGCGAATTTCCCAAGCGCTCTAATTTGAATTTTAATTGAGGTTCTCTTTGTGGTTTTCCTTGTTTTTCCGTTTTTCCATTTTTTGCTGTTTGTTTGGCTGGCTGCCTGCTTTGAAAATTAACAATAATTATAAATAATTGATATGCCGAGCAGGTTTTCCTTTGGCTCCACTGCGGAGATGAAAGTACGTGCCAGAGATTATTTTTAAAGCAAAGAGTCCTGATTATGATTTATTAAAAAAATAACTTTAAATTGCACCCAAATATTCCTTGTGACTCGCTAAACGGGTTTTATTTGGCGCTTTATCCCGCGATTGAAGGCCCTTTGTGAATGTTTGACAGCGGCAATAAATGGAAAATAAATGTTTATGCGATGCAAAATCAAATCAAAGCGAAAATCTTGTATATTTTATATGTGCAATTCACAAAAAGTGGACACGTAAATCATCAGCGAGGCAAATAAATAAAGTAAAAATCAAACGGAATATGCAAATGTCAAACAAATAAAAGCGGGGAAGGCCCGGATTGCATCATATATCTGCTCTGATTTATCCGCCGGCTGCTGTGCGTGAAACATTGCTGTAAATATAAATTTAATTGCATGAAACAAAATACGCAAAAAATGCATCCCCCATTGAATTGGCACTGCGGGCGGAATGCAATTATTATTATTTCGCAGGCGGCCATAGAAATTGTAAATTGAAATGCAGACGCTTTGTTGTATATTATTCCATTAAGCCGGTGCACCAAGGAAAACACAACAAGTGGAGCCGTGCGGCTTAATGTGATTGCGAAATGTTGAGCCGCTCTTAAATCGATTTGACGGACAAAGCCTGAATTAAGGAATCACAGGTTAAAAATCATAATCATTTGATAACTCCTCTCCTCTACCAGCAGATCACAAGATCCTGCACATTAGCCGGCCTTAAATGCCCCAGTAATTGTGGAATTAATTAAAAATGAAATCCCCATTAAAACTCAGGGGCATTTCACCTCACAGACTGAGTGCCAGACAGCGGCCACAAACTCGCCCTGCATCTCGCATTTCACCTGACCAGAAAGTCTGGCGATGAATGATGAAGACGACGTTGATGATGACATTATCTCATGCTCATTGAACGCAAATGTGGCGTGCACGCCATAAAGAGCCAACAAAAGGTAAGAATAGCAACGGGAACGATGAACAGCGAAGGGAAAATACACTAGTTAATAACTTTAAGGGAAAATTATATACATTCATGATTTAAGTTAGTGAATTTCTCATTTTGGCATCTCAAATTTAAAGGAAGTGCAAATATTCAGGGAGAATAATCTATTTACAGGGTATATTTAAGGCAGTTTTGGGCCAAATGTCTGAAATATGAACATGATTACATTTTTGACGAGTGAATGCCCCATTCAATCCCCCTGCTCCACCCCATCAAGCTACCTGATGTCACTCATTGTGCAGTGAATTGTTTCGAAAGGCTTTTGTGTTTTGCATTTCGCATTTTGTGTTTTGCTATGAAATGAAAGTGGAGCTCTAGATGTGGGTTCTTTTCTGGCAAAATACAAAGTAAAAAATGCGGTTTTCCTGTGTTCCAGAACAGGTGAGTGATTGAATATCTCAAAATTAAGAGCTGCACTACTTTCCTTCTTTCGCATTTCCCTCCTTAGTTTTGGGGGATGCGTATTAAGTTGAGGCGCTTAAGGCGCATTTAAATTAACTTTAATAGCTGGCCCATTCAGAGGCCCCCAGCCAAGTCCTTCGGGAACTTCGCACAGCTCACGGGCCCCTTGAAAAGCCACATTTACGCCAAGTACTTAACAACTTTAATGAGCAGGGGATAGAAAGAAGGCAGGCGGAGCAAGAGTTGGAGCTGAAAAAAACCTGCTACATCGGGGGAGGATCCAAAGTAGCCAACGCGCACTTAATACTAATGGCTGTCATTATCCTTTATCCTTTGGCTGTCGCAACAACTGTCTATCCACTATCTCTATCCCACTGCCACCCATTTTGGCCCTTTGTTTGCACGCACATTTATTAGGCAAACCAAAGCGCAAACTTCCCGCTGCCAAAAAAAAAAGCGAGGAACTTGGTAAAAACAAAGAAAAAATTAACTTAACTCAATTTACAAAAACTTTTATTTCTATTTTTTCTGGCTTGTTTTGTTAGCTGTTGACAAAAAACAAAAAGGAGAAACGAAACGAAAACGAATTAAGCGCCAAGCCAGGGCAAACTTTAAGTAGCTTTTGTGCGAGAAAGTATTAAAATCGCTTTTTCAAATGGCTCCCAAGGAGGTGGGCAGGGAATGCGGGCAGGAAAGTAAAGGGATTCCACAGCCAGCCAAGTGTCCTTGAATCATATTTACTTAACTCTCTGCTGGATCTTGGCATGTTCTCTCCTCCTCTGATTTTATTTTCATTTGCCAGCAATTTCCTTTCTTATTTGAGCAAAAATGAATTTCCATAAGTCTGGCAAACATGCTTGGCTCCACAAGTTCGTTGCTTAAAACTCTTAATATGTGATGAGATCCATTTCAAGGAGGCTCTGAAACTTTTGCGGTTTCAGGTCAAGTTTGAGCTCCGTTTTTATCAAGGAACTGCAGAGTGAAAAGTTTACATGACACCCATTAAAGGCCTCAATTTGATGGGGCAATAGCTGGTCTCTTGGTCATTCGACCGCACTCTATTATTGCCTTCCCTGCAATTTCTGGCCAGGGAAACCACAACTCCGATCCGTTCCATCGGTGGGGACATCGCGTCTATGCTCTGTAATAATTTCACACGCCCTGTGTCGCGGTCGTTTTAATTAGCACGATTGCATTTTCAACACGTCCAAGCCATTCAGACAGTAAATCACATAGGCTGCCCAACATGTGCTGTCCACTGTCAGTCACTCAAACATTCAGTCAGTCAGTCAGTCAGTCACTCGCTCATTATACATGATATAAACTCAAACGCTGGTACATATTTGATTTGGCCTCCGTGTGCATTGTGCAGCAGATTGCGGTTTGGCGCTCTTCAGTCCGCCGCTGGCATGGCAACAATATAGATATACGAGTATATAGCGCCAAATCGGCGAAAAGCTGGGAGTAAATTAATCCAGCTAATTAGAATATAAGGGTCCAGGGTGGGTAATTTGATCAAGTGCGGGAACGGGGACTGGCGAAAATTAACACTGCTCAGTATCCAGTATCCAGTATCCAGTTTCCGTTTCATTTTAATTGGTTCTTTGGAATAATTAGATCAAGTTGTTGGAATATTTTATTGGTGTTCCAGAAACAACTATTTAACTTTACTACATTTTTTAATATTTAAACTGTTTTCCACCTCACGATTTAAGTGCGTGAAAAACAAGAGTTACTTCCACCATTTCGGTCAATCGAAAACTGCATATTTTAACGTTTCTAGGCCACCTACGTAGTAGACGTCAATTGTCAGTCAACAAAAGTTGGAAATGTGTTTATTTATAGCTCCCATTCTGAGTTCCCCCTGCAACCCAAAGCCTCCATTCTCATCCCACGTTGCGTATACGCAAACACAAAAACCGAAAGCGAATGCACCGAAAGCCGCAGTATCCGCTCGCACGTCACGTGGCAACAATCATGTCTTAAAGGCTGCACTTCGAGCACACTGGAACAGTATGGGACGCGGCTGGGACAGCTGTACTCTGATAGTGATAGTAGTAGTGATAGTGATCGGTGGGATTGGCTTGATCAGGGGTCAAAGGTCGCCGTTGATAGATTCCGTTTGCCAGGCGGTACAGAGGCAGCAACTCCAATGCCAAGTGCATCGCGTAGAGACCGCCGATGGATATAGGTTAACCATCCACCGCATTCCAGCTCCCCGAAATCCACAGTGTCCTCAGCACTTGCGCCCCTTTGTGTTGATGCACGGCCTGCTTGGATCCGCCGGGGATTTCGTGTCGGCTGGCAGAGGCAGGTCCTTGGCTCTGGCGCTCCATGCCCGCTGCTTTGATGTCTGGCTGGGAAATGCCAGAGGCACCACCCATTCCCGCGGGCACCGCACTCTGCCGACAAGTGACGCCCGCTTCTGGCAGTTCAGTTGGCACGAGATTGGCATCTACGACCTGCCCGCCATTGTGGATTACGTGCTGGCGAGGACGAACCGGCGGCAGGTGCACTACGTCGGCCACTCACAGGGGACCACTGTGCTTCTGGTCTTGCTTTCTCAGCGCCCGGAGTACAATGCGCGGTTTGCCAACGCGGCTCTGATGGCACCGGTAGCCTTCCTCAAGCACCTGAGCAGTCCGCCACTGCGATTACTGGCTAGTGACAGTTCCATGGTCACGGTGCGTATACTTGACGGAATTGGGAAGTGCCTTTAGTGCTGCCCAAGTGATAAGCTCTTGTCACTCGGGGAAGGAGTTCACTAAAAAAGATTAACATTTCTATGCTTTTTCGCACAAAAAAGCTCTTAATTCTCAGCTACACTGTAAATAAAAACGGGTATAGAATGGTTTTTTTTAACGATTTTAAAAATAATTACTTAAAATGACTTTTTTTTTTATATTTTATATTTTAAGTTATTTTAATTGCAAGTAACATTACCAAAATTTGAACTTAAATTTACGACTTAATGGGCTATTCTCCGTGCAGCTGCTGCTGAATAAACTTGGACTCCACGAACTGCTCCCGGCGACGGCGCTGACCCAGGTGGGCGGCCAGTTCTTCTGCACCGCCTCCCGACCCACCTACGCCCTCTGCACCCTCTTCACCTCCCTTTACGTGGGCTTCAGCGACTATCCATTGGATCGTGTGAGTACGATTATATATGCGGGCCATAATTTAGCCAACAAAGCGCTCCGGAAACTTTTTTCTTGTTGTATGCAAAAGTTTTTATTGCACTCTGGAGTGAGCCTGGCGTTTCCACCGCCTCCCCCACAAATCCTCCCACAAACAGACAAACATACGTACTTTCGAGGGGCGAAGACCGGGGGGGCGGAGGCCTTAGTTTCGGTAATAAAAGTTATTTGAATTTAAATGCGTAAACGAGCTGCTCCTGCCGGGCAAAAGCTTCCTGGTTGGAAGTCAGCCCCGAACTATTGTGAATGTGGGTTAAAAAAGGGCGCGAAAGGGGTGGTTCATACCAGTCGAAAGGGTTAATTGATGAAAGCATGCAACTTGTTCATTATCAAACAGATATCACTTAAAGATTAAGATATTTCAAGGTTCAATTCATTATAATAATTAGTCTTTGTAGCTATACTTTTCCTTCTTAATTTTCTCAGCGATAGCTTGGTAAACGAATTTTTAGGGCATATCCCAATAGACCTAACAGACACTGAAATTTCCGCAATAATATGCAACCGAAAAGGTGCTCTAAACTTTTGCCCAGCCTCTCCTCCCTCTTCACACGAAAATGCCGCTCCAGCTGGCGGCTAACTAGAGTATAACACACATTACGTATACGCCACGTTGCCTTAAACACTTTTTGTTTCCCGCGCACACGGTACATTTAAATTTTGTTTTGCCGTGAAATATGGCAAATAAATCGCGACCGTGTAACGAAGGAAAAAACTTTATGGCTTATCTGTGTGTTCGTAGTGTTCGGAGTGTTTCGGGGCGCGTGCTCAAAAGGCTTACCATCTGAATCTGAAGTGAGTTAGTTTGCGTTAGTTTTGGGGCGGATCTGGGGGTCAGGCCCTGGCGCCAAGTGCCGCTTGTAAGTTATTAAAGTGGGGGCTTTGGCCAATTGGCTGCGGCCCTGGACACTGCGATGCCGAAGCCGGATTCGGACTCTTTATAGTTGCCCGGAGAGCACGGAAGAAGGTTAGAAAGTTTCCGTGGATATAGTTCCCAAATCTTTTTACATATGCGGCCATAAATAAGCATTTCAGGCGCTGAATAATCCAGGGGTTAAGTTAGGAATGGACCTGAAAATGCCTTTTTTAAGTTAACTTGAAATCGAAATGGGTAAACGAAAATAAAGTCCATTGGTAGAAACAAAAGCGCTGAAACTATTGTTTCCGATTCAAATGTTTAACTGCCACTGCCAACGGATGGCAGTAAATAACAAAATCACGAAGCTACTGCCACTTGACTTAAGAGTCGTATCTATGCGAGAGTCATAACTTCCATAAAAAGTCAACAAACCAGAACCAGCAGCGAAAAATTGTTAAGCAAATACAGTGGAAAGACGCTGAGCTTGAGCAAATGGAGCGAGGCGATACTTGCGACAACTGCCGAACATGCCACACCACACAGATAGAAGTCCGAATAAATATTTGTGCATATTTAGTAACCCCTGAAACCCCTGAAACCCCTGATACCCCAGATGCCCCACCCCACCTACGACCCTCGCAAAGTTCAACACTCTTGGAAAACTGCACTGCGTCGAATAAGATTCGAGCTGAAATATAAAAAATACAAAAAATTCGAGATGTAAGAAAAATAAATGCAAAGGAAACGAAACGAGAAGAAAAACTCGGGGAAACACAAACAAGCTGGCGGCACAAAATTGCCAGTATTTGCCACAAGTTGCTGGCTGGCTGCAAAAAGGAAACAAAGCTGAGAAAAAATGGGGAAATGCAACGGCCAGGCGGAAAATCAAATAAACATCAAAACAAAAAAAATGTCGCCGCAGGACGCATGCAACGTTTCAATGGCATGTCATGGCAATTTAAAGTCTGTCCGATTTACATAAAATTCTATAACTGAAGAGTCGTTGCGGCATGCCCCAAAAAAATGCCAAACATCAGCACATCGGCAAAAAGTAAACTGTTTTTTGCAGATATCCTGTTTAAACAAAGATTCTCGGATTTAAATGGAGTTTTAAAAAGAGCTTACAAGAAAAACTCTGCAATTAAATGCTGAAAGCTCTTAAGTCTCATTTAAAATGTGGTAAGAAATCTATTTTTTAGAGAATATGTAGATGGAGGTGCACTGATTACTTGCAATTAAAATCAGGAAAGCCATTAAAAATTAAACGTTTTTATATGAGTTTACTAGTTTTAAAGCTTCCAGCTTGATTCAGCAACATTAAAGTGTAAACTTTTTAAAGAAAGCACATGAAAAGCAGAAATTGCCCAACTCATTTTCCACTTAATATATAATATTAATACCGTATGGAGTGTCGGAAGCTACTTATCCTTGCATCAATATTTTCTTTAGAAAACTACTTTATTTTGTGTACTCCTAGGCGGCTTCTCAAATCTGTTGGCCACTTCAATCAGTGGCCTGCAGCAATAGCAATATTAATCTCAATTCCAATATAAAACTGAAAAGCTCATTGCACTTACCTTAATCAGGGGCAGAGGTTGCGGCGAGTAAGCAGCTAATTTCAAAACAAATACTCGCAATATAAGTTCAGATTCCCCGCTCCTTCCGCATGATCAAAGCGAGGACCTCTTGGCCCTTGGCCCGAGACCTCGCTCCTGTGCCCGTTCATGTGTGAGTGGGCGAGTGTGTGTGTGTTTGTGTGTGCTTGTGTGCACTTCCGCATATGCTTTGTGTCGCAATGAAACGGAAATAGCAGCCTGAACACACACTGATACACACATGAGTGGTCAGGCGAGGAGAGGTGAGAGGTGAGGTCCTGTTTCCGGCTGTTGCTCATAAAATTGAAACGATTCGGGAGTTTAAGCCTAACAAAATGGACTTCCTCTGTTCCTTCTCCAGAACATCTTGCCACGCATCCTGGAGACGACGCCGGCGGGCATTTCGCGGGGCCAGCTGCAGCACTTTGGCCAGCTCATCAATAGCGGTAAGTCGGCCATATGACCTGGTGCACTGGAAAAAACAGATAAATATTTAAAACTTAAGCTATATATGATATCAAAGCAAAATCGAAAAGTCTCCGAGGACCTACTTTAAATTAATTACTAAAAACCTAAAGTTTTTCTCAGTGCATGCCACACGCATGTGGAAAAGTGGTGGGAATAAAGTGGTGGCGGAATTACCATTGATGGGTCTTTCGTTTCGTCTGCAGGCAAATTCCAGCAGTACGACTACCGTTCGCCGAGACTGAATGAGCTGCGATATGGACGGACCACGCCCCCCTCGTATCAGTTGGCCAATGTTCGCCTGCAGCTACAGATCTTCCATGGCAACCGGGACGCACTGTCCAGTCAGGCGGATGTGGAACGACTGGTCCGCGAGCTGCGGAATAGCATTACCCAGCTGTATCAGGTGCCCGGGTATAATCATATTGACTTTCTGTTCGCCTCCTCGGCGGCCCAAATGGTCTTTGAACGAATAATTCAACAGGCCTGGCAGTTGGATGCGGCATCGGCGCCTCAAGGCAGCGGATGATTTATAGAAGCGGGAGCAAACTGGGATACATCCAGCGCAGTGAAAAAGTTCCATCAAACGTGCGGACTGACAACGCTTGCCCTTTATTGAAATATGCTTAACTCACTTGATTTACATTTATATTTTGTCATACGATAAACAAACTTAAACGTAATACAAAGAAAAACTTGGATAAACAGACCTCATAAGCTTCATACTTTACACTAAGCAATTGCGGTAATCAAAATGTACATTGGTTGTTAATAAAGTGGAATAGTCCGTCTGCTTCTCGACCAGCAGTCCTGCCATACTTTCACTCTGCCAGGTGGGAAATTGCATGGGATTTTGTTTTTTGTCTCTGGGGCTGTGATTATTGGATATGTTTAAGGGATTCCCTAAAAGTGACAGTTTAACTTAGTTCAAAGCCAGCACCGGACTGTATGGCATAAAGCAGTTTTTCACGCATTTGTTCCACAGTGTTGAAGGGCGGAAGCTTCAGCAAATTGGTGCAAGTGCTGGCCGTGGGCAGGCGTTCCATGTCCCCAGCATTTTGGATAAAGAATGGTGGGTCCAGATCCTGCCAAGGAAATCCAAATTAGTAATAAAACAAACAAAACAACTAAATACCAACCTTAAAGCCCAGCAATGGTGGCCTGGAGCAGCTAGTAACGAATTTAAGCAGCTGCCTGCGCTGCAGATCGTCGAAACCTTCCAGAGCCGCCCAGAATGCCACAATCGAAGGGTGTTCCGGAGTAAACTCACCGCCATATTTACAATGTTTCTTTAGATCCTCCAAGTCGATGGGTATCTCAGCACCCGAAATGAGTATTTGAAGCTCCTTATTGCTGAACATATACAGCCATTCGATGGGCAAAACGTTGGACAGACCTTTGCGGAAGGCGTTGCAGTGACGACGAATCTGGACGTTGAGCTTGTAGTCGGCAATTAGCTGTAGGTATTCTATTCGATTGGAGTTGGTCACGGGAATGCTCTGGCCCTGCGGCTTCAGTTCCACAATCTGCGTCTGACCCAGGGAACTGCTGGCCACTGTGAAGTCCAAATTCAATTCACTAACATCGCCTGTATAGTCCTTCAAGTACAGCAGATTGCGATACAACTCCGGATCCAAGGAGGCTAACTGATGAATGTCGACATCCGAGTACTTTCCTGCTAGCTTGGTAAGGAAGAACTCGGCCAACGGAAGCTCCACTAGCAGGTTCTCATAAATGGACTTGCCAAGGATGCGTCCAATGAAATAGTAATGCTTTTCGTAGTCTTCGACGAGATCGCCCACATTTGGATTGGGATAAAGCTTGTTGTCCGTGGTTACCCTGGGTATGAAAATCGTAAATATATAACTCGGTATTCGATTATTTCAGTTATTCTCACATAAAGAAGCCACGGTTTGGATCAAAGGAAGTTTTTATTAGCTCCGACAAAAACTCGCGGAAAACTCCACCGCCATCAATGCCTGCCTCATCGAGTCCTAGCGTTGAAATAAACTGTATGCGAAACTTTAGGCGAAGATCAGGTTCTAAACGAAAAACAATAATAAAACTCATGATGTCATAATCTTAAGGAAAAAACCCACCATTTTCTGGGCGCAGTTTGTCGTATGCATCTTCGTATATATGCGACCGCCTCACCGTGATCATAACTGAAGGGCCCTGGAGAAACGCTTGAAGATTTCCCTGCACCCGCATTTTGTTGGCAGCAACCAAACCTTGCAAAATGCTCACCCGCTTGTTAAAGGCCACTACGAAGGGGATTTCCCGCAGAATGGTTATGGAACGGATCTGCTTCGTGGACATGGGTGGTCCGTTCTCGAAATCTTCTCGTGTGAAGTCTCGAATGGGTTGGAAGGGTCGGATTCCCCGCAGTCGACTACTGTGGGTCAGCGGTAAATCTGTTGGCCTATCCAGCGGCAAGTCTAAACGAGTTACGGTCCAATGTGCCTCTGGGCAGAAGCCCAAACGCAAATCCCGTGTATGAATCTGGTTCAACACAAAGACGACCACATTCAGTAGATTGGCCCAAATTTGCTTTTGATGCCGCAACTTCTTATCATCAGCCTCCGTGTGACCCAAGACGCTACGGTAGTTGGCCAAATTGCTGCGGGTTTCTGGGAAGGCCAGCTCCACTAGACCCATGCTAATGTCCTTCAACGTCTTGGACATTTGTACAATTTCCGCTATAGAAAAGGGCATGAGTCGGACGTGGTTAATGGTAGTCTGCACTTGCAGCAAAAGCTTGTTCTCTACAAACTCAACATCATGTAGGGTTGGCAAAAGCCGTCCAAAAAGCATACAGAAAGTGGCCAGGAGTGGAATAGTGCGATCCACTCCTTGTTGTTTAGCTGAAAGGTGAAATAAATATATGAAATTGAGTAATCGAATACATTTCTTGTGATACTTACGCACAACACCCTTCGAAATCAGGGTTAATGGAGCAGAGAAACCCAGTTGAGTGGACTCTGCAGCCAGCTTAAACCACACAGCGCGTATGAACTTAGGAGTAAATGCCAAAGTATAGAGTAATCTGTAAGGAACCAAGTATTAAATATTGAAGAGTCGATTCGTTAAATAGCATCTCACTTGTACTCAAAGACTGCATGCTTGTTGTAGATCATCAGGTTGTGACAGATCTCGCAGAGCGCATAGATCAGCTGACTGTTCTCGATGTGCGGATCCAACTGCTGGACAATAAAATCCACTCTCTCTGTTTCGTTTAATATGGCTATGGACTCCAACAAGCAGTCGCGCTCTTTAACATTTAGTTCTCCGCTGCTTCGGCATGTCTGCTCCATATCGTAGTCCAGAGCGCGAGCCGATGGGTAATCCTCCTCCTCCTCAGAGTCTTCTGACTCATCATCGCTGTTTCTGTGACGATGTGGGGCATTGGCATGACCACGAAGTGTGGACTTGGGTAGCTGCAGAATATTGGGCATCATTTCTGCGATGAGGCGGATATAGACCACTAGCAAAGAGCTATGCTGTAAGGTGGCTGAAATAGGAGGACGATTAATTATAGTTTATGGGTCACGAAACATTCATTTAGAACTTACTCAGCTGTCTGCGATCGAGTACCAGGAGGGAATTCAGTAAATACGACGAGAAGAGCGAGTCAAGACGCTTAGGCTTTTGGCCCGATTCAGCTCCGTGGAAGAGAAAACTGCGCCTGCTAGATGTGCTATCCGACTCGGCTGACCCATCCTTCTCTAACGCTTCAAAAAGCGACTGCATTAACAAGTCGAAGGGAAAGTCCGCATTCAGCGCAAAGCAGGGTAGCACAAAGTACCGAAGAGGATCCGTGTGCGGCGCGGCCAATATGTCCCGGATAAAGTTTTGGCAAACTGCCAGCGACTTTGGAGACAACGGCCCACCGGTGGAAGCCCTTTTGGCCACCGCTAGCGGGCGTAGCAGCAGCTGTAGCAAAGCCTCAGCCAAAGGACTTGGCGCATGCAAAGTTTCACCATCCAACGGCGGACATTTGTCGTCCAGCAGCCTTCTCAAGCGGAGAAAGTAGTTACGGGCAATCAAAAACGCAAAGACGCGCTCCAGATACTGAAACAGCAGGGCCTCATCCTCCACATAGCGCTGGACTGAAGAAACGGTGGTAAAAGTCTCCAGCATGCGCAGGGGAATGGCCTGAGCCGTATGCGACAGACTTAGCTGAAGCAAACAGATATCCAGCAGCTTGCACAGCCTCAGTAGCCACATAGAATCTATGGAGGAATGCTGAAGCAGGCGAGCAGGTTGGCGAAGGATCTGTTGGCAGACCTCGACCTGTTGCCCATTAGGGAAAACATTAGGATGTGATTAAGTGTGCATCAATGAGACCTCACCAATCGCTCGCTGTCCTTAGCCTCCCGGCTGCTATAGAAGAAGTTGAGACGCCGTAAGAGAAATGTCAGGCTCTCGTTCTCCGCGATGCAATCCCTGTGGGCCAAGAGATAGCCATCGAAGGCCTCCCGCTCTGCTCGTTTTCTTCGCTGGCGGTGTATGAAGGAACGGGCATAGGACTGCAGCAGCACCGCTCCATTCTCCTTTTGGCGCAGCTCGTTACGCTTCTGACGCTCTTGCGCCGCTTTCCTGATCACCGTGTCCCTGTCGCAGGTGTGAGAGGCTCCACCCAGACTTTGCACCGGCCTCCGGCGGTACTCCCCATCAAATCCGAACATGACGCTGCGCTTTTGGGTTGTTTTAGTGCCCGGATCGGACTGAATCCACCAGCTTTTTGGTTCAGTTGACCCTCCTCCGCATTCTTCACCTGACTGCAGCAGCGGACGGAATACTGCGATTCCGCGGTGACTTTATTGCTTTTGCTCCTCGACCAAGAATCTATAATTTTATGCACTTATACTCCGAACACGCTCTAATTTTAAGTGCAAAGCGTAAAATTTCGGCCAATGATTTGTATATTTCTTTGTATATTTCGATAACAAGTTATCGACAGCTGGGCCTGGAATGACTGGTACGTTGATTAGCCCTGGTAGAAGGGCCGTTCTTGATTTCAATTTCGATAAACTTTGAATTGAAATTCCCAAAATCTCTGTAATGAAATTTAGCCGTTTTAAATTTCGTAAGTTATTAATTATCTCTTACTTACTTTAACTTCAATTTAATATTTTTAAGCTTATTTTAAGCAAGGTACTACACAACTTGTTTTGCACCAAAACAAAAAATATCTATGTAATGCGATTACATTTTTTTTTATGCAAAGCAAAACGTTGCCTTTAATATGATTGAAGTTTATGAAATATACATTCATTCGTAAAGATGAGTAAAATGTTTAAAACTAAACCACCTAATTAGTAGCTTCTGTTGTTTTCTATTTAGCAACTAGCCTGCTAATGAGAAAGCAGGAGCAGCTAAGAGTACATTTCAGACCGTGGAGCTCTATTGTACCTCGGAGAATTAGAGCGAGCTCTGTTTAGCGGCCTGGAGGTTCAGCTGGTGCTGCTTTTCGATGAGGGCAAGTAGAGCCCTCGGCACATCCATTGTCTGATCGTCCACAAGAACAATATCGAAAGTGTTCATGTACTTCTCCATGTTAGCCTCAACGTGATCGAAGAGAAAGCCGATTTTCATGATGTGCGAGGAGGCTGGCACCCCAGAAGCCATGTCAGCATCTCCAATTGAATCGCCCATGACGATGATATGGTCCCTAGTGTGCACCAGGTCATAGTAGTCGCTGCCATTCAGCACGGTTTCGTTCTTATTGAAGGTGTGAATCATCGGCTGTTGGAAACCATCCAAAAGACCATCCCTGAACTGAAGAAAATTGGAGACAACCTTTACATTCGGATGCATAATGTTGGCCTGACGGAGCACGGAGACCACCGAGTTGCCCAATCCGGCGGAGAAGACTAGTGTGGGAATGCCTAGGCGCTCCAAGTCCCCGAAGAACTCGTGTGTGCGGTCACGTAGCGCATGCTTGTACTTGCTAGCTATCTGATCTATTTCGGACTGGTCAAAGGCGAAGCCGCTAGTCAGTTTTCCCGACTTAGTCCACCACTCGATCATGTACTGCACCTTCTCCTCAATGGGCATATGCGGATCGATCTCTATGGGCCTGTACTTGTGGTACAGCTTGTCCGTCTCCTCCTTAAAATTCTTCGGTAGCGATTGGCAGGCATTGAAAATGCCGAAGCTGGAGGGAACCGCTCCTCCGTCCTCCGTACGCTGTTTAGTGATGGTGTAGTCGAAGTCAGACACTATTTGCATACGTTCCGGTCCTCCGAAAACAAACTCGTTGATGATACGCTCCACTTTCGCCGGATCCTGCATGCGGCAGTGGTCTTGAGTGAGGGACGGAATGTCCTGGACCCTCAGTCTTCCACCGGCGGAATCTTGCTTCTCGTCACACCCCATATTGAGTAGCCTTCTCGCCCAACAGCTCAGAGGTCTTCCCCTGATCACGATGACTGAATATCTAGACCGAGGGAATCAATCGGCGAAATGCGCTGAGCTTTCACCAGCGGTATCTGAAAAGTGTTAAGGCAAGCGATTTACTAGCGCTAATACCGATCGTCTGTATTGGTAGTTCTATATCTAAGGCTGACCTTGGACGCTTGTTTTGACAAATTTGTTGGTTTTTGCACAGTGTTCGCAGTTATCAGCTGACTATCGAAGCTCTGATATGACAAGCTTTTTATATTTATAAATTATGTCAAAAAACAGTAAGCGAACCGTTCTGTAAACATTGAATTTAGTTTAAAAAGTAAAATACGTTTTGCTCCGACCACTTCCACTTTCAACCAGCTGTTTGCAGGCGAAACGCTGTGGAATCAGAACGGATAATCAGCTGACTTCAGCGCCAATTTTTGAAAAAATCGTTCGTTTTGGCATGTCTTTTAAATCGAGCTACCAATGCTGTCAGTAATAACAAAAACCTCTTTTGCATGTCTTAAAGATATATTTTAAAAAATAAGGAATGTCCAATTTCAAAATTTGCGCCGCATAACATAAATTAAATTAAACAACAGAGCTGAAGCAGCCTTTCCAAATAAACAATGTGACACATTATTTACAATTTGTGCTAAGTTCGTGAATTAATTATGATACACAATATAATATTTATACCTTCCTTTATATTTTTGCATCGACTTTGTAACAATCGCTGCTAATACGTTTTTGTAAATCTAAAATATTCCTAATAATAATCAAACTCAAAAATAACATAATCTGATAATCTACTGTTATAACTATGAAGTTTACATATTAAATATGTATCCTAAAAACGGGAGTGTACGTAATGAGTTGAGTGCGCTTCCGTGAAGAACTACATGCTAAATGAAACACAATCTGAATGTGATGGCCGAAAAACAAAAACACTTCAATCTTCGATTACGATGGCGGCTGGGGACTGCTGTGTCTTAGGTATCAAATGCTTGTTGACCTGCTCCGTGGCCTGAAACTTCCACTGTGCCGGCAGATGCTTCCTAAGATCGGGATTCTTTGCCAAGTGACTGCAAGATAAGTAAAACATAAGTAAGCATTTCTAGATTACGGAAAAGGTTTAGGCTGCTCTTACCGGTTAAGAAAGCTTATGGCTGATCCAAAAGTTTTGAAGAACAAAACGCCATGTTCTGGTATTCTGATCAAAAAGTCTGAACCGCGCACTTTGACGCGGAAGCGTGGCAGACCTTTTGCGACCATTATGCCGTAGCAGACCTCTTCGTTTTCGGGTCTTTGTCCAGAAACTGCAACGGAATCCGAAATTGCCTTCGGTGGCAGAGAGTGCCGCGAGGGCAGGGGCTCCCCCGCAGCAGAAGGTTTCACGGGCAGAGACATACGCGTGGTTGGATCAGAAACCTTTGAGGTGGACACTGGAGACGGCTTATCACTGCCACCTGTAACTTTCGCTGGCATGGATTGTCGTGATGTCGCGGTTACCGGAGGTTTAACATTTGCCGGCACTGATTGCAGATTGACAGCGTTAGCTGGTCTGGGATATAGCTTAACCCCCGCGTTCTGCCCTGGCGCTCCTGGGGGTCTTATCGGTGGAATGTTTTTGGAAATAGGCGTCGCCAAAGGCCTGATAACAGGCGCCCGGGCAGCAGTAACTGTCCCCGTTTCTGGTAATGCTTTCGGTGTTTGTTTAGCAATCCCGGTAATGGTGATGCGCTTTTTATTGCTTACAGTCTGGAGGGATTCGGCTGGCCGTTTTTTGTCCTTGGTGTTCAACTTAGTGATAGTTATGCCCCCAGGAGTTATAGTGTTTCCACTGCTCAGCAGCTCCTGCAGCGACTCATTAATCTTGTTATGCACCATTTTGGCTGCTGGCGTATGTGCGGGCGAACTTGACGAGGCGACATCAGGAACACTTAACGACGTGGTTAGTTGAACTTGAGGCGTAAGGTATTGGGTGGTAGGAGCTGCCTGTCCATTCTTGGCGGGGACGTTTGAAATGAAGGGCATGAAACCTCCGGTTAGCTGGCATGTTGTCACATCTTTACAAGGACGTGGGGATGGCGATACCGAATCCGTAGTGGTTATCTGCAGAGCACCGGTCATGGGAAGTTTTTGTATGGTGAAATTCGTGCGAGGAAGTTCCTGCTTAATCTCAGTATCTTTCTTCTGGACTTCCTTCTCATCGATAACCAGTTGATCATCCGTATCATCGTCTTCATCACTATCGATAATCACTACCGGCGGAACTGTCTCGTTGTTCTTTTCTATTTCCACAGATAGCTGCGACGGAATTTTCAACACATTGAGACCAGACGTGACCGAAGAACTATTCTGCTGCGCCACAAGCTTTGCCGATGATTCCATGTCGATCTCGAAGTGCACTTGACCGTTCACATGCAGCACCCAGAAGGCCATGCTTCTACGATGCCGCTTGACCTGAATAGAGTGCTCTCGCTGGTAAACCTCTCGCAACATCATCTTCCTGTCAACACTCTGTAACAGCACTAGCACTGGCGGCGGCACATCTAGACTTAGCGGACCAAAGTAGATTTTCTTTTTTGAAGATGGCGTCACGAATGCATCATATGGCGCATTGGGAAAGAACTGAAGCTTAACCACTTTCTGGCTCTCCTCGGCCACCTGCATCACGCTGTAGATCCTGGTCAACGATATCATGTCATTGAAAGCGGGAACAAAAATGTGCGAAAAGTCATCATATATGTCGAGCACGACCCATCGGTGGTCGGTCTTATGCAGCTCGGGTATTTGCAGTTCTTCCACATCATTATTGTGAACTTTTCTGAACTCGATGTTGCTACGGATTCCAGAGACGCTGTTTTTACTTTGGGTACCTAGTACCAAAGCCTTTTCAGGACCGATAGAAAGACTCGCAGTACCAGAATCTGAAGCCGATGTTGTTTGAGCAACAGGCGCAGGTTTCAAAGAACCGGCAGCAACAGCTGACTTGGTAGTCTTTGCTGATGAAATCGTACTCGGCGTCGTTTCTTCGCTCTGATTCTTTTTCTGACTTTCCCGTGAGCGCTGCCTGATAGGTATCGCGCTCGGTGAAGGAACTTCTGATGCCACACTACTCGGCACCTCAGTAGGTGAGCCTGCGCGGCTGTTGCGCTTCTTTTGGTGTTCTCGAATACGCTGTTTCACAAGCAGCGAGCACAGCACATTGATCTTCTTGGTAAGCAGCGGATGAGTCTGTGGCGTCGGCTTCGTACAGGCATTGCCTTCCATATGTCGCAGGAATCCCTTGACGAGCCAGTAACTCTGCCTGCCCTGCATTACCACAGCAAGTCGGTTGGTGTTTTCGTTTCTCGTGGATTTCATAAGCATCCGAGCCATTAAAGGCAATGCTTGAGGATCGGTTGCAAATTTAGTGTTCACCACTCCAATAGCGCCACACACCGACGGCATCAAGTTGGTCGTGGTGGCTGCCAGGAAGCTGTGAGTCTTCATTTGGACATCCCATATAAATACGAAACTAGATTCAAAAGCGGCCAAAAAGTTTGTCCACTTTATGATGCAAAGAATCTCTTCGTTAGGAGCCGGGATTATCTTGCTTTCTCGCTGCAGCGCCAGATCAATGTCCTGCATCTTTTTGCTTACCAGGGTATTCATGTTTTTAACCACCTCGTTGTAGAAAGAGCTAAAGTTTGTAGAATCCAGATCGGCGGAATCCTGTGCCCCTCCAGAGGCGACCGCAGCCATTCCAGATGCTAGCGCATCGACGGCGGCAGAATTAAGCGAATAACAGGCGGCGATGCGAGGCACTTGAATTTCCAACTTCTTTCCTTCCTCTTGAGGAGAAGGCTCATCCGACTGCAGTTTTATGCGCTTGCCTGTAGTATTCGACTCATTGTTAGTGGTTCCACTTCTTTTCTGAGAGATGTTAACCTCGCTTCCATCGGAATCGTCACGCACTTCAATTACGGTGGGTTTTGCTTTTTTGCTCAGCTCTCGTTTCCGTTGTCGATCGAGCTCCTTGCGGTAGTACGTAATTGCACCCTGAATGCGAGCCTTAAGCAGATCCATTGATTCCGGAGTCTCGTTACGGGCGCAATAGTGACGCACTCGTTCCGCCCGTCGTTTATTGAGGCGTTGGTATTCGTTTTTGGGAACGGAAATGGCTCGCCGGCACATATGGGGACGGGAACGGAAATAACTGAAGATAGCATCTAACTCGATGGACCTTTGGATAGGAGTCTCATCGCTGAAAGCAGAAACGGCTGCTTTGAATTCATCTTTACATTCAATCTTGGGCGGAATAGACGTCTCTACTTCAGTCTTTGGCTTTTGTTCCTCTTCGCTTGCCTTTTGCTCCACCTTCGCTTTGGTCTTCTTTTCCTTTCCTTTTTTCTTTGTTGAAAACTCCTCCGACGGGCGCTCAAAGCTGTAGTGTGCCCTGGTGGCCAGATCTGGATTAAAGTGAGTCACAGGCGTGTTCCACTGCTCCTTCTCAATGACCACCGGTTTGCCATCAGGGGATTCACCGCCACAGAAGCACTTATAAAGCTGGTGGGTCATGCAAAACGTGGCCAAGTTGTCAATGTCTGGTAAACGCCGTAGTCCCACAAAGCAATGCTTCAGCTTGGCAAGATCGGTGTCCTTCACCGAACAAGGTTCGCTTAGAGCAGGAGCAGATATCTTGGCACTGGCAGCGGCAGCCGCAGCTGCAGCAGCCGCCGCAGCAGCGGCAATCTTCTTTTGCTTCTTTGATGTAGGTGATACCACTTCCTTTTCGTCCTCATCAAAAATTGTGTCATCGAAATCCTCGTAGCGCTTCGGAGCTTTCGTGCAGCGTCGCTTTTTGTCGCCCTGCGACTCATTGATAAGCAGAGTCTCGTTATCTGTAAGCACTAAGGTGGAAGTGAAGTCCTTCTCCATCTTGGCCAGCCGTGCAGTGGCCTTACGGCGCAAGTTGAATGCATCCTCGTTGGAAATTCCCCGTCCCTAGGTTTAAAACGGAATACAATATTAGAATATTACCAAATATAATAATTATAATGTGAATATTACATCTACAGCCTCCACACGCATGACACGACCCTGCTCCGCACCCATGCAACGGCAATCCAAGACACACTCTGCCCTGCCGCAGTGATCCCGCACAGGTAACTCTGTACCTGCTAAGCTTGCGCACAGACAGCCCAACTGGCAATAATCCTTAATGCACGGTTTTTTAGCTAGAAAAGAAAATAACCGTAATTTTGTTATCTAACTAAGTAGACTAAGCCAACAAACCATCAGCATTTCTGGCAGCCGCATCAATAATAGTTGCATTTAAACGTCTCAGTTCATTTGCCAGGCGCTTCTGCTTGTTGGGAAGCCGCTTTGCCTTGCTACCAGTTTTATCCGCGTCTTTTACAGATTCCTCCTTCATGGAACTTAGTTCAGAGGACTTGGGCAACAAAGAACTATTTCCTACTGCATCTGGATCTTCGCTTATGAAACTGTTCTCGCTGCAGCTGATGGCCACAGTGTTGATCATGTCGTTGATCATGTCTGCGCAGGCCAGGGTCTCCGCATCTGGCTGAGGGGGAAGCATTTCCCGAAAGGCAAAATCTTGCAACTTATCAGGCTCTTCATTAAAGCTTTTGTCGAGGAGCTCAGATCGGTCTACCACGCGCCGAACGAGAATGTGATTCCGATCGTTCAGATATGGAATAACAAATGTAAAACTCTTTCGGCGGCCTGCTGGTGTTTGGGAAGCCTGCTCCTCTGCATCCTTCATGCATGCGGGTGGCGCCCGCAGCGTCGATACACTAAACTCGGCCCACTCCCGCGTTATGTCATGATGGGGCAAGATGTGCTGAAGATATCGCTTGGCGATTTCGTGTAGTGGTCGTCCCAGTTGAGGTATAACATCTAATTGAACATTTGGCATGCTAACTACGGCCATGCTCCCACCTGCGAGAAGTAGAGCGGCCGTGTCATCGTCCAGCGGCCTCTGCAGCGGTTTCTTTGACAATGGGCAGGGACGAAATATGGCGGGCAGTGGAAACTGGTTGAGGATCTTAGGGTTTCTCGGCGGACACACTTTCGTGGGGATAATCTTTAACTCCCGACAAATGCGAGCATCCAAGCACTGGCTACTACAGTTTAGTTCTTCCTCTTCTTTGGGCGTTAGCCTGCTCAAGTATGGTCTTTTCTCCCTCTTCAAATTATTTCCCCGAGCTCCCGGTAGGCGTACCAACTCCCCATCCACCTGGATAACCTGGAATTACGGAGGATGATTAATAAAACTTCAAATTAAAGGAGCATTGAAACACTAACTTGATAGTAGTAGTTCGAGTTCTCGGTGGCCACATAACTGGCCGCCTGCCATCCCTGACGCGTGAAGGGCATTTGTGAGTCGGGTGCCTGCAGAGTTTGCATGGCCGCGATCTTCACCTTTCTCTGACGTTGCTTACGCTGCAACTCCCTGTATACATTAGCTTCGTTATTGATGATGCCCATCTTGTGGTTCTTGCAACGCTGCAGATACTGCCGCCTTTCAGCCACCGTTCGTAAGCGTTGCAATGCTTCCGGAACAGCCGGCATGTCCATCGGCGGAGCCATACTGTGCGAGGTAACCTGTCCATCGTGTCCCATCGGCTCGAGTAACTTATTCTTGTCGTCCTGCTGCGAATCCGAATCATTAATGTGGTGTTCTCGCATGTAAGCATCCAAGGATTCGCTAACAAAGGCGGCATTTCCCTCAGTGGTTTTGCAGTTTATGGGCACCAGTGGAGTGAGAAGCATGCCCGGCTGGTGAACACTCTCGTCAAAGCCCACGAAGTCTTCGCTGCCATCGTCTTCAGAAACAGAGAATGGAGCAACGCAAACTTCCGACGGCATGTTTTCCTCACGGGCAAAATTCTTAACGCGCACCTTACTAATGAGCATGTCTAAGAACTTGCTGCCACCGGCCTTTTCGCCTTTGTCTGTCTTCTCGGTACTGGAACATGTGCTCGTCGGGCCGCTCTGCTCCTTGCTAGGAGTGGCCGGAGTTGGGGCATCCTCTAAGCCAATTGCTTGAGCGGGTGACTTTGTGGGCGTCCTTTCAGCTGTCTCCTTCAAGGGAGCGATACCAGAGTCGATGTGATCACCGGTCTCTTCATTAGGCGTTTCCTGCCTAATCTCATTCTCCTCTTTACGCTTCTTAACTGGGACTTCCGCAGTGGGATTGGTGTCTTCAATGAGAGAAAGACTTCTTTTGCCGGTCTTAAGTAGTTCGAGTTGCTGCTTCATCTGCTTTGACAGTTCCTCGGCTCCCAAAGGCTCGGCCACATGATACACCTCCGTCTCCTCGTACTCCTCTACCCTTCCCATCTTTTTGTAATAACCCACCAAATTCCCAGACCACTGCCGCACGTTCTGCAGGCGGCGCTTGATCATCCCCTTTAGGCGCGGATCAAAAAGAATGATGCGTACACGTCGCAAGATGTGGACACGGTGGCTACGCCGACGTCGCCAGGCATAATTCCGGATGACGCAACGAGGACTAAGGGCGTTAACTATAAATCTCTTGACATTCCACCAGTTGCGCTGCAGGAAGGCCTTGGAAACGGGGTACTTGCGTTTCAAATGGCGGTATTTTATCAGTTCCTTGCCTTTCAGTACGATTGGAGGCAGATCGTAAGTCATGCTGAAGATAAACCAGAAAAAGTCATTATTACTAGTTGAAAAACTTAAACCACAAGATCCAGGATGATTTCCAGTGTTGACCGCCAAAAATAAAAAGAGAGCGGCGTTGGCAACACTGGCCGGTAAATGCACTGATCCACCAAAAATGTTTCCTAAATTTATAAAACACAAGGAGAGCTTTCTATAGATTTTGATTCAGTTAATACAAATAAATGAATTCACCAAAAATTGTGAGCCACACTGCTCTCAAAAACAGTAGATACACACACGGACAAAGCTGCGCTCTACATTTGTATGTCTGTATAATCAACATAATTTTTCAGGCTGTCGATGGCACCGATATTTGACGTTTGTACACATACGTACATTTATATACAATAAATAGTAATAAATAATTATGTTACGTGTTTACGCACTTTTTTTTTTGCAAACTGACCCAGTATCACAGAAACGGTATATTCACGACTCTTGCTGTTGCTTCAGCGCCCCTTGTCACACCCCCATACAAACAAAAACACGCGATGCGTTGCTATTCGAAGAGCACAATCATAACATTTCAGGACTTAGATTTCCGCGCTAGTGCTGACTACGAGCGATGGTCAAAACTCATTATAGGAGAGATCCACAACCGACACATGTCCAATGGCACTTTTTGAGGCGAAACGAAAATAAAGAATGCACTGCGATCAGATCACAAAATAATCCCGATTTCGAGTCAGCGTCACCGCCATGCGTGCTTGCAAGTGTGTGTGATGCCCCCCTGTTCGCTCTCCATTTCCAGGCATTTCACAGGAACGCATGGTGCGGACCAGCGGCATGTGTGGGAGGGAGAAGGGATTGCCCACGTGCACCTTTCGATAACCGATAAATCAAGTGTATTTATGTAAATATGTACGAACATGACAGGGAGAAAACTTTTGATAAAGGTCCTAGTTTTACAGCACTAAAAAGGAATGAGATCCGAAATCATCAACGATCGAAGACGCCTTGATAATTGAATATGATATTTCTTAAAGAAGTAGCACTTCTTTTAAGTGGCTGTAACTTGCATACTACAAGACTTTAAAAAAGTCAAAAAATAACAGAAGGTATCTTAAAATTAAAAAAAAAAATAGAAAAGTTAGGGTGTATAAGCTAAAATATTTCTGTTTTTTAAGTATCGTCAAAAAAACTGTTCAATCACGACACATTTAGCTTCATTAATATACTGAATTTAGTATCTTTTCCCGAAAATGTATTTCAATTCATTAATTTTCAATAAAATGATTATATTAAGCCGAGATCTGAGATGGCGGAAAACTAATCAATAACCTCAAAACTAGATTCAACATGGCGTCGCAATAGATACATACACAACCGATCGCATGCGTCACATGAGACACCCTCTACACTCCGCAAAAAATTCCATGCCGGCAATGTCCTGCACTGTAATTTTGGCGCTATTATAGACAGCTTACCTGTATCTGTATTGACTACTAACAGTCTGTTGGGTCGTCGACACTAGCAAAACCGTAGCCGCGTCGCAATTGTTTAAATTATTTTTACAATTAACTCACAGCTCCGGTTGACGACGCGTCGAAAAAAGCATAGTCGAATACATACACAAACAGTGAAAAACAAGCATACTGCGATTAATCCAACATGGCGTCCGATAGACTGCGCGCCAAGGGATGACGGAATGGAACGCAGGGCTGCTTATGTTAAATAAAACCTGACGCTGACATTTCCAGACCATTAAAAACGTTTTTTTGAATAGTCCAAATACAAACAAAATAAGACTAGTATGTGTAAAGGATCATCAAGGGGCCTCTTTTCAGCAAGCTAACACTTGGGAACTCCAGCCAGCGGGTGACCCAATTTGTTTCTCGCTCTCTTTTTGCACCCCTGGCACATGTTTGACCGCCCAAGAATCCATCAAAGTTTTAGGTTAAGAGCACGCATGACCTAATCCCATTAAATAAATGTCACGTGATTTTGTTTACTTTTATTTTTGTTTCGAATGGAATTAAAAAATATAATTGAGTGCCTTCAGCAGACTGTACCTGAAATGCGGATAGCATAAGATAGCGCCAAATCAGTAGGGTAGTTCTCAGCAACTGCAATATGAAAGAATGATTCAAATTATACTCTTATTTAAAAATAACATATTTTGTTTCTTTTGAAAATGTTCAGTAGGACCTATTGGAGTAGGATTTGTTGCGGTTAATGTGAAAATCATGCCACATATTTCAGTTATTTGTTTTCATCATTTTCAACAGAAACTTAAAAAAATATCTTTAATAGTTACCTTGGTTAAATAAGAACATGCTTTGCGAACTAAAAAGCAAAAGAAAGGCAATTGTTAAGAAGGGTTTTAATGTTTGTTAAGCAATATGTTTTATTTCTTGTAAGAATTGTCAGTAGGACCTATTGGAGTAGGATTTTGTTGCGGTTAATGTGAAAATCATGCCACATATTTCAGGGTTTTTCTTTTTCATCAGACTTGAAAAATATTTTACAGATGTACTTTTAAAGAAATTGAAAAGTTCATCACAAGAAAAAAACATTTAAATACTTAAATATTTACCTTTTAAATATAAAAAAGAACCCATCATTATTACAATAACAGTGAAACTGAAAAAGATTAAAAACATTTATTTAGAAAGGCAAAATAAAAGATTTTAGATTGTTTTAATTGTGGTGAATTTCAGTAAGACCAATCTCGCATTCAACAGGAGAAGTTTCAATTTCAGATAGGGGCGAAAGTTAATACTCATCACTTTAAAATCGTACTTTTTTTATTTTTTAATAATATTTACCTCTGTAAACAAATCGGATTCCATATAAACCGCATCATTTGATTAACCCAGCTGTAAAATAAAAATAAAACATATTATGTATTATGCAAGTACACATTAGATCATTTTTATTATTGAAAACATTTCAGTAAGACCAATCTCGCATTCAACAGGAGAAGTTTCAATTTCAGATAGGGGCGAAAGTTAAAGCTCATCATAAGAAATGTACAAATATAAAAAAATATGATAAGTTACCTTAATGGAAAGCATTTTATGGTTCCTTTCGGTCGCACTGCAATTATATATAAAATTGTTATTAACTTCCTGTCAAGTTAAAAATAAGCAACATTTGCCTATAGATTTTATATATTTTTCAGTAAGACCAATCTCGCATTCAACAAGAGAAGTTTCAATTTCAGATAGGGGCGAAAGTTACAGCTCATCAAGGTAAATGTCACTGAAAAATTATACCCAAAATCGAGACTCACCTTATGTTCATTTGCTGTGCCAGTTCGCCTTTTGAGTAGTCCTTCGACCTATTGATGTTAAATAATTTAAGTAAATAATTGAGACAATTAAGTGAGCCGAAACTCTTATATTATTCAAATGTGCTCGGCTTGCATTATTTTTTCAGTAAGACCAATCTCGCATTCAACAGGAGAAGTTTCAATTTCAGATAGGGGCGAAAGTTAATGATCATCAGGATAACGCGAGCAAAGGCAACATTTGAGATTTAAAAATTGAACTTTTAACTCACCTGTAATTCGTGAAGCCTATTTTTCTTACTACAGAGCTAAAAAGTACTTAGATATTGAAAACTAAAAAAGGCCTTTACAATAAAAAATACAATTTATTGCATTGCGAATGTCACTTAAATGCATTTGTTATTTGTATGCACTTCTACACATAAAAACACTCCTTAAACTTAACAGCTAGCAAATTGGTAGGTGTCTCTACAAAAAACCGTAGAGTTCTCTATAAAACCTAATCCTATAGAAACATTCGATCATGTTACTATTCCTGAGCTTCATCTCTGTCCCTATCTTTATCCTTCTTCTTCTTCTTTTTCTTCTCCTTTTCTACAGGCTCTGAATCTTCCTCAGCTACTGGTGCCTCTTCTTCGCCCTTATGCTTCTTTTTCTTCTTCTTTTTGTCCTTGGATGGAGTCTCCTCAGAGGCTGCGAGTGCCGACGTTTCCTCAACGCTCGAGGTGCTCAACTTGCGCTGGATTAATAGATTGATTAGTATGCTTCAGTCGGAAAGAAAACGATTTAGAAAACCTACCTTGCTGGGTTCACTGGATCCATTTGAAGGAGCTGACTCCTGAGGAGCTGCTGCTGCCTTCTTGGCACTGTAGTCCACAAAACCGGTGAGCCACTCTTTAGGTGTGTTCTCATTGGGACGACCGAATTTATCCAGCTTGCCAGCGGCTATGAGGGCCTTCTTAGCCGACGCCTTGGGACCCAATCCCCACTTGCGCGGATATGTATCACGCTCCATAATCACACGCTTTATCTTAGCAACCACACCATGGTCGCAGGACGACATAGTAGCTGTGGTCATAAGAGCAATGGCCAGGCAAATGGCTTCACCCTTGGTAGTGCAAATGACAATCTCCTGGTCTATCTCAATACCATCCTCGTATCGCAGGACACCGGGCAACATGATTTTGGCACCATAACAAACAGCATTTACCTGTAAATAACGACGCGATTAGTTGCAAATAACACGTGATTAAAAAGAAGATATGTCGACCGAATATTCTTTGTCAAGCGCGCAGGATATAAGCACTGCCCGACATACACACATCAGTATCTTTACTGTTCCCAATCATAGTCACAGGTGCACGTGGGAATTGCACGCATCTGCCGGCTTAATATCATGGGGTAGGTTTTTATATACTGAGCATCCAAACTTACCGAGCTGTCTTTCATGATGATGCGCTTGTGGTTGACCAGCAGACCTTCCAGCGGCTTGATAACACGTCGCAGCATAGACTCGTCCTTATGGTTCTCGTACAGCCACATGGCGTCCAAAACGTCATGCATAGTCACCATGCCGTCACGCTCCGACTGAATGCCCGAGCGGACACGACGCAGCTCCAGCATCTGGCCACCAACGCCCAAAACAAGACCCAGATGTACACACATCGTACGGATGTAGGAGCCGGCCTCGCAACTAACCCAAAAAACACCTAAGCACGTGAGTAGGCGGTATTGGAGGAGAGAAAAAGACGATGTTTTAACATGTATAATGTGCATTTGCGTGGTCTGGCAAATACTGGAGTTTCAGTTGGTTAAGCGGGCTGCATCCCTACAGGACAAAAAATCCAGCATCGACGCCCCCGCTCGGGACGATAATGGCTTAATAAAACAGGGACTCACCCATATTCCGGCTCTCATCGTAGTCCAACAGCTTACTGTCGTAAACAGTACGGACTCGCAGTTGTCGCTTCACAGCGGAGATGAGAGGAGGTCGCTGGAACAGTGCGCCCCGCAGCTTCTCCAGACCCTGACGCACTTTGGCAACAGACTCTACGGCTCCATGCAGCTTGAAGATGGCTACGTACTCCTTACCAGCGCTTTGTTGTGATTTGACCAGTCGGGTGGCCCTGTCAATGCACACAATCAGGCAACCTGTTCAAAACACGCGACCACATATTGAGGTTAGGTTTACTGGGCGGAGGAAAACACGCGCTTTCACTTACCCGTGACTTTGGGATCCAGCGTGCCAGAGTGGCCTGTCTTTTCCACCTTTAGAATCTTCTTGATCCAGGCCACCACCTCATGGGAGCTGGGGTTTGACGGCTTGTCAAGATTGATAAAGCCCGTCTTCATGTATTCCTTGATGTCGCGGTTCAGGGGAGAAGATCCATGGGCCAATGGAGTGTAGTGGTTGGATCGAATGTTTAGCTTGTCAAAGTTCTTGAGCAGCAGCGGCCATTGTGAGGTATCGAGCTCTGCGATCTTTGAGGAGGGCTTGATCTGGAAGTTGCCCTGCTTCTGCAGGGTTCCAATATCATCCCCGTCCAGGGGCTCCTCCTTGATCTTCTTCTTTTTCTTTTCCTTGCGGACTTCTGTAGGTAGACATTTTATTTTGTTGGCGTCGCGTTTTTATTCATCACTTTTTTGACTTACCAACGTCTGCCATTTTATCTGCTTTTGTCTGAGAGAACTACTAATAGACGGAGGAACCTCCGCACGTGTTGCGCGCAACGACAAAATGAACGAGAAAACACGTGGAGCGCGCAGTCTATCGATAAATTTTTCCATTACAATATTTTTTAGGCAGCACTGCATTTCACGCAGATATCGATATTTAGTGTAGATCCATCGTCGTAAAATCAAGTATCGTTATAATTAAGGAAAGATATATATTTCTTAACATATGTTTATTGGTTATAATGTAAAACATAAAAGTGAAGTTTTTTATAGGTAAGTAGGAGTCTAAACAATATGGACAGCCCTAGTAAGTTGATATTAACCAAATACTGCTGATGCAATCGATAGTTAACAGCTGATTGAATTGTGCACGGCTCAAAGCGTTGTCCACACTGGCCGGTTTTTCCTGCAAAGTTTGTTTATTTTTATAGATTTTTGAATTACATTTAAGTTCTGCAGAATCATGTCTAGGCGTGGGCTTTTGCTGATGGGCCAGTGCATGCCCTGCATAAAGCAAAATGCCTCCAAGATCCGCATTCGTCGGATGGAACTGGACAAGAATCTTAATATGGTCAGCAACGCGTATAAAATTTCAGAAGACTAGAATTTATTTTACATTTTTTTCCGCAGTACTTCAAGAAGGACGAGTTCTACTTTGCGCACGACCCGCAGAAGGTATGCAAAACCGGGGATGTGGTCCTGATAAGGGAACTTCCCGAGCGACTTACCCGCCTCATCACGCACAACGTGGAAAAGGTCGTCTACCCGCTGGGTGACATAACTGATCCGATAACTGGAAAGAAGGTGGTCGTGGGCAAGTACCGGGAGGACATCGAGATGGCGAACCAGCTGTTTGGAAAGTCGAAAAAGGCTTTCGATTACGAGAAGGCTCCGCCGCGAGGTCGCCTAGAGGGAACGAAGGACTTCACCCATGGAGAAACCTACATAAAGTACCACGAGGATGGCAAGGACCAGCCATTTGCTGTTTAGGGGTTATCCAGTTGTTTATCTGTTAAGTTTCCTATCTCTTTTATAGTAAAGTGCACTAACTTGTCGTAGATATAATTTTTTTGTGTTTATGATTACGCAAGGTAAAAAAAAATAATTCCAAGACAATGATTTTAGTACTGAGGAAAGCAAAAGGGGACTTCATTATGCCGCGGTGGTCATTTATGATGCAGTGGTCTTTAGATTGACATGTTAACTTATATTTGCTTAATTAAAGGGGTTTTTTATTTATTATATAATATCCATTATGCCAGACACTATCGTCCACATTTTCCCATTTAATATAAATTAAGATACATTTTTAAAAGATTTTTCTACATATTTTATTTAAATGGTCGATAATTGATTTGCATTTATTAATGATTTGTTTTCTTTACGTATAAATGTAGTCATTTTCAACTTCCTCGCTGATCAACAGGTTTTGTTTATCGCATTTTCCTAATTTAATCGAGTTTTCCGTGCTGGGTGCCAGGACATTTCCGCAATATTCCTACATGCAGTACACACACATAGCAATGCGTATATTTTTGGAGTTCAGATTCAATCCGTGCCATAAATTAAGCTGTAAACTAATCACAATCTCTTACGATTCTAAAGTTGTACTGGAGTATGGGGTTCGCCAGGTGAGCGTTGTCGTCGCAAAGTTTTTGCTGCAATTAAACGAGTTGAGGAATAATTGGATTCGTTTAATTAACTAAAAAAATCGCACCTGTTCCAAGTCTTGGCTGGCGCGGAGCATGAAGTCCCGCAAAAAGTAGCCACGGGCGGGAAGATCCAGGGCTAGACTCAGTTTATTTTTCCCTTCCTGCTTGAGAATTTTCACTCCGCTGGCAGCCGTGGCCTCGTCATCCTCATTTAGCTGGGTGTTGGCACTGGGCTTGGCCTGATCATCATCTATGCAGATAGACCACTGTAGTGGCTTATTGGAGCTGTTGATGGGATAATAATGAACGTTATTTTGTATATTCTAGAAATAATCAACACACCTCAAGTGGAGCTCCAGGCTACTGGCCTGCAGATAACGCGATACTGGGACTATATAGCTGACATTAAGGGAGCTGCCAGAAGTGGGACAGAACTGCTCCACATCGATAGTGTTATTGTACTGGGCGGCCAGCACACAACTGGAAACGCTCCAGCAGTCTAGCTGGAATGGTGGCAACACAGTCTCATCCGTCTTTGGCCCCTGGTCCTGCGCAGAGGCAGCCTGGACCAAGCGATAGACTGGGTCGTCCTTGGCTGCGTTTACAGACTCCGTCTCCTGGGAGAACTTCTTGGCCATGGCGTCTGTACTATGCGAGCTCTTGCCCAGGTATCCTGACTGAGTCTCAAGAGCAGCCGAGGTTTCGTTAACAGCAGGCGCGGAAGGCTGAGTGTCTATAATGTCTGGATCCTGATCCTGCTCCTCTGCCGACTGCAGATCGTCCTCCACGTGCTGATCCTTGACATTGGCATCCACATTATCCGGCTGCTGCTGAGTTGGCGGCAGCTCCTCGAAGCAAACGGACTAGGGATGACATAACATTGATTACCGATTTGGATGGGAATTATTCCAGCTAATTGTTACCTGACAGTTATCGCTAACCGACTCGTCCCCATTGCACTCCGCTGGCTGTCCAAAGACCGCCGTCTTGATGTTCTTCTGTCTGATCCAATCTAAACTGCGTTGATTGGCTGACCGTCTACCGACATTGGACTCTCTCAATCCCGATGCCGAGTACTCAAATCCGTACACTCCCGTGATGGGGTTGTCAACGGATTCGTTGGTGTTGCTCAAGTTCTGCAGGTCCAGGGCATCTGGGTTATCGCTGCTATTTCTCAAAGGAAGAGCCGGCGGCGGAACATCTAGAGCCTGGGTAAGAGGACTCTGTGCAGACTCTGTGCTCACCTTGTTGGTAGTCAGCGCCAGATTGGCCGTTGGTGGTGATACCGTCTTGTAGACATGGGTATAAACAGTTCCAGAGTTAAATTTGCGAATTGGATGGGCAGCAGCACCTGAAGAATTGGAATCGTAGGCATCGGATGCTGGACTGGCGATGGTGCCCACTACCACGATGTGCTCGTCCAGCTTTATCTGCGACTGCTTCTGCTGGGCATCGATATCAATGGAGTTGTTCTCAAAGTCCTGAGGCAAGGGGATGGATTGAGGTGGTTTCTCCGTGGAGGCCACCGTATCGTTAATAACAGCGGGAAGAAGGGCCTTTATTGGAGCAGCAGGAACTACATGAACCGGCGATGGAAGGTGTAACTTTTGACCCGCAGCCTGACGCAGCACCTCCTGGGTAGGCGGCCACTTGCCTTTCTTGCTGTTAATAGTTTTGTTGCTAAAACGTGGCGCCGTCGTCGTGATGATTCCGTGCTTGAGACTCTGCTGCTGCTGCTGGCTAATGACCACCTGTGGCTTGGTCAACACCGCTGCCAGGTCCTCCGCCTCCTCTTCAGCTGGTCGGGATCCAGGCGGACGGGCGGTGCTGGTGGCATACATCCGACTGGGCCATGGACCGTGTGTCTTGTTCTTAAACAATGTATGCAGGTTGTGGAAGTAGTGCCTCTCTTCGTCGCTAAGGTGGGTTGACCCCGTCTCCGGACGGAAGAGACCGTTGCCAAAAGCCTGGTAGCCGTCCATCTGCTGCTGCTTGTTGTGCTCCACAAAGTACAATGTGGACACCGCGGCCAGGCTAATTGTGATTAATTATCAGGAAATTAAACCAATTATTAATCCAAAAGCGGATTTGAATTAGGCTTTGCTTTTTTTTTAGATTCCACTTACCAGGCTGCCATTACGATGATTAGTAGAAAAATTACGATCTGCAAGGAGCGGCTGGAGCAGACCTCATACCCGTCTCGTCGGCTGCTAAAGGTTTTGATGGCTCCTCTCTCTGGCAGGATGCATCGTGGCTCTAGAAGATCCTTGGCACGCAGTTGCTGACTGTTTTGTCCAACGTTGGCACGTTCAAGATGCTCGATGCGTGATTCTAGCGAACAGGTCACCTTGCACAACTCCTTGACAGCTCCGATGTTCTCCATCAAGATCCGGTCCTTTAAAGGGATAAAATATTGTTGAATTATTCATTGGTTAGATTAAATCCAATGACATGCGCACCTTGTTAACCAGCAGGAAGTTCTCTATGACGTTTCCATTGGGCAGCACCACACTGCCAGCCTCTTGAACTGCATCCGGAATGACTTCGCGCACCTCCTGCGCAATCACGCCGGTGTCCTCGATCTCCCGGATATCGCTCTCCCGCCGGAGACCTGAATGAACAGCAAACTCTGGCATGTAGCGGTAGCGCACTATCCGAATTTTCTGGAGGTTGCGTAGCTGGACAGATGTGTCCAGCTCGCCGATCTCCTGCTTAGCACGACTGTCGCTTGGCTGGACGATGTGGCCAGACACCTTTAGGTTGCCATGGACCACCAGACTCTCATCCGGCCGGTCCGTATTGATGCCCACGCGACCTGTATGAAACACCGACTCAGGAGTAAGGCCCCGTTGCCAGCACAGGTCAACATCGGACTCAAATTGACCCGGATTCGAAGCGCGCACGATGATCTTCTCGCTGCCATGACTCACCACCGGAAAGTTCCCGGAAATGGTGTGCACATGTAGTCCCACAACCAGCTGGAAAAAACGCTGCTCCGGATTGGGACGACCCTTCTTGCGCATGTTGTTGTTCGTCGTCTCCGAGAAGTGCAGGCGACCCACGGTGATCTTGCTGACGATGTGCTTCTGGAGATCGATGCTGTAAAAGAGAAGATAACTTAAATTTTATATCGAGAATATGGAATAATTGCCAAGATATTTTTTATATATCTACACACATGTCCTTAGTTATGAAATAAAAATAAACATTTTAACTATCCGATTGATTTTAAAACGTTGTATTAATATTATTTGTAGATTAAAAACCTAATATGAAATAAATTTGACGATGTGCTCTTAACTATAAAAAGTAACGGTAAAGAGAATACCGTATATGTTTCTAGATTCTTAATTTGTGAACTTGAACTCACCTCACCTCGCGGAACTAGTGAGAACAATGATCTAGTTCATGGGTTATGTGAGAGCAGTGAGCGGTCAAGGGGAATCACACGAAGTTAAGTTAACAGAATAACCGCGTTCATTACAAATGCTCTATTTTATTATTTTATACTTTATTAACATAAATTTAGATATTTAACTAAGTTAATAAAATGACAAATAATGAAAATATAAGAATTTAAATATTAAATTAAAAGGAACGCGGAGGTTTGTTATTAGAAAAGGTCGCAAATGACATTTCTGAGGGCAAATTTATCTAAAGCTTACATTTACTCAATATTAGCCATATGTTAAAAAGGGATATAGATTACATACATATTTAGTTTGCAACGAAATCTACTCACGGTACGGGATGGAAGGCTTTCTTGGAACGATCCGACTGACTCTGCTCTACGCGTATCGTCTGGTTTGGCGCCTCGAACTTAACGCCGTAGAAATGCAAGTGGAAGGATTTGATTTTCTCGAAGCCGGACGGTGTCTTCACGAATTTGGCATCGCCTTGAAGGCGCGCATGGCAAGTAACCTGAAAGTGGTTCTTCTTCTGGCACACGTACGCGTCGTCCGAGACGCTGAAGTTGAAGCCCTTGTCCGCATCCACGCGGTAGTAGATCACAGACAGCTCCTGCAGGCTTTGGTCGAACAGCTTGTGCCAGTTCTCTGGCTGAAATCCGTTGAACCGGATGCACTGGCCCCCCGCAGGATCACCAGCCTCGCTGCCAGATCCCGAACCTGAGCCGGCGCCCGTGGCTACACCGCCAGGCTGACCGTCCAAGCTGTTATCCGCCTGGGAATTTACGGCTGACAGGGCTGGTGACACGGAGGCGGAGCAGTGGGAGGGTGCCGGGGTGGGCGTGGCCAGCGAGTGGTGGGAGGCGCGTAGGGGACTCATTTGCAGGCCCGCATCCACTTTTGAAGAATTCGGAAACTCCGGACAATCCAGCTGCGTGGACATCTTGCGCTTGCGCGACAACGAATGCACGGGAGTCGAAGGAGCGGATACACGGTTCAGGGACAACTGGCTCGTTCCGATGACATGCACTCTATCTCCCAGTCCCAAGGCGGAGGTCAACGTGCAGGTGGACAGGTTCTGATAGCTGCCGGACGCATACATCCCCGCACCGGCTCCATTGTCATAATAGAGCATCGGGTCCTGGAGGATCCCATCCTGGTGCTGCTGATGGGAGGCAAACTGTTGTTCGTTTAACTGATGATGTTGCATCTGCTGTTGTTGCTGCTGACACAGCAAGTTGCCCGGATTTATGATGAGTCCAGATTCGTGTTTTATCCGTACGTCGGCCTGCGGAGCCGTAAAGTGATGTTGCTGTTGCGGAGGGGAGGCATATTGGCTCACATCCGTTTGGAGCATGTTGTTTTGGTGCTGCATGGGTGGCATGGGCGGAAGACCTGGATAGATGAGGTCTCGCCCTGGCATCGCCATGCCATGAGCCTCGCCCAGCGGACTATAGGCGGGCTGCGAGTCCGGCGGACTCTCCGGCAGTTGTGTATGCACGTGGTTGTGTACCTGCGTCGCCACGGGGGTACTGCCTACGCGCCCAGAGCTGTCCAATCCGTTCATGGGAGGTGTGTGCGGTGAGTCCATATGGGAGTGGACTCCTCCTCCTCCGACGGACAGATGGCCATTGTGGCCTAATTGTATGTTGTCGTCGAAGGCTCCCTGCACCAAGAGGTCCAGATTTTCCATGCCATCGCTATTTATGTCATCCAGATCTTGGGGAGCTGTAAGTACATTAAGGTAATAAATTTTATTATTTAAACGATCAGAAGCCTGAACGATCACATTTACAAAGCTTATATTTGTTTGTTTTTATAAAATTACTTTGAATAGTGGGGGAAAGACGTTAAGGCCTAAAAAAATCTCAAGTAGCTCAGTTTGTTCCACGGAAATATACAAATTTAATATCCAACTACTGCAGTACGTAATTAAAAATTAAAGTAAACATTGACATCCAATATTGAAATGTAGGCAAACAGTTTTATTTTATCTTTCGAAGTGGAGCAAAGTCCGGGATTCGCGAGCAACTCAGACTGCAAATCAAAATAACAGAAAAACATTTCAATTATTGAGAAATTAAGTATCGCACGTTTCTGTGGGGGCGTTTACCATACGCGGAGATAATTATAGTTGAATAAAACAATATTCGGGGCACGGGCATTGGCAACAGGGAGCAGCCCGCTGATAAGCCCTGAAATTCCTGCTCTGTTTGATCGATAGTTGGCCAAATAAATGGTTGACGTGCCAAATGTAAATTGTTGTGTAATTTATGCAGGCGGTTGGGGAGGATTATGTTGGCATTTACCACTCAGAGTCTTGGGATAGTCCATAGTTAATTTGATGATTGTCCCCGGGATTTAAGTTGTAACGTCTGCAGGACTCGCAAACTTGTTCAACGCGAACTGGCGCGAATTGGCGGATTGGCAACTGGGCCCAATCGAATCCGAATCGCACTGATGGCCAAGTTAGCTGGCTGCCAGCATCCATGGAAACAAGATGGAGTTTCGATTTGAGCAACCCCCCGATTTAGAGGCATTTCGAGGCATTCTGCTGCTGTCGTTCCGTTGCATCTGAGAAAACAATTATCTAACGCACGTATGAGCGAGCATACGGTTGATGCACTCTTCACAACTCGCTGAGCAGTGAAAATGCCTCGAAAACAAGCAAAAACTAATAATCAAACTACAAAAACTCAACTACAAACTACAAACTGAAACCCAACTAAAACCCACTGGCTGCCCGTCAGATCGGCATGGTAACCAGCCGAGAGCGCCGATGAAAACGAAACCTAATTGCTTGGAATAAAAATAAGAGCCCTCAAATCAGCGGAACCCCAGCAGCAGATCATCGTTTTTCAGGGCTTTGAATAGCAGTTACTGTTTATGCAATTGTTCTCTGCTAAATATGTTTACAAATGCCTTCGTAGCTCTCCGCATCCCCTTCTTCTTTCACTGAAAACTGTTTCCACAATCTCGAAAGTTGGTAAGTTGGCTAGAAATTGGCAAATCTTTCTTATTTGCTTAGTCACTGGATCTCGCGGCACGTCGGACATGGACAGGAAATACTCGAGCACTGACTGCGGCCAGCGGAATAATAACCGGAGTGCAAATATTTGGGCTTCCGTCCCCCGGGTCGGGTTATTGATCAAACAACCTGCTCCTTTCGTGCGCCGCCCAAGTGGCATGCAAATCCCAGCCAGTCGGAGCGAAATTGTATGGAAATGTATTAAACGGTTCCAGCAATCATATATATCCTGAATGTCTCATTCTCGGCCGGCCCGTGTCTGTGTGGGTGTATGGGATGCAGAACCTTAACTTGTCTACAGAGAGGCAGTTTTGGATACTCTTGCTGGAGCTGTGTTACAAAAACTGTCTAATTTAATTCTGAATTTGTTTATAAAATAAGAACTAGTACACCCTCATATGTCAAGCAGTATTAAAAAGTTCTTGTAATGAAAAAAAAAACATTTTTTGCTTTTGTTGATCTAGAAGAAATGCAGAGAATATTTCATAAACACCCATACTGTGCCGTTTCTTGGCAAGGGTATCTTTAAGCTATGGATGCCCCTTCCCCAGTTATATCTATTTTCGGTAGCCACTTTGGTTGTCAATGACGAGGAGAGCCGGGCCAGCCTTCAGCGGGGCCACAGCAAGGACCCATTTGAATTTGAATTGGTTATCCTTGCCGAAAGTATGCACATAAACACTTGTGGTAATTGAATGGATTTGCCAGTCGATTTGGCCTGTTTTGTACTTACAGAGTTCGAAGAAATCAAGGTCCATATTCAAGTCACTTCAGAAGCATCCTGTCTACGCGGCTACAGCATGACTGGAGATCGTTCTATAAAGAATTAGAGAGATGGGCTCATGAGTTGCCGGCCTTGCCTCATCAAATTTCAAGAGCCATCTAAGCAAACTTTGATGGAAATGTTGAAATTGGAATAAATAAATGATTAACCTTATCAGGCTTCCATTAAGTAGAACAAACACAGCTTTAGTCTTACATTTCATTGCTCAGAAAAAAATAAAAAACAGATTTTACTTCATGTTGCTTATGATTCTGGATAAAAGAAAGTTTATTATTTAAGAGGGTTTTTTTCTTTTATCCGGCGATAAGTATTCTAAATATAGTCGAGAATTTTGTGAAAAATTCCCCTATCAAATCATTTTTTATTTCTACCGGAAGCCGATACAAATTTAAAACCTAGACTTAAAAAAAAACACATTTGAGAATGGCGTTTAACGGTCCGAACTACATTGAAGGGTATTATATAGATCTGAAGTTGATATATATTAAACAATTTATAAAAATGCCAAATTTTTGATAAAATTTGGGACTTTTTTTAATATTCAGATTAAATATCACTTCATGCTTAACAATTAAATTTCTTTTTTAAAATGGCCGATTTTAACTTGAATGCTAGGAACTATTAGTCAATATTGGGCAGCAAGAATTGTCTTTAAAGAAATTAAATAATCATTATTGTATTTTTTTTTTAAGAAAAAACTAAGATATCTGTAGGAAAATGTGATGCGCCATTTATCGTTTTCATCGACTAAATCCTTTGAGATTTAAAGCTTATAAAGAGTCAAAAAGCTTTAAGAAAAGTGATTTTGTGATTAAGTAATGTTGGAACACACAGTTTCACATAAATATATGTACTTAGTCCGAAACTAAAAAGCGTTTTATATTTCCACATATCTTCAAAAACAAAATATAGAAAATTTCGAGAGAAAACAAAAATATCTAAGGAAATACCCTCCCATCCTCCTTTCAAGCTCGAAAAGCATATGGAAAAAGTCCGCGTGAAAATATGATAGCTTTGATGCTGAATATTGGAAGATGTATATATTTTCACATTCAGACTTAATATCTGTGATGTCTGGCAACGAAACAACGCAAAAAGAAACCAGTGCTTGATAAGTAATTCGCGATTTGAACGGAACTTTGCGACGTCTGAGAAGAAGCTTTATCCGCTTTACAGCGTCGGCCACCAAACGACACGATTTCATTTTCGTCCGATGTGCAGCATCAACTAATTTGCATCACAGTCAACACGTGACTCTCGACATAGAGTAAATGAAAATAACACACATAAAAGTTATTTAGCAATGCAAATTGATTGGAGGGCCAGTGGCTGGAATGGAATTTCGGCGCAGTTAAGCCAAAATGTATGCTATGAAAGGTGTTTTGGCACACGAGGCGTATGCGCAATATCGAGGGACCTGCGTAACTTGCTTTACAACCGACGCTTTTGAGTGGTTTATCGGTGTTGCAATATTCTTTAGCCAACCTTGGTTCGATCTTAACTCTTCCCCCATCCGCTGCCACCAGTCGCCGATCACTGGAAGTAGTTTCTGAAGCGAGACTTTGCCTCCGCTTTGTCATGGCTGCTTGTCGCAATGATTTTGATTGAATTAACGCCTTGGCTTTCATATATGTAAGTGTATAGACTTCTCCTGGGGCTGTTTGCCCGTCGGATAAAGAACGCTTCCTCCTATAATAATATAATGAACTGCTCAAGTGATTTGATTTAGTCGGCGGCAGGGCAACTAAAAATAAACACAACCAAAAACCAGACTGACGATCGTGACTCGAGTTTCACTTGAAAATGGCAAAAAACGTGAAAAAAAAAACCTGTAGTTGTCCGGCTATTGATTTGTTGTTCGTCGTTTCTATTACTGAGTCGGAAGTTGATATCTTGTGTTTTGGGCTTTGCAGGGCGCTTGACTTCTTCTATTCAGTCTCATCCTTGAGGCTTTTGGGGCTTTGGCATTCACAAAATTGGCTGGCTCATCGCCATCATCATGCCGGGGCATTTAGCGTTTTATTAGCATTTCAATAAATCCAGCCAGACCATACTGTACGACATCTCGCGCTCTCAAATGGCGTGCGGCGGTTCGAAAAACACGATTGCACGTAAACGTAGGCAACGATGGAAATTGAGCCATAAATATGAATAAATTGTATTTTGTTTTTGTGCTAATTGCCGCTGGCATGGGATTCACTCGGCCAACAAGTCAATTATGGCCAGTACCCCACTCTTTGGCCAAAATCCGAGGGCCAGCCTGAAACCCATGACTTTAATTTGGCCAGGGGGCCCAGCCCAAAGCCCAGTTGGCTTGAATTAGCCGGAGATTATCAAGATGTTTGGCAAAGGCGTCAGTGATCAGTAATCAAGAGAATTAGCACCGCTTGCCTAACTATATGGCCAAATATGGGAGCAGTGATCGGGCCCGAAAGCATATTTCGACAGATCTTGGAGGGTTTGCGATCCCTAGACGGAAGTGCGTCATATAAAACATGACTCAAGGAGTGATAACGCATATGTCGAATTCATAAATGTACCCGGCTGCTCTTAGGATTTCATTTGAATTGCAAATTTAGCGGATGCGAGAAAAGAAAGTCGTTGCTCGGCCAGGAATGGAATATTCCATTTGTTATTGATCGCATATTTAGCATCTTTTTCGGACTCGGATTCCAGTTAAACGGATCCAACTGATACCGATCCCACCCCTCCCCCGCCCATTAGCGCCAAAATAAACTATGCTAAACAGCTTTCTGAGCTTCTTCTTAGCCATCTAGATTGTTATTTATAAGTATCGCGGCGCGTTTTGCTAAACTTTTTTCAGATTTTTTCTCGGCTTTTACATATTATTGCCGCTACTTTTGGATTGAGGGGGCTTTTTGAGGGGGGTGTTTTTCTCTGCTGTTTTTTCTGTTTTCTGATTTCTGTTACTGTTGCTGTTGCTGGTGTTTTTGCTTTTGCTGGTGCTCGAAAACCAAACCAACCGGTTGACTTTTATGTCTTAGCCCGATGCTGTTGTGAGCGTCTTTTTGGGCTATGGGACACGTTTTTGCTGCTTGCCTTTATTTTGCTTGATCTTTTTGTGAGTTTTTGCGCTTGGCACAGGTTGAGACGAAGATCCGAGTGGTCCAAACCCGAGAGCATAGAGATCGAAGTAATGAAATGAAGACGTGCACTCGGCGACGGCAAAAACAAAGCCGCAGCTCAAACTCAGGGCAAAGCAAATAAATAATGCAGAAACAGAATACAGAAAAAACCCCGTTTTTGCCGCATTCTTATTGTTGTTTGAGCTACGCTATTTGATTTTCCCACTTTTTCAGTGGGAGGCTGGGCCTATTGTCTATCCACAGGTTCTTTACAGATTTGACAAGATTCGGGGTTACGTATACGCCGCACTGGCTGCCACAACACTTTGTTTCACCGCAGTGAAATCGCCAAATCACTCGTTTCTCACATGTTTCAATGGCTTTTTTGTACAGAATTTGCTCAATTTGCAGTTGTTCACTTCTCTATTTTGGCCATTAACTATTGGCCCAAACATTTGATCACTGCGCGTGTTGGAGGCGGGGGCTGGGAGGTCATTAGTATTCCCCGGTTTTTCGTTAATAAAGATCTTGGTTTAACTAAAGTCGCATCTAAATTAGTCGCACTCACACTCACACATCGACACTTACACTCGCATGAATCGCCGTTACTTTGATTGTTTACGAATTTATTGCTTTATTGTCGCTTTATATTTGGATTTTACGCTCCGTATACTCGATGTTAAGATCGCGCCTTACTAAAACCCAGCCTTTCGGTTTCTCTCGATTCTCCCCGATTAACCACGATTTTCAAACGGCGGAGCAACTATATCCAAGTCGCTTGGGCTGCAGGTCTCGACTGACCGATCCGATTGCTCGCTCCGAAGTTCGCTCGGTTCCCGTTCCACTCGGAATCGGTCTCTCGCTCTGAATCGATCAAGCGCGGCTTTGGCAGTGGGGTTGCCACTGCGCCTGCATATCGGTGCAGCAACGGTATCTTAACTGGATTAATCGAAAATTTGAAATTTAAGTCGAAGGTTTTAAAGTGCAATAAGTATTTAATTCCAATTTGTTGAATAAGGCAGAGTATTACATTACATATATTAAGTACAATATATTAACTACATAGGTCACGGAGATTATTAAAAATAATTATATTAAGCCAAAATTAGTTAAGTTAATACTGGTTTACTATTACATATATTTTTAAAGTTTACAATACAATATGAGCCTTATGAGTTCAATAATGAAGTTAGTCTGTAATATTTTTGAAGAGTGTGTTAGAGTACTAAAATTGTTAGAATAACCAGAATTGGTATTGAATTTCTACTGTCTACTCTATTCAACCAGACAAAATTAAAACCGTAAAATCTTATCATTGTTAGTAGCGAGACCACTTAATGTTTTGACATTAAGTAAATTAAATTCAAATTTGGCGTATCCAACCCCTTGGTCTTAGAGTTCGGAGGAATCCACTATGATCTCTAGCTGTCCGGTTGCCTAGTAGAACGGCAACTCTGGACAAATAGCGCTGGCGGACTCTCTCCCAGCGAGAAATTGATAAATCGCAACCAGCGTTTGTTAAGAAAAAATGTAAATTAAATTATAACTAGTAGCGGCAACAATGGGCTTAAGTAAAACTCGGCCCCTGTGCTTAGTACACCAGCTCTCACGCAATTAGCGTACCGCCTGGTCCCTCAGTCCGCAGTTCTCGTCGGGATCGGACTGCTGCTCGAGTCTTTCCCCTCCGTACTTGGGTTCCCCCTCGACATATCCAACGGGTGTCGCTGTAATGATATGTGCGCGGATCGGATCCCCCGACTGATCAACGCTTTCAACTTAACGTCGCTTAATGGAGTTGTTGTTCTTGCTGGAAGGCCCATTTTAGGTTGCTTCGCAGATTGAATTAATCTTCTGATTTATGTAAATTACACTAATTCGTATTACTCAATTGGTTATCCAATATTCTTGGTCTGTTAGGGCAAGAACGGTTTTGTTTGCTCAAATGGTCTTCTGCATATTGAATTTTGGGTAAAACCTCAGCTAAACCATGAGTCACATAATTCAGAAATTCCCAACTAGCGTAAATAATATTCATCTAAGCCAAAGAACCGCGCCTAGCGTATCTAATAACCAATGAAATAAATAAATTCCGCACTCTGTTTAATATATCGGGGATCATCTAAACATCCTCTTTATATTTGTAGTGTTGGTTTTTGAGCTAACAATTTGAAGCAACATAAGTACATAAGACTTGAATCATTAAGGTTTTAGGCCACGTCGTATACCTTTGAGAGCTTATCCATAACCGTCTGGTTCTTGATGGGCCAGTTCTTGATGGCATTGAAAATAGACGTCACCACTGAAAAAGGCAGATAAATACATTAATCCGGGAACTAAAAATGACGTTGAATTTTACCTTTCTTCTCTTCCGCTGACATGAGCATGGCCAAAATGGTAAACTCATCATTTTTGCTGACCTCAAGGAGGACATCCGCTGTGGTTGGCTCCTTGTTTGGTACATAGTAGTCTTGAACAGTGCGAAGCAGATCCGCAAACGTATCAGAATCGAAACCAGCTCCCAGAATCTTACATAGATTCTGAATTTCAATTGACTTCAAATACTGGTATTTTTGAGGAGCACTTAGCTCCTTCCAGGTGACATGAAACTGGGCTGTGCCCGTAGGCGCAGGCGGCAAAGACCGCTAGAAGAAGGGCACAATTAGGAATCATTTTGATTTTTATTTTAATTTTGTTTACCTTTTGCTCTAGTGTATTGGCTGACATTTCGTTGTTCGTTGAATTTGGTACAGTCATTTCAGTTTGACTGGCTTTGAGGTTTGTCGCTTGGACTTCTGTGCTATGTTTCTCAGTTGTCTTTGGTGGAGAGATGGGTCTCTGAACTTTGGAGACCTCGACTGCCGGTTTTTTGGGTGAACTTGGTTCTGTTTCCTTATCCACATCAGGAACAGTTTCTGATTCCTTTTTTGTTTCTTTGGAGGTTTCCATAACTGGTGCTGCTTTGGGTAGACTTTGCTTGGCTTCTTTCTTAGCGTCTTTTGAGCTCTCAACAATTGTCTCAACTTTGGCTGGACTAATTGATGTATCTAGTGGTTTCTGCTTTACATTCGTCTTTTTTACCTCCTCGAATGAGCCGCAGCTACTATTAAAGATTTTGTCTATATCCTCATCCGAAATACGCAGATTGTTGGTGTCATCGCTGGTGCCGCGAGGGGTTACCACATCCACAATGGGTACACGACGCATGGCCTTCTTGGAGCGCTTATATACAGGCTTATCGAAAGGCAAGACGTCGACCAGACCAGGGCGTTCGGGCGTGAAGTTTGGTCCACTTTTCGTAGCTATCAATGAGGGATATCAATGAATTTAAATTTATTTTATTTAACTAAAATTATTATTTTTCTGATAAATAAAAATAATTGAATTTTTCGGTTAATCCTTGCCTATGGATTCTTTAATATTTAAATTTTGAATGAGCTTTCTTACCATTTTTGCGCAGACGTTCGTTGATTCTGGCCAAGCTTTTCTTAGCTTCAATGTTCTTTGGCTCAATGGCCAGCACGGTGGTGCAATCCTTGAGGGCTTGCATGTTGTTTCCCAAGGACTCGTTGGCCTGCATTCGGCGGTAATAAGCCTTTACGCAGAGTTTGTCCAGCGCAATGGCAGCCTCGCAATCCTCTGCGCATAGCTCGAAACTAGAAGGATGTAGAGGATTTGGTTCAGAAGATTCTAGAATATTCTTTGTATTCGTACCGCTCCTGTTTTAAGTAGCACAATGCTCTGTTTATATAGTATATGGGATCATGGGCATACACGGCAATGGCCGTGGAGTAGGCCACGATGGCCTTTTCGTATTCAGCCTGTTTGACATAGGTATTACCCCGGTCCTTGATGTCGTTGGCTTTCTTGTGCTGCTGGGCCACAGGATCCATCGGCAGGTCCTGCTTCTCTGTGGGTGTGCTGGCCGCAGAGGATGTGGGACTGTCCTTCTCGGGTTTCTGCGGCTTTCCATGACTGCGCACTGGCAGATCCTACAAGAGAAGAAGCGTTTTTACTTTAAGTTAAAAAGAAATTCGAAGTTTACCATCTTGGCGGCAGACGCCGGCGCATTCTGAAGCTCCTTCTCCTTGCTCTTAATGTCCCGCTCCCATGAATACAAGTCCTTGACGGAACTCTCGTACTCTCGGGCATTTTGGCGCACCTGGCGCACCTGTTCGAAGGCCTTTTCTGCTCCACTCATGTCTAATTATTTGTCCTTTTAATGATATTTAATTTTTGTTATTTCTGTTGCTAGCGCTCTCCAAAACGGTCAGGCAACGCTGGTGACATATCGATAGTTTATTTGCTGTCAACTGATACCTTAAGCCCCGATTACACTAGGTAAGCAATAATTAAATTATGGGTCAACGCTGAGCAGGCAGGCAGTGATTTCGGAATATGAATATGAGCAAATAAAAGCTACGTTAAACAGTATACATTTAATATGTGCTCTAATTTTTCGTTGGCTATCGATACTTTAGTTGATGTTTCATCGGCTTGAACTGCCAACCTTTTTTCAATTGTATGCCACCAGAATTGCCAGGTCGGACTGTTGTTTAGTCAAAAAGCTTTAAAATCAGATGTTTTTATACCTATTACTAGTAGAGTTAAAGGGTATATCAGTTTGTTATTAAAGTTCTAACAGGTGGATAAGCGTTTCCGACCTATGTACATAAATATATTCTTGATTATTATGCGTATTTGGTAAGTCGATAGTAAAACCATTTGTCTGAGATCTCGGGAAATAAGCTTGAAAGTTGGGGCCAAGCTAATAAGATTGTAAGGCAAGGATTAGATTATTTGCATGGGCTTGGTTCATGGCCTTGACACCCGATGGAGCCGTTAAAAATTATATACGACGTCATCAGCAGGTAGCTAGTTTATTTGAATATTTATGAATAGAGTAACGGGTATCTCATAGTCGAGGCACTCAGATGTACGTTTCTTGTGGTTTGTTTTGAACAAGTTTTGTTTTGAAAAATCAGTCTCTAAATTATGGTTTTCGGTCCCAAAATCCAAAGTAAGATATAATGCTCAGATTTTGTCTTTCTCCGCGAACAGGTGCCGGTGGAGTAAGGACTCGTAAGTAAGGACCTTGCTGGCTGTACATGATGTTACATAAATAAAATACTTTTTCACTGCGCAGTTTTTCCCACGAAAAAAAACCGGAGACACACTATGAGGTTTTGAATATACGGAACGATTGCAGCACTCGAGAGGTCCGAAATGCCTTTGTCCAACTTTCAAAATTGGTGGGTACCTTTGATCTCCACCAATATCCCTATAAATCCCAACTACTTTCCAGTATCATCCAGATGTCAAGAGAAATGCTGTGTGTCCCGAGAGAACGGCTCGATTTGTTCAGATTTCGGAGGCGTATAGGACCCTGATAAAGCCGCAGAAGCGACGGGACTACGATGACAGCTTGCTGTGGCAGCCACCTCGCTCTGACCGCAGTCCTGTAAATGAAACAGGCAATCCCGGCCAGCCGTGGGATGTGAGACCCAACTATGATCCTAACCCAGGACCATATTACGGCATCCGGGGTCTCAAGAGAGTGTCTAACTGGCAGGTCGCCTTGGTTCTTATGGCCCTGGGTGTTTTCGGGGCACTTTTTGGATTTACCTCCGTTAGGTGAGTGTTAAACTAACATATTTCCACCAAATTAAAACTAAGAAACAAACTTAACAGGACCTCCTTTCAACTGAGTCGCCAGATCCAGGATGAAATCTCCGCAGATGCAAATTCCCACCATGCTGCAGTCGTGGCTGATGCCCAGAAATACGGCAACGAGGAGCAAGTGCGACGTATGGTGGACCGTATGTCGAGGAGTCCTTTTAACCAGACATCGGCTAAGTAAACCCATCTCCCCATTTGTTTTAGCAAAATTAAACGTGAAAGCAGATAGATATTTTTGATGCTTTAGTTCTGGTTCAAGGCAAAGTAAACGGCGAAGTGTTTTGCCAAAGTTAAACAAATTCGCCGGCCTTCGCAGGCGATTTGCAAACTGTGCAAACAAACAGGGCGACTACTTAAGCACTCCGGCCGCATCCATCGAAGCATAATCCCAGCAATCATACTACCAACATGAAGTCATTTATTCAGATCGGCGGCGTCTGTGTCCTAGTTCTCGTCCTCTGTTGCCTAGACTATTCGGGGGCGGCAAATAGCTCCACTTCTACTTCGTCCTACAGCTCTTCGGAAGATACCCCCAAAAAGGTGTACGTGTCCAATCTTACGTATTCGGCCGTAAGGAAGATCCGCGTAGGCACCACGACCGCCAGCACCACCAGCAAGAGTTCTAAAACCAAGAGCAACCGTAAACTGAACGCCAAGAAGACCCAGGCCAAGCGGAGCAAGGCCAAACGCTCTAGCAACCGGAAACTGAACGCTCGCCGGGTCAGAGGTTAAATTGTTTTAAAATCGGTTTTAAAGACATTGTTTTATTTTGAGCTCGTTCTAAACACAAAACACTTAAGTTTACCGTCGCAACGGGCTAATTAAATTAGATAAATACGTAACTTGTACTGTTTGTTTATGCTACTCTGAATCAAAAGTGGAGACACTACCGGGAACCCGCCACCGAACTACAAACTAAAGAATCACATAGTACAAAATCCAAATTCAGATGATCTACAGTTTTGTCTGGACCGTCTTCGCGGGGCCCACTTCCTTGGCCATCACCTGAATGCCAACATGTGGGGCCGCCGGCTTAAAGACCACCTCTCCATGCGGTTTGTAGTCGGCGAACTGCATGCTGAAAACTTCGTGAAAGCCCAGCTTCTCCATCACACGAGCGGAATAGTGGCTGGAGCACAGCACGTGGTACACATTGATTCCATTCTCCCGCATGTACTCGTACGCTCGCTCCGTCAGGCGACCGGCAATGCCCAGACCCCGGTAGTTGGTGTCCACCGACAGGATTTTGCCGTCTAGGATCAGCTCCTCGTCGGGATAAATGTCGAATATGTTAAATTTGTCCTCAACATGGTCCATCAGCGAGAGGATCTTCTTGAACTTGGGATGGTCGCAGGAATCAGCTGCCTTCTCGGGCACATCATCGGGGGACTGTCATAGACAAAAAAAAAACAGAATAAGTCAAACAAAAGGTTAGTATAGGGATCATAGTCATAAACTTACCGGACGCCTTATTAGTCCATTAAGGAATAGACCTATAATCTCACCCTTCTTGTTGACCGCCTTGTATGAGCAATTATCGGGAAGTGGCTTCAGAGAGTACTTCTCCAGTTCCTTACACTCACCTAGATCAAGAAAGGTGTTCAGGGGCTCATCCTGAAAGGGAAGTATAATGGAATTATTTAGAAGAGAATTACTGATTTCTGGACAATGAACCATCCATTTGAAAACCCGATTGGCCATCAATCTGAGAATCTTTGAGCTAAACAAATTGCCGTCGCAATTACGCGACACGATCGTGGAATTGATCAGCAATTCCAATGATTTATGCACGCATTTGCTTTAGCGAGATTTTCTAATAATTTATAGAGACAGTTTGAGAATTGCGAACGGAACTCGATTTGCATATTGGCCTTATCGCCGAAAGGCGGCGTTGGCAATCGGGGCGTGGCATGCATACTAACTCGCGCTAACTTTTCATTATAAATATAGGTCTTGATTACCCAATAGGCCTTTGGTCTCTGCAGGGGGAGCATTCTCATTGGTCGGCTAGAACTGGAACCTGATCAAGTCAAGATCAACCGAGCATATTGGTTTCATATCGTCAAGAGTCGTGATGCAAGACCAGCTGAAAGTTAGCCGTGACATGGATCATGTCAAGACACCTCACGACAGCCGAATTCCTTGCTCCCAATTTAGGCGAACCAAAAAAATATTCCCGGGGAATGGGCGGAGAAATCCCAGAGATTAGTCAACGCATAACTTAATTAATTCAACTTTTAGTGTGTGACTTTCGAGCTGAATTAAAGCCTAATTAAGACGATCGAATAAGCACGTGGTCGTGTTAATTGAAATTCGCTGGAACATTATTTAAATTCACCTTTGTGATGCCTTTCATTTCCAATTATTCGGCAGACATAATGGGAGATATGGACTCAGAGCTCCCTAATCGGAAAGCCAGGTGTTCGGCTTGATTGGCCCCAATGATATGCAAGCAAATCTCAAATTCCCCAACAATTAGAATACAATATATAGGAGGGAATTGAGAATCTCGAATTGCGCTTACCTTAAAGAAAAAGGTCTTGAGCATGGCTATCACCGCTTCCGCATCCTCGGGCTGGATCAGTTCGATGGTGTAGGGGCAGTCCTTATCAACGGTGGCAGGTGCTGGCGATGCTGATGCCTTCCCAGAAACACTAAGGGCGTCCTCCATTTTCTGTGTTAGCCGGGCAATCGGATATAAGTCGTTCAGCTGCAAATGCGGGAGCAGACAAAACAAATCGTTCAGATATTATGGGTAGATTTTGGGTGAAGGTAGAGGTGGAGGTGGAGGAACGGCAACCGGCGAACGGCGTATAGAAAACATTATTATTTATGGCTCTTAGATGAAAGGCATTTTAATTTGTTTTGTATATTTTGTAGCACATGGATGACGATCCGGCGCGTCGCCATCCCCTTGCATTTTCATTTTCATTTCACTTCCATTTCCATTTTCCACCGACAATATTTTTCAAATTTTGTTTTCATGTACGCCACCGACAGGAGCCGTAAATTATAAAACTGATATTAAGGTCGCAGTCGTAGTGTTCTCTAAAAACATTTAGCCGCTGACTTTCGGGAGAGGAGGACTTATCGTCATAAGGTCGTGAGATGGGATTTAATTTCCTTTTTGGCTGTTTTTACTATAAATACCTTAAGCTAGCCTATATTGATAGCCTTGCTTGAATTTAGTTTTAATAGGTTCATAGACAAGGTAATACTGAATAAAGATGAATATTGCCAAAGAACAATATTGTTTATACAGCTGTCTTACAAATATTTGAGGGTTTGCTTGCGTAAGTCTTAAGACTACCCATTTAAGATTTGATTGATTTCTTTTGGTCTTGCAACTAATTAATTTACATTTTAGAATGAAGTTCCAGAATTTCCAGAAAACAACTGCGCTTGTAGACCATTAATATGCAGCCATATATAAAATCACGTTTCATTAACTTATGCACCATAAATGCCAAGCACACTCGCGGAACGGACCATAAAATCGATCCAGAAAATATTCGGAAAATTCGCACATGCCAATTTACAAAATGAGCTGCCTTGCCCCCAGGAAAATGGCCTTTGAAATTTGTTTACTCCCACTTAAGAGTTGAACCGAGACCTCTATTATCTATTATTGGATGCCCCACTGTTATTTATAGAGCTTTTCAGTGCCACCCAAGGAGTGGGTGGTGGGTGATGGTGGTGATCTCCAGCCACACTTACCCCACATCTGGAATCAAGTATAATGCTGGATATCAGCGACTGATCCGGCAGCTTCTGCACTTCCATGTTGACTCGGTGCTGCCTTTCTGGGTTTGTTTATTGCAAAATGCTTTCTTTTGTTCTACGTAGGCAAACAGTTCTTGTGGGTGGCGAGAGGGGGAAATCGGAAAAATTTATAGCGAATTTTTCCCTTATTTCGGTTTTTTGTTGGCGCGCACGTTTTGCGATGTTTTGTTTATTTCGCTGCCGACGAATCTTTGTTTGTATTTGGCGTTGTTTGGCTTTTAATTTTACTTTGCTTTGATAAACAGTAGAGTACACAAGCACATACAGTTCCTGAGACTCGGATTCGGAGTCAGAACAAGATTAATGATGAATGAAATGATTTAGTGGCAAAAAACGGGTGATGCTAGATCCTTTGGTCCTTGGCGGAGGAGTTGATTTGCCTGCGAACAAACAATGAATGCCAGAAATCGGCCCCGTTTGCACTTTATATACCCAGCGGGTCGTGGCGAGAGAGTATATATGGTATCGGAATCGGAATCGGAATCGGTCTTAGCACAGAGCCCCGCACTGCCGGCAGGTTATTCACGACTGAGAGAAGCGAGAAGCGCCGGATAAAGTCAACCGCCGGCGGTCGATCGGTTTGGTTATATGGGCTAAATAGCAGTCTATTTGCTTGCGTTTCTCTGCCAGAGAGAGAGAGGGAACGCAAGTGGACTGGCTGCCACTCTCTTTCCAGACCAATCGAGTTTTCAGCCGTTTCCTGGACTTTCCAAGATGGGCCTTTCCCTTCCGCTACTTCCGACATGGAGGGCGTTATGTTTGCGGTCTGCGGTCAGCGGTTCTTGACATTTTCCTCTCGTTGACTTAAACAAAAATACAAAAAGCCACAGGCAAACAGGTTCGAAATTAGTGCAGTGCTGTTGAGAGGCTTAAATGTGCCAACTATCAAGGTCAGTTGGTCAGGTGGTCAGCTGAAGGAGGAGCTCTGTATTAACCTAGCTCTTCGCTAGGAAGAACTCTCTACATTTTAAACACTTTGCTTAATTATACTGGATATCCTAACATTATCAAAACTTCATGCATTCTCTTCCATGAGTTTAGAAATACTCATAAACAGTGTTGATATTATCTAAATTTGTTAAAGCTAATAAAATCTTTAATGACCAACATCAAACCCTGCACGTTAGACTTTATAAAATATTTCGATTTGATGAATATATTGATGTAGAATAGATACACACCCCAACCATACCCACAGGGCGTATGAGTGCTGCTCGGACTTGGAATGCCCTAGATGTAAATCGATCATGGGGCACACCCCCAAAACTTTTACTCATTGGAAACCACAAGGCGTATGAGTTTCATTCCGTCCGTAAATGATCTTCCTACGGCGGGCTGGCCGATCATCCCGATCGGATTTTGTTTACTTTCCGCTCGCGGCCGTCGCTTATTTTGCCGTGCAAACTGGCAAACGGAGCGCACGCCGCTGGCTCAATTAATATGCGACAAAAGAAAGAAGCACACAGCTATTGTGGAGGTCTCTCCCACAGATCGGCGTCGCTTTCCGATCTTTCGGATCAGCGGGGCATATTTACATTCTTCGGCGTGGAGCTTGTTTAATTTGGCGCGCGCTCTCTGGTCAATTATCACCCATAACGCGGGGATCTCTGTATCTGCGACTATCAACTGCCTCGACTGGATTTCCTGGCCAAATCTCGCGGTTTTTTTTAACTATTTTGTTTATGGATTATTCAAGCGGTATGTTTATGGCTTTATGGCTCGCAATTAGCAGACAAAAAATGCAAATTGTCGCCGAAACTGTTTATCATGCACAATCGCTTGGAAACTTTTCATGGGTAATTTTGTTTACATTATTTATTATTTCAGTCATCGGATCGCCCTCTCACTCATTCTGGTTTTTGTGGGAAACTCGTTTCTGGTCATCCGATCCGATCTGGCCCACTCAGATGTAGAGTACTAAAATTATCTCCGAGCTCCAGAGTCGCGCCTCCTTCCATTGTCTGCGGTGACAAGATTTCCTTTCTTTTTACGGGATGACTCAATCCTCATCGGTGGGTGCAGGTGCAATTTCTGGGTGTATTGTAACCACATTGAGTTCTATATCCGGTGGCTGAGTAAAGCCTTATACGCTCTGTAATTAAGGAACCCACATTTGTGTGGCTATTTTCGGCGTAATATGTAGGTAGTTCAGTCCCCTTGCACTTCTAAATCCAAAGTTTCGATTCCCTTCGCAGTGCCCGTTTAGCGCCGTCATGCTCCTAATGATCCGCAATAAATCTTAGATCTCAATCGTCGCCTGAAGTTTGAGTTTATTGAGCTGCCAAAATTGCCAAACGGTTGCAAAAACCAGTTTGCACCTTCTGTGGGGTCTGCGGATTATGCACACCGATATCGAACTAATTGACACTTACAAATGTTTTACGGCACCATAACTTATTTATACGCATAAGTTAAATAGTTGGCCGGCCCCTGGTAATTATTCATTAACAGTCAGGAAAGTAAATAAAGTTTAAGCGAATGAAGTGTTGCTTTTGTAATTAAGTTGAATGTTGCTTTGATTTCGCTAAGATCTTATTTCTCAAAGGAAATGACAGCAGTGGAAATGTTGTATGGAAAACAAACGGAGATTTAGTTAAAAAATCCCAACTAATTTGAATTTTTGTTAGGACTGTGTGTCTCTTAATTCAATTTGATATTTACAATGCTAATTATATCTCACTGGTTGACATCGCCGGTTTTCTATATTTCCCAGTGTTGCACCTTTCATGGACCCACTGTAGAGCCACAGTGCGAATGAGTGATATTCTGGCGCGATTAACGACTTCAAAGTGCTGAACTGCCCGCCGTCATCGCCTCGTTGCGATTCTGTTTGCATACGGATAATTAAAATCACATTAACGCCGTTTAAGTGAGCACCGAGATAGCTGGCAATTTGTAAGTTCAATCAAAGTGATTGAACGTTTTGCTAAACGCTTGAAATGCAGTCAAACATTTTGATGTCTTACTGTTTTTTCTCTATCGCAATTGCAATCTTATCACATGATCTGTAGCCAATTTGAAGAAACTTTCCCGAAGATCTACATACAGTTCGACTAGTTAAATAGTTTAGTAAGACCCGTTCATATCAAGGCCGCATGCAAATCACACCAGGTGTCAGCAGTCGGGTCATTTATCAATATTATTAGATTGCCCAAGCATTAATTGTACAATTACTTATTTTATATATATACTTTGTTACGGCTGGCAGATTAAGACTTGATGTCTTGAGTGGGCGGCCTCCTGTTAATTAATATGCTAACTAACCAATGCAAACGAGTGGATATATCAAAGTCTGCCCGTGGCTTATACCCCACATCTTAATAAAATGCAACGGAGATAGGTTTAATATTTATTTAAATCCTCAAATAAAATTGAATGTTGAATCCGAAGTTTGTAAAGAATATAGCAAAGGTAATTCCTATCTCGACTGTTCCAGATTAAATATAATATTGTACTTACACGTGTAAGAATCGCTTTGAATATGCAAATATTCCCAGAATCGGTATGTTTCACCTGCGGGACGGAACTGTGACAGACCCACAATTAGTTGGTGCTGTCATATAAATTACAACTTTTCATTTGCATTCGCCATAAATCATTCGAATTGTTCTATGAACGAGGGGCTTTGGGATCGGTGCAAATTCATTTGAGAAACAGTTTGGGTGTTTGGGCCATAAACTTGGCAGTTTTGTCACCAGCTTTTCCGACAGTTGCCACAAGCCGGAATTGAATTTCTACTGGCCGGCTTGGACAAATGGCCCACGGTCAAAGTCCGGAGTGTGGAGCTCGGAGCTGGACAACTTCGGCCAGAACGTGACTTGAAATCGAAAGCCCACATCCGATATGCAAGTGCAATGGGTGCAGCTGGTGGGGCAGGGCGCTGAGGAGAGGCCCCAGGCATTGAAAGTTTGAATCAGCTTAATAAAGTTCTAAAGCCGCCAAACTCACCTACCCACCACCCACTTTCCTAGTCGCCACTCCATTGCCAAAGTCTCTGCCAGTAGCTCCGGTTGTCTGTCTGTCGGGACTCGAGTTAGTGGGTGGTTCAAAGTCTTATTAAATCTATTATACCATACCCTCAAGGGGCATGCGCGACTTCAGGTTGTCTTGTTTTAAAGGTAGAATATTCTCAAATCTCTCATTTTCAAGAATATTTTAGTAGGAAAATCAACAAGAAATAATAATATATAACATATTTATAGACATTAGCATTTTCATGTTTCTTGCTGTGAAGTTTGCGAGGCATGTTTTACATTTTAAAAACTGTTATTAAAATCAATTGTAGGAGACATTGTAACATATGTATAGAACTCGTTCTACAACTTTATTGGAATAACCTGGATCTGGTTTTATATCTTCTTTATTTAAGGCATACTTTCAGGGCTTTACCCAATCGCGAAGTATATACAAGTCGTTCATTCGTTAGCAAGCATTTAAATCCGCTTCTTGGGTGGAATAATGTTGCATTCTAAACACATTAGAATTAATCTGCTCTTATCTCCACAAAGTGCACGAGTGGCAAACACAATTGTTTGAGCGAGTGAAACGGAAACGAACTGAGTCGTTTATCAGGTTATTTACACCACCACTTCGAGTGCCATTTGGGGCTGTTTGAGCAGAGGCCAGTGGGCATTTCAATTCCATGGAAATTGCCAGTTTAATTTAACATCGGATATGCCGTATATGCAATGCATTCTGTTTCATGTGGGAGCGAGCACCCCAACTAAGTTTCATCTGCAAATTACCCATTTAAGTTGTAAATTGCATTTTCCTCATTTCAACTGAAAACTTCATTTAAATTCATCACAGGCCCGACAATTTGCTCGTTCTGAATTTCCATTTTCCTTGCTTTTTTGTCCTGGCCATAGCGAAGAGGGATTGCTGAATCCCTATCCACATGCCCAGCCAATTCAATCTGGGCTAGTTACCATTGAAATGCAAAATCCCTGCCAGGCTGCAGATAATTTCAGCCATCTGGCAGGACACAAAAGGCCAGGAGAGGGGATCGGGAGGATTTGCTTTTGTTGCAAGCAACAGTGAACAATAAACTCGGGCATTCTCTAATCTGGCTGGCACATGCATTCGCATTCCTGCCATCAGTCCTTTCTACACCCCTTTCCTTTTTTTCAACAAGGCAACGGATGCAATGACAACGACACATTGCGCATTCGCCGTGTGCGCCCTGCCGAAAAAACACTGCAAAACAGTGGTTCATTAAATGTACTTCGCCTATCAATTTTTTATTTCTGGGTAACCAAGCTATTGATTGTTACATAACAGGGTACTTGATTCGCTTATCTACTATTGATAGCAGAGTACTTCTAATATGGAACTCTGACGGGCTAAAAAAAGTTATTCAAGAGGCACTAGCTCTTCCACATTTCTATATAATTCCTATAATTTATTGCAGAATTTGGTAGAGTTATCTATACAGTCCTATGATTTCGCTATGTGCACCAATAACGTACGGCAGCGCAAATTGCTGGCAGGAAGCCAAACGAAGGCTGTGCACCAGTGCACAGGCGCCATCATCATCATCATCCCCGCTGTGATCATCCTGCAGGACCAGCAGCATCCTCATTATGGCCTTTCCCGCTCGACTGCCTAGAGCAACAGAAGCGGCAAACTCGGAGGCAACAACGGCAACAAGCTGACACTCTGACAATGTTGGCGCCATTTTGCTGTTTGTCTTTCCTCTTGTAATAAAACGACATCCACGACTGAGGAGGGTAATGGGATTGGGATTGGGATTGGGACTGAGTCTAGGACTGCGACTGCGACTGGGAGTGCCGAGAGACTGAAGGGCGTTTTAAATACTTCAGAGACTTGAGGGTCCTGTGCTCCTTCACAACGTAATCATCGTGAAAAGGTTTTTGTGTGGCACGTAGTCAGGACGCTTTGTCAGTTTTCCCGGGGCGGCGTCTCTGTTGTCAGCACTTTGCTCGACTTTTGTTGACAGATTGATTTTGATGTGTTTTCATTGTTATTGTTTGGCTGAGGGTCCTTTAAAGCAAGTCCGGGGATGGGTTGTGCTTTTCCGCGTTGATTTGGGGAATCAACTCTGGTTGAAGAGGCAACAAACATTTTAGCTTAATTGGTTGGCTCTTAAAGAGCTTTGACTAATTGGCAAGGGCTTTACGGACTTAATGAACGTTCTGAATGGGTCTGGACCTGAAATATTCATGCACTTTCATTTATTTAATTGAATGAGAAACGACCCTCCATAACTCAACTAGTGAGCACAAAAGAAGAGAAAGGGAAAACAGGAAACTTTGCCCGGCCTTCAGTGCAGTAAGCCAACGGAAATCTGTGTTGTAACAAATCCTTTGGTCGGAGTTTCCCGCATTTTACTCTTTGGTTGTTTGTCTGGCAGGGTCATCTACAGACCAGCCTGACTAACATACATTTTGTTGAGACATAGATCGCCTATATATTAATGAAAGTACCAGTTATCGAAGTTTGCCTGTTTATAAATCCAATTAAGTGGGCTAAGGCTTGGATCAACTCAGGCGTCCAAAGCGTACAGTCAGCTTTATTGGAGCGTATTAAAAAGCCACAAAGCCCGCACGGCAGGAGCATCAAATGGATTTCATTTCCAATCAAATCGATACAAAATACTGTATAAAAGTCGAAAGTTCGAAAGAGAATGAGGGGGTGGAGGAGCCTGCCAGAATCCTGTTGCCCGATGCCAGGAATTTCTGTTATATTCCTCCTTTTTCCAACCAGCGGCGTTGCTCATACGCAACGTTGCCCCCAAATCAATTGAAATAAATAGGATACACATGGCACTGTGTGTAAGCCCTGTGTGTGGTTCAGGGGTCGGGGAAAGAAGTTGTTTTCCACATATTTGCTTTTTCCTACTGCCCGAGGACTGTGATTTTCATTGCCCGTGTGCAGTTTCCTGGCTTTTATTTGTCTGCTTGTTATTGGCAGGTTGTTCGTGCGTGTGGGCCACGATTAAATTTGGTCAATTGTCATGCCCTCTGGTCAGCAATGGAAAACCAACGAGCGCTTTGCCTTGACAACGGGTTGAGTAACAAACATACTCTTGGATCGATGTGGAAAACAGACCATCCCTACCAAATATTACTCGAAAGTATTGCTGAATTTGATAAGTATGTTTGTTTTGCGCGATAAGGAAAGTATCTTATCTGAGCTGCCAGCACTTCAAACACAATTTATGCCTTGTCAGGCACTCATTCTACAGATTAAAATTTAATATTATCTTTAAAATACGACATTAGGAATAGAAAATGCGGGAAAAATGAAGAATATGTAGGGGGCCTTTTCTTGTAAATCGTAAACCCTCCGTTTCATTAACAAATATATTTAAATCCGAACAAGCTAACGTAAACATTTGTTTTCATATTGTTCGTCAATTTCATTTATTTGATTTGGTAGCTTGCCAAAAAGTCGCGTCTTGGGCGCTTAAGTTTTCGCTGTTCACATTTAATTAGGACGTGTGTGCCGTTGGGAAACACTACGGACCGATGTCCGACAAATATATATAGTTTATAGAGAGATTTTCGTGCTTTATTCTCAACGAACTTGAAATGGAAAACATTTGGCGGCAAAGTAAATGTCAACGCGGGTTTCTATAGTTAAAGGCAAAAATAAAAATGTATTTTCGTCGACAACTTACGCGTGAAATTGGCTAATAAGTGGGGCCTAATACGCCGCCTCCTTTGATTTGGAAGTGTGTGGGGTTATTTGCTGCAGACCGTCGAAACTTATGTTGGATGTTGAAGATTTCCGCCCGATTCGTTCCGATTCGCCCGACCAAATGAACCGTTAGCACGTTTTTCAAACAAATAAAGCCTTTACAAGCTTGCGGAACTTATACGTATTCGAAAATTATAAAAAAAATATTTTTGTGGGAAAACCAAAATGCTTGTCGTGATTTTAGGGCCGACGGCTTCTTAGTCAGCGATGTTTTCGTGTTATTTTTTAATGGCAAACGAAAACACTTTGAAATGCAATGAGCAAATGAGCGTTGCTTAAATAGTTCGCCGGTCGAACTCAAAAACTCAGTCGCTTCCAATCCCAATCTCTCTCCCAATCTGTTCTGCTCATTCATTGAGTGGGATTCAGTTCCTTGGTGTCCAAAGTTCTCTCTGCAGAGCACTCAATGCCAACAGCGGACATAGTAAATTCAACGGTGTGTTTAATGGAGAAATACGGATTTAAATCCTTTGAAAGATCTTGAAATCTTTCATTCAGTCTATACAAAACTTCTCTATTGCATACCTCCAAGGCGCTTTAATTAACAGAAATTTAAGTAAAGCTTATGTTATCTGCTCAAAAAATTTAAAAATAAATCATGTAGCGTGAAGGTTGGCGTATTTATGGAATTTTGTCTTATTTTTTTTAAACATAATATTTATATACAAAACATGTCTGACATTTATTCGAATCGAACCACTGTTATTGCGAATATTATAACTTACGGTTTACATGAGTGAACTGATTAAAACGCGACTAAGAAGAGAGATTTGGGAGCCGAGGGAGAGAAAGATAACGATTTGGGGAGAGCCAGCGAGTGAAAGTGGGGCCTCCGTGGTAAACAAACCAATCCAACCCCTCGAGTTCTGTTTCCACTCGCAATTTGGATACTTGTAACACTCGGGTGGGTGGACAACCCCAAAATCCGTGGGGCGGGCGCCTAGATACTCGTAATTCAGAGTGGAATTCCGGAGTGAAAGCGCGCGAGCGAGCTTTTCAGCCTCCGATAACAGCGGTCACAAATGAGCCTGATAAGATAGTTGAATTCTCGCTTCAAGGCATTTCAGTTTTTATTTTAAGACTAATCAAGGCGAACATAAAATTGCGAGTTTTTAACAAAAAAAAGCTCGACACCGGTACGTCTTTTGCCAACTGCGGAACTTTTCTGCTTGGGTCTAGACGGTCGTGTGGCTGTTAGAAAACGCCGGGTTGCAGTTTCAGTCATTTCGTTTAGTTAATGAGCCACCCGCCAGTCCAATGAACTACACTTTTCCTGATTATTTCCATTATCTCCTGACTCAGCATTAAAGCTTTATAATATTTTAACGGCTCGACGCTCTTAAGATCTAGAAACGCTTCATGTTGCAATTTGATTAGTTTTCGTAACTTAGGTTTAATAAGTATTTGTTGCCAGTTTCAAATACAGTAATCCTTTTAATAAAACTTAATAAACTGAGTAATCCTAAATCGGCTTTTGGTTTAAACGTAACGTTTTATCTTTTTGAAATAATAGTATACTGTTAATTTCAGTAGGGCTGCGAAATAGTTAGAAACTTGGCGGGAAAATGTACCGAATCCAGTTTAATATGAATGTTTAATATTTTAAAAGTATTAAAGCATATAAAAAAATCTTTTTTTCAGTATATTTGCAACATAAAGGCATGGATGGCCGTTCAGTTTTAGATTTGGTCACACTGAAGAATAACTTTTTAAAAATAATAAAATAAAAGAAAATTTGTGGCACATTGAGCCACAGGTTGACGGTCTGTCCTGAAGAATATATAAAGACGTAAAATTTGCAGGGAAGGGAAGAACCGAGCACCATGAACGGAAGGTGAGCTACATCCAACCGGCAAAAGCCCCCAGGCCAGGTGTATCTACATAGAGTATAACCATCTATATATATCCACAGAAGTGTTGCGGAGCCTCCGGACTTCCAGGCCGCCACTGCAGCCGCGGCGGCAGCTGCTCTGGCCAGTAGTTCGGAGCAAGACGAGTGGAGCGTGAGCGAGTGCGGATTCCTGGATCCGGAGGTGCAACGCACCATGCGGAGCGGCGGTGCCGCCGAGGACATCACCCAGTATCCTATGCACGGCTGGGTGGACGTCACCAGGGAATTCCACGACGCCTGTGCGGAGCTACAGCCTGGCGAACTGGCCCAGGATATGTTATTTGGTCTTTTTGAGGCCATGTCTGCCATAGAGATCATGGACCCGAAAATGGACGTGGGAATGGGCTTCGACAAACTGGACCTGCCGCCGCCCTCTTTTGAGGCTGCCATAGCGGTGGGACATGCCTTGCTTTTTTTCAAGTTCAACTTTGTAATCCTTCACACATTCTAGACAGGGGCCATCAAACTGGACGATCTCACGGCCGCCGAACTGATTGGCATCTATGATGCTTTGTTTTCATGTCTGGTATCCTGGCTGGAGGGCAACTCCATGGACCAGGTGCTCTTCACCTGTCTTTACCTGCATGCTCCCTCGCAGATTAAGGATAAGGCGCTACGCGTCTTTTGCACTGCCGTGCGTAATCTCATCGTGGTCATTAAGAACATAATTGCCGTGGCCGCTGTTAACGAAGAGGAGGACTTCCAACTGTACGGAAATTCCGCTCTTCTGGCCGCAGAGAAGGCCCAGCCGGCTGCTGTTTTTGCATCACTAAAGGAGGCAGAGGACGAACTGGTGCGCAAGTGCAAGAAGTTGTCGGCAACGGAAGACTGGATGGCTGTGGTTCATCGGCTGCGTTTTATGCGCCACCTTTTTCAGGTTATATATCACGTGGAGCAGATGGCTAGCAATGACGCCGTCGATGACAAGGTCGACATCTACAAAATCCTGCTTGCTGCTTCTGAGATGCTGCCGGGAATAAGAAATACCCTGGATCTTGGCACGCAACCCGAAAAGGGATGTAAGTAATCAGATATAATTTACTTTTATATACATTAATCGCCTGTTCAACACCACCACAGCTGAAGCACCGAATCCAATGGGCTTTTCACCCCGAATCCACGACCGTAGTCAACCGCCTGCTTTTCCACGTAGCATCAAGATCAGGGATCGGGCGGCCAGCTATCAGTTCCTGGAGGAAATGATTTCGCGATTCAAGTACGCCTGCAAAGTCATCAAGTACAAAGACTACTATTCGGCTCTGGTGAGTCACATTTTCACTGACGATTATGAAAATAGTAACTGAATTCTTTTGCAGAACTTTTTCATCGAGTACAGTAAAAAGTCAGGCCAGTGCATCCTGTCCAGAAGCGTGTTGCAGAATCTGTTTAGCGCCAACATGCGAATGGCCCATGGAAAGCTTCCCATGAAGCAGTTCCTGCGCCACTCTGTTCAAATATTTAACTCTCCGCCCGTGTTGAATACTAAGCATCCAGTAGCAGCAGATCCAAAAGTTCAGCAACACCTAGATAACTTTTTCCGTTACTGCATCAACATGAACACCTTTACACAGTTCATTCGCATTTGCGGATTTAATCGCGCCCGGCAGCGAGATAAACTGGCACGACTAATAGAGAACTTCGACACCATACAAGTGGATGCGGCGCGACTGGATTCGATGATGAACCAACTGGCTAATGAACGGGCTATGGAGGGGAACGAGCCATTGGCCACCGCCCTGAAGCACAGCACCCACTTCTCCACCTGGGTACTGTACAACTGTTTTCGTGCAATGCTGATCTTCCTGATGTCTGGCTTCGAACTAGAACTTTATGCTGTGCATGAGTTCCTCTATATCTACTGGTACCCGTACGAGTTCCTAATTGGCTTCCTAGTCTCCGCTTTGACACGCACAGAGAACATCCTGCGGGCCCAGGAGGAGTACGCCGAGCACCAAAGTAAGATTCAATCGGGCGGCAGCGGAGCGGCAAAGAACCGCAAGGCGGCAAAGCCGAAAAAAAACAAAAAACAACAGCGGCCCTACCCTGCAGAGATCGTCTTCTACCACGCCCTGCTCAGCCTCTGCGGCGGAATGTATAAGGCAATGGGAGCTTTGACCAAAGATGGACGAGTGCGCCTGCCGCTGTCCAAGTTCGACAACGAGGAAATTCGCTACAATCGGCGCTTCGTACCCTTCGCAACACTTACCAGTCCGCCACCAGTCTCGTACGCAGAGTTCAAAAAAATTAGGGAGCACATGATGCGCCACAGCGTAGAGGATCTATACACCAATGCGGCCAAGCAATTTGACCAGGCGCGCAATGTCCTTGAGAGCATTCAGAATCCCGATCAGGAGGTAAGTTAAGAGTTTCAGATCTAATGGAGGTGGATTAAGAGGAGTTTCTTTTCCTTCAGATACTGGATCTCCTGCAAATAGCACGAACAAACTTTGTTGTAATGAATGTACTGGCCCGCGGTCATCAGAAGGAATTGAAGCGCCAGCCAGAGTTTGACTTCTCGAAACATAGCTACTTCCCCATCATCAAGCTAAAATAGATGTTCATGTGTTCCGTAATTGACAACAATAAAATTTATATGTATGCATTTTAATGTCAACTCTCAATCTCCGCCACAATGTCCTGCTTGATAAGCAGCTCCTCCACATAGCCTTCAATGGGGCAGCTCTTTGCGCAAGTGTAGACCGCCAGAACGCCCCAGTCGAGGCTGTCGTCTTTAAGCAGAGTCAGCGTCTGCGGCATGATCTGGAACTCAAATTGACGAGAGCCTCCGCAAACGGTGCAGTTAGGCAGCTGCTTTAGTTGATCTTCCACGGTTTTAGCGATGTTTGTAATCCAAACGGGCTGACCACCGCGTTTGTATCGCACAATCTGATCCGGTTCAGCTGCCGTTTGCTTTTTAAACTGACGGAAGGTCTTGTCATCGTCGGCCGTTGTATTTCCAAAGTACTTGTCCATCTCCGCTTCGGAAACATTACTGAGGTCGCCCGTCTGACCACTGGCCTCCATCTCTTGGAACTCGGCCAAACGAGCCTCGTCATCTTTATTATCATCGCCAGATTCTATAGGATTGCTGTCCATAACAATTTCGTACTCCGGAAATACAATTTGTGTTAAATGCTGAGCTGTGGATCCGCCTGGTGTTCCACAGCTAAGCTTGTGCTGTGCCCAGTGGGCTCTCTGGTGTTCCGAGGAGCAATAGTGGATGGCTTTACATTTGCTGCAGGCATGAGGTGCATAACAACCGCAGGCGGCGCATAATTTCTTGAGGCATGGAACGGCTGGCTGAAATATTGTATTAGATGTAAGGGGAAACTAAGAGTACATGATTGACCTCCTTACCAAAGGATCTCCCACATCGCTCGGCTCCTCCTCAGAGAAGAACTTGTTCTTTCGGGGCAACTGAGACCTCAGCACTGTGAAATTACTGAAAATACAGGAAATGTTAGAATGTAGATCTACCCCATCAGAACAGCTAAACAGGGTTACCCCGCACTCTGGGCCTTTTGGCACTCGGGATTTCGGCACAAGAACACATAAATCGATCGGTGGAAGTTAAAATCATCGTCGAATGGGGCATATAGCTGGACCAGGAAGGACTTAAACGACTGGCACTTGCTGCACTGCAACTGTGACGTAGGCGGCAAAGCCTCCAATTCCAGCCAGGCGGGTTGGCCACCTAATTTGCTGGGAAAGTAGCGGTTAGTCAGCCAGGCAGAATCGTCTGACTTCTCCGCAAATCCCAGATCAATTTCCATTTCCTGTTTTTTGAGTTTTGCCTAGAGACAATTACAATGGAAAGGCACTCGTGTTAGTATGGCTGCAGATGGGCCGCCAAAATATGTCAAAAAATACCAATGTAAATATATTTAGAGAGTCTGGGGATTTAGTATTTTAGAGCAAGGTTCTTGATTTTTCCTCAATTTTTTATTAAAGCTTACTTTGGGATTGAGTACCTCGATAATGGCAAAGTTAGTTTTTCTTTTATGTTTTGAAATAAATCACAGTTCTTAATGTTGATTATCAGCAAGAGCTTTAAAAAGTATCTGATCCCCTTCTTCCTACGCCACTGTTGGCAAAGCTTAGTGTCTGCGGAATTTGGTATTTTCCAAGAACTCTGTTGCTGCAGTTTCCTGGATTTTCCACACTTCAGCAGGCGACTCACAGTTTGTTCTCCTCTCCGAGCTGATTTAGCTGATTTAATTTGTATTTTATTTACCGTTGTGATAAACGCGTGTGAAAAACAAAGACTTTCCAATTACCTGTGTACACAAACGGTTCCCGAAAGAAAGTTCGAGTTGCGAAAAAGGAGCGGAAAAACGGGTTTTCAGATGATTTGATTTAATTGTGAAAGCGCAGCTAGATTTGTCAACGCAAACAAAGCTCGCGGATAGCGTAATATTTCTTAATAATAATAGCATCGAAAACAACAACATTGCGGAAGCAGAATCTCCGACTTATCGTGCTGTCCGTTTCCGTCGGAGGGCTAAAAATAAACCCACCCACGCTCCCCGCCCCAAAAATCGCCACCCGCACCTCGCCCACAATCAACCCACACCCACGCACAATTTTGGATAGGTGAACTTGTGTTGACTTTTCCAGAGCGCGGACTTTTCCGTAGGAAAATGCAAAAATGAGAGTTCGAGCATCTAGCAGACAACTGGGAATTTGCGTAAGTTTAAAGCGGATACTTCCTGGTTTTGGATTACAGGGTAACGCTATTGGTTTGTAAGTCAGTGATCAATAAAGGGTTGTACTTGTTACGGAAAATGAGCATGTTCCCTTTGACCAGATGTTTTCATTTACTAATCGGGGTACAAAAAAAAAATTTGATCGATTTCTTACAAATAAGATTTCCTTTGTAGCTAGTCTTACTTAACTTAACAAAATTATAAATCCATTTATGTATATTATAAATTATTAAAACAGCAAAAGTACAAAAAGTTATCTATCGATCCATCTGGTGTGCAATCGCCACTAGGTATCCTCACTTCGAAACGTTTTATTTTCCAACAGTTTCTGGCTGCCAAAGAGCCGGGTGAGCTTTTATTTGCTAAATTTAGTGCCGCATTGCTGAAAATAAGAATGGGAGCACCCTGCCATCGGTTGCCGGTAGGCAGACACATATATATATATATATGCATAATCGACCATGATGATGGGCAGTATACATACATATATAGTAAACCTCTCGCCAGCCCAGATGACTCGGCCAGTCAAAACTGTTGCACGGCTTATCCTGGTCCAGTGGGATGGCCAATCGATACTTTAAGAGCCTCAGAGCAAACTTTGGCTTGGACTCCTGCCTAAATCAATAAACGCCTGAAATCCCTGCCATATTGCGTCCATTGTAATGTCAGCACACATTCTTGGCCAATCCAAAGGCATTCTCACTCGGCTGCAGGCATTTACGTGTGTCTCCTCTGCGGAATCAACTGACAGGACTGGCAATAAATATTGAAAATTCAATTACCCGCCATGCAGTCGGCCGAAATTCAATAAAACTATTATAACCCGAGTGCGAGTATGTTTGTGCATCGCTTTCAGTCACTTAACGCAAATAAATAAACCCATCTCCTGACCACATTTTCACTCAATCTGCTTCGCTGACAAAGCTCCATTACTCTACCTTGCATGCAGGCTATTGATTTTAATTCGCCTTGTAATCATCTTGCTTCATTTGGCCACTGAATCTATGTTTTTCCCATGGAAGCTTAACTTTCTTCTGCCCCGCTTTTCTCTTTCCCTTCACCTCAACCTCGCACTCAACAATGTGTGCGAACAAATGGCTATTTCAACGCTGGAAAGCATTAATTAAGATGCAATGGTATGGGGTAGCCATCAGTTACATGAATATTCAGCTGATTGTATTTTGGGAAATATTCTTCTTCTGGGTAGATTGGTTAGGCAAAAGCTTGACTTTACGTTCTAGCAGGTTACTATAAAACAGTCTCTTAATCTAGATCCAAGCACCTTTTTGTAAAATGCCATTAAAAAAAATGTAGAACGAAGTGTATATATATTGAAACCGGAACAAACGGAATTTATTTCGCGATAGGAGTATACATTTGGTTGCGTTAAAATATTTTTTATTTGGAACTTATCAATTTCAAAATTTTCTGGTGTCACCTCCTGTCTATTCACACCTTGATTTATTCAGCTCTTTTTACTTCCTATTCGCTGTTTACTCAGTCGGCAGTGCCTGGAATTACACTTGTTTTTCGACGCCCGCTTTGTTTCTCATTCGCATTCTGATTGGAGCGCCAAGTGAGTCACTTCCCAAGGTTATTCAACGTAGCTCCAGGTTTACCATTTCTCCCAACTGCTATGTTATCGAAAGCCAAAGGCCAACGGACGATCTTTGGCTCGCACGATAGCCGATATCCATATCAAAATAGCCAGTCAAGTGGCTCTCATTTGTTAAGTTTCTCTGGAGAGATAAAACCGTTCGACATCATCGCAGGGCTTCTGGTTTGCTTGGTAGCGCATTTGTGGGCTTTCTTTCGGGTCAGCGATCAGATGATAGCTTGTTCCAAGGGAAGTCACGAGTTAGCCTTTTCCAAGTCTAAGATAATCTGCTAATTAAAGCTAAATAGATAGTAAAGGGTGGAAATTTGAAGTACTTAATGTGAGTATCTGTTTTCACCTTATCTACAATTAGCATATATATATATATATATATATGAAATGGACGAGCTTAAGTTGGCATTAGCTATTGCTATGTATCTTTTTCTCCGTGTAAACTTTAGATTTCCAATCTATTTTTCATAATTTTATGTACAATAAAGAGAAATTGTAATACAGCTCCTAAATTTCACATATGTATGTATGTACATATTTATGACTTATTGTCTATCTTAGCACATAAAATTATAATTTGCTTATTTCAAAATATGTTTACATATGTATGTATGTTTGTACCTTGTAGATTAGATTACCTTTATATTATTAAACATTGTTATTTATATAAATTTTAACTTTTAAGTAGAGTTTCTCGTATTAAATTTCATATTTACTTAATGGGCTTAGAAGTTACATCCTTGTTGTTTGGTAATTTGAATACATTTTCTAACTAAAAGAAGGCCAATTCTGATCAGTATAAATTGCGGGGAATCCCGTATAACAACGAGTTCTTTATTGAGCTACACTGCCAATGACTCAGCTTCCACTGCTGCGAAAAATAAAGTGGCTTATATTATTGTTCTGACTAAAGTAAACTTAATCGCAGGTAGGCGTTCCGGCAAGCTTTTTGTTGTCAACTGTTTTGCCGACGAGGGATCGGGTTACGTTACCACTGGCTGGGTTCTCTTCTGGCTGGAAGGAAACTGATAGGGACTGCGGGAATGCCACTATCAATGACGGGCCAATATGGATGCCCATTGTTTGGTCTTATCTGGCCAGTTATTGTTACTCCACTCGAATCGTTACTTGCGAGCATAGTTATTTATTTATGTATTTGGTGCAAGCTTCGATTGTGTGCGTCATGGGGGGAAATGTGTGATTCTGGTGATTCATGCCAGACAAGTGCATGCATCCTCATACCCTTGTTAGAAAATCAATAGCTATAGCGAGAGCTCAAGGCTCTTGAGATGTTTGCCTTAGCCTTGCCGTAACCTTGCGGTTTTGTTTTGCAGAAGCCGGAGGCGCCTTGAATGAGAGTCCTTAGCCCAAGATGTCAGATTTTGTTCCGCGCGACCTCCTCCCCGACCTGTGGGAGGAGATACTCCGGCGCCACTGGATGTTCCTCGAGACGGAGGAGAGCATGCAGAAGCTCGAGGAGCGTAAGCAGCTGGAAGGTGAGCCCGTCACATGGTCTTGGTCGTAAATAAAATTACTTAATACATATTAACAGGATGTCTGAAGGAGTTCCTCTGCGTGGTGCAGCATGATCGCAAGTTCTTCCTGCCAGAAACAGGGCTTGTCCTGGGGCGATCAGTACGAGAGTTGCCCGACTTTTCGGCACAGAACGCCATCGTGGCCTTCGAAACGATCAGCCAGTATGCAAACAACCTGTTTACGAAACCCTGGCGTAAGGAATATCGCACTCTCAAGGTGAATCTCTTGGATAAAATATAATTTACCTCTTCAGCAACCAATAAACCATCTTTTTGCAGACCTATTCGGGATGTTTTCAGCACGACATTCAATCTCGGCTGTTGGATGCCGAGCAGCTCTTCCTGGCAATGGGATATCGCAGGATCTCCGAAGATACCTTCGTTCTCGAGGGCCCCATTTGTCCGGATCAGGTGACGAATGTTTCTCGAGATGCCATGGCCGCCTACGTGGAGTGCCAGATTATGAAGCACATTTATGCGGGAGTCACTGCAGCGGGATACAGTTGCACATGGAAAGACATACTTCAATACCGCGAGCGATTCGTGGGTGGCACTACGAGGACCATCAAGGAGATGGTCAGTCAGTTGAGTGAAAAACGGATGCGCAAGGAACAACCGCCAGTACAGGAGAATACCTATAGCAACGTGGCGACGGTTGCGGCAGCTAGTTGTGCTCTCCATGGCAACAACTTGGCTCATCATCTGAATAGCTCCAGCAGTTGCGCCCTTCATCCAAATGGCCTAAACGATGTAGGAAAGTACCTGCCGCCGTATCCAGCACCTCCGTCGCAGCAGCCGCAGCTATCTGGACCGCTAATGACGCATTCTCGCAGCTTGGAGCATTACCAGGAGCCGCATGCCCATCTACCGCATCGCCACTCTTTTGACCAGCAGCTCCAGCAGCAATGCCAGCTGCCTCACGTCTACGAGGCGCCCTACGATTGCTTAGATGGACTAAGCATGGGCAGCAGTGCCTCCTACGCGGACGTGGCAGGTGCCTATAATGCTCCGGGAAATCGCTATCCGCTACCGTACAACATCTCCAGCCAGCTTAATGCGCCATATGCCTCACCTGCCGACGTCTACGGTAATAGGGAGCACACCAACATGTACGCCACATTAGGAAAGACGGGTCCAGCCCACAGCTGTGATTTCCACCGACGCCAACCAAGTTCTTCTGCAGCAGCTGCCGCCGCCATGGCGGCTATGCAGCACCGGCAGAGCACCTATCCTCCAGACCATCATCTCATAGACTTCGACGATCGGGCGCATCTGACCCAGCATGACTTCGGGACGCACGACTACGACCCGCAATACGCCGAGCTAAGAAGTCAGGTGCCGCCGAAAATGCGGGGAAATCCGTCTGCAATGTATGCCACATACGGAGGTTATGATCTGCCCACTACTTTGCCGCAAGCCCCCCCGCCTACGGCTCAAGACATGTACATCTATGCACGTCCGGTGCCCAAAAGCAGCCGGATGCGAGCATTGGCCGAAGCGGGAGGCATTAATCTGACTGACAAGCATCCGCGATCAGTGGAAAAGCAGGTAAGTTCTAAGGAGGCCTTCATTATCGAACATATTATTAATTTATGTTTAAAATAGAATACTTTGGACAATAATCGCAAGACGCACAAGGAATTGAAGGAGCGGGCTAGTCGAACGGCTCCTGCGAAGCGATCCGGAAACGAACGTGATATACCCACCACCATTTCGGACATGAACAGCTACGATTCGGCCAGCCTGGATGGTTTTGTGGCCCTGGACAGCAGCTCACCGCCGTTGATGCCCAAAGTGCAGGAAGGCGTCGGTAGTTTTGAGTCCTGGAACTATGTGTTCAAAAATCTCGAACGTTCGGGATACACCAAGGATTTGGGCGACCGCGAAGACTTGTTGGTGCAGAGCCTAGACCTGGACTCACTGGCCATAACTAATGGCGGATCAGCTCCTCCGGCGGAAAAGCGACGTGAGACCGCGAAACCCACTAACGGCGAAAAGGCTCGCACGCTGGAAAAAAAATCCGGAACGAACAGACGCGAGGCGAAGGTGGTGCTAGCTCCGGCGCCAGGTCCTCTCCCTAACAGCACCAGTGCCGGTGTGAAGAAGGTGAAGTCGGCACTGAAGACGGCAGTCGTGGACAATCGCGGAACAGGATCGCGGCATCGCACGGGAGCTGTACCCAAACAACCTCCGGCTGTGTCCCCGCAGCTGATCGTGACCAGTCCGAACGAATGGAGCTGCAGCTTCTGCACGTTCCTCAATCCGGACACCAAGCACATCTGCGAGATGTGCTGCCGCAGCAAGGACTTTAATCTAGAGGCCGCCTCGGCGGCTTCCTCTTCTGCGGCTGCAGCGGCGGCGGCCGGCGTTTCGCACGCATCCTCGACCTGCGTCTAGGAAGAACTTGTTCATCAGAACCCTCGTTAGTGATAAAAACAGTGTATAGCTTGATATATTTTTTATACGACCAATGTAAGCCTGAGCGCGTGTCTCCAAGATCTAGTCTCGTAATCGTCGTTCGATGGCAGGCAACCCTTTGTTATCCGGGTCCAAGCTTCTTGGATCAAAACGGATCGCGCTGCAGATGTGCAATATGTCTGCAGCATGTACATATGAAGTATTTTAATTAGTTACCCCTATTTGTAAACACACGCTTTAATTAGTTTTAGATTGTTTCCCCATTGTTAAGGGCGCTTCTGTTTCAAATTACGTGCCTCCCTGTATAAGTCATCTATATATATATATACAACACATACATACATATAGACATTTATATATTTGTACGTGTGCATGCGACGCGAAAAGCGAGAGAGTGAAATTCGAACTTGGAAATTTTCTAGGAAATCAACTGATAATTATACATATACCTTATACTAATAGTTGCATTCACAATACGTATTTCCGACAGTAAATCAGAGTACATAAAAGTTCTTGGCGAACCCAAGCGTATATACCGAAACTTGCGTAGATAGTACACCTATAGCCGTAACTTAAGCGATTTCAATTCGAAAAACCGAGCTAAGCATAACGCGAAACACAAATAAATCGAACAGAACTGGTACGGGTTGTAAACTTAAAATTTTTGATTCAAATTTTACCAGAACGGGAACGGAGTCGCAGCTCCGCTCTCCACCCAATGTGCATGGACAGCAGAAGAGTAAACCACAATTTGTAAAGCAACTCGCCATCCCACCCACACAAGCTATGTGACAATTTCCGAAGCTTATTTGTTTGTTGAAATGTTACTATTGATTACCTGCTGAAAGCATCCCGGTAGTATCGAAAAGCACTCGAGATATTTTTATAACGAAGCAAAACCACGTACCTATTGATCTATGTTGAATAGTTTATTATATTTCCTTGAACCTCTGTTAGCGTTTCGAGTCCCAAATTGAAATTAAACTTCACTAAAGCCATTTAGGCACAACCTTCGCTCAAACCGTTTTATTACATAACTTTGAATACTATTACGAAGTGAATTTAGTGGCAGCTCTTCCTAAACAAAACCCCTAACGAAGAAATAACAATAAATACAATTTTGACAAATCCTTGCCTTGTTTGACTGGGGGATTTCCTTTCAATGACCATCTCTCATTCACTTTTACTTCACATTCAAATTAACGTAAAGTTTTGCTCACAATGACTCTGATATTTGCCCTCCCAGTGATGCTGATCGTGGGCATGGTTTCTGGCTATAACTACTGCAACAACAAGACCCATGTGTGCGAACTGGGCCGAAGGAGGCACTTCATGTGCCAACTAGACGAACTTACGCCCTTCGGCAACCACACAAAGTTCCACGCCATTATTCCGGACACTCATAAAGTAATATTGGAGACTCTGGGCGTAATAAACACCTTCCGGAACGTGTTCGCGGGCGGCGAATTAACCACCAAAGAAAACAAGACGTTCAGCAGTGCCAAGCGGATGAGGAGGTTGAACTGGGACGATGAACTGGCCTACATGGCACGCACCCACGCCTCCACTGTATCATTCAAGCACTCTGAGTGCCGTGCCACCGTGAGATTTCCGATGGCGGGTGAGTGCTTGGGTCTTTTGGCTCCTTCAAAGAAAAAGATCGGTCTCCTGGAATTATTAAACAAGTTATTTTCCCCGATGTTCGACGAATATAAGGATGTCCCGGATCCGGATGGACTTCTCCAAAGTTTCGATTCTCAAAGGTGGGCAAAGCTCATGTTGGATTTTAACTTTATGCTTATCAACCGTTTTCACAGGGACTATAACGTGGGACACTTCTCTCTCTTCGTCAGTGACCGAGTCTCTCATATTGGTTGTGGTATTGCCGTTGGGTCCAACTGTAACTTGAACGGTAAAGCGGGGTGAGATGGTGATCTTCCCTTTGAGCCTTTGACCCTGAATAATCTCATCCCCCAGATTCTGCCACTTCCTGACCTGCCATTTCGACTACAGCAACGTGGATGGCTCCTATGTCTATAAGGCTGGGGCACCTGTAAGTGGCTGCTCGGACTGGAATACTGTTGGCAGTAACAAGTATAATAATCTGTGCGCGAATACCGGTGAACTCTTTCCTCCGGTAAGGGGATAGCCCATCGATCAGCATTATCCTAACCATTATATTTGTAGGACCGAGGTGACGAAAAGGCAGAAGCCCCATTGAGGCTTTCGTAAAATTAGTCATTTGTTATGATTGGCACTGCAGTCGTCTTCGGGCATCCTATGTCCCCATCCTTCCTAAACATCAATCAAATATATGTACAAGAATTTTAAATCAGTACAAAGTTCTTTTTTTCTTACTTCAAAACTAATCCAAGGTGAATAAATTCGAAGTAAAATGATTTTGCCATTGATTTTTGTATTACCCATTGTTACTGGCTACAACTACTGCAACAACAAAACGCATAAGTGCGTCTTGGAGAAAACCGAACACTTTATGTGCAGACTGGACAAGTATACTCCCCTCGAAAATGCTACAAAGTTGTATGCCATTGTTCCGGACACCGAGAGCCTTCAATTAAACATACTGAATATATTAAACCGATTCCGGAACCATTTTGCGAGCGGGGATCTCAGGACGGCTAAAAATATTACCTTCGCCCGGGCCAAACGGATGCGCACGCTCTTGTGGGACAACGAACTGGGGTACATGGCTCGTGTTCATGCTTCCACCGTATCCTACCAACACACCGAGTGCCGGGCCACCCTCCGCTTCCCGTATGTGGGCGAAAGCCTAGCCTTGCTTGTCCCTAAACAAAGTATCGAGATTCCTGAGATTTTGCAAAAGATGTTTAATACCATGTTTGACGAGTATCTTAATGTTGTGGATCCGGAGGGCCTTCTCTTGGGCTATGACCCACACAGGGACTACGACTGCGCGGACTTCACAAACATTATCAGTGATCGAGTATCTCGGGTGGGCTGTGGTCTAGCCGTTGGTTCCAACTGCCGCAGCGGGTCTTCAACCAAGTAAGTAGAATTAATAGGCAAAGGCTGGCGCTGTCTATATAAGATATGCCTATTTGAATTTCCTCCTCCTTCAGCTTCTGCCACTTTCTGACATGCCACTTCGACTTCACAAACATGGAAGGGTCATATGTCTATAAGGCTGGAAAGCCTGCTACTTGCGTCGACTGGAACACGAAGGGTAGCAAGAAGTTCCCCAATCTGTGTGATAACAATGGTAACCTTTTCCCCCCCGTAAGTTTGAGTTAATAACCTTTGAAAGTCATCACCTTCACCTAACTACTCTCTTTAGGATCAAGGCGATAAGTAAGACCCGTTTGCAAGTTCTCTAATATTTATAAGCTTTAATATTTTTAACTGTAATATTAATAGCATGTTCGTTTTCTTTCTAATCAGAACAAAACCCATACGCCCAACTATTGAGTAGCATATTTTCAGGTCTGTTTAAATTTGAAGTTAAGATGGTTTGGAATCTTGTAGTACATTTAATACTTCTGTTGCCACTGGCTTGCGGCTACAACTACTGTAACAATAAGACCCACATATGTGTTCTCAAGAATACTAAACACTTTATGTGCAATCTAAAGATGTTCCGTCCCTTCGCCAACCGGGCTAGGTTCCATGCCTCCGTTCCGGATAATTTGAAAATGCAAATCTTAATATTGGACAAATTGAACAATTTACGAAACCAGTTTGCCAGCGGGAATCTCCGGACGCGGAACAATAAGACTTTTGCTAGCGCCAAACGAATGCGCAGGCTTATGTGGGACAAGGAACTGGCGTACATGGCTCATACCCATGCCTCCACTGTGTCATACACACCCACCAATTGCAGGTCAACCTTGCGATTCCCCTATGTGGGCCAGGTCATTTCCCTAGTACTCCCTCCGGAAATGTCTGATTTAGAGCAAATAAGTTCTACGTCGTTTAACAAAATGTTCGAAGAGTATCTAAATGTTCCGGATCCTGAAGGTCTCCTTAAAAGATATAACTCTACCAGGTGAGCCTTTATAGATTCTCTGTAACCCAAATTTGAGACGCCTTCGTGCCGATACAGGGACCGATACATTACACACTTTACCACCATTATCAGTGATCGAGCCTCGCGAGTTGGATGTGGTATTGTCGTGGCTACCAACTGCGTTGATTACTACAAGTGAGTACGGCGTCTTCGGTGTTGACCTGTAAAGCTCGCTGCTCCTTTGTCACTCAGATTCTGTTACTTTTTTACCTGCTTCTTCGACTTCGACAACGTGGAGGGGATGTATGTATATAAGGCGGGTGAACCGGCAACATCATGTGACGATTGGAACGTGGTTAGCAGCGATAGATACGCCAATCTGTGCAAAAACAACGGCGCTCATTTCCCACATGTAAGTTAATGACAGACACTTTTAGCAACCATAACGCCATCATACATAATCCGCAGGACCAAGGAGATGAACCACATTGAAAGGACTTTAGTATGGTGTTTCATATATTCGTACATTTATATATTTTTGTATGCTCCCGCCTAAGAGTTCTGAGGCATAGGAGATCAACTGCGAATACCTCAAAAGATTACCATCCTTACAATTCCTACGATCCGTTTCAAATTAGTTGCTATGCTGATGCGAGTTCTGGGCTCTTTCCCTACACAGCTACATATATGGAAAATGTACTTGGTTGTTCGACTTAGCACTTCTCTACTCATTCTCATGTAATATCCTACTTCCATCTAACAGCTAACAGACTTAGTCGGTTCTTGCTTCTCTATCTACGCATCTGCAATTTTCAAGATAGATTCAAGTGATTTGTCGAGTGAAACCAGCTTCATCTATGGAAATTGTCTAGCGTACACGTAAAGCAAATTTGAACATTTAACGCTTCAACAATAAATAAGGACCACGTTAACCCTCAGACTAAGTTTTGCATATTCGTTTGTTCAAGTAAGTACTGTTCGTATAGTGATTTCGATGAAGTTAACTTAGTTTAGCGTTTGCAGAGTGCCTAGGCCGCCTGTTCGGGTCTAAAAACGAGCACAAAAGTGCCGACTAGCTTATTCTACGGTTTTGCTGATGTGGATAACATTGACTAATAGTGTCATCTATGCGGGCCTCTCCGGTTTCACCAGTACTCTCGCCAAGAACTCTACCAAAATGTTTTGAAAACGCTTAGAGCTCTGTTCGGAAAGTACCCGGTTTCAAAGGGCACTGGAATGCCGGTCACCCTGCTCCTGACCTCTCTCGAGGTCGTCCTCAATCTTCTACACTCCTTCTGTACATTTAGAAAAATACATATAAATATTAAGGTAAAAGCAGCTAGGGAGTACTTATGAAGAAGTCGGGATGACAAGCTCAAAAGGTTGGGCAAAATGATGTTCAAGAGTCTTTCGAATGGGATTATTACTCGTCAATTTTCAAATATTCAACCGTTCAAGCGGTTAAAGCCTCTAGAAAAAGAACACACTCAGGGATATTTAGATGTTCATCTGCAAGGTGGGTAGTATTACCTATCAATTAATTTCGTAATTCCTTCCTCTCCAGTTCAAATTGTTTTTAGCGATTCTCCTAAGTCCTACGGCTAACACCAAAAAATATATTTTTCCTCCCGATTCGATGGTATTTCCCCCCACTTTTAAAGCCCCTAAAGCGGCTGGCCAATTGGCATTCCATAAATGTTTCTTCCCGATTCCCTCTATGATAACATATAGTATGTCAGTGCAGCATTACCTTAAAATAATGTGCAAACATTCAGTGCTAATTACGTGAAGTGACGCTTCCCTCAAAACATGTACAATACAGATAAATAATTGTAGTTGTTCAGCAAATCCTCGGGGAGTCCGGTTGCCACCCCCTACAAAATATTGCATCCTGATCCGTGCATCACCTCGCTGATAAACATGGGCGTGCCAGCGCCCAGTCCTCCATCCGTCTTCTGATGCTCGTTCTGGAAGATTTCGGTGGGAAGTTGAAATTAAATATAAGTCTTATTTCTCATAAACTGAACTCACATCATCATAGTCGCAGTCGAAGTAATGGCTCTGACAGTCCATGCACCGACATTTTTCGGACATTTTGCAGGTTATTCCCCACTGCTTGGCCAGGTCCTTGTAGATCTCCTTGCTCGTCTTGTTGCTCATCATCTCCGGCGTGAGCAGGCTGGTGTGGCAGTCGGCCTGTTGACCCTGCTGGTTTTGCCACCCTCCACTCTGTCCGCCCCGGGATGCGTTCGATCCAGAGGCAGATACGTTGCAGCATGCCTCCTGGCACACCTGAGCATTCCCGGAACCAGATCCCGAACTCGCGTTGCCACCTATGGAGGTGAGTTTAATAGCACAATTTCCGGGTATTTACCTAGTCATTGGATCTTACCTTCAATGTAGTTGACGTAGCCTCGATTTAGGAGAGGATCGTAGAAGTTATGCTCCCCGCCTGAAGAGGCTGCCGCCTGGCTGCTGGTGCTTGCCGCATCCCCGTCGAAGGACGTCCCATGGCCCCCACCCTCGCCACAGGCTCGTTCCTCGCTGCACTGCACACACTGGTCGTCCTGGCACTGTCCGCTCTGATTCACGTCAGCTCCAGATATCCCCGCATATCGCTCTTCCTGGCGACGCGATGGAGAGGCTGACATCTCCGTCTGATCTTCGTTATTGCTCAGCAATTCCAGTTCGATGACGCCTTCAAAGATCTGCTCTCCGTCGTTATTGTTGTTGTTCTGGATGTGGATGCTGTGGTTTGTGGCACCGTTGTTGTTCAAATTCTGCCTGCACTCCGGGTCATTGCAGAAGTCTCCGGCATCTCCATTCCCGGCCAGCTGCTCTAGGGCGGCACTCAGTTGGGCTGCGCTGTGTCGCGAGCTGTTTGCCGAGCTGCGCCTGCTGTTCTGGTTCGGAGTGGCGCTGTCCAGGGAGAACTGTCGCTGATGCTGGGACAGCCGAGTGTTCTGGATAGTGGAAAATGTAAGGTCATGTGTCGAGTTATCCTCTAACTCACCTCTTCTAGTACATGCTCGTAGGAAGGCGGTGGGGTAGTGGGCACGGTATCCGCATCCGTGTCCGTCAATGACTCGTTGATGCACGGCGTGCGACTCTGGTTAAGATACCCTGCAAAAACGAAAGTTTAGCAGTCCTAGTTTTGGAACAATAATGGGACATACTCGACATACAATCTATCGTTAGCTTTGACTTTATTTAGGATATTCCAAAAAGAAGGTGAGTAAAACAGCTGTGAAAAGATTCGTGCATGGGCTAGATTTTATAAGGAAGAAAAGGATCTGCTTGTTACCCATAAATGTGTGTGCTTAGGCATGCAATATACTAATTGGTAAAAAATCTATAAATCTGAGACGACTAAATAAAGTAAATAAAGTACAAGTACCCCTTAGGGTAATTCAATTTCAGTAGATTTCCAATGCCACAAAACTCTGCGGTAACTTTGTTTAGTGAAAAGAAATAATATTTTGTATCTTTTTTTTATACTAATAAAGAGTTTCTTACAAAATAAACAAAACTGTTGTTCTCAGGCATATCTAATTCTTCGTTTTTGAAAACCCCTGTCGATGCCTGAGCTAATAAAATCATAGAATCGGTTTTGGGATATCCCAATTATAAAGCCCATTCGGGACACATTTGTTGTCTGTGTGCGGGATGCTACTGTTTCGTCCTTACCCAGTCGCATTGTGTTGTTTGTGGGCGGAAGGAGCAACTTGCGCTCGCTGCTCAACTGGCCGAGACTGCTGGTTTCCGCGAGGTCGAGGCTGGAACTGCTGCTGGCCTCCACCGCCTCCTGGAGAGGCTGCGAGTGCGGATGCGAGTGCTGGTTCTGCTGCTGGCTCTGGGCGCCCAGGAGCGCTTCATTCACCTGCGGGTCGGGGTCGTGCTCCTGCGAGGTGCTCCGTGAGCTGCCCATCCGGAACTTAAGCTTGAAGGGCGCCATGGGGGTCCACCTCCTCCTTCTCTGCGGCTGGCTAATGGTTACCTTTTTACTGCGATATCTGCTCTATTCGAACGGGCATTGGATGTTGCGGTCGACTTCACAACATCGAAAGTTACGGAAGAAGGTACAGAAATTACGGAAATTACAGAAATAGATCGAGTGAGAGAGATAACGAGAGGTAGGGAAACAGGAACAGGAACAGCTTTACAATACAGTTCTATATCACAGGTAGGTGGTGACTGATTACGAACAAAGAGAAGTAAACACGGATTTTACATCGGTTTTATCCAGATATTAATTGAGCTCTTTTCAGCTCTTCTCGCTTTTTGATTAATGGCATGCATTGGTTTTGATTTAGCTTACATATGGTGCAGTGTACAAAGCCAATTACCTGGTTGTCCGAATTCAGTGACCTGTAATTAGATTGTTGCAAATTTGTTAACTCGCCAAGCTAAATTACTGACAATTCTCATATCTTTAAAATATAACTTTCTTGTAGTTAATATTTTCTATATATAAAATACACTAACTGTTATTAAACTTTTGCTTATATTATTATAAAAGGTTCAATATTTAAAAAGTAAAACTAATTTTTAGTTTATAAAAGATATTCGTATGTATTACTATTTTTAACCCATCTGGTTTTCCACAAAGAAATGGCAATTGACCGCTTTTACACCCACACACCTGAGTTGTTTACAGTTTCTGAGACCACCTTGCCGCGCCTCTTTCCGCTTCCTTTGTCATCATTATGCAGATTGCACAAAACCCACTTTCACATGCCCACCCCAGGGATCCGAGAAGCACAAAGTCTGTCTTGGGTGGTGGCAAACTATTATTATGCTTATTGCGCCGAGAAAGCTCATTAAGTCCTGGGTAGAAACGTCCTTGTAGGATATACATGTGCACCCACATGGGATGCATGCATCCCAATTAAGCCATGTCTTTTCCCATCTATTTGCATACCGAATACCCATCAACTTATGATTGATAACCCACCCCGAACAGGTGAGAGAAAGCTCCGCATAATTCTGCAAACATTTATCCTGCCATATTTGCCGATAATAAACTGCCAATTGGCGGTGTTGACTCGGCAATCTGATTCATACGGTACTGCTGATTGGATGCACGCAAATCTCTGATCCCCTTCCCGTAGTCTCAGCCTCAGTACGAAAGCAGAACAATTGCAAGACCTCCAATCCCCTTTTCCCAAAAATCCTCCATATTCCAATAATTTTGTGTGCGAATTATTCTTGACTGCCAAATGTTTGATTTGTGGGCAGGGTAAAAAGTTCTGGGTTTTCGTATCCGAATCCTTATGAATATTGTATGGCATACACTCCACTTTATATGGTTTCAATTTCAAAAGAAAGGTAAAATTACAGTTTTTGTCATCTAGAAGTTTCTAGCGAGGTGACCTTAGATAGGCGATGTTGGTAGCAACAGTTGGCTTTCGGAGGGGTCACTCCCTCCTCGGGTGCATATGCATTTCCGAGTATCGGATTATGAATTGTTCATGAGTCGCGGGACATCGGGCGAGTGAAGAGCGCAGGAGTGCTTTAACATGGAAGCCAGCTTAATCTTTAATCGAAACTTTTGACTTTGAGCAATGGCAGAGCGCATTTGACATTCTCATTAATTTCACAGCAGACAAGCAGCGAGGAGCGGGAATTGCTCCCTAGTTTTACTGCCCGGACAGTTGTTTACGTGGTTGTGCCGTTCTGCAGTAAATTGTTTTTCCCTGCTCCTGTCGTAAACGGCGACATTAAAAACTTGACTTGACTTGGCCGTGCGATTGAGACGGTGCGGTTGCAGCTCATCCCAGTTGGATTGGACACCTTGCATCCTGCTGCCAGGACCAGAATCGCAATCAGAGTCAGGCACAGAATCAGAGCCAGAACCAGAGGTCCTGTCAAATGCAAAAGCGAACAAGTGCAGCCTGTTTACGTGCAATTGACGCCATCAAGGTCACTTCTTATCCCTGGCTTAGCCTCCCGCCGCTTTCTGGATAATGGTAACGATATTTAAATGTCCTTTTTCACAAACCCCCCTTCCATCACTCTTTCGAAGAGCTCGCCCTGATTAAAACGCTACCCACTTTGTGGCCATCAGCATAAAACATACACAGAGAGAAGCAACTTTGTCTGGCTGAGTCCCAACACCAGAAACATTACAGGCGAAAGTTTACTACCAAAAATTCCTTTTGGATGTTTTGGTATTCAGTGTTATATGAAAATAAATAGTAACATATATAAAAGAAGGTATCAGCTTGGAAATTTAGTTAATAATTGCATGATTGGTTATCATCGAAGTTCCTTAAACATGGAACTACTTGAGATATCTCTACGCAAGTCCAAATATACTGCATATGAGACGAGGATGAGTTTCTACTGAAAATGGTTGAGATCACGTTTCTCTCGGTGCACTAAAGTCGAATGGCTGGTCATAAAATCAGTCGGAAAGTGAGCTCTTTGCCATTATCGAGAAGCGTTTGCCGCGCGCGAAATGAATATTTTAGCTGGGTTTTTTACGCCCAAATGATCCTTGAAGTGCTTCGTGGATTTTGGGGCAGTAGCACTTGAACGTAGAGCGGGTGCGGCACAATTACACAAATTGGATATTAATTGGCTGCTCCTGCTCCTTTCCCGATACCGCTGACACTCGGACCGCAATTAGTGGACATCGAGGGGCGCCCAGGTAAACAAACGAAAGCTGGGGAATGAGATGGATTGATAGGGGGTGCCCTTCGCCCCAGGATATCAATATCGAGGCGGTGGCAATGATGATGGAATGCCTGGTCGGACATCCTAGCATGGCATCATCGCCATAAGGACAGATATTGCAGGCGTCGTTGGATAATGCGTCTGTCGTTGGAAAACTGATACCTAATTCAGCAAACAGCTTGGGGCTTGGTTGGTTGTGTGGGTGGGTCGGTCGTTTCTTGTTTTTCCTCCCATTATTCGCATTTTCCTTTGTGTCCTCACCGTTACGAAAAATCGAAAACACAGGCTACTGGGACTTGACAGCCTTGGAGAGCCGAAACAAAAGGATAAAAGCCTTACCTGTGAGGAATTTACTGCCCGATCGGATACAGATTAGGTCGAGGCCCAATAGAGGACTTTAGGTTATTCTCGATTTCTTTGCAGAACAGACGATTATCGCCTTTCCACATCGCGTGTTGCGACGAATTCGCTTTTTTTCAGGACTCACAATAATCCACTGGGCCTTGTGATTGCCGCAGACTGTGGAAAGCTAGACAACGGTACAAGCTTTTATTGTCCTACGATGGCAATGAGAGCTTTTTTTGAGGAGCACACAGCTTGCGAAAGCCCTGCGCCTGCGTTCTTTCTCTTCCGGCTTTTGTCGTCCTATGTTTTGCTTCGTGCAGACCATCCTCGCATATTTTGCTTTGAGCCCGAATTCGCGTGAAAGCCCACGGATGATAGCCATCCTGCGTCCCCAACCCCTAGCTACAGTACTTAGGCCCAGAAACTACCAGAGAATACCCATCGGAAGACCTATAAAATTAGATATTAAGACCAACTATTATAAGCAAAAATATATGTTTTTTGAACTTATAAAATATATTTCAGTCAGGAATACCTTTTCACGTTTATACTGATTTCGATAATCAGCTCGTTCGAGCCTCATCCCCAGTTTTAATTAAAACTTTGTCTTGACTATTGCTGATATCTAGTTTATTAAATTAAAAGTGTTTGTTATTAAATTTGAAGACTCGAAGTCTTTTTTAAGCAATGTAATCCAAAAGGTGCACTCATTTTGGAATTATAAAATTTTAGATTTCAGATCAGATTTAGTATTCTTTTACATAAAATGTAATGTCAACACTACCGCCAAACTTTCCGTTTTTATCGAAAACTGTAAGACTAGCGTTGTATTCAGATGGTTCAAAAAACCAATCCCTATTCCACTTTTCAAGGAGGACCCTGACGTCTTTAGCCCAGTAAGTGCCTTTTGGCAAGGGGCACAGCTTTTCTTTTAAAACAAAATTGGTGTTTTCGCCGGTCTGCAATGTGGTATTGATATATGGAGCGTAGAACTTGGCAAATGTGTCGCAAATGGGAGTCTTTTGAACTGTCACAAGACCCCTATACAGTGGCTCATCCTTATATATGCTAGATATATTGACCGTCACCGTGTGCTCATTAGTGAGGTCTTCCAGTAATGTGACATTTCCTGAAACTACTTTAAGGCGTTTATCAGCTTCTGTGGGTGCACTTCTCCAATAATCCGATTTTAAATTTGGGATAATCAAGGATCCTTTGGATTGTCTCAAGGATTCAAGATATACCTCGTTAGCGCTCTAAATTGATAGGAGAAGGTTAAAGACTGGGTAAACAATGCTGCGAGAATACTTACTGCCAAAGCAGCAAACAAAACGAATAATAAAATCGATAGATTTGTCCTCATTTTGGGTTTAACTCTAAACTGATCAATAGAACGGAAGAACCGGCTTATTTATACACCTTTCATTCTGTTTTTAGGCTCGTGAGCTTGCCAATATTAGTTATTATAGCTAACCTTACAACTCATGATCTCAAAGATCATGTCCATGCATAATATGAGTGTGTTATATTATGAATCCACACAGTCTAAAATTGAATGAAAAGATAGTATTTTATTGCCTTACAAATAATTTGAAGATCATACGCGTGCATACTATGATGGATGCATTATGCATGCACTTAAGCTTGAAATTGAATTAAAAGAATTCAGTTTGTCTGCAATACTAATGTGTAAACTTTAAAGGAACATTTTTCTTAGGAACACGAAATGTAAATATCAATATTTTATTTAACTATTATTTGATTTTTTTTGGATTTCAAAAGGAGTCGTGGATCATTTTTGTACCGCACAAATATTTCGCTTTTGAAAACATCAAACTTCCTGCGATTCGCATTATTCTGCTGCTCCCGCCAAGCCGGCCTAGCCTGCTTCCTTTGCAATCCCCAATGGCCGGTAAAAACAGGAGAAAGAACATAAAACTGATACCCAGCTATATGCATCTCATAAACCTAAAAATAAATTGTACGTAAGTGAGTAATCCTGACACATAAGACCTCTTCTAACTCACTTGGGAGTTTCTGGTAAACCCGTAGCCCAGGAATCTTTCGTCGTGTGCCGGTGCGTTGTCAACAGCTATGTAGAATGGTTCATACAGAAATTCAAAGTTTGTGACGATATGGCTGACAGACACCTCCGTCTCATTTGTGTTTGTAGACAGCCATCTGAGAAACAAGTATATACATTTAAAGCTTTGTTTTCCTAACCATAACCGTGAGCCACTTACTTGGAGAAGTTAGTTGCATATTGGTTGTAGATAAAAACTTTTTCGTGAAAAGGTCTAGCTAATCCCTTCCTTATCAATCGCATGAGCGCACTCTTGGAACGGGGAAACGTTGCTCTCACGTCTATTTCGAAAGTAGGGATTACGTAGGCACAGTTTTTTGAGCAATTGGCTGTCCTGAAGAAGTGGTTTAGCTGTGGAACACTGTTTGTGCTGGGCACAATGTCGATATCGGTGAGAAAGACATATTTAGTCTGACAGCCCTTTCGTGCCAGGTTTCTCATGTGGTTTTGGGGATAAGTATTCCTTTGCCGCCACTGCAAAGTTTTTAGGGAACGGAACTTAAGTAGAGACTTCAGGGTTCGATCCGGATACTGGCAATCGAATTTGCCCTTCATGTTTAGGGGAAGGGCTGCCACTCGAGGCAATTTGTCGTAGTCCTTCGGCGTGAGTAAGTGAAATGTGGCATTCTCGCGTATGTTGGCAAAACACAGGCGCATATAGGTTACAAAATATTGCAATACAACAAACTCCTCATGACCAGCTGCAAAAATGGCCACGGACATCTTGCCTTGCCAATTGGCAGCGACCTGGGGCAGTGAATTTAGACGCTCCACCGAAGTCTGGGTGGCCAAGCAGACTAAACTGCCGTCCGATGGATCCACGTATTGCTCGCCTAGCAGAGCAAAGTCCTTGATCCTGTATAGTTGCTGATTGTCCCAGCGTCCATAGCTCAAGTTAATGTTTTCGAAGGCGAGCATTGCCGAGTTATTTGGAACCACAAGACTGTCCAAGTTGTTCAGAGGTTGCAACAGAGCGTAGGCGATATCTGAATGCTAGGGGCACTCTACTGCCGCAGGACTTCGAAGAGTGTTTTCCTGAACGTCTATGCATTTCTGACTGCCATCTCTTGCTGGAGGATACACCTTCATAAGCCAAAAGATATTGACTGAGAGGAAAGCCAAAACAATTTTCAGCGAAGTCCAGTTTGATATGTAGCACTACGAGAAAGGACGATTGAATCATAATTATATATTTTTTGTATTCCTTAAATTACCATTATTCAAGTGATGCGAGTATCGCAAAACAGTTATTAATCAGGAAAACACAACCTAAGGACATTAAAAATATCCTAGCAGTGTGACCGTAGCTTTTTAAATAAATATACCTGACCGTCAGTTATACTTACTAAAAAAAGTGGTTCTACTCCAGTTCACCTTTGGCTATATTGCAATGGATTTTTAAATAATATATATAATATAATATAATAATAATCATTAAATAGCAAATTATTTTAATATATATTTAAACTTTAACTACAATAAACTAGTTCTGAAAAAACTGTCGCATCCAGATTGGGCTTACGCATATAATTTATAAGCTTCATAAATACCAAAATCTTATCTTATTATATACAACTAAAATGAGCGCTTTTTTCAATTAAAAAAGAACAGTTTCATTTCACATTCGTTTCGATAAATATTCCCAACAAGACGATTCGTGTAGTAGGTCCCCACAAAACTGGTCACTCATCATGCAGTCTAAGCGTTCAGCAGGGCAAACTTTGTTCATATCTATGTAGAGTAATGTATACATTATATACAAATATACATGTTGAAAACAGCGAGAAAATAAATCGAGAATAACATTTTAAACTAATTTAAAAACAATCTAAAGAACCTGGTGTTCGAAATAAAAGTGACGAAAGTGATAAACCAAGAATCTCAAAGTCGAACACCAATTAAAAGAACTTTTTAAACGTACATATAGAAAAATATCCATATGTATGAAATAATAATAATTAGAAGCCTGTGTTGTTAAGTGTTTTAACTTAAAATCTTATTCGCCGGCTGCATGTAAATGTATGTAAGATTTTAGGTTTCCCAACCTAAGAAAAAAATGTTCGGCTAGTAATTAAAGACCAAATCTCCCAAGTTAACATGTACATATGTATATATTTAAACTTGTATCTCCTATAGTTTCTGTGCCGACCCTTGCTTTGAATTGTCCTTACACGGTGTATCGAAAATCGGATTGTAGAAAAACCGACTGATTTAACATTGTAATGCCAAAAGTCCGGCCCGGTTAAGATTTCAGTATGTACTTCGGTATAAGAGTATGTAATGTGCATGCATGTGTGGATAGTACACGGAAATGAAAAGACAAATAATACTCTCAAGTCCGCTAATGTAAGAACGCGATCGTTCTGTTACTATATAGGTGACCAATAGGTAAGAGCCTTCAAAAAATTACGACTTTGTATTCCATCAAGGGGATGACCAAATTTACACCTGTATGTATGTATATACATATGTACGTATGTAGGGGTGCTGCAGATAAGTGTCAACAGTCAAGAATTTATCCATGCCAAGTAAATAGCGATCCCTAATATTCATAAAATAGAGATGTTCGGTCTACCTACCCACCTTCTCCCAGTCTCTAATGGATACCGAGTATTACAACGCCCCTCTCCCCGAAGATTTGTTAACTGCTTTTATGACCTTTGCTAGCGATGGGAAAAACCGGGTTTGTACTATAAAACCCATCTATCTTCATATCGTTAGAAAATCATTTGTTATCCTGGTTATTATAATCAAAGTTATATGAAAACAATCTAGTTCACAGCATTCTAAAGCAACTTTTTTTCCCCAGGGATAAGTCAGAAGAAAATATGGAAGAGTCGAATCCCAATTACGATGTTAACCAAAGATTACAAAAGCCGGAGAGTTGGCCAAACGCTAATGAATATCATCCCTCGATGATGTTTCCGGAGGACCCAAGACGGTACTTCCACAATGCTCCAACCGAGCCCCAGCCTCAGCCTCAGCCTCATCCTTCCATTCCCATACCAACACCGATACCAATCGATGGAGCCGTAGAAATACCCGCTAAAATGCCACAATACTGCCCCGACATCAGCCAGCCAGTGGATCCCGACCGGATCATAAATCCTCTGGCTGAAGTGTCTAAAAACACAGTACCTTATGGCCACAAACGAAAGAATTCTGCGGCAGAAGATCAGGCGGCGAACAAGAAGATCAGTCTGGCGGCCGCGGAGGAGAAGAAAAACAGTCACCTGCGGAAAAACATACGCGACGTGATGAATGAGAACAACCTAGATACAACTACGCTGGCGGCCCAGCGTGAGGAATCGGAACGCTTGGCTCGTGTTGCTGGTCAACAAAAGTCAATGCGAGAGATCCAAAAGCAGGTGGTCCACAAGCAGTTCTTCCGCATCCTCCAGCTAGACGAGAGTGAGGGCATCGAGAGCTGTGCTATTGCCAATCCCACCGAGCACCACCCGCCCGTTGACTTTCCAGAGGAAGACATCGCCTCAGACACGTTCGACGAGTCGAACAGCAGCGGTTTGAGCGGCGGAAGCATTGATGATGTGCTGCACAAGGAGGCCAGTGTGCAGCAACCTAGCGAGGTGGTCACAATCGACGACAGCTCCGACGACGACTGTATCCTCCTGTCCGAGGAGGAAGAGGAGGATGACGAGGACCTGAACGAGTCGGACGACGCCACTAACAGCGGGATGCACGTTAAAGATCTTTACAATGTTCCCGACGAAAACGGTCAGGTTGTGGTCAACATGGCGCATCCGGAAGGGGAGGAGACTCTGTACCTGGCTCCGCAGATAGCCAAGGTGATAAAGCCGCACCAGATAGGCGGCGTGCGCTTTCTGTATGACAACATCATTGAATCCACACGGAGGTACAACAAATCGAGCGGTTTTGGCTGCATTCTGGCCCACTCCATGGGCCTGGGCAAGACGTTGCAGGTTGTTTCCTTCTGTGATATTTTTCTGAGACATACATCGGCGAAGACCGTGTTGTGTGTGATGCCCATTAACACACTGCAGAACTGGCTGAGCGAGTTCAACATGTGGGTGCCGCGCTACTCAACAGATAGCAATGTGCGAGCCCGAAACTTCGATATTTACGTCCTCAACGATCAGCAAAAGACGTTGACGGCGCGGGCTAAAGTGATCCTCAATTGGGTACACGATGGAGGCGTGCTTCTGATCGGCTACGAACTGTTTCGCCTTCTGGCCCTCAAGCTGGTAAAGACGCGCAAGCGAAAGGGCAGCATCATTCGACCAGATGGCATGGACTCTAGCAGCGATCTCATGAACCTAGTGTATGAGGCCTTGGTAAAGCCAGGGCCTGACTTGGTGATCTGCGACGAAGGGCACCGTATCAAGAATTCGCACGCTGGCATCTCGCTGGCCCTGAAGCAGATAAGGACGCGGCGTCGCATTGTACTCACTGGTTACCCCTTGCAGAATAACCTGCTTGAGTACTGGTGCATGGTGGACTTCGTGCGACCAAACTACCTGGGCACCCGCACGGAATTTTGTAATATGTTCGAGCGGCCTATTCAAAATGGTCAATGCGTGGACTCCACTCCGGATGACATCAAGCTTATGCGCTACAGGGCACACGTGCTGCACTCTCTTTTACTGGGGTTCGTCCAGAGGCGATCGCATACAGTACTGCAGCTCACACTGCCCCAGAAGTACGAGTACGTCATCCTGGCTAAAATGACCGCCTTTCAGCGCAAGCTTTATGACACCTTTATGACCGATGTGGTGCGCACGAAAGCCTTCCCCAACCCTCTAAAAGCCTTTGCCGTGTGCTGCAAAATCTGGAACCACCCAGATGTTCTGTACAATTTTCTGAAAAAATGTGAGACTGATTTAGATTTAGAAATCGACGAGGAGGTATCCAAGGGCGCTCCCACCCCAACAGTAGAGCCCAGTCCAGATCCTTCCCAGAGTGTGGCTTCTCCTCTCGAGAAGAAAATCAATGGATCTGGAGAACCGGCCAATAGTATCGACACATTAGCCAAAGCCGAGAATCAAACTTTATTTAATATTCCCACATCATCGGATTTGAATGCAAAATATTTAAATAAGAGGTATGGTATATGCTAAAAATATATTTTAATATTGGACTTCATATGGATATTTTTTTCTTTGCAGCCCTAGTTTCTACGATGAAAAGCCGGAGCCACTCAACTATGGAACTTTCGGTAGTGAGGGTAAAAACAACTACTGGATGGATTCCAGCATTCTTCCCAAGCCGGGATGTGTAGAAGTCATTAAGCAAACGGACACGAACATGTCGAGCAATTTTGAAAGTATTACGGGGTCCTCGGAAATCGTCGATCTTGACACAAACGAAATAAAAACGGTCGAAACGACAATACAAACGCCGTGTTCCAATAATCAAATAGAAAATGAGTGCAATCCTAGCAAACCAAGTGAATGGAATGCCACGGGCATAAAAAACGTTAGTGGAGTAGCTGCCGAGCCATTTAAAAAGTTGCTGAAGAGTAAGCGAAACGACGAATTCTCATGTTCGTGGGCTGTTGATATAATGAAGAACTATGTGTCAGGCCTAATATCGAATTCGCCCAAAATGGAGATTTTCTTTTGCATCCTGAAGGAGAGCCTGCATTTAGGAGACCGTATTCTTTTGTTTAGCCAAAGCCTTTTAACCTTAAATTTACTCGAAGTCTATCTCAAATCTAGTTATGTTCCTGGTAGTAATCAACTTTGGTCTAAAAATAGTTCATATTTTCGTAAGTATGCATATCAAGCGTCTTGTAGTGCTTTTAACCATGTAGTTCGGTTTCAGGTTTGGATGGTTCAACTTCCTCGCAGGAAAGGGAAAGGCTAGTCAATGAATTTAATGCAAATAGTAATGTTAAACTTTTTCTAATATCAACAAGAGCCGGCTCGCTGGGTATAAACCTCACTGGAGCCAACCGCGTTATAATATTCGATGCTAGTTGGAACCCCTGTCACGATACACAAGCTGTATATAGGATTTATAGGTGACAGTTCCCAGATTAAATTTTTAACCAAGATATTAACTTTAGATAACTCTCCGATTTCCAGATATGGTCAGACAAAGCCGTGTTTCGTGTACAGAATCGTAATGGATAGATGCCTCGAGAAGAAGATTTATGATAGGCAAATTAAAAAGCAAGGAATGTCCGATCGAATTGTCGATGAATGCAATCCCGAGGCACATCTTTCAATGAAGGATATTACCAATCTCTGCCACGACTATGATTCCGATGAAGAAACAGTCGAGGAGGTAAATAAAACAGTTGACGATTCGAGTAAACCAAGCTCGCCGTCTGAGGAGGCCAGTAAGCCAGCAAGTGACCAAATTAAAAAAGAAGACGATCAAAATATGTCCTTAGAGGAGCAAAATAAATCAAATGAACATAAAACCTCACTTGACGAACAAACTGAGTCTAAATCACTTAACGGCGCCTCCCAATCGCCAATTAAGAAGGAAAAGGATGATGGTCCGGAATGTGTTGTTCACGCCGACTCAATTATAAACACAATTCTGGAATTGCATAGACACTGTGTGACAAAGGAACCGTTCTTGCATGAAAGTTTGTTGGTCGATCAAAAGGATAGAAAATTGTCGCAAGCGGAAAAACGGCAAGCTCATCGAAGCTACGAGCTGGAAAAGAAAGCTGCCGTCAATCAGAGGTGTGCTTATGCGCCTGCGAAAATGCACTATAAGATCGTTAACAACGATGGAACTGTAATTACTAAACCGATAAACCAGGTAGGTAGATTATGAATATAATTAATCAAATATTCTAAAAATTTGTATTTTCACTCTTATAGCAAATGAAAACTAATACGTCGTCTTCAAGTGGCGCACGATCGACTAGATGGATACCGGCTGACGTTTGGCAGCGTCAGGGGATGACTGCACAAGAAATGACCCTACCTCTTGGTAAATTATAATTAACTAAATATCAACTCTGATCATTTGCTAACAAATATACATTTTAGATGTTGTCATTCCAACAAATTCAGCCGACAAAGCCAATATAATTTTAAAGGCTGGTCAGCGAGTTATGGTTCTAAAGTCGGCAAAAGGAATATACATGCAGCTGGATAGCGGGAAAATTATAGCAATAAGGACTACGGCAAAAACAGAACCCGAAAAGACAAACAAGGACGATGTGATAGACATAACTTCCGATTGTGACACCGATACCGTAAAGCCCCAAACGCCAGAAGAAGGTAAGCATAACAAAATTGAATTGAATTGAAGTAGATAATATTTATGTGAATATCTTTTTAGATGTAAAAGATCTGACTGCTGATGACGAACCTCATGTAGTTAAAAATAAAGAATGCACACCAGCAACCAATAGCCGGCTAGAAATATCTACAAAGGATCGAAAATGCACGGAAAATATGCAACATTTTAAGCCGCAAACACAACCAAATACTACTTTATCCACACCTTCAAATCAGCATCAGATGCCTTGTGACTTAAACTACGCACAGCAGTCGCAACCACAACAACATCAACAGCCGCAGCAGCAACAGCATCAGCATCAACAGCCGCAGCAGCAACTACCACAACAACAAACGTCACAACAAGCACCTCCGCAGGCGTACAAACATCAGAATCACCTGCCGTCTGCCGGAGAAGGTTACAACAATGCCAATAGTATTCAGGCCAATGCGCCACTCCCACAGCATCCAGGAACTCCAAGCAGCGAGGCGGTGCCTTCGGCGGATAGTTCGTACTTTCAGCCCAAACCCTTCCAGCACTCATATCCCCCGCAATACTACGATTACTATGACAATAAGCACAAGGCCGCACCGCCAGCTTCCGGTTACCACATCAATAACTACACCTCATACAGCAATCTGAACTTCGCACCGTACCATTCCAATCTGCATCCTCCAGCGAGTTACATCGGTGCCCCGTCGTCTTATGTGAACTCGAATGTTTTCCCCCGGCAGCATTGGAGTTCGGTTGTAAGCTCACCAGCATCGAACGAGCCCATTCGACAGCCATCGTACATTGGTAGTACTTATCCCATCAACGAGTGGTCGTCGCAATAGCGAGTGTAAATAGACTATGGTCCAATATCTCCGTGTCCAGTTCAGGGCAAAGCCAGTTTAACGAGCTCAAATATACTCAGACTAACTTTTAACTAATTACTTTATTGTTTTGTTTCGCATTCGGTTTCTAGCGAAGCATTACTGTATAGAAGGTTATGATTGTTTATTTTACATTCTTGAATGTACTCACAAAATTCTGCCGACCCCAAGTTACAGACGCCTAAGAAGTAACCTGTTCAAACGAATCATTATAATTATATTAGATAAATAATGAGATCATATAAGTGATCACTAAACCATAAACAATGCTTCCTATAATAATTAAATTTCGATTTTACCAATGACTTGTGGCTTGCAAACTTTATTCTTTTCCAAGCAATAATTAGTTACTTTGTCGTTCAGGTGTTACCTTGACTGGACAAAACGAGCTCGGCCTTTATTCCTTACCATTATTTTCCTCTAATTTATTTATCTTACCATAGTGAATTCTTTTTAAACGCATAATTACGATAAGTTATTAGTTTTCATTATGAAAATCACAAACGAAAACTAAACAAATATTCATAGTTTGTGACATACTATTTAAGCAATCGTTCTACCCAATTGTATTTAAACTAGATGCCCACGAATAGAAAAACTCATACGAAATAACATTCGGAAATCAGTCTCTTTTTGTTAAGGGTAGCAATGCCCCAATAAAGGAAACTAAAACAAACATTGACATTAGTCTAGATAATAGCACATTCGAAATAATAAACAAGCTTTGATTAAACAATGTTAGATCTAAGCAATAAAGAGAAAGTATTAAACCGGACGCGCTCGCTTTTGTTCATAAAATTGTCTGATTGAGTTGTTAAATTGACGTAATATATATTTATTTACAGCACACATTTTTATACAATCATACTCAATACAATAACATATAAAATGTGCGCATCTATGATCTGCGAATAGAACCGTTCAGAGGTAAGTAGGGGGAATACGTGGGGTACATCGCATTAGCTGGAGTGCCTCGCTGCAGCACGCAGGCATCCTGGTACTGAGATTGCATATTCATCATCTGCATCGGAATCTGCGAGTTGGGGTATTCGCTCCCCGAGCTGTAGCTTCCAGTGGGCGGGGACTGTTGCGGCGACATTCGGTAGCTGTTGATGGCCCCATAGGGAGCCATCAAATTCGGAGTGAGGTGTACATTTGCGGTCCGGTTATTTCCGCTTCCCATAGGTGTCGAGGTGTGCTGAACCGGGGCCGAGGGGGTGTTGCGGGTGTTCCGGCTCGTGTTCTGCGCCGACGTGATGGGCGGGATGTTCATGTTGCCGGGATAGTACTTGTACTGCAAAGGAGTCACTTGCGCCTGCAGCATGTTTGGCGGCGTGGAAATGTTCCTGTTCTGCATCAGCAGATGTGGCGGCGGTGTCATCGAGTTCGGCGGAAGGGGATGGTGAGGTGAGGGGGCCAGGTTCACCTGCGCTCCTGGTGATGTGTTGCACGGCTGGCTCTCCAAGCAGTTGGTAAGCTGTTGCAATTTGGTCAGACTGCACAGATTTCCAGCCAAAGAAGCTGTTGCACCGGTGCTATTAGCTGCGGTAATTGAATCCTGCCCCGCCTGTCGCTGGTCATTGTTGCCCGCCGATGGTGGACCACCCAGCGAACTAGACACCGGCACCCGCGGCGTATTCTCGGCAGTCGGCATATTGTTTTGCAAGTAGAAATTGTTAACCGCACACGCCGAAGAGGGTTGCTCGATACGCTGGTGGGTGTTGGCCAGCGAGTGCACGGAACTATTGAGTGACATCCGCTGCTGGATCACCGCTGGCATGCCAACAATGTCGTAGTTCGAAGGATTCGAGGAGAAGTTCTGACTGATTTGTGGAATGGGCACGTAATCGATGGGCTGCATATTTTGCTGGTGTCCATGCTGCGAAAACTGCAGGTTGTGCAAGGAGTCGTGATGCGACTTGGAAATGTTTGTCGTTGCTCCACCCTGGGGAATCTGATGATGAGTATTGGTTGTGGTTGTCGCTGGCGCTGCGTTTTTTGCGTCACGTTGCTGGGCATTTCCGCTGCGGATTTGCTTGGGGGTGGTGGCTCTATGAGAAGGTGTCGGTGAACTAACTGCGATATCCGCCTAAAAAATTAAAGAAACATTAATTATTACATAAAAGAAATATAGGAGATGAATTACCTGGGTGTTCAATTTTCTGCTTTGATGCTGGTGCTGCGGATTGTTTAAAAGATTGATGTTCGCCGAACCTTCCGGGGCCAGATTCATATTCAGGTTACTCTGCTGCTGCATATGGGAGTTCTGGATGGACATGTGCATGGGCGTGGTGACTGGTTGGTTCTGCATGGAACAGTCAGAAAACTGCCTGTGGGGTGGATGCATGTGAACATTTGACCCCGCTGCAATTTCCTGGGAACCGTGGGCGATAGCGGTGCCAATGTTGGCTGGCGAGTCCATGTTTATTTGCGCACTGATTCCGCAATCATAGTGCTGCATAGCCGAGTTAGTCGAGGACTCCGTGTTGTACACCATATTCGGATTGACGTCGGATTGGCCACCGCCCCCTTGAAGATTGGCATGCTGGGCGGCGGCGTGAATATTGGGATGTCCAATCTTATTAAGCTTTCCCTCGCGCGAAATGACCGAAGTTGAATTGACGCCATGCTCGACTTTTTGCTTTGCAGAGACACTTCCAGTCTGCGAATTCACTGCATTAGGCATCAGAATAGTCGAGTCAGCAGGGTTGGGGTTAGTCTGTCGTGGTACTGGATTCTGGACATTGGCCAGGGACTTCATTTGTTGCGCCTGCTTCTGTTGAGAAGCGCATTTTTGATTGTAGATTGCCGCCTGGTTGTTGGACGCGTACTCGTTGCAGTGCTGGACATGTGCATCCTCGCGGGCATTGCTGACCACATTGACACTGGACAACACCTTGGTCTGCTCCTCCTTCTTGCCACTATTCTTGCGTTCCACCTTGTGCTTCTCCTTGGTCTGTTGCATCTGGTGATGGTGGTGTTGCATGGCCAGGTTGGCGGACTGATAAAGGTTTTGCGTAAAGTTGTGCGTGTAGGCCATTGTCGTGGCTAGGTCTTTATGGAACTGCTTCTGTCCTTTTTGTGATGCAGCGTCTAAGTGCGAAAGATTATAGCCGTAGTACTCCCACTGCCAGTACTGCGAAGTGTGATAGTTAGGCATTTGATTGATCTGAAACTGGGAGGGAATGGAGTTCTGCAACTGGGCATGTTCGTTGCCCTTCAGTAGGTTCTTGTCACGAATGGGAATGGGAGCCGAGGGCGCCCTTACATTCGTCTTTTCCTCCTCCTTGACTTGCACCAGTTGTTGGTCTGATTTAATAACCTCCTTTTCGGGTGCAGCTTTCACTTTGCTGGGATCGAATTTCTTTTCGCCGCTGTTGATTTCCGGCTTTACAACTGGTACCTCCGGTACAGATTTTTTAATCGCCTTCTCTTTTATGTCGGAATTTTCCTTGACCATCGGATGTTCTACTTTTTCCGGGGCGGGCTGTACCGTCTGTGGAACTGGTTGCTCAACAAGGGATGGAACCTCAGTACGGTTTGATGGTGGATTGGACACAGAGTTTTCGACTCTTTTCACCCTTTCCACTTCTGGTAACTTTTGTTGAATCTCACTAGGTTGTGCGGGCGTGACTTCCTTAGCTTCGGGCAGTGGCTTTTGAAAGGGCACCGCTGGCGGAATGGGTGCTGAGTCAGGCGAAAACTTTAAATAGTTCACGTCCAACTCTAGTTTCTTATCATTCTCGGAATTTGTAAATTTTTCCGTATCAACAACAGGAGGAGCATTTACCTGCTGCAAAACGGGCGCTGCATCATGTTCCGGTTTTTCGGGAGTCTGCGGCTTAGGCTTGGGATCAGGCACTTCAATGGGTTTAACCTCCTTTATGATAGCATCGTTTGGACTTTCTTTCGGATCAAGGCTATTCACTGTTGCCTTATCCAGAGCTTTATACTTCACATCATCAGAGTTGTAGGACGTTACATCGGAAAACAAAGTTTTCTTCGTTTTCTTAGCCACTGCATCCAAAACTTGGTCGCTCACACTGTTGGCTTCGCCCTCGTTCTTTGCCGATTCTTGGTTTTTCTCTGCAGTTTCAGTTTTCGGCACCCTAACTAGCTCCTTAGGGGTTTCCTTGGCTGGACTGATAGACGCAGCTTTGACAGGCTCTGATGGATTAGTGCCATTGAACTGCGATTCCTCAGAGCGTTTTCCATTGGACTGCTTACCTCGCAGTTTGGGTACAATGTTGACCGGTTTGTCGACATGCTCCTTTTCCGAAACATTCTTGCAGATCTCCTTGACAGCAGTTTCCTCCAATTTGGGGCCATAATCGGGTTCCAAAATTTCAGATTGGCTTTTAACCGGAAGACTCTCGTCGGCTAAAGTCGCATTGTTTTCAAGCGGCCGGTCGAAATGCTTTCTTTTGTTGGTGTGGGGGATTAGGTCGTTGCGTTTGGCCAGCCTTTGAGCTCTTTTCGTCAACTGCTCCGAAAGTTCCTTAGAAGATTTGCAATCCGATGAGTCGGACAGCTCGCCAAGGGACTGGTCCTCAAGTGCAGGCTGTGTTGCAGACATCTTGCATTTTTTGGCCTCATTCGGAGCTGATTTTAAGAACTCTTCTGGGCATGCACGTTTTCGCTGGATTTCTCTCTCGTCAACAAATTTTTCGGAGCTGGGCCCCCGATTCTTTCTTTCGGGACTTTCTCGACTCGAATTCGGGGCACTAGAAACACTTTGCTTTGAGCTTATTTTGTTGTCTTCAGAAATTTCCTTAAAATCACATTTTTTCTCAATTTGGTTGTTTAAATATTCCCGATTGGAAATTGGCTTGATTATGTTGGGTAATTTCGACACCGATAGTAATGGACTCCATCTCAAGCAGTCTGCTTCTATGATTATTCGAGTTTTGCTGTTAGCCATTTTGTTATGGTGAGCCACAACTTTCTTCCAGTCGATTTTCACATTAATCTGATATCTTATGTCGCCATCGTTTTTTCTTAGCTTAATAAAGTTTAATAATTCAAAGGCCAAGGCAATGTCAGAAATAGCAAGACCCGTCTTAATGGCTATATCCTTAAAGGTTATTTTGGTGTGGTTGCGATACTTGTACAAGTACTCCAACACAACTGATTTCCAGTATGAAAAGTAAGAAAGACGTCCGAGGTCAGATAGAGGTTTTTCCGGAGTGCCCAACTGTCCCTCCTCACGACTCAGCAGATAACTGAAATCAATAAGAAACCGTCCATATCCTTGCCTCTGGTATTGCGGCATCGTCAGGATGCAGGACACGTTGTACTTTTGAGTACAGTGCTTTTCCTTTGAGAAGTAACCAACCAGATGGCATCCGCTTTGATCATTCTTAGTCAAAATATAAAATAGAAAAGGTTCCACGTCGTAATATAACGTTTTGTGGTCCAAAAAGAATTTGGCCAACAGGCACAAATTTTGGCAATATATCTTGTTAACGTTGCCATCCACCTCGAATACCGATATGTTTCCTTGTCTGAATATTTCAGTACCCGGCGGCTGCTTCCAAATGCACTTGTTTTGATGCCTATCCAGTACCGAACGACTCTTCGTGTATTTAAGGCAGAATTCGCACAAAAACAATTTCAATAGCCTGGCGTACTCTTGAGGAAAGGGACTGGAGTACCAAGTTTCAATGTCCCATTTTCCAATTTGAATCGACTTGGGACTCTGGGTGTTCTGTCCGGGTTTTAGGTTTATATCATTAACCTTCTCGATGTGGTTGTTGGACATTTGAACTACGGCCTTGTGGAGAACCTCTTGATATAATTCCACATCTGTGGCAGTAACACCAGGCGGTAGTGGCTGATTCTCGAAGGGATTGGCACGTTTTGTTTCCCCAGGCACATCTTCGTCGTTATTTGTTTCTGGTTTTCCATCAGTCTCACTGTGGGTTTCTCTGCTCCGTTCTATCTCCTCCAACAATTGAACTTTCATAACTGTTTCCTCTGTTAAATACGGAATGTCATCCTCGCACTTTTCGTACGACTTGCCCGCTTCGAGGGGCATACTTTTCATGGGAACAATCTTCTTCTTCTGTCCATTTGCGGTCTGTCTTCTAATAGACATACCGCTAATGGATGTGGAACTTTTATCTGGAGTGGACGAAGCTACTGGAGCGGTCTTTTGCGTTCGACTCGTAGCCGGGGAAGTGCTAAACGTGCTTCCAACTTGCTTGGTGTAACCAATGCTTTTGGTGTTATTTTTTGATTTTACAAATATGTCAATGGGATTTTTTGCCACAGCAGCGAAGCCCCAGTTCTCACTAGCCACCTCATTGTTGTGCGGAGAGCCTAGAATGTCGTCGGTGTTAAGTTTAGCGCAACTCTGCTTTTCATTCTCGAAGATCTTTCCTTTTAGTGTGCTGCGATCGGTGTCGTAGTCCTCCTCGTCGTTCTCGTCATCGCACTCGGAACTGTCGCTGGAACTCTCGCTGGAATCCGAATCTGAGCTCGATGAAGTACACGAATCCGAGGATGTACTCTCGTCCTGATCGTTGTCATCGCCGTTCCTGTTTCTGTCGTCATCCTCATCGTCATCATCTTCACTTTCGCTAGATGAGCTCGTGGAGGACAGATCAGAAAAGGTTCGCTTTCGCGTTTCCTGGCTAGCCAAGTAACCTCCCTGTAATATTTGCGACCTTTTCTGCTTGCCAGGAAACTCAAACTGATCCTCACTGTGGTTGAGTTTTCTAGAGTTCAGGCTGGTAGGCATTTTTCTCCTTTGTCCATTGCCATCATTGTAAACACAAAGCTTTGAGGTCGAAGGACTCTCGATGTTTCCCTCCTTTTTGATAGTTTGCCGTCTGTTCGAGCCGTACTTATCAGAGGGGGTTATTCTAAAATAAGAAGTTTTTATTTATATATATTATTTCGTTGAGTTTAAATGTATTTGAAAGTACCTCTCATTGCTAATCTCCATTTTGATTCTGGTATTATCCTTTTTAACCAACTTTGGATTATCTAAGCTTTGCTTTGAACATGTTTTGCACCTAAAAAGAGATTGCAACTTTTATAAAGCTTTAGTTGTGCGAACCTTGCAGTCTCACCTGTATGGATGCTTGGGCTTCTTGTCTGGAATTGTGTCAAGGCACGTTAAGTGAAAGTGGTCCTTGCACACAAAGCACTGCAGCAGGCATGGCCCCCTGTTACGCATCTTACAAACAGCGCAATCTGCGCAGTTTTGGCAGTCCCAGTTCGTGCCCTTGGTGACGAGCATGTAGAGCAGAACGTAGGATTGTGACTTGCACCTGCCGGCGATATTCGCGCAAGTGGTGTGCAGGGAGATCCCGCACTGTTTGCAGGAGCTTAATGGTTCTGGTATTCCATTGAGGTTCTTCTGCGAGTTGCCCGAGCAGTGCGTACAGCTCTCCTCCCCTTTTATGACCACATCGGAAGCAGGGGCGCATTTCCGCGGTGTAGTCAAAGATTTACCCTTTTTATATAACTTTCCCTCTTGGATCAGAAAGCCGGCATCCACGGCTTTTTTGATGGATGCCTTAATGACGGCCTTGAAGTCCACATTTGGTGAAAGATCGATACAGTTGAACTTTTGAATGTAGTTCTCAATACTCTTAATGGTGGATCCCTCGCATTCACCGAGATCGTGAACTGCCTTTGCCACTAGCTTGTACAGATTGGTGTTCTTGTCAACCTTGATGCGACGCTTGGCCATAGGCGCCTTGTAGGAGTGCAGCCCCTTATTATAAACCTTGATTACAGCTCCCGATTCAACGGCCTTTTCCAGTTTTTCGGCCACAATGTCCTCGTGGAACTTGTGATGGGTACCAATTGCTTGGCAAATTCTCTGCACTGATGGCCTTTGCTTCTGGGACCTGATCTTCGAAATAGCTTCAAGGATCCATTGCTTCCAGGTGTCCATGTTTATATCGTGAGCCGATTCCCTCATCATGGCTTACTGAAATGTATGGCAAATTGATCAAGGTAATGTAAAGAACTTTACTTATTTTTTTTTGAGTTATTTTTTTATGAAATATGATTATCACTAAAATAATATTTGCAACTTTTAAAAAGGAAGATTGCATCTGTTGGATGCAGAGTATCTTTTTATCTCCAAAAGCATTTTATTTTTGTAAAAAAAAAATGTCGTACGCTCTTGGTAATTCGCTTGAATGGCAATGTGAAATTGCACTCCGGCACACGGAGTCTTTCCATTTTACACATGTAAATGCGGAGAAATACTCGATTTTCAACCAGAGTTCGATTCAAGCAATCCGAGTAGGCCCCCAAAACTGTCCCATTTTATAGGTAAGTATATGTTCACTTTACAAAACTATTCTACAGCATACACACATATTCGGATACATATGCAAGCCAGTACGCTGGTATGTACATACGTTTATTACTTATATTGCGGCAAAAGTAAGCTCGAATATATTACGAACTGCGAATATAACTAAACACCGCGTTAGGGTTTATCCACGGACGCATCTGTAGACATTTAATATCTTAGAAACAATAACAAATATTAATTTTGCAATGAAGTTTGATCGCTACTGAGTATTAGAAGGCTTTATTAAGGCCCTATCTACACTTTCCCACAACAAAAACGCGACTATACCAAATGCCGAATTGGTACATTTGAGAACAGCGGAATGGAACAACAACGCTGCCACGCTAAAACAAAATGAATATATGTATTTTTATTTTTTTTTTATTAACGGTTTATTATTTTTTATTTTTAATTAAGAAATTTGATTACCAGAATAAAGTTTTTTAATTAAGTTTTTATCAGATCAGCTGATTAGAGCAGTGTGGCTGCTCTTCCTGAATTCATAAATACGACTAACATTTATAGTGTTTTAGGATAGATTCTTACACAGGGAAAGGTCATATTATTTTCCCAAACGACGGAGGAGCACTCCAATTCGACAACAGTTCGGCTTTTCATTTTGCACTATTTTTGATAAAATAAATATGATTTAGTCCGAACAAAGTAAAAACCAAAATGGAATACGAATCTTCCGAAATCAGTGGTAATATTTGCGATTTAGTGACAACAAAATCAAGGAGTATACGATTGTGTTTATTTGTTTGTTGACCATTTGTTTTTTCGCACTTTTGTCAAATACACATACATATGCATATAAACAATAATTTATTTATATCTATGCGGAAGAACAAACAAACACACGGACGTGTACATTCTACAATATATGGATGTATGGATTTGAACTTAATATATCCTCCTGTACGGGGGGTCGGCCCAATACATATGTAATACCCCGCATACATATTTGAAAAATCGAAATGGCCCGAATATGAATTGTAAATAATGGTAGCCAATAGGAAATACTTAAAAAACTATGTATTGTCAATAGTGGAAATTATTTGGCTTTGTTGTGGACGGTTTTCTATTTTAGACCACTGTACTCCAGTCCAATCAATTGTTTAAGAAAGTATGTAAGACTGGGTCTGCGTTTCCGTTTCGGTCTGCATCTCCATAATAACCCACCCGTTTGAGCTGATTTTTTGCCCCCCGAGCCACATTTTTAAGTTGGAAGGAGCCAGGTGATTACGACGTCAGTGGGTGCGGCATTACTGCGGAGCTTGCAAATATTTGCAATGCATGTGTTGGTATTCTTTTTAGGGTAATATAACAATAACGATCTTGAGCAAAGAAGGACATGTCCCTAAGTGCTTTATACTCAGGATATTTATTCTTTGTAGTGCTAATTAGGTGACCCTAAGTTCTCATTGTTATAAGTTTAGTATTTTTTTAAGTGGAGTTTTCTTTAAAGGCCTTATTAAATCTGTCTATTATAAATTTGGTAGCGTTTTATTAATTTTTAATTTAACATAATTTCTCCCAGTGACTCAAGAACACAATTCTATTATTTCAGATATAACCACAGGAAGCTGCAAAAAAAGGCTCACATTTCTAAAATATATTCTTAGTGACACAACAAGCGAACAGAAATGGGCAGCCGAGTTCGGCGAGGACACGGAAGGGCACCAGTTTTCGTTGGATTATCTACTGGACACCTTCATTGTGCTCTATGACGAATGCAGTAACTCTTCTCTGCGCAGAGAAAAGGGGGTCTCTGATTTCCTTAAACTATGTAAATATGATAACTATGAAATACATAATACAACTATTACAAAGTTTCTTTACCTTAGCCAAACCATTCGTACATATTGTGCGAAAACTTAGACTTAGCCGTGATGATTTTGACATACTCAAAATTATCGGGCGTGGAGCCTTTGGAGAAGTCTGCGTGGTCCAGATGATATCCACTGAAAAAGTATATGCCATGAAAATACTGAACAAATGGGAGATGCTGAAGAGGGCTGAAACTGCCTGCTTTCGGGAAGAGCGCGATGTTCTGGTTTTTGGGGACCGGCAATGGATAACCAACCTGCACTACGCCTTTCAAGACAATATTAACCTGGTGTGTAAATATAAGCCGCGCATTCCGTATTATACCCTGGAGATTCAAAAATGTTCTCATTTCAGTATCTTGTAATGGACTATTACTGCGGCGGAGACCTACTTACGCTACTGAGTAAATTCGAGGACAAGCTCCCCGAAGACATGGCCAAGTTCTACATTACAGAGATGATATTGGCCATAAACAGTATTCACCAGATCAGGTACGTTCATAGAGACATTAAGCCGGATAATGTCTTACTGGATAAACGAGGCCATGTGCGGCTAGCAGACTTCGGATCCTGCCTACGACTGGACAAAGATGGCACCGTTCAGTCCAACGTGGCTGTGGGCACGCCCGACTACATTTCCCCGGAAATATTGCGGGCCATGGAGGACGGAAAGGGGCGCTACGGAACAGAGTGCGATTGGTGGTCTCTCGGAGTGTGTATGTACGAAATGCTGTACGGAGAGACTCCCTTCTACGCAGAGAGTTTGGTAGAAACCTATGGCAAAATCATGAATCATCAAAACTGCTTTAATTTACCGTCACAAGAAACGATCAATTACAAATTATCGGAGACATCACAAGATTTGCTCTGCAAATTGATATGTATACCGGAAAATCGGCTTGGACAAAACGGTATCCAAGATTTCATGGATCACCCTTGGTTTGTTGGGATCGATTGGAAGAACATAAGGCAGGGGCCTGCACCGTATGTGCCGGAAGTGTCGAGTCCTACGGACACTTCAAACTTTGATGTTGACGACAATGACGTTCGCTTAACAGACTCCATCCCGCCGTCAGCCAATCCCGCGTTTTCTGGATTCCACTTACCATTTATAGGTTTTACATTCTCACTGAGCAGCAGCTCCACGTTAGACACAAAAAAGAATCAGAGCTCGGGCTTTGGAGATGATACATTGGATACCATAAGCAGTCCGCAGCAGGCCATCATGCCGAGTAACAACTCGGAGGCTTCGGTGGACTCAGTTCAGGAGAAACAGGTTAAGGGCCTTAACGATCAACTAGCGGCCTTAAAACAGGAAAAGATCGAATTGACAAAGCAACATAGTGAGATTTATGAACGGCTCAAAGCTCAAGACTCTGAGCTTCAGGACGCCATATCTCAACGAAACATCGCAATGATGGAGTACTCTGAGGTTACAGAGAAACTATCCGAGCTGCGTAATCAGAAGCAGAAGCTTTCTCGGCAAGTTAGGGATAAAGAGGAGGAGCTCGATGGAGCCATGCAAAAAAACGACAGCTTGCGAAACGAACTGAGAAAGTCGGACAAAACGCGTCGGGAATTGGAGCTGCACATCGAGGACGCCGTCATCGAGGCTGCCAAAGAAAAGAAGCTGCGAGAGCACGCAGAGGATTGCTGCAGACAGCTGCAGTTGGAGCTGCGAAAAGGATCATCCAGTGTGGAGACAACTCTGCCACTCAGCATTTCATCCGAGATGTCGTCATACGAGATCGAAAGACTAGAGCTGCAGTTCTCGGAAAAGCTAAGTCACCAGCAGACGCGTCACAATATGGAGTTAGAAACGCTACGGGAACAGTTCAGCGAGTTAGAGAACTCAAATTTGGAACTCACCAAGGAGTTGCAGCAAACACAGGACAGGCTTAAGTACACTCAATTGGAGTCAATTACCGATTCGGCCGAAACTCTCTTAGAATTAAAGAAGCAGCATGATTTGGAGAAGACTTCGTGGTTCGAGGAAAAGCAAAGGTTAAGCTCCGAAGTGAACCTTAAGTCGAAAAGCCTCAAAGAACTACAAGCCGAGGACGATGAGATCTTCAAGGAGCTGCGGATGAAGCGGGAGGCCATTACTCTTTGGGAGCGGCAAATGGCTGAAATTATTCAATGGGTGTCCGATGAAAAGGATGCTCGGGGATACTTGCAGGCTTTGGCCACCAAAATGACAGAGGAGTTAGAGTATCTCAAGCATGTGGGAACCTTTAACAACAATGGCGTTGATAATAAAAACTGGCGGAATCGTCGTTCCCAGAAGTTGGACAAGATGGAGCTGCTGAACCTGCAGAGTGCTCTGCAAAGAGAAATTCAGGCCAAGGCACTGATATCAGACGAGCTGAGTCAAACCAGATCGGACCTCATATCCACACAGAAAGAGGTGCGGGACTACAAGAAACGATATGATTCCATTCTGCACGATTTTCAAAAGAAGGAAACCGAGCTACGGGACTTGCAGAAGGGAGGCTTAGAATACTCAGAATCGTTCCTTAACAAGTCAACTCATAATGGTTTAAGCAGCGCTTTCTTCCGAGACATGTCAAAGAATTCGGAGACTATAGACTCCGCCGAGAGTTTTGGCAATGAATCCGGCGAAAATTTTATCGGTACACCTAATTTCTTCCAGTCCGGCAATTCGGGCATGCTCTTTAATTATGAGCCAAAGTATGCGGGTAAAAATAGCAAGGACCATTCAGTCATGAAAGAAGTCTCAGTCAGCGATTTATCCCGTGAGGAGAGTGACATGGTGCTCAAGGAATCTCAAAAAAAAGTGCCTGGCAATACGGCAATTCATCAGTTCTTAGTGCGCACTTTCAGTAGCCCCACAAAGTGCAATCACTGTACATCTCTGATGGTGGGACTCACACGACAGGGTGTCGTGTGCGAGATCTGTGGATTCGCCTGTCATACGATCTGCTGTCAGAAGGTTCCAACCACGTGCCCCGTGCCCATGGATCAGACGAAGCGTCCTTTGGGTATCGATCCAACCAGAGGTATTGGCACGGCCTACGAAGGCTACGTAAAGGTCCCAAAATCGGGCGTCATCAAGCGGGGATGGATCCGGCAGTTTGTAGTCGTCTGCGATTTTAAACTGTTCCTCTACGACATTTCGCCCGATCGATGTGCATTGCCCAGCGTGAGTGTATCCCAAGTGCTGGATATGAGGGATCCGGAATTCTCTGTGGGGAGTGTGCGGGAAAGCGACGTTATTCATGCCGCCAAGAAAGATGTGCCATGTATTTTCAAGGTAAAAATAGAGTAATAGTGAAATCTATTGAGACTAAATATGAATTTCTTTTCCATCCTGCCTTTTAGATAAAAACCGCCCTTATTGATGGTGGTCTCTCGTTGAACACCCTTATGTTGGCCGATAACGAGTCGGAAAAGTCCAAGTGGGTTATTGCCCTGGGCGAACTACATCGAATATTGAAACGAAACAGCTTACCAAATACTGCTATATTTAAAGTTAATGAGATTTTGGACAATACCTTGTCTTTAATAAGAAACGCATTGTGTTCTGTCATTATATATCCAAATCAAATTTTGTTGGGAACCGAAGACGGCTTGTTTTACATTAATTTAGACCAGTACGGTAAGTAATCAGTACAATAAGGAAGAACATTTAACTAAGTAAACCTATTTCAGAAATCGCTCGTATTGGAGAGAGCAAGAAGATTCTTCAGCTATGGTACATCGAAGAGGAACAGATTCTCGTTATTCTGTGTGGAAAGCAACGCAATCTGCGTTTATTACCTATAAGGGCATTAGAGGCTAGTGATGTGGAATGGATCAAAGTGATCGAATCTAAGAACTGCATATCTGCTTGCACTGGAATCATTCGCCGTTTCCCTAATATAGTCTATTCTTTTATTATCGCGCTAAAGCGGCCCAATAACCACACACAGATCGTAGTTTACGAGATTAATAGAACGCGCACAAGGCACCAGAAGACTTGCGAATTCACCATCGGCTATATGGCCCAGCACCTGCAGATACTGTCCGATATGCGATTAGTTGTAGCTCACCAAAGTGGATTTACCGCCTACTTCCTGCGTGGAGAAGCCACTGCAATGTGTGAGTAATGGATGGATTTTTTTTTCTATATTTCCATTATAACTCCTATACTTTTTTCGAATAGCTCTGGTACACCCGGAAAACCAGTTATGTGCATTTTTAAATTATTCCGGAGTTGACGCAGTCAGGGTTATTGAAATTTTGTGTCCCAGCGGTGGCAACTTTGGAGAGTATTTACTGGTATTCCAAACTTTGGCCATATACGTAGACTTGCAGGGACGAAAGTCTCGGGATAGGGAAATAATGTATCCAGCCTTTCCTACGTATATAAGTGAGTAATAATATAGATTTACAAAGACTATTTTTAATTATTCTGTTTATATTTATTAGCATTTTGTGATGGTCATTTGCTGGTGTTTTCGGATACTCATTTGGATATCTTCAATACACAAACCGCTGAATGGGTGCAATCGATTGGTTTAAAACAATCACTTCCCTTAAATAACCTGGGAAATGTGGTGTTGTCCTCAGTCAATGACACCCCTCTGATTGTTTACCTGTCCAATATTCACACAAGTAAGTTGCATCTTCCTCGATTTATGAGAGCAACAAAACACATGCATTTTTAATTTAAGAGGGCCTTTTGCAATATCGTGAGGGAAATCGAAAAGGACTTCCGAGCATAAAGCGAAGATTCTCGATTAGAGAGATAAACAAGACCATCAAAAGGTAAGCATATAGTTAGCTTATTATCGCTGCCAATACATAATCTCATAATATTCTTGTAGTGATCGCAGATCAAAGATGATATCAGCACCGACAAATTTCAATCACATTTCTCATATGGGGCCGGGGGATGGCATTCAAAATCAACGACTCTTAGACTTACCAACAACGCTCGAAACAGCCGATCAAGCCTGCAGTCCAATAATACATTCGCTGAGTTCCATACCCCAAACTAGAAAATCAAATTTTCTAGAACAAGGCAAGCATTTTGTATTGCATGAACGTGGCGAGCTTACCTAATTCAAAAACGTTTTATTGTGCTTTCAGTGGATGCAAACTCTGATGACTATGGCAATGATAATATAATCTCTAGAACCCCCAGTCCAATGGCATCGTCTTTCATGGACGGCTTAAGCAATAACGAATAATTTCAGTCAAATCTCTACATATGTAATTTACTCGATTTTTTAAGATAACTGTTTGTAATAAACATATTTAATTTCTCGAATATCAATCCAGTGGGTTTTACAAAGCATATCAAATAGTCCAACAATCCTTGAGTAGTTCTGGTTTATTGTTTACTTAGTTGCATGATAAATACATACATTAAAAATCTTTGATTTGTACACAGAAATCTTCAATATTTATATCTTTCTTATTTCATAGCTTACCGTAACCTATTTCTTTGATTTTTTCTTCTTTTTCAAAATCTTGCTCTTCTTTTTGCTTTTCAGATCTTTTCGTTTTTCACTTCTCAACGATTCAGTTGAAGAATATTTAGCATGCTTTTTCAGTTTCTTATCCTTCTGCTTACTATGCTCCATGCTGTTGTCCGAGGACGCTCCCTCATTTTTTATCGTATTATCATATTTTACAACTAAACTGCTTGACGAACTATTGTCTCTGTGTTTCCTGAACGGATTGTCTGGACGACAGAGCTTTAGGGGAGCTGCCACAGCTGTAATGGAGGATACCACTCGGCCGTCGCTGGATTTAGTATTTCTAGCCGCCCTGCGATCTGAGTCGTCGCTATTGATTTGATCATATTTTGCGACCTTGGGGTCGGAACGGTCCTTATATTGACGTCTATACTTGTCATCCTCTGGAGTACTCCGTTTATACGAACGCTCCTGCCTTTTATCCGAAGGAGCGGTTCTGTCGCGCGATCGGTTTTCTCTTTTCCTGCTGTCATGACGTTCCGATCTACCCCGGTTCGTATCGCCGTCAGCGTTTTTTTCTGCAGCCTCCCTTCTCCTGCCCTTTGCCTTTTCAGGGGAACGACTTCTGTCATTCGCAACCTTATTGCCCAACCTTTCTTTTACCGACTTGCTGCTGGTACGCTTGGGCGAAGGCGATCTTTCCTTATCATTTCTGATTACAGAGCGGTCCTTGCTATTGCCCTTTGAGTTGATGATAACTTGAAATTCCACAGGCCTTATAGCATTTATGGCCTTGGCAAATATTGCGTTTTCGGCCTTACGTAGGACATCTGATGTTATTTCTGACTGGTCGTCCAAAGTAACGACAGACTTCTTGGCGGAGTCTTCAAAATTTAAATTATTCTCCTCCAGTTCCCATTTAGATAGATTGACAGAATTAGCCTCGCTGCGCTTGCTTCTTGGCCCGAGATTATCATCGCTAGCACCATCCTTATTTGGGTAGGTATGACTCTTTTTGGGATTAGGGATTTCTGCTGTATTCGGAGAAATAGATTTTATCTCAAAGTTGGGACTAGCTCTAGGAGATAATAGGATTTTATAATTTGTCTCGGATGGCAAAGCGTTGTTGATATCCGAGTCTGATCGATTTGCAGATGAACTCTTCTTCTGCCGCTCTCCTTTCTCCTTCTTAGCCCTTTTATCCTTCTTACTTTTCTTGCGATCGGCCTTGTCCTTCTTCTTCTTTTTACGCTCCTTTGACGTGGGACTTTTCACCTTATTTTCCTTACCCACACTGGGCCCCATTTCCGAGTCGACATTGTCGCTCTGGGAGGTATTAACTCTGGCCTTCGCTGAAATGTACTCATTATGAATCCTTTCGGGTGTTTTTGGTGAACATTCGCGTTCACGGAGCTGGACAGCGGTCATTTTCGGTGTGGTGATCTTCGCCGGCGGTGTCAGGCTCCTGTAGCTGCTGTCGACTGGCTTTAGTTCCTTGCTCTTGCTACGAGACCGGTGCCTTTTGCGTGGTACCTCATCGTGCCTGCCCTCCTCCCTCTTCTTAAGGCTATCCCCCTTGCTGTTACTAGAATGTGATGCTTCTGAGTTAGCCAGGTGCTTGTTCTTATAGACATCATCTTCCGCCAGCTGCAACGGCTCGAACCCGGGCGGAGGGGGCTCAACTGGCTCTGGCTTTGAAGCAAATGGCTTGTTATATGACTTGTCCCTATAATCACTCTTATAAGCTGGTTTGGGAGACGCAGAACGACGATGACCAGATCTAAATATAAACAAATATCGTATTAACCAATAAAAAGAATTATTTTTTAAATGAAAAAGAACTGGTAAGCGTACCTTTTTATTCTACCACCTGGTGATTTTGAGCCGTCACTGGGCTGGCGACTTGAACGAGGATGACGCATATGCCGTTCATAGCTATATTCTCGCTTTCTTTCCCGCGATCGTGGTCTCTTGTCCTTCAGATTATCTCTGGAGGAATCTTTTTCGTAAATGGGAGATTTAAAGCGGTGCCTTTGCCTATCCGGGGACCTCGATCGATGGTGTTCAGAACTTCGAAATCGGTCCACCTTCTTCCGCTCCTTTTCCTTCATAATACGATTAAAGGCTTCTAATGGATCGTCAATTAAACTGCAATATTTCGTGAGTTATTATCCCATTCGTTCACAATGACTTAGAGACACTCACCCGGAACCGACCTTGGCTGCTACACCTTGATATATCGATGCTAAATTTGGGGATTGAAATGGTTGTGACATATTCATATTCATACTTCCGCCTGCAGATCCGTACGGCGTACGCATCGGGTGTACTGTTTGGTTTTGATACGGGACATAGCTGCAATTTCATAATGTAGTTACAATTCAAAAAGCTTAACTTGGATTGTAAGCAGTACTGTTTTAATGAAAAATACTAAAAATAACCAATATTCAACAAAGCATAAAGGCTTGTTAGCCCAAAGCTTAAAATACTCTTAACTAAGTGTTTATAACCTCAGTTTTAACTTAAAAATATTGAGATCAGGCAGGACCGGCTGCGTATGGAATCGTCTTGAGCATCGGATTTCCAGCGGCTTGGATACTTGATCCACATGGTGGCAGGATCCAGACGGTTGGATATGAAACCTACCTTAGAGGAGGCCTCTGTCCCATGTTGTTATACCCGTTGTTGTAGGCTGGTATATGGTGAGCCATCATGTGCATTGGAGGTGGACCACGTTGCATTTGCATATACGGGGGCTTATAGGCACTCGAACGACGAGCGTCTTCTGATTCGTTCATCATATGCCCTTGGTAGCTGGGAACAGTAGTTATGGGCGTGGGCAGAAGACTTCGATCTTTATTACTGGGCTCCGATTTTGATGGGCGATGATGCTTGTGATCGTGATCCGCAACATAATCTGACCTATCTCTTCTGTGAGAGGATTCACTCGACCTTTGGGAATAAGAGGGAGATCTCTAAAACAGTAAAAAAAAAAAAATTCAATTAATAAAGAAAGTTGTTGGTATAGCCCAAAAGTAATCTCACCTTGCTTGGGGCAGATGTGGAATCGGAAGGAGGCTGGGGCATTTTAATGGTTATGTTATCCTCATAGTCCGAATCATATTTATCTTTCTCCTTGTGTGGCGGTTCTGCAGTTGAAGGAGGTTCGGGTGACTCTGATTTCGGTGGCTTCTTTCCATTAGTTTCTGTTTCTTCTTGCTTTTCAGTTTTCACCTCCTCCTCCACAGGTTCCTCTACCTCAGCCGGCTTCTCCTCAACTTCTTTTTCAACGAGAGGTTTGTCATCGGTTTTTACTGCGGCTGGTAAAAGAAAATTTTAAGCGCCGTTCGGGGTTTCACAAACATAAACATCTTACCTGATTTAACTGTACTTTTGTTGTACCCAGTCTCGTTTTTAAACGCGTTAACAGAATTTCTCAAAAACCGATTAGGAATTAGGGAGCCAGGGGAACAGTTTTTCTCCTTGCAATCGGGGCACTCGCTGTCCTCGGATTCCAATAACGAAGTACGCACACAGTCGTCACAAAACGAACTTCCACAGCAGGGTATCATGACGGCATCAACAAATATATCACGGCATATGCCGCAAATCAAATCCTCGGGAATCTCCTGATTTTGTACAGCAGGCAGAACAAAATCGGATGACTCATTCTCTGCCGCATCTGGCTTGTCTCTGAAAGAGCGTGGAATGCCGGTATTCCTTTTGACCTCTTGCTGATCCTTTCCTAATACAAAGGGACAGTTTTTGATCCAATGACCTCCTTTCTTGCATTTATTACATCGGTAGGATGCCGGAACTTCACCCACTTGAGATTGCCCTTTAATGCGATGGTACCTAAACAATTATTTTATTATTTTTTTTTTTTTTTTGCTATATTAAGTAACTAACGTCTTTGGATCATAGTCAACAGTGCTTTGCATCATCATGGCTTGGATTTTGTCCTCTTCGCTGCCTTGCATTTTAGACAAGTCCATGTTGAAGTTGTCCTGTTTGGCTGGCGCCGACGTAAAGGCGTTTTCCGCAGCTGCTGGCTCCCATCCTTTCTTCGTGGGATGTGCAATAGGTATGCGCGATATGATCAGCGTTGTGTTTTTGGGGATTAGAACTCCATCGTCCTTGTATTCTGGGGAATAGGTAATGAAAGTTATTGGGACGCACTTTTGGATTGTAACAGACGAACCTTCTTTGCTCTGCGCATTCGTGATTTGAAGATCAAAGTCAATTACTTTACCCAGTCGCTTCTGCTGGACGATTTCCCTTTTCAAGTCCCCGACAGAAATGTGAAGTCCATCAAACGTAATTGTATCGAAATTGAGGGTACTTTTAAATTTATAGTGTACCGACATTGTTAAGTTCAAAGGAAATCTGCGATGAAGAGATTAGGCTTGATTATCTGAGTGTCTACGGCAAATCGGTTATCATAGTGAGCACATGTGGAGTTCAGAATACATTTCATAAATATCTTAATAAACAAACAGATAAAGCCGTTTACATAACTTTGGGATTGAGTGAAGGCTGAAAACGTGTGACGGCGCTGGTGCAATCACTGAAAACCTGCTTGACACGCTTTCGTGCTGCGGTCCGCGACAAAAATGAAAACCATGCAATTGTCCGATTTGTCGAAAACTTTAAATCTCTATCAACCTTTATGGATCATGCCATCAGTTTTTCAGAAATAAGAATGTTAAATTCGACAATCGGTATTGAATAAAATCAGTTAAACTTGAAAGCTAGTGTACACGTAATTTTTATGACATTTTTGTGTAGAAATAGTAATTATTGGCTCTTCACAAATATAGCGACCATATAGATTCACAAATTTCAAATTTTCTTTATTTGAGCGAAGCACTATCAAGTCAACATGAGGATATACACACGTAGGTAAGTATGTGAAGTAGTGTTATTACCGCAAACGCCTCAATATTGATTAAAGCAAAGAACATTTTGCCAGCACCGCTACCCTATTTTTTGCAATTATGTATGCTAACAGCATTAAATTGCATGTGCATAAAAATACACACGCGAAAACATACATACGTACGCACAAGTTTTAACCCAAAATAATAGTTAGTTCGGGTGCGAGACACCTTTAAACTGCGCTTCACATTTCCAGACAACGCACGACGCAAAATGTGTTTACTACCGGCAAGCAATACGCACAAAAATAGCAATTACTTACAGTAGTTTGAGAGCACATAAAAACTAAAACGATTTTATTTTCTCCAATTTTCTAGAGATGTACAAGTACCGCAAAATGGATAGAGATGTGTAAAGCGGACGTACTCGAGAAAATCGATTACAGAGGGAGTTATCGTTTTTCTAGTGATAGATGTAATATGAAATAAATGGAAAGCTTAAAATTATAATTATAATGTATTTATAATTATATTACAATTTAAATTCAATTCCCAAACGTTTTCATTTTATGCTTTTCTTTTGGTTTTGGGCTTCGCGTATATCGTAAGATCCGTAGCGCTGGAAACACTGGAATGGAATACTAAGAGCAAATCGATTGGAATCAATCGGTCCTTCGATAAGAAAAGCTATGTTTTTTAAGCGATAAACAAATAAGACGATACTGGTAAACTGTATCCAGGAATAGAAGGTTCCAAATTTATTAACAGCATTTAAATCGAACTACAACCGTTTTTGCTTATCTTATAATCCAAAAAATTCGATGTAATCTTAATTTAGACTTATTTTAATTATTTACATCAACAACTTTTGCGACAAAGTACATATAAAATCTAATAAAATCTATTGCTTTTGTATCACCGCCATTCGATATTTGCACATGAACTTAAATATAATACAGGATTTCTAATTAGAAAGGAGTGATGGGTGCTGCTCGTGCTTACATCGATGGAATTTTAAAATTATCCAACATAGGCAAATGGATTGTATGGTGGCGGATAATAGTTGGGGAACGATTGTCCAGGCTGACCGGGAATGGTAGCTGTTATTAACCTAGTAACAGCGGTTGGGACGACGGAGGTTGAAAATATTGTCGTGTAAGCTGTTCTTGCACCAAAAGTTAGTTTCAAAACCTTCGAACTTGTTTCGGTTACCATGGATTGCTGAACCTCAGTAGATGTAATGAACTGCTGCGGAGGAATAGGCAATAGTGGGTTAAACGGATTAAATGGGTTAATTGAGAATGGATATTGTGAGGATGGAGTTGGCATAGAAATCGTAGCAACATCGGTAACGTATTCTGTTTTTTCAACAACGCCAACGGACTTTGAGAGCGTTCTCATAATGGTTTCGGTTCCTCTAACTAGGGGAACCACATGGGACTCCCAAATAGTTTCTAGTTTGATTACGGGTCGCGTTGAAGTTATCAAGTTGTTTATCTGTGTTTCTGGATAGCTAATCGATTCCGGGATCAATGGTATTAATGGGTTGGTAATGTTATTCTTAGTTTCCACTTTGTTTTTCGGTTTGATTTTTGCGTCAAATTTGCCAGTATTATCTTCATCACCAAACTCAAGATCCAAATTTATTTCTGAGCCCGCCTCGTCCAAGCTTCCTTCAAAGTCCTTAAAGTTCTTCGATGGATTAAAGTCATCGCTCAACGGCGATATTGTCTGGGTCACTGTGATGAGGCTGGTGTAATCGTACGTCTGAACCAAGGTAATTTGAATCGTTTCGTTTCTCTTTTCAAAAATAATAGGAAGGATCTGTGTTTTCAGTTTAGTATGAGTTATGGAAAAGGACTCCGTTATTGTCTCCAAGCTCGGAGTCTCCGTCTCCTCTCCCAGGTAAATGGGCTTTAAGGTCGTAACACTACCTGTCAATGTTTTATCATCGGTGCTTGCAGTAGCCTCTAAAATATTCTCTGTCAAAGGACCATCGTCTTCAGAATACTCCTTAGTGTGTTCCTCTTGAATTACTTTCTCTATTGTTGATGTGACGGTCAAAAAACGCGTTTTCTTAACCACTCCGGCCTGAAATTAAAATTATTTTATTACTGGGACTTCTGAATGGTTTGGTCAACAGAAGCATTAAATAGTTAGTATACATATATCACAATCTAAAATAAAAAACAAGAGGAAACGCTATAGTCGAGTGCCGCGACTATAAGATACCCGTTACTGTTTTACACAATTTTAAAATATTAATTTTGCTAGTGGAAATTCACAAGGCGCCACCTATTGTCAGAGGAAGTATGTTGAGTATGCTTATAGTGACGTCACTCCCCATGTAAGGCCTTATAACTTAATTTCTTTATAAACAGCGAAAAAATGTTCCGATTTGAAAAATCTTTTGTAAATCAATAGATATTAACAAAAATAAGTTACACAAGGTCAAACGAAGGCATTCATAATAATATTATAGACTCCACAGTTTTCCGCGGTTTGTGGGCGTTAGAGTGGGCGTGGCCGGATGCAACTTCGTGGCAAGTTGCAGAGGCATCTCCTAAATACGTGTTCCTAAGCAAAATTGTGTAGCTTTTTATAGTTTTCGAGATTTTTGCATTTTTGGTTTTTCGGGTTTTGTGGGCGTTAGAGTGGGCGTGGCGTAATCGGAAAAAAACAATTCGCATTGGGAGCATCATAGAAACATACATGCATGATCCGAACTTTCTATCTCTTATAGTTACCGAGATATCAGCTTATCTAGAAAATCCGAAAACCGTCTTTTGAGCCTTGTGGGCGTATGGGTGGGTCTGGCCGGATAGTAGTAGCACTATAAGATGCGCTGTCATCTAAAGATTATACTTTCTGAATTTCAACTTTCTATCTACAATAGTTCCTGAGATTTCAGCAATTTTAGTTTTTTGCTATTTGTGGGCGTTAGAGTGGGCGTGGCAGGATGCTGTAATAAACTTGCGCTGTCCCGGGACCTCAAGAATCTTCATGCTTAATCTCAGCTTTGTATCTGCTATAGTTCCTGAGATCTCAGCGTTCATACGGACGGACGGACGGACGGACGGACGGACGGACGGACGGACGGACGGACGGACGGACGGACGGACGGACGGACGGACAGACGGACATGGCTCAATCGACTTCGCAATTGATCCTGATCAAGAATATATATACTTTATAGGGTCGCAAAAGCTTCCTTCTATCTGTTACATACTTTTCAACGAATCTAGTATACCCTTTTACTCTACGAGTAACGGGTATAATTAAGTGAAGCTTAATAAGAAATTACCTGGAATATAAATGGTGTCTTAATGGTTGCAATTTCATAATAGGTATCAATAAAAGGTTGTGGAGTTGATATTTCTACGTTCAATGTTTGCACAAAGAATTTCGAATTAGGATCATCGTTATTATTATTAGCAACAGGGCCATTTTGGGATCCAGAAGCCTCTAGATCTCTTCCATTGTTTATTGCCTGATTGGCAATGACATCCCCTGGTATTTCATCATTTGGTGCTGTATCGTTTTGAATGGTGGTCGGCAGATTGGGGTTCGCGTTTTTTCTAATGTTAACTTTGGGCTTCGGTGAGGACTTGTACTGCCATCTTCCAGGACGCCTATTCAGTTTAAATGAGTTGGGGCTAACAACGGATACTGGTTCTTCCTGTACTGCATTTGCATTGGCTTTCGTCCGGTATGAGTGACGAGAGGTAGTTTCTGTTACTGATGGAGTTATTGCCAGTTTGGAACTTTGGGTATGTTTATTCCTCCTGAAATCAAAGTTACCAGCAAGGACCGCACTTAAGAAACTTATTTCGCAATTTGTAATTTATATTTAACAAAAAAATATTTTTTGTTTTCCCATTTTAAAACTCTTAATAATATTACCTTTTTCCCTTGGGCCTAGAAGACTTTCTAGTGCCCGACGATCCCCTATTATCACGACCGCTTTGTTGGCTTTTGCGTGATGGCTTGCTGGATATCTGAGTCTGATAAGATGACTCCTTGAGAGTTTTACTTGGTTGAATCGATGGCGTTACCGGCTTGTTAATTCGCGTCTGACGGGGCTTACTCTTTTTCTCAACGCTTGAAACTGCATGGACCTGAGAGACTTTTGAGAATTTGATGGATTCTTTAGTTGCCGTTATAATACTTTTGAATTCACTTGATCTTGTCTGATAACCGTGAATGGGTTCCTTTTTGGATTGGTAGATTCTTTGCCGATCGGCGTCGTTCTTGGATTTAAAGTTAACAAGGCGATAGGTTTCCTCGGCAAACTGCTCAGGTTGGCGAGAGAGTAAATCGTATTCGGGGGTATTCAAAAGTGTTTGGATGGGCGAGTTCGAGAGACTTATGTTATACGATTCGATCTGGGATGTTTTAGTTTCGACATTAACATTCGAGTGAGTCACAATTAGAGGCGTTGGCTTAATTCCGACATTTTCTTTTTCCTTCTTAGTCACTTTAGGTTTAGTTTCTATAATATTTATTATCTCGTGTGTATTGTTGGCTTTTAGTTCTAAAATGTAAACACATAATTCCAAATTATTTACGTACATTTAGGGTAACAAATGGGCCATTATTAGTATTAGTATTATTATAGCAACCAACTTACCAAAGGCTGGGGAGCTTTGGGGCGAGAACACCATAACAGTATTCCCAATAGTAGTGGTAAAATCCAGAAATCCATAAACAGTTTGAGTTAGTAACTCAACATCACCGCAGTAGGCTAGAAAACGTATTTCAGATCGAATTTTACATTAGTTTATCTGTCCGTTAATAATGCAAACGCTAAATAGACATTAAATTTAACTTAAAATAAACTTTATTATATCAACAAAATATAAAAATAGGGTATACAACATTTTAAAACTAAACCTCTCTCAGACGTTACAGGCATTAGAAGGTAAAATGCAAACACATTCTTCAAAACCGGTTTTCTGGAAACGATATTCTGATAGGCAGGCATAATTACTCAAAAAAATATGCATCAAAATTTGAAAATAAAAGGCCAAATAAAGTATAAAATTTCTTATACACTCTTCATGTATATATTTAAAAACAAATCCCTTGAAAAAACGAATATGCCATAACTTAAAATCTAGTCTGAAATAAAATTCAGAGCACTCTAGCTCCGTAAACTTACCGCTTCTTAAGGCGCAAACTATTAGCAGGTAGCGCAACATTTTTGTAGAACTGTACAGGTGAAAAGCTTAGAAGAATTGAACAAAAATCTGTAAAGCCAAAGAAGTAAATATTAAGCAAATGATTAACGGTTAGTAGGGTATAAGAAGCTTTCACCCGAAAAGATTTAATTAATTAGCTGCTCATAAATAAAACGTTTTAAAATGTAAAACACGAAAACGTAAATATATTTCCGTTCAAACTGGATTATAACGATTACTTCTTATTAAATTTTATTGCGTAGGGTATAGTTAAAAGGTAATATGCTTTTAATTGGCCCCCGTGACACTTGTTGCCATGTACGATTACTTTTGGCCCAGTATGTGGGTTTTAAAAGTGAGTGTTTATTCATTCGGGGCATTATCTATGCAAGTAGGTCTCTTATGTAAAGATTTGTGTACTCGTTTAATATGGTTCACTTTGTTTAGATTTCGTATGGTCGAATTGTGATCGATCATTAGTTACAAAATTTGGTTTGAGCCAATTTGCTGACAGACAACTCGTGTATCGTTAAGTTTATTCAGCGACCGCTATCTTTTGGCATTGAATGGGTAAAAACTGGGTAGGGTGGCCCATAATGATAAAACTTATTCGTATATGTAATCTCTTGATCTTTCGAGGCGGTAGATCACTTTGGTATTTCAAAGGCACTGTGCAAAATGCTCTGTCTCCCAGAGAACTGGTCAGATCACTTTTGGAAAACATTGAAGCTAGCCATGGAGTGCGAGTAATTTTCGCACCCACTGTATGTAACCATTCAACTAATGCACAGCACAGCACAGCACACGCACACTCGAACAGACAAAGACAATAAAACATTAGGTCATTGAGAAACATTGAATAGAGAAAGGCTTCGTTTTTAAGTCCCCGTCCCCATATTAAGATTAAAAATTCAGTTTCTTTTCTTCCGCGGGATAAATCACTTACAATTATTTTTGGGTGTGGGTTTTTATTGGTAACTCATATTTTTTTATGTACGCCACTAACATGCCACATATGTACATACACTTAAAAATGCATTTTTAAACACTTATTCAGGTAATAATTCGATACGACAATGCACTGATCTGATTAAAACATATTCCGAGCGAAATCATTAAAACACACTGCTGGTCGAGACAATTATGAAACTGTAACAAAAAGATATTCGTGGGTCCGACGCGAAGCATAAAGCTGAAGTGACTCCGAATCCAAAGTTACCATGGACTGCACACATGCGCAGAGACTCGAAGAGAACGTCAACATCGTTAATTGTGGTTGGCCGAAGAGTAGGGTTACTCGATCCGATGCGAAAACCAGTTTGCCACTCTTGCTTTTCCGTTTCGATACGCCGTGGGAATATGTAAACTTTCAATGGCCGAAGACCGATTTCTCGCTGAATCTCGCGAATCGGAAAGATTTCTCTACCTAGTGTATTTAAAAAGTTTATTTTTTAAAAACAACAAAGCTTACTTCTCGTTTAATATAGATAAATATAGGCGTTGAAAGCTGTTTTTCGAAATTTTGTTGATATTAAAAACTAAGATAAACTAAGTACTTTTTTAGTTGTATTTGTCTAGGTGATATAGGGGTACACCAATGAAAATACTAAGAACTTATGTTTTTATTCTTAAACACACCAAAAGATTTGATAATATAAATATCATATATATATATATATATTTTAAAGTTTTGTTTTAGAAAATTCTACATTTATTAAAGCTTTAATAATTTGAATACTATTGCTGATTCCAACGGTCCTGGCAACAGTCGTAGGCTATGCCCATTCCAACACCCAATCCGAGCCAAATCGGATAGGTTTGTGGCCGCGTGAAGAACAAAGTGAAAACACTGCCGATGATCAACCCGCTTCCGCCCTTCAAGCAGAAGTCCGCTAGGCATTTGTCCGTGGTTATGGTGTCTTTAGTCAACGCTGGAGTCTCCGTCGTTGCCTGTTTTTCGGGCTTATCCGGACCATGAGACATTCTTGATATTAGGGGTAAATTTAAAAATTTCGAGAGGTAGTATATACTTTTAAAGAAATTGACATTTAAACCAAACACAATGTCATGTGTATTGCTGTTCACTATTTTCTAAAAAATTGATTAGTATTATAATGTGTCGTTAGCACAAGATTGTGACATAAAAATTTGGGCTGAAAAAATGGTTTTCACCTTATTAATAAGAGAATATTTCAAAATTTGCGTTTCTTGAATGGGGCCATAAGGGGTTAACAGCATTCCGATGGTGACGTAGGCTAAATAAATAAAAACAACCTCAGCCAAAGGAGATGGATGACTGCCATAGTTACAAAATCCTAGGCAACAATATTTTTGTGTATTTTCGTCATGGCAACGGAAGCCTCGCGTGCTTCGAAAGATTGCGAACAGTGTCGCCTAAGTTCAAAATAGAGAAAGATGTGAAGGAAACGGACGAATCATGGATTGCAAAAGGAACGTCCTAGCTTATTTGGCTTTGTTTTTTCACGTAGTCAGTAATTATTGTTTAATACATGTGCAATGTGTGGACGCGCCGTTTATACATATTCCGGGAAACGGGGTAATATCCGGAACATATCTGAAAATGTTCCGAACCCAAAATATTAAGGCCTATCTTGGCATTCGGTACGCACATGCCAGGAGATTTCAACCGCCGGATATCGAACTAACACCGTGGAAGGGAATTTTCAATGCAACTGTTTTCCAACCGAACTGTTGGCAAAATTCCATGCCTTCAGTGGGTAAAGAAAGTGAACAGATCCTGAAAATTATATCCTCCGATTCGAATTCCGAGGACGGTGGCAGAAAATTCGAGGAAAACTGCTTGTATCTGAACGTTTTTGTACCTGATGGTAAGTGTTTTTGGTGTCTTAAACCGGTTTTCTTTTCTAAATTTAATTCAAAATTCCAAAAATCGAATAATATTTACTATATAAGTATAACTCAAGAACACCCTGAGTTTTTGGGATGTAATAAGACGACGACTTTTGGTTGAATAACAATTTATAATTATAGCTTGGTATCCTTTCGATATGACACCCAGTTTTTTTTTACTAATTCTTCGTTGAGTTTAAAACACAAATTTTGAAACAGTATTGAACATTTTTATCGAAAATTTGATTAAATAAAATTGTTGGTAAGGATATTAATTTTGCGTTGCCTTTTCCTAACTAGGATTGCCCGAAATCAATGGATATGCAGTTGTTGTGTGGATCCACTCCGGCGATTTTTCCACTGGCAGTCCAGAAGACGTAGAACCATTTCAATTGGTGTTTAAGCAGAAGGTGATTGTGGTGACTTTTTCATATCGCCTGAATATCTTTGGATTTTTCACAACCGACGACGGGGAGGCCCAGGGGAACTATGGACTAATGGATCAGTCGGCAGCTCTTTATTGGGTCAAAAAGAATATAAACTTCTTTGGAGGAGACTCTAACCGAATCACCCTGATGGGACACGACGCTGGTGCCGTAAGTGTGGCGCTCCACATGACATCGGGTGAGTGGTCGAAAGGTGGTTTCCACAAGGCAATCATAATGTCGGGGAATCCTTTGAGCCCCGTCAAAATGCCGAATGAGTATGAGGGTTCTCTGGACCAAGTTTCAAGCACTTTCGGCTGTCCGCGTAGACCAACTTCGATGTTTATCCAGTGCCTTAAAAGGCTCGATGCCAAGAGGCTCTCGGAGAATTTGCCATCTGTGACTTGGGGTCCTGTTGTGGACTTTGGATTGAGTAACACCTCATATCCGTTTATAGAGAATCAGCCGGAGATCCTGTTCAAGAAAGGCAGCTATCACAGAGTTCCCGTCATCATCGGTGTAACCGACATGGAGGAGGTGCTGACTTTGTTCAAGGATAACCTTGATACAGAAATAAGCGCTTCAGATCTGGAGGGGTTTTTCACTGATATCGCTGTGAACGACATGCACAAACTTGTCCGTAACTACGAGTGGTGCTCCAATTACGAGTTGATATCCGATGCCATTAACTTCATGTATGCAAATGACTCCGATACGGATGTCAAAAAGGCCAACAAACATATTATAAGTGCCCACACGGAAAAGTTCTACATTACACCTATGCAGACGTTTGCCGATCTGATAAGTAATGACAGCGAGGTCTATAGTTACCTGTTTAAGATGAGACCCAGGTCGGTGCTCCAGGATCTTCCCAAGTGGATAAGTGTGCCTAAGTACTTCGACCAGGTTTTCGTCTGGGGCAATCCCTATATGACCAACTCTGTTGACTGGAAGTCAACCGATAAGAAAATTGCTGACATAATTATGACCTTGTGGGCGAACTTTGCCAAGACCTCGAACCCCACAAAGTCGAACGTTTATGTGAAGTGGAACGCCATGACCCCCAACAATGACTCAGTGCTTCTAATCGACGAGAGCTTCAACACGGACAACTTACTGAACAATCAGCGGATTAACTTTTGGAAAACGCTTTACCCGAAAATCCTCGTCTTCTCCGCGGATTGTTGCAATTCCACATTCTCGGGTAGTGCCTTAGTGATCGCAACATACGTTCCAATATTATGTACTCTTGGCATTATCGTTAACATATTTTGAATAAAGAGATCCTGCAAATAGATACCGCTTTGACCCTCTGTCAGTAATCTGTCCTACCGTTACTTATTATTAAATTAATAAATATTTGAAAACAACAGAACCAATAAATACAAAGTTCACAATTGTCGTTTATTAGTCGTTCGAAACATACAGGATATTGGATTGTTACTTCGACTGCCACGTATAAACAAAGTTGGGAGGTTTCGATTTTCGCAAGTTACACCATGAAGTTTCAGTGCTTAGAATGCTTTTTCGTTACTTATTTTCGAAACTTATAAAACTTGTAAATTAATGACCACTAAGTCATTCGCCCTGCAATATACTTTACTAAATGTCGCTGTATTATGGAGCTAGATATACATTTTTTTGTGGAATTGCAATACTACACCTAATCGTCAGCCTCAAAAATGTGGGCGTTTAAGAGCTAGAAATCCCCAATGTGAATTTTTGGAGCTCATTGCATATCGGGGACTCAGCCCTTAAAGGCGCTTTTTTGGTCGAAATTTCAAGCCATTGTCAGTGTTCCAGCTCCGATTCCATAGCCCACGCCCTTTGGTCCGTAGAATTTTCCGTAGCACGACCGACAATATATACCCCCATCAGGTCCGTCGTTCAGGTTGGTCGAATCCAGATACTTCCGGCACTCCATGCAGTAGAAGCAGAGCTTGTGCCACACAACATTGTTCTTACTCTTCATCTGTTCCGCTGCGAAAACCATAAATCCGCATCGGGGACATCCGTTCTCTGACTTTTGTCCGTTGCGATCGATAGTTCCCCAACTGAATGACAATCAGGCGGAAAATCATTAGGAAATGGTTTATTAAAATATAAACTTATAATAAAGGTAAACTAAGAAAGCTCATGAAAGCAGGAAAAAGGAAACAGACTAAACTGTTGGGTCAAAACTAGTTATCAAAAGGTATAGTATACTCACCAGCTGGGCGTGTATTCGTAGTTGGTGGACACCAGAGTGGGAGTGTGTCCGTACCCGAATCCCTTAGGCCCGTATAACTTCGCATAGCAGAGTTTGCAATAGACGTTGTCATCCGGACCGTCACAGGCGAGTACGGAGTCCAAAGGTCGGGTGCACCTGGCGCAGTTGAAACACTTTTTGTGCCACATCTTTCCCTTGGACAACTGCAACTCGGCTGCAAAAACAACTCCGCCACATCGTGGACATCCCTCGCCATCCGGAGCCATAATCGATGTCGTATCCGGGGCCACAAATGGTCGCTCAGCTCCCAAGTTCTCCTCGCTATAAGAATAAATAAAATGATAATATAGTGGTTGTATATTCAAGGATGATCTTTTCGAATCAAAAATATTTGGTACCAAATTCTTCAAAATCAACGTGCTATTTGGTGGTGTTTAACAATAGATCAACTCACGTAATTCCATCGGTTTGCAGAAAACTAGATCCACAGGCGAATCCGTAACCATGGGGTCCCCACTTTTTGCCGTAGCAAGTCTTGCAGTAGACCTCGTCGTCCGGACCGTCGCACGCGATAATGGAGTCCAGGGTTTTGGTGCAGTCCCGACACTTGAAGCACTTTCTGTGCCACTTTCTTCCCTTGGAAAGGACCTGTTCGGCAGCGAACACAACGCCACCACATCGTGGACATCCTTCGCCCAGAGGCGCCTGAATTTGCTCCACATTTATGATAGAGGCTTTAGGTGCCATTTCGCTAGAAACAACTAGTCAACAAGTTTACCCCACCAAAGTTTAAGTACTGATCATACCTCTGCCATTCACAATCCTTAATATCGGACATTAATCCCAAGGACGAAATGCCAATGTGTCCATAGCCCCTAGCACCAAACTTCTGGGCATAACATCCTGTAATACCAAGTTTTTTAAACATCCGTATTCGTTAAGCTCTAGACGTCTAAATATACCTCTGCAGTAAATGTCCTTATCTGGACCATCACAGTGAAGAGTTGAGTCTAGAGTCTTGTTGCATTGCACGCACTTGAAGCACCTCCTATGGTAGCCCTATGATAAGCATCATCACCCAAACAAATAACCAAGAAGCTAGATCAATTTGATAGTGCAGATCGCTTATAGAGCTCACCTTGCCTCTCGCCAGCATTTGCTCGGCAGCATAGACATATATGCCACACCTGGGACAGCCCAACCCATCAGGTGCTTTTGGTGGAATTTTCGGCGGAACAAATCTAAAAAGATTCGGATGCCCCCTCAATTTAATTGCTTTAAATGGACAATCATAAGGGGGCTCTTAGTCACACAAAACAGATCGCAAGACGAAAAGATCGGTCGTTGTGCCTCAACAAATACAACAGATCCACAATAGACAGCGACAAGAGAGAATACGAATAGAATTCTATAAATAACACGTGAATAATCTTACAAATACTTAGTTTTATTGTACATTTTATTTTATTAATTTACAGTCTGTGGGCGTTGTAAACAAAGATACAAAAATTATTTTTACCAAAGTCCACAATGTGTTTCTATAACATTAAACAATCGTATGTATATTTATGTTCGGTATCGTTAGTGGAATTTTTCCAGGGAATTATAAACTGGATATCCCTGGCGATTTCTGCCCAGACTAATAAAGGGGGATTTCTTTGATTTTCGGGTTTTTTAAGGGGGGTGAAAAACATTTAAAACATACAGGTTCTAATAGAAAGCAAAACTACACATTTAATTCAAGGAATTTTACACAATTTTCATACAAAAACATATTTTTAATTTAGTCCTTACTCTCTGTTTAAGTGGGAGCCAGTGTCCATGGACAGGCAGCCGGCACCACCACCGAAACCGTATCCCTTGGGACCGTATTTGCGACCATGGCAGTTTTTGCAGAAAAGTTCCTTCTCGTGCTCTGTGCAGTTGGTCGAGTCCAGGGCCTTGTTGCACATGCCTAGAAACAGATTTTTGTTTACGTTTTAGAATGCTATCCGGTTTAAGGGACCAAGTCCTGCCATTCTACTCGAAGGACCAAGATACTTACTGCACTTGAAGCAGGTCTTGTGGAATTTGTAGCCTCCGGCAACGCGCTCCTCGGCGGCATACACCGACTTTCCGCACGCGGGGCACTTGGGGGTTTCCACGGGAACAAAAGGCATTTTGATCTGAGTGTGTGTGTGTCTAAGGGGGGTAAAAAAACTGTGATTATAGCAAACTGCAGCAATAGTGGTTGTAAATCGGCGCGATTGAATTATATGTATAATCCTTAGGATATATACCTCGGAGGTACTCTGTGAAGTAGTTCCTATTCGTCGGAAATGCCGCGGACTAGACTGGAAAGATTCTGTACACAGGTAGTCTATATTTGTGGATGCACACGGCACAACTAAGAAAATACAGTTTGCGTAATAAAAACAGCACTTTCTGAATATATCATTATTTATCATGCAATGCCCACGGCTCTGTGTATGTGTACTCTCGGCTATATTCACATCGATGTCTCATTCCTGGGATGGTAACAGACCAGTTAAAGTAACTTGGATCGCTTCGAGCCCCAGACATTTTATGTTTCTAATTTTTGATTACTTTGCTTTATTGCACTCTCAAGTGCTCAGCATGCCAGGGTTTAGGAAAAATCGAAATATTTAACTGCCTACTTCTCACGAAGGTTCTTGGACTTACTTACATCCACCAACCCTCAACCCACCTATATGTAATCCGATTTTACGCAACAATTAATTTATTAGCTCTCGGCACGCACACCAAAATCCGCGCAGATGTAAATATGTATGTTTGTAGTCTAAAAATATATGCACACCCATACGATATGTATCAAAGTACATTCATGGCCTAATTTTAGTGTTAGAAATACGAAAATAACTCATAACTGGTCAACCCAGATCCATAAATAAATATGTTACGCATACATTGATTCGTCGATCTATGTAAAGATATCGCAGTTCGATCTTGATCGGAATCAGATTTACACACCATAAAATATTCGAAAATACATTCCAGTTTTCGAAAAACCGTATTCGTGTGTGGATCGAATAGCCACAAGTGTTTCATTAGAGGCAAAATGAATATGCATATGGAAATGAAGCATCTTTTCATCATCATTTTCGAATGCGATGCCCATGTATAAACATATCTATAAATACACAGGTCTCTGGGTGTTTGTTAATTGTAAATCGCTCACTTGCGATTGGCAATGAGCCTAACAATTTATGAAGGCCAGACCTATTGACTCGTGATTTTTAACAATATTGTTGGCTTTGCCCGCATTGTCTATCCGTTGTCCGTTGTTTCGATACCACCATTATTTTTTGGCGACAGTTCAGGGTTAGTTTGCAAGAATGTCGGGAATTATCCACTCGATCGCCCCAAGAAAACACGGAAGTACACTTTAATTACCTCTATGGGTGGACAATTAATATAAAATATAAATGTGGCACAGCACTGAGTCATTTATATTAATAACCGCGCCACACATAATTATGAATATGTAATGTAATTATTTACCATTTCTTTGGTTTCGTTTATCGTCTTTTTAACCATGATATGCAGCTGGGGAAAAAACTATAGGTTGCTGACCTGGTCTCGCTTCTTCTAACAAAGAAGGCGTCACCTTCAAGCCCATTTTTTGAAAATGTGGGACTGGCAGTTTAGCATAACAAAGAAATTAATTTACAGCAATCGACATCGATATGTGATGATAATCAGTGGCATCGCAGATCAGTTTATCAGATATCATTTATTTTTTATAAAATAGATAAATTAATTAATATACAAATAATTATTATAATTGTACATTTGACTTCATCTTTTATTAAACCATCCAATAGTTAATCGTAATTTACAAATTACAGTCGCTGCAATACAAATTACGCAAAATAATGTATATCATTTACAGTCACTGTAGCAATATGTTAATTTAGGTTGAGTCCGACTTTAATTTATTGGCAAACTCAACTTGCTGGATTTCCCTCCACTCTTTCTTTGGCTTCATTCGCTTCAACTGTCCGTCCCAGACCAGATCAATCAAGCCTCCCTGCTTGGCTATGACGCTCTTCACGCGGTTCGCGAACACAATCGCTGACTCTCCATCCTGCCTGTACATCGGCGGGAGGTACCACACATCGCATACAATGGCCCACGAGGTCATCATCATATAGAGATACTGCATCATCGAGTACTTAGCACTGTTCCAGAAAGCATCGCCAAATCTTGGATCATACCTTAAAGATTAAATGGGACAATTAATATGAAAAGTATCTTAAGTTTATAAAAAGTATGCCATAAAAAAGAACCGCCTCTACATGTTGCATTTGCATACTCACTTAATGGCCACCGGGTAGATAACGCCGCCTACTTCGAAGCTTCCTTTTTTGAACTGCATAACCGAGGTGTTGTTGATGCATGTTCCCTCCGGGAAGATGAGAATCGGTGGGTTGTTTGGATCAGAAACGTGCTGCTTGAGTCGTTCAGCCACTAAATGCCGATCTTTAGCCTCGCCACGTTCAAACCAAATATGGGGTGATGCTCTGGCCAGAGCTCTTTGCAACACCCCCAAGAATCCTCCATGGCGTTGACCAATCTATAAAACCGGGTGAAATTATAGTATCTGGTTTACAAAATGGATATCACCATACAAATACCACGAGAGGCCAAACATTGAACATGCAAAATATAAAACCATCACCAAAAACAAGCTTTAATACGGGTTAGTACCTACACGTGCATAAGATTTTATTGTATAATGTCAGTCTATTTGTGTCTTGATGAGCTTCTTCCGAATTTTAGCTCTAGTTCTGACAGCAGTGTATTTGTACGTACTAATAAGTGAAAGAACTAATCTCCTAGGGAAAAAATGCATCCCTAAGGCATACTTATTTGAGAGAAAACCAATCACAAAATGGCATTCTAGACAGGGATATAAACTTGTGTGTATATATCTACTACGGAAAATTAAGAAATAAGATGTTAGAAACCAAAGATAGTGATTATTTCCATACTAGGGGGGGGGTTAGTATCGTCAGGTGCCATAGTTGCCTTACCAGGGAATAGGTGGAGTCGCACATTAGGACCAACACATCGATGGGGCTGGTATGATTGGCAACACAAATACCAGATGACGGGCGATTGTCCTCGTTGTGGTAGGTTATAACCGCTGATATCGCGCTGGACAAAACGCCAAAACACATGCCGAGCACCTTGTGCACGAGATCGCGCTTGAAGGGCCCATCCTTGAAATATCCCACTGCAGCCGTACAAACTGTTAACCACACTACCTAAGGTTGCACAAAACGAGAATGGGAATAATAATGGAATTCAATTATATAGAGCTTGAAGGTCATCAGCATTATCTTGGTAGTTGGTAGATAATCCCAGCATTTATCTTTGCATTCGGCTTCATGACTCACATTTTAAACTGCTCTTAGAGAGTTATGTGTTATGTGTAAGAATTATATGAGTTAATTAGTTTTACACACATCTCAGATGGTTTCAGGACATCTTTATATACTTTTTACTCAATTCTTACTGTAAGTAAGTTTCGGTTGGTTGGAAAAGATTTCTGTGAGTCTCCTTTAATATATAATTATTTTATTTTTGCCTAGAGATAAACCTCGTGATTATTCTTTAGTACGAAATGATTATTTTCTATTAAAGCCACACGGAAAATAAAATTCACTGGGGTAACCAAATGAACAGCTGAAACTAGTCAGACGTAATGAAGGAGCTTAAATCGTTCACCCCTCGTACCGTTAAAGCAATAAATTAAATAATAAATATATTGATTTGATACCCACACAACTTATCTTACCTGATTCGCGTTCTTGGATACTCGTACAGCCAACGCACAAACTAAAAATCAGCCAAACTTTACATTACAGACACAATTTTAGGCAAGGACAATAACAAAAGCTAATATGGCAACACAGATTAATATCACATTTAAAACTGAACCTTCAATTAAATCCATGCATGCATTTTCGAAAGGACTACCTATCAGGTTGCTATAAAATAATAATAATTCAAGTCAACAAGGTTGACCGAAAGTTATCGATGCTTGTAGGTATGTTAATATGCGTCGGGTCTAAATTCCATGTATACAAAGATAATGGCTATCGGCCAAGGCATAAGAATGGAACTCTTTGATAACTTTGGTGGTATGAAAACTAATAAAAACGTTGAACAATAAATCGGCAGTTACTAGGCTGCCAGCAAAAGTAAAAACCCATGAGTTTTTCTCATTCTTATTACAGAGATTTAGCTCTGGAATTCATGAATTAAAGCCCGAGGATTTAGTAATTTTAAGCACTAGAACAACTTGCAAAAATGTGTGATTTCGGGTGATACATGCATGCATTTCGAACTTAAAATAAAACCAGTTTTATGTGACAAATTAAAGATAAAAAATCTTTCTCACCAAAGAATAGGTACAATCGGTCGATAATATTGCTACATCCAAGGGAGAGGTATGGTTGGCTACACAGAACCCAGAAATGGTGGGCTTATATTGCTTATTGTGGAACTTGATAAAGGAGGACATAGAACTCGAAATAAGGCGGAAAGTAATTTTGAATGACAAGCTCGCTAAAGAAAGCCGTAAAAATCGAAAAGGTAAACAAGCCACAATGGAGTTTGATAAAACTGCAAATAAAACCTAGGAATTAAATAGTCTTTATTAGAAAAGTATTAAATTAATCGACGAACACAAAACAAATAGAATTTCTTTTAATGGAAAATAAAAGAAAAATAATTCATAATTTTCGTTGAGTTATTAATATTAATATTAATAGGTTAGGTTATTAACACTAACTTTTATGTTAGATAATTATTCCAACAGCTTTTATCTACAAGTTCGAGGACAAAGTACGTGTCCAATAGGAAACGTTAGTTCAGGCATTTCAGATAATATATGTGCGGTTCAAGGTCGTCCGAGTATCCTATAGTTATTCATTAAATGCATTTAGATGTTGCAAGGGTATTTCTTCCTTTCTTTTTGCACACTGTAAGGGTAACTACTGAAAAGCCCAATTCCTCTGCATGTTGTTGATACTTTCATGTCTTAAATGCGAATAAACTATTGACGAGAATATTCACATGCATGGGAATTGGGACAAGTCGGGTAGTTGTGGGGGAAGGCCTTTAAAGTAACAAACTGTACTCACACCAACGAAGCAGACCAGTACTCGCAGAGGCATTAGGATTACGTATCGGATGAAGAAGCCAAACACCCAGATGGAAGTTATTTTCCATGAAATAAATTCGTAGTGCCTATTGGTGCGTGTGAGCATGTTCCAGCTCTTCAGCTCCTCCGCCTCGAATCGCGACGTTACATCGTCTTCAATAATGGCTTCCACGCCTGACTTCACGTAGTCCAAACATTTCTCAAAATCGAAATTGATTTCATCCTGAAAAGCACAATGCCATGGGAATTATACAATGTCTAATACAAAGAAGAAACCTCTTACATTTTTGGAGGAAACTGGCTTCTCAGGCGCAGGTTCCTGCGCTTGGGGCAGCAGTACTGCGTCTCTTGTGATCAAGGTAGCTCCATTTGTACCTTCTTTGGAATTAGCGTCGTTTACTAGTTGCACTCCCTGCTTGTCGTCAGTCTTGGGGTTATGAACGGAAAAATGTTGATTTTCTTTGGATGCTGTCTCTATACTGACTCGACCGTACTGAAAATAGAGGCACATTTGATTTTGATTAGTTAATAACAAAAAAAGTCTAGGGATTATCTACAGATAAGAATATCATAATCAGTTGTGATAATGACTGGCATATTACATGTGAAGGTAAAGTATTAAAAATCCACTTGAAACGCGATCCAAATTCACAGATTTGAGACAGATAGTTTAAAAAATTAAAAAAAAAAAAATTAAGAAAAAGTTTTTGCTAATACGTTTGCATTATACTGAATGCGTACGACAGCCGTTTGATTGTATTTCAAAGCTGACTATATTTATGGACTTTGGAATACCTTAACTATTCACCGTACAATTACTTTTGAATAGCAGCCTCTGCCTTGGAGAACCACAAAGTAGCTATTATTTATTCAAAAGTTTATTAAAACAATATTTACCTCGAATATCCTTAAGAGAAGGTTCACATACGCTCTGCGGACGCCGATTGATTTGTTTATGGCGGAAATAAATATCAGGAATGAAAGGAAGCCCCCGATGGGGATCCAGAATATGTCAAGAAGCGCGCTGATCATTTTACATTTGGTTCATTGGACATTAGTTATTGTCAAGAGCAAAATGCTTCCGAATTGTGTCGTGCCAATATATACAATGTTAAAATTTTTTTTTGTGAGGAAACTAGAGATGGTTGTTAGCTGTGTTGAAACCCTTTCTCGTGTCACGAAAACCGAGACTCATTTCTAGCGGGACCAGATTGCGTGGAATGGAACGGCATGTTTCAGTGCAAAAAAAATGGATATTGGGAAAAATGGAATAAGTCTATTTAAGTTTTTATAGTATCTTTTGATTGGTGATCTCAATTATACCTGCAACAAAACTTTGGCTGATGTAAAAGTTCAGTTTTGTTAACTATAAAAATTTGAATCCTCTGCATATGTTAATAACATTAATTCATAATTGATAACATACTTCAATAATATAATCTTTTATCTGATATTACTGTACTCATTACGCAAATAAGTTTTTTAGTTTCACGATATTGAAAATATAAACTATACGACAAGAAATTTAACAAACTTTCAGCTTATTTTGACGTAGTAAGTTAGGTCGTAGGTAAGAACAATATAAACAAAAGTTTTTTTAAAAATCGATGTCCGATCGGGAATACCCCTGACGTTCCGCAGGTGTAGCCACGAAGCCGATAACATTGGAAACGCTGAAATTGGAATGGGCAAGTGGATGGTGTTCCTTAAGTGTGTTTGTTTTATGTTGGCAGTTCCGTAATTATTATTATTACTATTATTTATTGCAACGAAGTTTAGTTTTTAAAACCTTAATGTTATAGTTTCTCGCAGCGCGATGGAATGATATGTATATGATCGAACATATATGTGCGCGTGCCTAATCGCTAAGATAATTCTATGTAGTTTTCGTTTGTATACAATAAGTGCCTTTTATATGTTAACGACGATGTCAGCCAGCAGCAATACAAATACAAACAGCCTGATCGAGAAGGAGATCGACGACGAGGACATGTTGTCGCCGATCAAGTCCAATAATCTGGTGGTGCGGGTTAACCAGGACACGGACGACAATTTGCAGGCGCTGTTTGACAGCGTCCTAAATCCGGGGGACGCCAAACGACCGCTGCAGGTGCCCCTGCGCATGCGGAATCTGCCCAACTCTTTCTTCACGCCTCCGGCTCCATCACACTCGCGGGCCAACAGCGCTGACTCCACCTACGACGCTGGCTCCCAGTCGAACATCAGCATCAGCAACAAAGCGGTCGTCCAGCAGACAGGCGGCCCCGGTCCAGATGGCCAATCGCCAATCGCTGCCATCCCACAGCTTCAGATCCAGCCATCTCCGCAGCACAGCCGCCTGGCGATACATCACTCCCGAGCCCGCAGCAGCCCCGCCTCGCTGCAGCAGAACTACAATGTGCGCGCCCGGAGCGACGCCGTTAACAACCCGAATGCCAATCCGAGCAGCCAACAGCCCGCTGGGCCCACTTTCCCCGAGAACAGTGCCCAAGAGTTCCCAAGCGGTGCCCCGGCCAGCTCCATCGATCTAGACGCCATGAACACCTGCATGTCGCAGGACATACCGATGTCCATGCAGACAGTGCACAAGAAGCAGCGCTCCTACGACGTCATCAGCCCCATCCAGTTGCAGCGCCAGCTGGGCGCCTTGCCTCCGGGATGGGAGCAGGCCAAGACAAACGATGGCCAGATCTATTACTTGAAGTGAGTATGACAAGCTTTTCTTACAGTTCTCCAAATCTAAGATGCTAATTTTAGCAATCTTAAAATGATTTAAACTTATTTTAACCACCAGATATATAACCAGATATTTTACAATACAAAATTAAATATTTCAAAAAGGTTGATCATTTAAATAATGGGTTGTTCTACTTCCAGTCATACTACAAAGTCTACACAGTGGGAGGATCCAAGAATTCAATATCGTCAGCAACAGCAAATCTTAATGGCTGAACGAATAAAGCAAAGTGGTAGGTACTATTTGTGCTTTTATATTATATATAAATTAAACGCCTGCGACTGCGTTTCATTGTTAACCCATTTAATTCATCTGTTAGAGAATTAATCAATGTTATCGTCTAGGTAGGGATAAAATAGGCTTTAACCATTTCATTTAACGCATGAATAGCATAACCAATTTCAGAAAATCCATTCAATTTATTTACATGCATTAATTTAGGGTTTTTGGGATTGGGTCTTAGTTGATCACATTGGTATACACAAATGGGGGTTAAAGTTAATTTAAAATTTCTAAAATTGATTTTGTAATGAGCTGCATGCTGTCTGCAACTGCCCCCAGATATCATCCGCTTTTGCTGCAGCCTTACGTTTTAGACCTATTTTAATTTGTTTTTATTTACTTTGGTTTGTAATTCATTGTTTTTGTTCGATAGATGTTTTGCAAACTACAAAACAAACTACCACATCGACCATTGCTAACAATATGGGTCCACTGCCGGATGGTTGGGAGCAGGCAGTAACCGAGTCCGGAGATCTTTACTTTATAAATCACATTGATCGAACGACTTCATGGAATGACCCCAGAATGCGTAAGTCTCGTTCCAACACCCCAACTAGCCAACTAGCGTAAGAAAACGAGACACATATGTAGATATCGTAGAGATATCACTAGATAACACTTGAGTGAGCAGTGGGCGGGGGGCGGATCACGTAATTCCCATGGCATCTCTGCTTTCACTATAGTACTGATCTTGAGATAGAGACTGAAACCTACTTATCTTTCCATGCCTTTATTAATATATCCTATTACCATATATTTTTGCAGAATCTGGGCTTAGCGTGCTGGACTGCCCAGATAACTTAGTGTCTTCCCTCCAGGTAAGCATTCCCCAATAGAGTCACCAGATCAATTACTGACCACTCTATTTTCAGATTGAGGATAATAATCTTTGCAGTAACTTGTTCAATGACGCACAGGCCATTGTAAATCCGCCGTCTTCCCACAAACCTGACGATTTGGAATGGTATAAAATTAATTAATTCAAATGTATACATCTGTATTAGACCTAAAAGTTTTATATTTTGTATTATTCTAAATTAAATATTTTTCAAATTTTATAGTATTTCTTTACATACATATTATTGAAGCTTGTCTGCCTTCTGTTCTTTTAATATTATGCACATCATGCAAGGGTTTTAAACAAGCAAACTGATAAAACAGAAGAAATCGGTGTGGCTAACTAATTCAGATGACTTTCGATCGACAAAGAGAGAGTTCAGACGAACTGAAGGTGTGGTCAGCAGCGATGACTCATGTAAAAACCGCATACACCTTGATTTTCGTAAAGAGCGAGTAAAGAAAAACATTGATCTTTAATATGGATATGGACCAGAAAAGTATTATGTTGGTTTTCATTGGGAAATCGATAAAGCTCCACTTCATATATTTAAATCGCCAGCAAAACAGATAATGGATTGTCTCTGCGGACCAGCTGTTGTTGCTGAAAACTGAACATATCTATGATTCACGATTCCAAATAATTCCCCAATTACATAAAATGATGTTGATTTTTTGGAAACTTGAACAAATGATAATAGTAAGAGTTGCGGACTTGAAGCTGGAATTTTTCCAATGTAAGACTGATCCAAAACAATTTCAAATGAGATTTATTTACTTATGTAGGCGATAAAAAGCCATTAAATTTTTCGTTATCTATTAAATATTAGTAATTTTATTTTTAACTATAATAATCTTACAATTTTACAAAATTTCTATAAAAGCGTACAACAACAGTAATTTTTTTTTTGCCGATTTTCTTGCGTCAAATTCATCTCTCGAACGATGGTGGCGAATACTTCGTTTACGTTTATCCGATCCTTTGCTGATGCTTCGATAAATGGACACTCCCACAGTTGTGCCAAGGCATTACCTTTAAATATTAAATGAAAAATCATAATCATTAGTTAATATATTTAGAAGCTTCAGATGAAATAGGCGAAAATGATGTTTACCTTCAGCGGTGGATACCTCTCTTTGGCAATCTAAATCGAATTTGTTCGCGACTAGTAGGATGGGAGCTGGCTGACTTCCTTTAACTCGAGTGATCACATTTTTCATACTAGAAATATCCTATAGAACACAAATACAAATTTTAATACAAATAAAAACGACCACAAAATGGTTTATAGCTTATGGCATTACCTGAAATGTTTGATGGTTCGTAAGTGAATACATTACAATAAAACCATGACCATTTTTGATATAGAGATCTCTCATGGATGCGAATTGCTCTGTTCCCGCGGTATCCAATATTTCCAAAACGCAAGGAGAACTGTCCACCTGCAAACAAAGAATTCGAATTAGTTAGTTACGACGCTGAAATGAAAGGATAAGGTCTAAAGAACTTGTGTAAAAATGTGTTCCCTTGATTTTGAACGAATTAATTGAAATAGTTATTTACTCTTCACGGGGTATGTCAATAGATTTATGTATTTTCTGTAAGTAAAACTGCAGTATTAAGGGTTGTACAAGTGCTTTCAACAAAATGGGGTTGTATATACAATTGTGGGCATGTGCGAATGCAGAAGAACTTCTCGCTCTTTGTCTTTAAACATTATTAGATATATTTTGTTTGGAAAAATCGGCTTTTATGCGCCTGCATCTGGTTTGTAGAATGAAAAGCCCCTTTCCAAGATTGATGAAATATCAGATATCCGATGAACTTATTCCTTTATTCCTGAGAGTATGAGCAAAAAGTTTATTTTTTAGAATTTATTTCATATTGTTGGAGCTGGGACAAAAAATACATTTTGTAATGTTTCATTAAAAAAAAAAAAAAAAAAAAAAAAAAAGCCACTAAACTTTAAACAGGAACTAGCGAAAACGAAATAAAACCTGAATGTTTGACTCTTCCTGTTTTCGGTATTATTTAAATAGATTTCCTTATTTATTTGTTTTTATCCAATGACAATTCTATAATCACACCAAATTCATACAGCACTTATTCTAACACAAAACAAGAAAAAGAAAACATTCGCAGCGCAGTGTAGAATGCATACTATATCTTGGGAACAAGTTTGGCAGGCAAAATGGAACGAGAATTGCAATATAAGGGAAGGAAACGCAGGTTGCAGTCTAAAAACCTTATCACTCCGCCTTCATTTAATAAACTCGAACGCTTTGGACCTATGATTCATTTTAAAACTGGCTTCGCCATTAATCCTTACACCAACACCCACGCCTATGCTGAAATATGCACATTTGGATGCACAGACGCTAGTGAATTTATGAATATGTAGGTACACATATGTATATACAATTAATCGCCCATTATATGTATCTACATATGTATGCATACAAATGTACATTCGTCTGTATGTGCACAGACGTTCATATCTATATGCGTGATTACGCTTAGTACATACATACATATGTAGCTATATGAGTGTCTGCGTTGAGTTTGTAAATTGATTATGTCTGGCCGATATCGTCCATATGAACGGTTTACGTACCTCTATTTCCTTGCGGTAGAAGTCCTCGATGGTGGGGTCATACTTTTCAATAAAGCATCCCGAGACGAATTGCACTGTGAGGGCCGATTTACCAACTCCTCCAGACCCGAGCACAACAACTTTAAATTCGCGCATTGTTAAATTAGCTTTTTGTGTTATTCGATGCTGGCAATATAGATGCGAATGTGTGTTCTGTACGTGTTTTATTTAACACTATTTGTGTGTATGTATTTCAACTTAAAACCGTTTACAAAGCAAAATATTATGTACGGATTAACATTGCGTTTTGATGCACGTAATGCACAAGGTGGTTGACAAAACTGCGGTATACTAATTCATTGTCTTCAGCTAAAATCGTATTTCATTTATTTTATACACATATTATATTGTAAAATATAATAATCAAATGATAATTGATAAATGATGACACTGACACTTATGGGAAAATGGAACGATGCATATGTATAGAGGAAATGAAATAATGGTTTTAGAACAAAAAAGTTAGGGGCAGGTACATACGACAAATATCTTGATTATCGATATGCCTGTCATCGGATGGCCGAATTAAAAAATATCTATAATAGAGAAAGATAGATGCATTACATATGGATTGAATATCTTGACTTTAATAAAACAATATTGCTGTTAAAGAAAACACTATAGCTCTTTCAAAAACTTTAAGCACAAATATTTGAACATATATTTAATTTCTCTCTTTAACTTATTATGTTTTAAAAAATTATGGTCATGTTATGTTTAATTATGTTGTAAAAATTTATAACTTATCGATAATTAAGTTAACTGATTTAATTAATTATTTTGTGCTTCAGTATACTGAAAAGGGTATAACTCACACATATGAGTTATAGTATACGTTAAATTAGATTATGCAAAATTTATAACTCATTTGTCTGTCTTCAGTTAAAATCCAATTTTAAGAAATGAACCAAATGTGGTTCTTGTAAGCTGCAAGGCAATTATAATAACTGCGGTTACTCTTTTGAAATACATTTTTGATATAGAAAGAAGATCTAAAGAATTGATCGGGAAATCAGCTTATTGTCTTATGGTTAAAATATAAGTAGCATAAGAAATAATATCAAGTTAATGCCAAATCGATAGATTTATTTCATATTTCACCTACCAGATTTTTCTAGCTTGAAAGGTTTTTGGTTAAAATTGCAAGGTAATTCTTATATGAAAGTTTTCCGTTTCTTTATCATTGTTCCCAAACGCATACGTTTGTGAAATTTTAAACTTATCGTCTCCAGTCCACCACTATGACTTCTTTCTTTCCGGTGTGGCTCGTTGAATAGATCGGACGAAATGGTATGAAATCTAATTAATTGTTTAAAATCATTAAATATTTAAAAAAATTTATATTATATTATTATTAACCAGGCTGCACACAAGTCGTTCAGAATAAAGCAGAAGCTGGCTAAGAAGCTGAAGCAAAACAGATCCGTTCCCCAGTGGGTTCGCCTACGTACTGGCAACACAATCCGGTAAGTTTGATATGGATTTTCATTCAAATTTAATACAAGATCTACTATAATTTAAATTGTAATTGTAAAAGTGCTTGAAGGTTTTTAGAAAATTTTAATTTTAAAGTTGCATGTTTTTGAGACCAAGGGCACCATTATATTTTGGAAAAACAAAAAAAATTGTTTTTCAAGAACTGGGCTAAGGTGCAGTCAAATTCTTCATGTTGGCTTTAACATATAACAGTAGAAACTAATAACACTTTCTTTTTGTTCTTCTATTTCAGGTACAACGCTAAGCGCCGTCACTGGAGGCGCACCAAGTTGAAGCTGTAAGCTGTTGATTCCAAAAGCTCCGCAATTTGTTGGAATGCTGAAGGTCTTTTCAAGAATATAAAATAAATTCGTTTTCAATTATCGGATTAAACATCCTGTTATCTTTGTATGGTGGGGTACAGCTGGTATATTTAAAAAACATATTATTCTATTTAATAATTATTAATTAGGTGGAAAAGATAATTAACAGCGTATGTCATACGGTAACTCTATCAAAAACTAGCTTTTGACAGGAAAGTGCGAAATCATCAGTGGGATAATAGCTCATCTAAATGGAGTTTTTCTAAGACTCCAAATATCGGATCGAAAATAATTGAATGGCGGTTGAAATCATTTTTGTTTGGATTAACAAAGGATCTTTCGTTATCAGCTGTCCCGCTCAATTTGTAACTTTGTACTAACTGCTCGAAGGGGGCTTTATGGACAATCTATTAACAAAATCTTAAGCACTAAGAAAAATTCTTTTCGATTGGGTCAATTATTACAGACTGTAACGCGTACAATTTATTAATTCTGGATTAAAAACTGTTTATGCCGCGGGAACTTCAATGGAGCCCTCGTTAAGTTCATCAATAACATCATGAGGGTGCTTTCCATCAACGGTACAGCCAACGCTCTGAGCGGTTCCTAAGACTTCTTTACAGGTTCCTTTGAGTTCACGGGCCATGGACCTGGGCCTCATCACTCGTGCAATAGCCAGAATATCGTCGAATGCAATGTTTCCACTGTGCTTGACTGGAAATTAAGAAATATTAAGTAACTGACTGACTTCTGGATACTCGTGTAGAACTCACTGTTCTTCTGCTTCTTGCGGTCACGTGGGGGTTCCTTCAGAGCCTTGATGATCAGAGAGGCGGCGGAGGGAACCACAGAGATGGCGGCTTGTCGGTTCTGGATGGTCAGGCAGACGGTGATCTTCAAACCCTTCCAGTCGGAGGTGGCCTTGGCGATGTCATCACCAATTTTTTTGGGCGACTATGGTTTTTTTTTTACATTAGCACAAATGGAGAAGGTAAACAAACCACACACACTTACCAGACCGAGAGGACCGATCTTGGGGGCCAGGGAAGATGTGGCACCGACTTCTCCGCCCACGCAACGCAGGTACACTATAATTGAAAATTATTATTTGGGCCGAAACTATATTTAAAATTCTGTTTATTCAGGAGCTAAACTATTTATACAAACATTGGAAAACATACCCAATTTAACTTCCGTGGGGTCGAATTTGGGAGGCATTGTGGTATCTCGGCTTGTACAGTCGCTGTAAGGCAAAGATTACATTAATTTTAACAGATTTTTGAAAAGACATTTTTAGCTCTGTACGTACCGCAAAAAAGACACACAGAAAAAGAAAGAAGCTTATCGATTTCCGGCAAGACTGTATGAAACTAATATATCGCCAAGAGCTATCGGAATAATATGTGATTTAAATGGAACGTGGAATCGGAACGACTTTAAAATAGTGCGATAATAATTTTAATTTAAATACTTTTATTTAATTAGTTTAACAGCTTTAAAATTGTCATATACAATTTAAGAAATTAGTTCAATTGAAATGGTAAATCACTCCATTGTTGAGCATAGCTGATTTTAACGAACAGTCTGTAAACTTCTTGAATTTTCTTTAAATAAAGAAACTATTTCCAGTAAAAAAATTAACAATCAATTGCCTTTTGGTTATATGGTCATGGTATTCATACCACTTGTATATCGATTATATCAGTGTAAAAGGAAAATACTATATTTGACGACAACGCAACAGTAGAGCTTGGTATCACTTTTTTTATTTCCATCTTATATTTGTCACAATTTCGGATATATTCCAATTCAAAATGATGTATGCATTTATATATATATATATATATATATATAATCTCCTATATTAAAATTTCCCTACAATATCTGTTGAACAACAATAATTTACACTCCCATTCAAAGCCGATCACCACATCTGGTCTCTACCGGCATGCTAAGTGACGCCTTTTCATTCGACTGTCAATCAAGCATTTTGTTTACTTTTCCCTATTTATTAGCAGTGCGATTTGCACTACCAAAAGGTCCCCCACAACATCAGCAGCTTGTATCAAGTGAAAACTAAGCGGATCAAAATTTTACTGATGACGTTTAGGTAAAAAATTTTATTGGCAAACGTGTATCTTGTTACTTAGTTATTCAAACATGGATGCTTAAAGTTTCTGTTATATTTATTACAATCGTTAGAACCAGATTTCAGATGTAGAGCCAACTTGCCTATAACATCATCTTTGAATAAATTTGTTTCAGATGTAAATGCAACAGAAATTTACAGCGACACATTTTGCTTATTTGTCCAGAGCAGTATTGGTTTTAATTGCGATAACACACTCTTCTCCACACGCCTTGAGAACAGTGCACTAGAAGCAAAAATAAGATAGTATTTAATAGTGCCAATTTATATCAATAGATGGAATGCCGAAATAAACATACCAGTAAGTCCTTGCCATTATCAAAATCAGCACGCAATTGCTCGCCCAAATCGCCATCTGGTACCTTCAAGTCTTCACGCAAGTCTCCGGTCTCGCTCATCAATGTAAGGAATCCGTCATCACTTACAGCAATCAACTGTAAGTCTTCTCTTTTGACATTGGGCACATCCATGTTATGAGTAGATGGGCAAATATCTTCATATCTGCAAAGATGATAAACCAAAAAGTTGTTCTTTATATCCGGAGGTTTGGTTTATATCGACATATTCCTTAATTAAAGCCTTCAGACGAATAGCGTCGACCCGTGGACTCAACTTTTCTCCATAAATTTATTGATAACTTTTGTCCGAGATAAGATTATTTGTGAGAACATTTAAGAGCGTTCGACTCCTCCTTTGTGTTGCAAAAACTTACTTCTTGCTGGAGAAAATATCAATGCCAACCATATGAACCTTGGCGTGTCCGTGCTTTCCAGTCTTAGAAGTAGACATCTCGACAATCTTACATGGCCGGGACTTCAGCATGACGAATCCATTTTTGCGCAATGCTGAACATTGCATGGGATAGGTTACCGATGCGCCGGACTCCGCGGATTCGAAATGATCGTCGAGATCAGCCATATCTGCCACAACACAAAAAATTTAAATTAGTTAATTATTTGATAATTCATTTAATTATATGAGTTATAATTGTTGACCCTAAATAACACAAAGGTACAAGCCATTGCAAGAAGCATATTATATACAACAACGTTCCGTGGGTACATACAGACAGACGGATTCGCATATATGTATGTATGTAAATACGAGTGTATATGCCGAAAAATACATACAATCGGCAGGCATGACACCTAAATGTAAGTATTCCAAATGCACATTCAAGCACTTTAACGTTCAAACATTTAAATTTGCAAAGTCATCGAGACAAGGCACTTAAATATTGTGTACTGCATATATGTATGTATGTATATACTTTTTTTTTTCGCACACTAGCGGTTAATTCTAGCTCCAAGTCAATTTCTAACTGTTCGAACACGCTCCAAAAGCAAACAAACATTTCCGACGCCTCTCGAGTGAATTTGCACATTTTTAATTCGCAAAAATGCGAAATTACTAACCTACTTGCAAAGCCTAGTGACTGTTCCAACCGAAGATGTAAAATGAAAGAACCCTGCTATCGAATCAAACCCACGTTTTATTTCCGGTCAATAATAGAATGAAGCAGCAGTGCATCTTAGCACTCGGAATATTTAGCACTTTTGGCTGTCACTCAAATAGGAACGGTGGTACTGGAACACGAAAGTTAGCTCGAATTTCATTACCTTAAATCATGAGCTGCCAACTCCGTGTGAAATAATTTGATAATTACTTATTAGCAAAATATCACCTGTGTATGTAAGTATAACCATTATTTATTATTTCATAGCTAATATGTTTATTTTCAATGTATCGTTACTTATTGCTCTTGATGAATTGGCGGCCAAACACATTATAATAAAAAACGCTTTTTTTAATGGTGCTTGTAAGTGTACATAATATTTAATATTTCTCTGTTAATTCAGACAAGACATTCAGACTATTTCTATTTACTGCTGATTTACTTTTTTAAAATATACTTCAATGGGCAAGGACGGTATAAAATTATCATTTTCGAAATGGTTTACTTTTCTGGGGCTATGCTGTTTTGACTTGCCTTTAGTAATGGGCTGTCTTATTTTTAGAGAACCACTGGATATGGTCATAATTGCGGATTCTGTAACTAAAGCGGATTTATCTTCTACTAATCTATCAGATCTAGATTTTGCAAGAGTGGGGCTAGGTCGTATTAATTTCGTCGAGTTTCGAGTAATGACATTTTCATCAACATTTGGCGACTTTCGCGTGCTTGGCGTTTCTCGGCGCTTAAATTTATTGATCGAATCGTTATCGACTTTCATGTTTGTCGTTGGTTCTGGTCCAACCGTGTAATTTAAGTGCTTTCGTCTTTGGTAAATTCTTTTAGACTTCTTGTACTCCCCTTTTATTTTATTGGAATCTGTTGAATTTCTTGATGTTTGAAGGGGTACTTTTTTAGTTGAGGCTAAAACTCGTAGTTTTCTCAATTTTCTATTTACATTTAATCTTCTGGTTGTAGGTGTAGGTGCTGTTGTTGAATCGATTAAGGTGCTGTTGCCTTCGAATACAACTGATTTGGTCACATTCTGAATAGGAGTTTCTTTTGTGGTAACTAAGTTTTTAAGATGAAGCTTTAACAGTTTCAATTTAGTTTCAATATTTGATGAAAAGTTTTTTGTAGCTTTCATGGATTTTAATCTATGTTTATAGGACTCGTTTTTTATATTTGCTGTAAAGTTGTTTTGTACTGGTTGCAATGTTGTCCAACCAGGAGGACTTGTTGTGGTTGTTGTTCTTGTTGTTGTAGTTGAGGTTGATGAACTAACCCAACTTGGTGTGGTGCTATATTCCATATCAAAAAAAGTTGTTTTCGATGGCATAGAATATTCTGTTGTTGCTATGCTGCTTGGGATTGACTGCGTTGTGCGTTGAAAAAGTTCTGTTACAATCTCTGGTGGAATTTCTGTTGTAAATACTTGATGACTAGGGCGAAATTGTTGGTCTTTTGTTTGAGATTTTGTGAATTTAGGTGCAGAATGGGGCAGAATTACATCGTCGAGGGTAAAGTAAGTATGAGCAACATAATTAAAATAAGGCATAGTCGTTGTAGTAGCCAATGGTAGTTCATAATTTGTAGTACTGTGAGAGCTATACAGGTCATTTGGATTTCTATCTTGGAATGATTTTTTTAAACATTTATCCGAGGATCTACCAGCAATGTTTATTATTCGGTTGCGATCCGGGCACTTTTTCCAGCTCTCATTTGAGTAGTCGGAATAGTTCCACTGATTAGAAACGCCAATCAAACTTTCTGCGTTTGAGGCAGTTCTCGTTCCCGCCGTTAACGGTACGAACGAGTTGACGGGAGCCATATTGAAATCCACTGGTGGGTTTACGGGACCTGAACTATATGCAATTGTATTAATAGGGGGTGCGATGTAATTTATCGTAGTAGTAGTAGAAGGTGTCGAACTGGCTCTGAAACCGTGAACAATGCTCATGTCCCTTAAGACGCTCCTGAAAAAAGGAAAGGGAAAAAGGGTATCACTTATATACAAAGTATATGTACGTATAATTAGCTACCTCTTTGAATTTGCATAAGATTCATGGTATTGAGCGGGAGAGGGTGAGTGTACATATCTTGGTAGCATATGCATATTGCTCAAATAATTTTTCAGTCGCATTTTTCCCACCATAATTGGAGTCCTGGTATTGTACCAATAAAAGTTTCGCATAGCATTAGGATGCTGTCTGTATAAAACAATCGCTGGATGTTCCACAGCCCACATCTGAAAGTTAGTTGATGTTGCACACTTTCGCTTTCCTTTCAGAGTAATACATTTTTATTTACCTGACGTTTTGGCCTCATATACGTAGAAGATGACTTTATATTAAGCAATATAGAAAACAGTCCTGGAAAATTATTAAATAGCTGTTTAATTCGCAGGGTCTCTTGGACATGCGTTTTCATACCTATTGTCATATAAATGACAATAATGCTGTCTTTCACTTTCCTCCACATTTTCTATGAATACTTTTTGCTGCAGACAACTAAAGACTACTAGCATTAGTTTTTCATCAAAATGATTTGATACTTGGTTCGCAATCAATGTGTTTTCATGCAATTAGGGCAGATGTATACATTGTAAATCATTCACAGTTTTGATAATAGTAGTTTTGTTAAAGTAATTTAATAAAAAAAATTTCATAAAATACCTTAAAATTATTCTGGAAAATAACGTAATTTACCTAAAAATTTTGAAATTCTTATTATTATTTTTCTATATGATCTGTGTGAATGATTGCTGTTAACTTAGTTCTCAGATGCTGCATTCAAACGTTTGCGTGTGTTCTGTGGAGCATAAAACTCAACGCTTGGACAACCTCATCTTTCTGTTATAATTGTTAAATCTTTACATCCATACATATATGTATTTGAACACACTTTCTTAAAAGTGTGTTAACTTTATCAATAAGTCAGTTTGCCTTATTTAAGACATCGCAGATACCCATTAATACGCCTAATTAAAAAATGTCTTACAAATCTAAAAAATGTGTACAGGATTAATTTCCAATGAAACATTAATGTCTAATTAAAAATACCCTTATGAAAAAGTTCAATGCATAGAACTTTGGAAAATATATGATCGACATATAAGTATTCTTTTCAAACTGAATATAATGGGTATGAGTTAAAAGATTCAGAAAATTAATTTTAAAAAATAGGTCCATGGCATTTTTACTTCTTAAAAAATAAAACGTTTTCTTTTTGAATGCATTTATTTTAGATCTAAAAAATTGTTTTCCATTTTCAGTAATGCACCTCAGATGAATATTATACATCATATAATTTTATTCAAATATGTGATCCTTATCTTCGAAAAAAATCTAAATATTAAACTTCCATTTATTATGTGTAATGTAATATCTTAAAACATCGCGTGCCTTATTTGGTGTTCAGATACAGGATGGGGTATGAATTCTAAAATTGCGTGCCGGACTGAGACATACATATATACATGTACTGCATATAATTATATATATATTATTGCATGCAGGACATAGGTACAGTAAAGTAATTGTGAAAATAGCATTTTCAAATCGAAGAAAAATGTGTGGAAAAGCAGTCAAGGCTTTTGCTGGACCTATTCTAGCTTTTGTTAAGAATAAGGGGTAGGTTTTAAAAAATTTATAATTCAGCTGTTCAGAAAAATAACTTAAGTTTGTTGTTTGTTGCAGAATATTATGGATATTTGTAATATTTATTTCAGGATGGAGCACGGTAAACATTTTTATTCTATTAAAGAATAGATATGAAACAGATTCAACGAGTATAGGGATATCTACTGCTTACAGTCGTTGGACTAATACATTTCCATCAATTGGAATCTGTCTGATAAAAAGCCGCATAAACGAGGCCTTTTCGAGTGCTGTCAGAAGACGTTTCCCTGGACAAAATATACCTTACACATACATAAAAAATATATATGAATTTGTCTTTAGAAGCCGTAATAATTTGAGCTTAAAGCAACTTACTTGCGAAAATCTGAATTCCACATGTGGAGTTGATATTTTAGAAATGAGAAGAGAGGTAGGACGCTGTTTCTGGTTTAATTGTTTTAAAATTTAGATGTACCACATTGGCTATAGTTATTCCCGACGAACTGTTCCGATTTTTTAATAGAAGTTTGTTTTGCTGGAAAATTGATTCCGGACTGCGAGAAAATATTCAAGTTTCATGAACTAGAGATGGGTTATTGTTTTGTGGCTAACAGTTTTTTGGACTAGTAAGTAAAATAATATTAAACTTTTTTCTCACTAAGAACTTTGCTAAAAATTCCCTTTAGCGACAGTACAGATAAAATGCCTTTGCACTATTCTTCACTAGACAAAAACAAGAATTTACGTTTGGTTTTACGAAGCGGCCAAGTATACAACTATGAGGTAAAATCCCAAAATACTTGGTATAATACAACAACAATTTTTCTGCATTCATTTTAAGTTGTATGTTCAGAGTCCCGAAGATCTTCCTTATTTTAATGCTATAACATACGCGGTTTCGCTTGATCCTATGGTACATTCCTTCAATGTTGAGGAAATTCACAATAGCGAAGATGTCATCAACGAGCCAGTTTCCCAACGGATGTGCAAATTCCCAAGTGAAAGTACAATTGAGGGAGTTCCTTACAGGTGATTTATAACATGGAACGCAATAGGAATTGAACCGTTAGGCATTGAATATTTTTCCACAGTTATTCGACATGCATGTCTATTCTACGAGGTCAATTTGAGATGCAAAATTGTAACTGCACTTTATTTAGTTATGAAGGTACACTTATGTTATTCAGTTAGTACAGAAATTTTATAACCATTTTACTATTTAAGATTCTGAAGACATTTGCGGAATGGATAATATGGAGTGTTTGGGAAGTGAGTAAGAGTAAGATGGTTTTACGAGACAGTTGCTAAATTTCAACTATAATTCAGACGAAGTAACCAATGAAATGAAGAACTATGTCGAAACTAATGTGGCTTGCTTACCATCCTGCATGGAACAGCAGATAACCAATGTCGGGTATGCAAGTGCTAGTATTTTGAGTTAGTTTTCAATAACATTTGCTTATATGTAGGAGCTTTGAGGATAGATCTTTACTACTAAAAAAAGGGGAACTAATTGCAGAAATACATATAGCATCTACACCTACCGTGAGGTACTATAGAACAGTCACCCAGACTAAATTGGATCTAATAGGTACGAATCCCCAAACCTGCAAATGCTATTGATGGGCTAAACTTTTTACTATTTAGTTGGCATTGGAAGTGTAATAGGACTCTTTTTCGGCGCATCTTTACTAAACCTTTTTGAAATTATCTCTTTTTTGTTTAAAAAGTTTAAATCATTTTTATAAATGCGAATTTTTAACCCTTTTTACCTTTCAATTTCGCAGCGGCTGTACTCACATTAATCAATAATATATAGTTGATAAAGGCAAATGTATATTTAATTTTAAAATTGTGATATTTGGGGTTAATTGTTATTTTCAAACAAGTCTAAATGATAGTTTGCAATTTCATTTTCTATAAAAATATTAAGGTCACGGGAGTTATCATTCTTAACTTTATGTACAGAAGTATTAACATTTTGTTTCTTATAACGCAGTCCGACTCTAAAAAGAAGCAGATAGAAAAAGTATTCTCCCGGAAACTTGCAATAGCTTACATTCTTATGGAGGGAATATCAGGGGAGCTCCTCATTTTATCGGAGGATTTGGCTCTCAAATAGCGATGCTTGATATCAACTCCAGAGTGTTCGTCCTAGAAACATAGATCGCCTTAGAAACGTTCCTTGATAACTGGACTTACTCACATCTCTCATATTATATGTTATGACCAAGTTGTTAACAAAGCTTTCAAGAAATTCTGGATAAGCATCAAGGACGTCCAGCAAATCATCCCTATGTAACTTATGGATATCGCAGTACGTCAGTGCCCTAACTACTCCGTTTGATTTTCCAAGAGTTGGATATATGCACGGATTTTCACCGAATATGTCGTTTTTACCTAAAGTAAAAGCCATTTGTTTTTGTAATTTTAATTGTACTTTAAAAATAACTCACCCAATACAACAATCATATTTCCAGCTTTTTGAATCTCTATGGAACCCCTGGCTATAAAAAACAATGAAGTAAGGACATCTCCTCTATGGACTAAGATGTCACCAGGCGGCGCATGGGTAGTTTTAAATTTAAGCGAAAAAGCTCTGAAAATTAAAATTAATGAAGTCTGGTTAATTTTTCAAATTTTCAACGTGGTAACCTACTTACAAATAAATATGAATTTTCGATCTTATGTGTAATGATGTTCAATCTTACCTTAGACAACCAGGACTGGCTTCCGAAAAAGCTGCGCATGTGGTTAACAACTTTCTGTTTAAATGAAGGCAAATGTCGGCTTGTAGACACTCCGGAAATCCTTTCAGTAGCGAGCTCATATCAATTCCATTTGTATCTTAAAAATCAATAAATTTAAATAAATAAATAAAATCAAGAGTGTTGTTAATAACATTACAGGTCCATGCGTGTTGAAAATATTCCTCTAGTCTCTGCCTGAGCGGATTTGGTATCTGTAGGAAGGTGAGAAGATAAATGATTTATTTATAGCGCTTGGTATCATTAATACCTGATGGAATCGAATGAATTCTCGAACGCGCAACATTTGGGTGTGATATCTTGCCGTTCCAGAATACAGTCTTTGTATTATCGCCGACACGTTTCCAAAAATACTGGCATACATAAGAGCTTGAGGGGAAATTACAAATATTTCTAGTTATTAACAAATAAATTTAAAATAAAACCGCATTTCGCCTACATCCAACAAGCATTACACAAATGGTGAACGCTTTTTCAGCATCAGTATTCGGTGCCACATTTCCAAATCCAACCGACGTAAGTGAGGTAAATGTAAAATATAAGGCCGTAATATAACGCGACTATGGGGAAAAATTTTGAAATCATCCGTGTTGCTGGGTCAAAACTTAGCTTTACCTTTATTGAGGGTCCACCAGTTCGGTTGTCAAAATACGGTTCTTGAATATCATATGCCAAGGAATTAAGCCAACCGATATTTTTCGCCGCAATAGACTTTTCTGCGTTTCCAATCGCATACCTGAAATAAAGTATTAGGATTTGGGGCAAAATCTGAGTACTAGCAAGTGAATTTACCATATGCAGGCCAGCCAATGGGCAATTAAAATAAAAGTTGCCATTAATAATATAAGAACTGCAGCCCCATATTCGGAATAACGATCAATTTTCCGGGCTACACGAACCAGTCGTAAAAGTCGCGCTGTCTTCAGAAGTCCTATTAGGGTAGTTGTCTGAAAAAGCGACTTCATACTTTCATGAACTTCGGAAAAGGCTAAGAAAATCTCACCTCATCTGTATCACTACCAACTAGAAGCAAATCAAATGGAACAGCTGCCACAAGATCAATTAAAAACCAACCGCTTAAGTAGTGAACTGCTATGCGGCCTGGATGGGATACCTATATCATCATAGAAGGATCATTTGTTATTGGTTTTTCCAATTTGCGTGTCTCTAATCGTACCACTTCATCCTGAGCGTTGACAAAAGTTGTACGAAAGTTTATTAGGATATCGACGATAAAAGTAACATCCACTGTAAGGTTACCATTAAGAATAAGAACTTTACGAATTTAACACACAGCACTTTAATATATGTATGTATGTCTTACCAATCAAATCAATTATAACTATGGGGTCAGAGTTTATGTATTTGTTATTTCTTCTTTGATAATCCTGTTCTCCAAGCAGAAACGCTGCTACGTACGGCGTAAAAATTGCTGTGTACATCACTAGGATTAATATCACCCAATCCCATACGGCCTTAAATGGTGAATAATGCAATAAGGTCCACTTGTGATAATAGTTGTTCTGCAACTTCTGGTCAAGAAGTATGTTTCCACCCAGAGAAGTGATCTTTTGAAAAAATGTATTCATATGTGTAAACAGAAATCATAACGGTAATGAGATGACTTTGGCTTACCATTTCATTCGGATCTTGCATTTTCGGCTCACTCTTTGAACCGAGAAGAGCTTCTTTGTCCAGCATATCATCATATGAACTTCCCAAAACGTTATCGGTCGTTTTTTCTGTTTGATTATATTTAGGGTTTTTGAACATGCACTCGTAGGAATTACCCTTATGGGTTTGGAAAATGTCGCTGTTATTTTTACGGGATGGGTCATACGAGCAAAGCAAATCACAATCCCGCCTTGTAGACGTCTGGTAGTTTTTAATATACAGCTTCTTTTTATCACATTTTACGCATTTTTTCGATGCTTTGCTGCTAGTATGCTTTTTGGTCTGGCTTGACCTTAGCTCGTTTGAGACATTATTCGAGTCAATTAAACTTTCCCCCTTGTTGTTCTTATTCTTTTTCAAGCACTCTCTTTTATTGTTTAATTTGAATAGTAAGGGAGAAAAGAAACAATCTGGCGTGTACTTAGTGCCTTGTTTTTCCTTGGATTTTAGTTTTGTTTTAAGTTCTAGTGTGTCATTATCATTACTAGATCTAGTTCGCAAGAACTTGTGATAAACCAGAGTGTTATGGTCGGGTACATTTTTCGGAAATCTTGACAAACTCTCTTTTTTGTCGTCGAACATACTGGCGTTTATCAAAATATCTGAAACAAAAACTTGCTTCTTTTCAATCTTATTTAGGTTGCACATAAGCGAGAAGAGTTCCCTTTCTACAAATTTATTGGATTTTGCAAGGCAATTTCTTTTAAATTCCTTTAAAGGCGGTTTCTTAGCGGTATCATTAATATTATTGTTAGACATGTACAGCTCGCATTGCTGTACTATTTTATCCAATTTGCGGATTTCGCTCAGTTCCACACAAGATTTGTGGGACATTTTAAAATCTGCAAAAACATAAAAACGAAAAAGTTTTGCAAATTAAAATCAAACAGCATTAGTTGCAAATGTACAATATGCAGATTCCAGTGCAATAATAATTAGAATAAGCCATACGTTTTAAAAAAGTTTTATTGTCAAGTATTCAAGATAAAGATTTGCAAAAGTTTCGATGTCTTACCCAATGCACTTTTTTATTTATGTACTTCGCAAATCAAAACAGAACAGGTAATGAAATACAGATAAGGAAAACAGGAGCTAGAACGAAAATCCCATAAATAATAAACAAGATTATTTATCATTTGTATAAAATCTAAAATATCTTTTTTAAATCCCACTATATTTTTTTTTAAATTAATTAATATTAGAACCAAAATGCACCTTTTAAGGGAAATAAAAGTGATATTTATTTCGCGTGTAATCAAACCTAGTTTTTCAGAAATTTCAGACATGCGCACAAGTTAAAAGATTCCAATCCACTGTGATGTTCAAATAGTTATTATTTCACTTGACGCGTTCGGCCACACTATTTTCAAACGTAAACAATTGATTTTTCCTAAAAAACAAAGCTTGTTTTGTCAAAAATGTCTGGAGTTGCTGCTAAGAAGATAGCCGAAGCAGAGGATCTGGTGAAGCAAGCCGAGAAAAGGTGTCTTTATATGTAATAATTTTATTGACTGATCTTCGAATTAAACGTGCATATATTTGCAGCTTGAAATTGTCTATGCTAAAATGGGTACCTGATTACGATAGTGCTGCGGATGAGTATTCCAAAGCTGGTGAGTATTATAAAGTTTAAAGGAACCATGTATGCATGTATGTATGTATATAAGACTTTATAAGATACTAGTGGAATTCGAATATTCTAATATCATTGAAATATTACCAAACCTTATTCATTTTGGTAATATTTGAGTATACACACATGTAAGTTTTTGTATATTATTTAGTTTCTAAAGAAATAAAAATAATAATTTTACAAAAATGCTTATTTATCTATAACGTAAAAATTTGCTTACAGCCACTGCATATCGAATAGCTAAAAGTTATGACAAGAGCAAGGATTGTTTCTTGAAAGCCATTGAGTGTTACAAAAACAACAAGTCCTGGTTCCACGCTGCAAAATCATACGAACAGGTATGGTAAACAAGTCAACAAAACCTTTAGAAATATCTCAAAGACCAAGATGTTTTGTAGATTATTTTGCTGTGTAAGGATTCTGATAAACTATACGAAGTAGAGGAATATGCCAACAAGTCGGCAAGTTTGTATCAACAGCATGGTTCTCCGGAAGCAGCCGCTTCCGCATTGGATAAAGCCGCAAAATTAACCGAATCCAAACATCCTGACATGGCCTTGAGGTTTTACCAACATGCTTTGGAAGTCATAATGGTGGGTACCATTAACGTCTATTATTTTTAAATTGATGTAATGTTTTGGACAGATTGAGGATTCCGTCCGTCAAGCAGCAGAATATGCATCGAAAGTTTCAAGAATACTGGTCAAACTAGCAAGGTATGTTATCAATGTAGCATTTTGCCTTATATATTTAATAAATTTTAATGAATCAGGTACGAAGAAGCTACTAACGCGCTTAAAAAAGAGATAAGTTTAAATCAGCAAACAGAATCTTATGGACAAATTGGACGTTTAGTCGTGGCCTTGGTAATGGTACAATTGGCACGCGGAGATTCTGTTGAAGCCGAAAAGACATTCAGAGAATGGGGAAACTGTTGCGAGCCAGAGGAAGTGTCCACTCTGCAAACGTTACTGCAGGCCTTTGATGACGAGGATCCAGAACTAGCTGCTAGGATGTTGGCATCCCCATTTATCCGCCATATGGATGTAGAGTATGCAATTTTATCTAAAAACATTCCATTACCTCAAGGTATACAGTTGGAGAAGAAACCCGAAGTTAATGCTGGAGTTGTAAGTACTACTATTGTTACACTTTCCATCTTGGATATTTTATTTCGTTGCTAAATATGACAGTGAGATTTTGTTTTAAATTAATAAAATCTGTAAAATATCAATAACACAAATAGAAAATCAACTGATTGTATTCCCAGTTATACATTTCAAAAGCTAATAAAATTACCCTTCTTCCGTTTTTAAGGAAACTATTGACGCCGAGGACGAGGGAGGTTTATGCTAAATTCATTAAAGTTTTACTATCTGCTTCTTAGTCAAAATATATTTATCGTTAAAAACGCTTTTAATATACAAATTGTTAAATACAAATTTCATCGCAATTGTTGTACTAATTACCTTAAGAATTAAATAAAAGAAGATATGCTAATATATTTCGGGATGATTTGAGTTTGTTGACTAAAGTAATAGGTTGATATTGTTAAAATCTCTTTTGGAAATATTTACTAAAATAATAATTATTGATTAGATATTTTCAAATACAATCCACAAATTAGGTATGATATTTTATTAATTCTCCGTGTATTTAAATAGCATGTTAAATTAAAAATAAATATTTTTTGCGAAAACTTCAAATGTGCTATTCCAACGTTTCAAACTAAGAACTTACGTTCATGACGCGTCAAGACGCATGTTGATATTTTGCATTGGACTGGCAACTCTAGGCTATGCGAAATAACCGACCAAATTGATTCGTCCGGTTGTTCGTGAAAGAAGGCGGAAGGTTAAACAGTATTTATAATATATACCAGCAATTTAAAAATTGTGAAAGTAAATAACTACACGAAAAATGGTACGTATTTCGAATCCTAAGCAGATGAGTAAAAAAGGCGGTCTATAAGGGAATTATTGGTTATTTCGTATGTAAGAGAGAGAGTAGGAGTGCGAATGAGTGTCTTTGACTCGATGAATCATATAAGCATCTCCTTTGAAATCTGTATATACATACATTCAGATAAGTGTGTATATATACCAATCATACATATATTTCAAATTTTTTTTTTTTTTTGCCGATATGTACGTTAGCCATATTCGGGCATATACATGTTCGTGAATGTGTGCGTATATATATATATATGTATATACAAATTAGTCATTGGTAGCAGCGGATATTACTCATTTATTGAAGTGTTTCATACTTCTCATCAGCCACTCACACTCATAAATGGTAAATTCGCGAAAAAACTCGCGAAAGAATGCTCAGAAGTAGCAGCTGGAAAAATGGAGCGATTAGAAATTCAAATGTTGGAAAGAGAAATGCTCACACATTTTGATTTTCTTTGCTATATATATTTTTACACACTTAAGTGTGTGTGGGTATACCGCTTTTTTATATTTCGATGGCTATAAATATGTACGTATGTATGTATGTATCAGCGGCGCAAGGCTTATTGCTTATTTTCTCGCAGAAGCAAAATGTGTGTATGAAAACTATATTACCACACAAAAATATATATCCATATATGTATCTACAGGCATACATATTTAAGGTGTGATCGTTTCCTTGCCGCCTGCGTACATATGCCTATATTTCTTTCCGCCTCCGGATGTCTGGTTGTGTGCTTTTTAGACGACTGTATGTATGATAAATTTGATTTTTCACCCTTTCCTGAAGGTTTTGGAAAATCGTGAATTTTCTTCTGTTTTGCGGCCGCCACAAAGGTGTGGGAGAGCAGCCGCCTCCCATTGGTTTTCTTTCTCCCAAACTCTCAGCTTGATCTCACCCTTAAACTTTGCCGGCAGTTGTGAACTTACCCTTGAACTTTTTGAGCGGCGAAAAAAGGAAACGGGCCGTAATAGTGCCACGCCCACTACTCTTAGCCAAGTATGATCCGCATGCTGACGGCTTTAACCGTTAAAAGTTCTTCGGCAACAAAGAAAATACAAAGCATAAACTATTTACATTTACGTTTGTTATTGCCGGCAATCGAAGAAGTAAAATTTGCGAAGTGGAAAAGAGACGGCTATAGTGTCAGCTGAAAGTGGGCAGTTATGTTTGGCTTTACATATTCACATATCTACATCAGTTAAATACAGGGTGCCTCGTGTTTTATGTCGGTATGAAACCTTGATAATGAAGTTTTAGTCATGAATCGCTTTATGAATATGCTTTACATTAAAGTTAATTTTAGTTAATAATTTATTAAATATAAGGAAACCAAGTTGGAACACCCTGTATTATCAGAACATATATTCATCTTCCGTTTGCAGTTTGGCACGCTTTCAATATTCAATGTTTTAAATCTTCATTTTAATTTTGATTTCTTTATAGGCTTCTGGTGTAACTGTGTCTGATGTCTGCAAGACTACATACGAGGAAATAAAGAAGGACAAAAAACATCGCTATGTTATTTTCTACATTCGCGATGAAAAGCAGATTGATGTAGAGACTGTCGCAGATCGCAACGCCGAATACGATCAGTTTCTAGAAGATATCCAGAAATGTGGTCCTGGAGAGTGCCGGTAAGTTTCAATTATAAATAAAGAGGATCTAAAAACCATTATAATCTAAATTATAAACATATTTAATATTATATTTATTTCAATATTTGTCCATTTTTCACAGGTATGGATTGTTCGATTTTGAATACATGCATCAATGTCAAGGCACCTCTGAGAGTTCAAAGAAGCAAAAGCTGTTCCTTATGTCATGGTGTCCCGACACTGCCAAGGTATGTTAAGGACACAAAAAACAAGAAAACACGATAACTATCAATGGTCTTCAATTTGTACAGGTTAAGAAGAAGATGTTGTACTCCAGCTCCTTCGATGCTCTCAAGAAGTCCCTGGTGGGCGTGCAAAAGTACATACAAGCCACTGATCTTTCCGAAGCCTCCCGGGAAGCTGTCGAGGAGAAACTCCGGGCCACCGACCGCCAATAATCTGTACGAGCACTGTGCATTGCATTTAACAAACAAGGCATGCATGAAACAGCGATGGAAGCACGTATCCTGTTGATATCGCCAATTTGTATGAGAATTTTCTACATAATTTGTATTTTCAGTAGAAATAAAGAATAAAATATTTAACTTGATTAAGGCGCATTTCAACATTTCAAATGTGGTAGAAATCTTGTACCTCTGAATACACTTTATTATTAAAAAACGTTTAGCTGTAAGATTACAATATACATAAGATGAGAAGTCTAACTTATAAGCAGAACATTTAATAGCCATGCTGAATCACTAATGTCTGAAGGACCTTTCGTATCTGGTGGCCAGTGTTCAGGCACGATTTCAGGCCCAGCGAAAAGGCCACGGTTAGAATATCTATTGCGTGTTCCTGCAGCAGCACCGACATTTCCGGCAAATTATCTATAGCCGTCGCCGCCACCAAGGAGTTCTCATCACGCAGGCACTGAATGTAGGCATTCAGGGTGCACAGGTTTATGTCCGAGTTGCCAGGATTGTGCTTAAGATGTCTGATCAGGATGATGAAGGCGATGGAACGGATCTGAGCACTCGGAGAGAATATCAGGTTGAGCAATCTCTCAAATAGCTCGTTGATAAAAACAAATCTTTTGGAGGTCAGACACTCCAACTCTTTCATGGGAAACAGAATGACGTCCTCGGTGTTCGCCTGTTTAATTATCTTGATAAGATCAAGGAAGTATGGTGATATTTCCGTGTAGTTCGATTTGCTGTAGGAGCCTAAGGTAAGGACCGAAGAAGTGCCCCTGCTGCCAGCCACATCATTGGGCGTGGGCGGGTTTCCCTCGATGGGGTCCTCCGAAACTACGCCTTTGCTGGCCGATGGTTTCACCTCAAAGTGCTCGTCCAGATCGTACTCGTACTTAACCTCCTCGTCGTCCAATTCGGTGGCTGAATGCGACTTATGCTGCAGTAAGGCCACTGCTTGAACCAAAACCTGGAGCTTACTTAGCCAGGTGTACTTGGCAGCCAATTCCTTGAGGATGCCAACGTACTGCTCGATGAAGAGCAGGGCACTTGAGGGATTGCAGTTTATGTAAGCCTGCAGCATTTGCACAAACTTATTCAGCATTTGACACGCCTCTTTCACCGAACTATGGTGCTTAAAGAAATTGAAGTAGCACGACAGCATGTTTTGAATCTCATTTTTGTACGCGTCCTCAAAGATGGTTGGCTGTAGCAGCTCCAGTGTCCTGAGGATTTGAACAAATCTGTGAAAGTGGTGCTCCTCCCGCAAGGCCTTCATGCTGATCTGGGCCCGACCCTGCATAATGGACGACAGGACGCTTAACTGGCGAAGAAACAGCAGCGGATGAGAAGCAGCCAGCTTGCGCAGAAGCAACTCTGTGTCCGTGGACAGGGTTTCAAAATCTTTCTTGCGCACCAGACTTCCCAAACAGGTTATTAAATTGTTGGATACCTTGTCGGCCTGGCAACCCTTTAAACTCTGCAATTTGTAGGCCTGCTCGCCAGTTTTGCTTGGTTTAAGGAACTTAACTCGGGGGTACATGATGTACATTTGCTGTAGGACCTGCAGTTTCAAATGGTCGGACACTGCACTGCTCTCCACGTATTCCATTACTCTAACCATAAGATCTCTTCGTTTCTCTGTTAGCTTAAACAGCAGGTTCATTCTCGAGCAGAGCTTAAAATCGTAATTTCCGCTATTCACCTTGACCTCCGAAAGTCCTTCGTGCAAAATAAAGTGGGCAAACGGTTCCAGTTCTGAAGTCCTTAGTAAGAAGAAGGCATCCGGCCGTACGTTCTTTGACATGTACTTCTCACGACCTTTCCAAAGTTTTGGATTAGTGGTCAGAGCCTCGAAATAGTTCAGAACCGTCGCACAGTCGTAGTCTTCATGGAAATTCTTAAACAAATACTCGGAAATTCTTTCGATTGTGTCCCAGTTGGTTTGGTGATTGATTAAAGACAGTAGATAGAATCTAAACTCGCTACAAGACTTTGAGAAGAGGAAGCGCTCCTTCATCAGCTGCGTTGAAACGATTTCGGGATCCATTTCAGACAGCCAATCGATAAAGAGTCCGTTGTGGAAGAGCTGGTCGCTCTTGCTTTTCGCGACCGTTTTGCAATCTTCGGTCTGATTGAAACTATCGATGATGCTCCTTACAATTTTTTTTCTGCCCAACGAAGCGGAATTCGTCTTAAACTGCTGCACAAAAGTCTCGCAGGAATTTCTTAACATAAAAACCAAGCTCTCACGATATAGTTCTGTCTTCAGCAGACTGGAGTCGGTGAAATTGTGCTTGAAAATATTAATGTTCTTTTTCAAAGTAGTCTCCAGTATGTGGTATTTATCGCTGTGCAGCATAGAACTAAGAAAGGTTCTTAAAGTAGTGCAGGCATGTCGATTCGTAACGGCATCGCTACCCACGGCTATCAGTTCGGTTATGGCTGTGACCAGATCGTTTCGATTGCTATTTGGGCTGACCATCACATTCAACAGTTTTTGTGACACCTCTTTAGTGGTCGTGAAATCGTTCCGACTTCTAGCCGATTCTGTGGAATCGTAATCGTCAATATCCACCGTCTCCTGGATAACTACACTGATTTTTGGCAAATCCGGCACGGTCTGTGAGTGGGAATGCAGATCGAGCGCCTGAACGGTGTAGTGTCCATTTTTTGCTCCACGCGCCTGCTGTATCTCAATGAGTTGCGCTAGATAAGCCTTATTGAGGATGGCATTCTTCACCAAATCAAACTGCTCCAATACAGCTGTGTCCAACATGGCCAGGAGCTTTGACATTGAGTTGACCGGCGTGCCGAAGTTTTGCACAAACAGTACAATTTGATCGGGTGTCAGGTCATTCAGAGCGGCCTCGATCAGTCTGTCAACGGACGAACGGATCATTTTTAGCTTCAACCAGTCGGGCAAAAGTTGAACCTGTTCCTGCGGCATGCTGGGCAGGAAAGCAACGGGAGCGGGTCGTCCTGGTGGAAACCAATAATCTAAAATGGGAATCGATTCGGGCATGTTGCTGTTTGAATATGTAAGCAGGATAATGAAGGCGTGAATAATGTTTATGTGGAGGGGCAGCTGCACTCCGTCGTCAAACTGAACCATCAGTAAGTCCGGATATTCGGTCCACTCGTACGGTTCATGGTATTCCCTCAGCTTAATAATATAATTATTAAACATTACAAAAAGGCACTTAAGCGTCTGAATGCGGTTCTCGTCGGGCACGTAATCATAATCCTCCTGAGATATAATGATGTGCTGGAACATTGTGCTGCGTTCCACTATCAACTGTGCCATATCGATGACATGGTCGAGCATTTCATTAACAGGATCGTTCAGCGTGTGCGCCGTAATAAACTGAATGTAGGCCATAATCAGCTCGGGACAGTTCTCGACCTGGCAGGCAGCTCGCAGCTGTGGAATTATAAAGGGTTTAACCTCAAAAAAATGGGGAATTTGCTGGATCGACTTCAACAGCCATTCGTTTTCAAAATCTCCAGAGTGCCTGAAAATTATTTTCAGACCTAATAGAGCCGCTACACGTGATTGTTTTACCGTGGATGACAACCGTCTAAATATATAGTCCAAAAGCTCGCAAACGATTTGGTGGCTTAAATTTCCATCAAATATTAAATTTCTCAGGAAGTTGACCAGTTCGGCATCTCGACTATTTTCTTCGTTGATGATGTGCGCATTGAAAAGTAGGAACTCGCACAAGCACTGTACTGGAAGATGGCTGAAGTCACCCTCGCTGTTCTGAACCAGGTCTGAAAGCCAGGGCATGGACTGCGTGGTGCCCTGCCTCTGAATAATGTCCAATAGCAAGTCCGGCTTGCGGCAGCGGCAGAACAAATGGCCCAGCTTGTATGTCTGGTTAAGAAACTTCAGCTGGTCCAACACCATTGAGGGCACTTTTCTCGGCGTACCCATTGGATCCATCAACATCAGTTGAGTGATTAAAATTGCAGTCTCTTCGGTAATAACTGCATGGGGCGATGTTTGAGCAGCCAAATATGTTTCAAACTGCAGAATATGATCCCTCTCCACTGTGATTATCTACAATAAATTTATTGAAGTACGTGCACGTATTTTATTTTTGTTAGAAACGCACCTGCAACTCATCCTTGTTTGCTGCCGAATTATTGAACTGATTAGTAATACATATTTCCATCATCATCTTCATTGTGGGGTAGTGATCCCAGCAAAAGGCTCCAAAGGAGGAGGGATTGTGTGCGGATATCATGAGCAAAATCAGCCACGCCTTCCAGTAAAACGCTATGATAGCCAGCTTTGGCGGCTCGTAATCCGGTGGTAATCGGATATTCTCCGGATGATGGTATTCGGACATGCTAAACAAGAAATCAATGATATCGAATTTGTTGGCCTGCACAGCCGGTATATTGGTGGCCTTCATTCCAGATACTCGCTTGATAACCAGCAAGAGGACATCAAAGGTGTTTGCAATGGAAAAGGGAATATCCTTGGTGATTCCTATTAATATAATTCGCAGAAGGGTCTCTTCGTGAATCGGCGTCTCGGAGATTATCCTTAAAATTGCTCCTCGCTCTGGCTCTGACGGCCACTGATCGCAACGCGAATACTGCTCTGGGCTATCCAAAAGCAGTAGTTTGTGTAGCGCTTGGTGATATTCGGCGGCTGGTATCTTGAATACAGTGGGCACAGTTTCGTACATCCAGGACACAGTGTCCAATTGAATCTGCGACATCTGATTATATAACTTAAGCAGCGCATGGTTATTTTTTGTATCTCGATTTGTTTTTAGAGACAAACTGGCTTCCCTAGCCTGCGGTGTGGCCGACAAAAACATGCAAAGACACACAATGTCTACCATGGAGTGAAAGATTCGTTCCTTAAACTCAAACATTTCAATTTGCGGCGTGAGGTCCTCCCGCTCACTGAGGAATGTCTTGCAAAACTTGACCAGGTTTACATCAAAGCGAAGCATTCGCACAAGTTCCCTTAAAAAGACACGCAAGGTGCGAAGGCAATCGTCCCGTTGTAGCAAAAATTCCTGGTAGATTTCAGCCAGATTTGCAGCCGATTGATCGGAAGACGTTTGAAACATAGTGGCTGTTAACAGAAAATATTAAGAATTAAGCACCAACATATATTATGGTTTTAGTTTCTTTACCCAGCATTCCCATATTGTTCGGATTCCTCGTGTTAGAGAGCTCATTTTGCACAACCAATTTCATCACAGTACTTAAGATGTCTGGCTGTAAATAGATCATCTCCTTTAAGCACGACATATAATGGTTGATCAGGGGTTTCGTTTTAAGGCGCATCTTCACCAGAACCAGGAGGACTTCGTTGTCTTGAGTGTTGCGTCCCTTGATGTTAAAACAGATGTATGAGAGCAGTTGCTGGGCGAACTTTACCAACTTTCCGTTGTGGATCCACAGCTCTAGCCGGGAAATGCTCAGACATCGCACCTCTGCAATACCAGAAGTGGTGCATAGGAACTTAAGAAAGTTCCTGGTGTAGTTATCCTGCTGCTGGCGTTTGTTCAGCTGGTCGCGAATGGCATCGCTCACATGCTTTTGCACCACAGCGTCGCTAAACCTTGGTTTCGTGGTGCACATGGCATCGGAAATGGGTTCAGACTCGGTGTTCAGGGGACTGGCATCTAAGCTTTGCGTGGAATTGTCTCCTGAATCGTCGTCCACGGTCATGCTGTCTCTGTGCGCCTGACCTGATGGAAGAGCCGTGCTCACATCCCACCGAAGTAGACTTATGTGTGGAGTTCGTGTCTTAAATGAAGCGCATATGTTTTTGACCAAAGGAGCACACAATTCATTATCCGCCCAGAAACGCTCGTTGACCGCATCGTCTATATAGGTGCGGAGGATTATTTCAGGCCACTGAGATATGTCTACAAAGCCCCGCGTCAACAAATTGGAAAACAGGATGTGCAGGTTGGTGTTGTACCTCATTTTCACATTAGCCTCCCGTCGCAAGAAGGATAACAACGCGCAGGCCACTATATCTGTGGAAAATATACTAGGCTGAAGCTTTGACACGTAAATAAGTGCCAGCAGGGATATATTGTCCACCTTGGAACGAGAGGAGCTTGTGGTTGTCTGTTTTATAACGCCGCAGACCAGCCGGCCTACAGTTTCATTGTCGTTTTGCTCCAAGGCCGCGTATATAGTTTCGATGACAGTCTCCAGGTCGCAGTCAATAGCAAACTGCTCCCAGGACTCGCACTGGCTGCTTCCGGAGGAAATGTCCGTGGCGCTTGCATCTTTTAGGTTGCCCCGAAACCGCTTGCTCGAACTGGCTAAAGAGGAGGAGGCTTCGCGTTTGCGGTCTGTCGAGGATATGGCCTTGATGGGCAAGATCTTGGACTTCGAGTCATCGCGTACATTCTTGGTGCCGAGGGCAAATAGTTCTCCTCCCAGAGGAACCTTTTTTTGCGATCTATTCGACCCGCTGCCTTTACCGCGGTCCATTTTATTTTGCTTTTGCGGATTACACGTTAGTACAGTGTGGCCAAGGCTATCAATATCGGATTCACCCACTAACGCATTTTGGCGTGGGTGTATCCCTATAATTTGAAACGATAAAAGTCTGGAACACACCAAACTATACAAGATAAATGTCTTTATAGCTTGTTATTTATATTGTGTTAACTTAACTGAATTCCTCTCATCTTACGCTTATTCCCACACTAAACTACATATATGATTGCATTTACAAGTTATTTTTCAGACCTCCCAACCTCCGACTAAGGTCACACTAAATTTGTTTATGCATTAATTTTTTAGGACAATACAAAATAAAACTTATAAAAAGTTGTGGCATAAACGTTAAATTAAATTAAAATTAGTTAGCCACTATGTTTTTGTCGATCGCGCCGCCCTTAATGGATTTCGAGGACGAGCTGCTGTGGATAAATCAGTCGAACAGCGATAAGGTTGAGATCTTGTACGACAAATCCAACTATGTTACTCCCAATACAAAACACCTCATAGAACAGGCGTTTCTTCAGCCCCTCAGCCTGCAGGATCAGCATATTTTATTTGACGATCTGCTAAAACAAAACACGGACATTGCACGACAGTATGGACTGACTCCGGCCAAAGCAAGTAGTTTAAAGATATATATTAAATTCATACTAACCCCGTTTTTAGCTACCTCTCCTAGTTGAAAACAATCCACTAATTTCCATTGAGATTTTATTAAGACTGATGATGACCACCGACATAACAGAGTATTTCAGTATATTGGTAAATATGGACATTACGCTGCACTCCATGGAAGTGGTGAACAGGTAGGTTCGGCCAATACAATTTCATAAAGCCTCATGTAATGTGTATTTCTCCCATTTAGACTAACCACTTCAGGGCCTTTGCCTACGGAGTTTATTCATTTATACATTAGCAATTGCATCTCAACCTGCGAAACAGTTAAGGATAAGTACATGCAATCCCGACTCGTGCGGCTGGTCTGCGTATTTCTTCAGTCTTTGATCCGTAACAAGATTGTGAACGTTAAGGTAAGATCCATTACAATTGCCTAAAGTAAAACTAGTACGTTATTTTATATTTTTAGGAACTATTCATTGAGATCGAGGCGTTCTGTGTGGGATTTAGCAAAATCAAGGAAGCTGCTGCTCTGTACCGTCTCATCAAACACTTAGAAACCGGTGAAAGTGCCCTGTCTTCCAACTCCCTAACAAAGCAATGATCTGATCTTTTGCTGTTTTAAAAGCTAGCTCATAAATATCAAAATAAAATTTAAAAAACTCCCGATGTACATGTAAAACAAATTCGCATTTAATAACTTAGGTATCTAGTGTAAAATGGTGTACTTTATGAGTGAGTGTTAATTGCTGCCTCGTTGGTGTGAAAGTAGAGTGGCTCGGTCGAGGGCTTGGGGAAACGGCTTAGGTAGCGTTCAAGTCTTAAGAATTTTATCGAAATCAACCGCTTGTCGAACCACCAGCCATTGATCTCGTTGTGAATTGTTCCAGCGTCCTCCTCACTGGCGCATCTGATGTACACGCAGCACGACTGGATATCCAGCTGGACATCGCAGATTTTGCAGCGCGACCCTACCTTCTCAATTATGGACTCCAGAATAGATTGCTTCAGATTGGATTGGTCCACTTCCGAGGAGTCAAACATATGGCGAATCTTTAGACAAGAAGTCGGAGGATTAGCAATTTTGTTAGAGTTGTCGAAGGCGGGACTCTGCCACTTCTTGACCAGGCCAGCATCCTTCTTATCTAGGTTTCTGTTCCAAGCAATCGTGCGCATCGCCTTTCCATCCCGACTGATCATACCGAACAGCACACGGCTATCGTTCTTTTCAAGTTGCTTAAGTGCCTTGTTCCAAGAAGACAGGTGCTTGGAGCGCTTCTTGACCGGCAAAAACTTTTCCTGCAGTTGACTTATAATCACCTCAGGACTTTCGGATTGGGAACTTAAATAAATCAGTTCGTTGATTATGTCCTTTGAGAACTGGTCGACCGCAAGCAGGGCTTCCTTCTGTTTGGCTCGGTAAATCACCACTGCAAAGTAGACGATCAGGAATCCAACTACTATTAAAATAAGTGTACAGATAACGCTGAAAAACCGTGCAATTTTTTTCCATATAATACACTTTAGCGGCAGGTTAGGCTCGGTTAGCTCAAAATACAAGCTCTGTCCAATGTGCTTCGAAGAATCCACAACTTGAATACTCCACTGTGGATTTTCGGCAATAAGGTATTTGGCAGCTATTAAGTTATTGTGTAGATTTCCCCTGTGAGTCTTTGGGTTGCTAACCATTTCCTTTACAAATTCTCCAACTTCCAGGGTGGGCGACAAGCTGGCGTCTTTGCAGTGGTGGAGCCTAGATCTCTCGTTAAGGTGTTTGAAGATTTCCTCGCTCAAATCTAACGCACCTTTCAGTGAATCTTTTGATATGCAATTAACCCTATCGTTAAACATTTGCAAATCGTTGGGGTTACATAATGTATACTTTAGTGCGTTTTTGTCGATGGGACTCTGTTCAAACCTCTTACCCACGTACAAGACAGTGATTATTATCAGAAATATTAAGAAGAGCGAAATAAGCACTTGTGGAATTACGTAGGGTTTTATGTCCGGGTCCGACAAAGCAAATCGAGTAAGTCTTTCGTTCTTTGGCGAAATTCGCGTCGTTTGGCCGGTTGGGTAGTTGAATTTGCGCTGGATTGTGGTATCTCGCAAGCTGAGCAGTCGATTTACCACACCTCCATCGGATATCTTGACCTTTCCACTGGGTTTTCCATAGTTACTCGACGTGTCTATGGAATACGGCATGGAGCATTGCTGTCGGTACTTGCCATTAAGGCCCAAAGTGTGGGACGAGGTGTCCCCATCGTAATTGGAGGCCATCACAGGAGGTGGGGCGTACATCTTAGAGGCAGACAACTGCAACGGACTCGAGTCGTTCTCGTCAAAGCTGCGATTGAAAACTGAGCAGCTGCGGCTCAGATCCAAGTCATTATTGTTATCAAGGCCGTTGAAGCTAAGAGGCGACTGAGAACCGTGGTACTGAGGGAACTGGGGATAGGCCGCTGATTCCGATGGCTCCTTGGAGTACAGTACGTACTTGTTGCTTCGTTTTTTCAGCCTGTCAGCTCGAGTGTGTTTCCTCAACTTCTCGATTAGAACAGCTCGCGTTGTCTCGGTCACCGGAGTGCTGGGAAAACCACTTTGGATTAACTTTCTGTGCAGTTCTTTGTCGCTCAAACTATTAAGGCTCTCGGTTGACATTTTTTCTCGCTCTGCAATAAACAAAATTGTTAAAAGTGTAGAAAACGCACATTGTACCATACATACATATGTATGCATATACAGGAATGTGTATAACTGCACATTTTCCGAAGTTCTTAAAACTCAGCAGGCGTTTGCCTTGGATGAGAGCCAAAATGCTCAGAGTAAGCCTAATATTTAATTACCAAAATTCTGTTTATCATACAACAAACATAGGAAAGAGTGCGAAATATGTAAATGCTGTTTATAGATGACATACCTACAAAAGTACGCTGATATTAATATGTCCAAAAAGTGACAGCATCACACCATGTGTTTAAGGTGCCACAGGGCGACAATTACATAAATTTAAAATAAGCTAACACACCAAATTTAAAGCAACAGTCCTACAACTATATTTTGATTACAAATTTATACGGCACGAATCGGTACGGCACATACTAAATTATTAAGTCAAGGGTGCGGCACGACATAAAATGAAACAGAACTGGAATGTAACAGAATTGAAATGTTACTCTTACGATATTGGCTTATCATATCGATGGGATATTTTATAAGGAAATAAGCCATGAATTTCTGATATATCGGAAAACCTTAAACATTGTTTCAAAATTATTTATTTATTATTATTTTATTTAACTAGTTAGGTAACCTATTTGTTAGTATATGTGCATATTTAAAAACGGCTAAAAGGGAAGAAAACTTTTTAATTGCTGACAGATATGTATATAAAATAAAATATTATCCTTCCAAGACCTAGCCAACTTACGTGTTCCATCCTCTTCGTTCCGCAAAGGATAGAAAGCCGTCGCTTAACTTACTTCCTATCGAAATTGGCTATTTGGAAAGCGATGGCAAAACTATCGGTGGAGGCCAATCAGTTTTCTTAAATTGTAGATACATTTATATGTGTTTGTGCTTTAAGAATTAAAATATTGTATGCCTTTTGCAAGGTGCGTAACCGGGATATATCTGCCTGGTCTAAGTGGCGCTTAATTCTGGACGTTGTAGCTTTTTCAATTTCGAGTGCGATTGAGTCGTGAAAAGTGTGTGTGTGTACACACATATTTTGTAAATGCAGTGTGATATATAGACAAGTGCATACACATACGCATACGCACCGTGCCACCATAAAAATATTCCAAACTTGAATCGCCGAAAGATTGTGTGCAAATAAACAGAATTTACTCTCCGTTTGCAGGCCGACGCGAATGCCCGATAGAACCGACAACAGGCATGAATCGTAGGGGTTTGAACACTGGCAATACGATGACTTCTCAAGCGAACATTGACGACGGCAGCTGGAAGGCGGTTTCCGAAGGCGGATCGATGCTGCCTGCGTCCAATTCGGCGGCCCTGAATCCCGACGGCAGCAACCAAAGCGGCTTCGCGCAGGGCGGCCTTCCGTACAATTCGGGCGGCAACCCATATCCGCCCGCAGGGCAATCGTCGCCAGCCGGTAATCAGTCCATCGTGTTCCAAAACTCCAACCAGCCTGGCTCGAACACACCTCAGTATACCTCTTCACCTGCTCCCTCGGGCTCATCGACTCCCGGACCTGTTGGTGCGCAGAACATTCCCGGCAATTATCCGCAGTCAGCGACGGCGGGCAACTTCAATGGACCCGTGGGTGGACCCTTTGGTTCACCATCCTCCGGACTAGGTCAGTTTAGCCGGCCGGCCAGCTCGGGAACTCCGTTCAACAGCGGCCAAGCCGGGCACTTCTCATCGCCTACGGTCTTTGGCGTTGGCGGGCAGTTTAATCCAATGCCACCAGCGTCGCCATTTGGCCACGGAGGTAATCACCCAATGATGGGCGGGCCGCAGCAGATGGAGCGCATCGATCAGGGCTTCAGAAGGCACAATTCCTACTTTAGCCACACGGAGCACCGGGTCTTCGAATTGAATAAGCGGCTGCAGCAACGCAACGAGGAGAGTGACAATTGCTGGTGGGATTCGTTCACCACAGAGTTCTTCGAGGACGACGCCCGACTTACCATTCTTTTCTGCCTGGAGGACGGACCAAAGCGGTACACCATCGGTCGGACGCTTATACCGCGTTTCTTCCGAAGCATATACGAGGGCGGCGTTTCTGATCTGTACTTCCAGCTGAAGCACGCCAAGGAGTCGTTTCACAACACGTCCATTACGCTGGACTGTGACCAGTGCACGGTGATCACGCAGCATGGCAAACCGTTCTTTACGAAGGTCTGCGCCGACGCAAGACTGATCTTGGAGTTTATGTATGACGACTACATGCGCATAAAGTCGTGGCACATGACCATCAAGGGACACCGCGAGCTCATTCCAAGGTCCGTTATCGGCACCAGTTTGCCACCCGATCCGATGCTGCTAGATCAAATCACTAAGAACATCACGCGGGCAGGCATCACCAACTCCACCCTCAACTATCTTCGCCTGTGTGTTATCCTAGAACCAATGCAGGAGCTGATGTCGCGACACAAAGCGTACGCCCTGAGCCCGCGCGATTGCCTAAAGACAACGCTGTTCCAGAAGTGGCAACGCATGGTCGCTCCACCCGGCAAGAAAGATCCACAACGACCACCTAATAAAAGGCGCAAACGGAAGGGCTCAAACTCTGGCGGTGGCAACAACTCGAACACGCCGCCTGTCACGAACCAGAAACGTTCCCCCTCCGGCCCTAGTTTCTCCCTCTCCTCCCAGGACGTGATGGTTGTTGGCGAACCGACGCTGATGGGTGGCGAGTTCGGTGAAGAGGACGAGAGGCTGATTACCCGTCTAGAAAACACGCAATATGATGGAACCAATGCCGTGGAGCACGATAATCATACCGGCTTCGGGCACGCCGACTCGCCCATCTCCGGCTCAAACCCGTGGAGCATCGACAGGGCGGGAGCCATCCCGGCCAGCCCGGGGAACGGGGCTGCCCCGCAGAACAACGCGAATATATCTGACATAGACAAAAAGAGCCCCATTGTATCGCAATAGAAATTAATAAAACATAATATTTCGCTATATTGTCAAATGTATTTTCATACTTGCATGTAAAAATATTTAAATAAAGCTTTCAAGTTTTAGGAAATGTATATAAGAAATACATACACATTAAATCTATATAATTGTACTTTAAGTCGTCTACTCTACCAACTATCTATTATATAATTAAACCCTAGGATACTTCTGTTCTATCTTGACTGCCTTGCAAAGTACTTAATGTGTTGTTTTAGTAAAACATGACTTTTAAGCACAACGCAGAAAACATTGAAAGCTCTTTTTTTATATTTAAAGAAAAAAACCTGGGGTTTTAATGGGTTGCATTCTGAAAACTGATTTCAAATATACTTGGATTAAATAGCAGAGTAACTCGAATTAAAACAAATTGTAGATTAATAATATATACGAAACAACACTGGACAGCCTTAATACACTATTAATAAGAGATGCTCTAGTTGCCTTAGACCTACAAACAATTTTTCATGATATATTTTGGATTTATACTCGCATTATTCACCGATTTCAAACCCTACCCACAATTAAGAAGTCCAGCCCTTTTGCGCATGCACGAATATCAATGGGATACAGATACACAGTTTCTGTTCCATATTCAGTTATACTATACAGTCGTGCGTTCAAGAAGGATGCTATTTCTAAATAAAAACCGAGTGCTTTCTTTGGTCCTTAATTTTTTTTTCTTAATCATTCTAATTTCATCGAGTGTCCAGGCAGATGAGAGAAACATAAACAAGCTGCTGAACAACCAGGTGGTGGTCAGCCGTCAAATTATGTGCATCCTGGGCAAAAGCGATTGCGACCAACTGGGTCTTCAACTTAAAGGTAATAAAATTGAGCAATTTCTTCAATTTTATATATATAAAGTTTCAATTGAAAAATTAGTTTTTGATTATAAGTTATAAATTAATAAAATAATTACCAAAACACACCATACTTGCATTCGAATATTTTCGCTTACTTACAGCTGCCCTGCCAGAAGTTATAACCAGAAAATGCAGGAACTGCTCCCCACAACAGGCTCAAAAGGCGCAAAAGTTAACTACATTTTTACAAACAAGATACCCCGACGTGTGGGCTATGCTTCTAAGAAAGTATGATAGCGCCTAAGTATGGCAATTAAATGTTCTTCTCATGCATCGAATATAATAAATTAGTCTCGACATCATCTACGGCATTTGGTTTCTTCATTTAGGGGATTTTTCTTAATGGATATGCGACTGAAAGGAGTCCCTCCTTTAAATAAAACATAGCACAATACACTTGTCTGTATCTTTACATCTTATTATTACATAAACCTTAAAAGTACGCCTTCTAGGGAGCCATAATTATTTACTGTGGCTCTCCAGATAAACTGTTGCATTGTCCACGCCCAAAAACTGGTGTATGCTCAACGTGGACAGCATTTTCATCTGACCCTGATAGAGCACATCGGCGATAATCTTCTCCGCATATATAGCCTGGGTGCTATCCATGGAGCGAAGCTTGTGGGCGATGATTTTCCCAAAGTTCGAGAAATGGTCGTCTAGCTGACTGTCCGCACTTTTCAACGCCAGTGAAAACAGCCGCTCAAAGTCGATGGTGGAGATGTCTGCCCGGAATTTCCCTGCCGGAGGTTCGTTATCCTCCGAGATTTGAGAGGACACCGAGGAAGATCTTTTCCGAGTGATGTGACTGGATTTCAGGATCTGATTGTTATTCAGTTTCGGCTGGCTCTGTCCGACAATGCGTTTGCAAGGTGACTCGGAGTCTCCGGAAGGGGACTTTATAAAATCGGGAACGGATTTTCTACGGGTGGACATCAGCCTATTGTTCGCAGGCACAACAATTTCGACCTCCTTGATCGTAGCGCCACCAGCATGGTTGTTTGTCTTAATACTGATAACGGGGTCAGCGGCGCTGGCCTCCTCGAAAATGTTGGCACAGAATTCGTTGGCGCTGTTGTTTGGCGACAATTTGTTAATATCTGCCGCTGCTTTCGGCGGCTTCGGAAGACTCTCTGCGTCGGAAAACTCATCGCAATTCTCCGGCTGCACTAGCTGAACGGAGCTATCCAGACATCCCGACTGCTCCCGCTTGCACTTCTTATCGGGGATCTCCTCGTCTTTTAGGAACATCAGGGACTCAAAATAGCGCCTTTTGGGACAGTAGGGCTCGTACTTTTCACCCTTTTTCTTAACCTCGTTGTACTTCCTTAACTGATGACGAAATGCACAGCGCAGATTGTTTATCTTTTGCTTTGTTCGTTCCACATTGTACATTTCGCCGTGCTTGGTGGCCACCTCAATCAGTTTCGCATAAGCCTCCTGCCGTTGGCTGCGGTTCCTGAAGTCCGCATCTGAAGTCTTCCACAGGCACGGATTGCATTTATATTCTTCTATAAAATCGTCAATAAAGTCCATTTTGTTTACTAAATGAAAAACACTGTAGTTGACGGGCCACCTAGGGTAAGTTGTGTGCGTGTGTATATGTGTGTGGCATCAATAACTATCGTTTCATTCCTTAATGAAACAAGCGGATACGGAACATAAAAGTCAATATCAATGTTTATTTTCAGTATTTAAAAAAATGAAAATTTAGTGCATGTTTAAATAAAATTATTCGCCTTGTATGACTTATTTTTAAAAAGAGATCTTACGTAATTAAATTAATAGAATAAAACTGAAATTACAGAATGAATATATTTTGGAATTCGGGAGGTCACACTAAGCCGTTCAGTTGTATTTGAAATTAACGGTTTAGCTTAGCTCAACCGTAAACTTTATTACAATTGCAGTGTATCATATCTTTGGATTGCGTTTAAATATGGAAAATAGGATTATATCCGTCTACCTGAAGATCTATTAAGCCAAAGAGAAGGTATATCAAAACATTAAGTTATTAAAACGAAAGATTGGAAAATCTGATTCGGATAAGGAAATAGCGAACCAAGGGATGTGGCTAGTGCCATGACCAAGAAGAAAGAAAAAATTTTAATTTTTGGCAGAAAAATATATTATGTTCTACTCCGGTATTTACTTCATATAACAGAATACAACTTTTGAACGGTAAACTAATCGATGACCTGAGGGAAAATTTTTTTTACCGATTTTCTGGGAACGCCGATAGTATCGATAATCGATATTTGTACGAGACCAGCTAAAGTATATATTGTAAACATATATTTAACGAAACGAAATAAAATTAAAGCTAAATATGAGTGGAGCGCACAGAGAGGCGATTCAAAAGCAAATCCATCAGGACTGGGCGAACAGGGAATACATTGAAGTAATAACCGCAAGCATAAAGCGAATTACAGATTTCCTGAACTCTTTCGGTAAGAAAACAGAGCGCACCCACATTTTCTACATATGTATGAGTGAGAGTATTTGTTCGCACTTAAGTTTGTGAATATTATTACTAACAAATCTCCAACATTGCCATTGACTTTATTTACCCAAATTTTAAGTCAATAAAATGCAAATACAGCCACCGGCTGTGCGAAAAATGTTCATACATTTAAATTGATGATACTAATGTATGTGTATTCTGCCTACGAATAGTACGGATAGACTAAAGAAAAGTGCTTATCTACATTACTCACTTAAATTATATACAAATATTCGACTCTAAATTTTAAATAAAGAGGAAGTTTACTCAGAAATATATATTTTTTACATTGTCCTTACTCTCAGAATTAAAGGTTTTATCAATTCACTCGTTAACATACCTGTAAAAGGCCTTAATTAAAATTTATAAACTTTCAAAGTGTTTGAGTGTTCATTCCCATATAGTTTTTAGTTCATAAAAATTGCGCAGGGAACTTAACAACATAACACATTTAATCCTTTTCGCGATATACTATTACTAACTATTGTATCCCCTCCTTTTAGATATGTCCTGTCGCTCCCGCCTGGCGGTACTAAATGAAAAACTAACGATTCTTGAGCGGCGCATAGACTATTTGGAGGCGTGTGTCGCCCAGGGGGAAACATTAACGTAAACGCTGCCCTCAATTTTACATATAGCTTTATACATTTATAAGATAATTAAAAAAAAATACCGATATATTATTTAATGTTCTTTTGTTTGACGATGGGAATTTGCCGTGACCTTAATAATTCGTAGTACATTGTTTGTTCTTTGAAGGACGGTATTTCATGGTTGAGGTATTTGCCGGCCATTGGTTTCGTTCCATTGCCCCTTTTAGGAATAATATATTTAAGTAATAATTTGGTAGAAAGACGAACACGCGATGTTTTTGCCAGCTAACGTAGGTGCCTTTACTTGCAATGTTAATGCAAATCAGCTTGCCATATATAAACCATCTAGTAGGGTCTAGACGTAATCGTGTGACTAGTTTTTTAAGACTTTAATTGTCTTTAGATTAGTCATCATTACGTTTACATGAGACTGGACTAAATTGCCACATTTACTGGAATGAATTAATTTGCTTTGTAATAAAAGAAAACCCCTTCCTCAAGAATTTCAAAGGCGTAGGTTAAAAAACAAATCTCTTTATTCGGCGCACGATCGTAAAAAGAATTTCGATAAGCAGATACATAGACCTAATTAACAGTGCATATAACAAATTGTTTCCGGGATTGGGATCGCTATAGGAAGTTTACACCTTGATTCCAGAGGCGGCAGCGGTGGAGCGGTAGCGCTTGATATAGATTTCCTCAGGGTCGTACTTGGCTTGCAGCTGCTTCCACTCCTCGGGCTTGTTGTCGATGATATAACGGATGACCTTGTCGGTATTCTGGCGCTGCTTCTCACTACACTTGCTGCACTCCGTCTTCAAGGCATCTGGCAGGGACTTCTTCAGCTCCCGACCCTCAGGCGTGCACTTTCCTGTGTCCACCAAGCACTTGAAGTAGTTACCGAAGAGTCGGTCCGACTTCAGGATTTCGTCCACATCGATGTTGTCGTACTTTGTGGTGTACTTATCGTCGGCGGCGACCAGGACGACTCCAAGGACGAAAAGCGCAAAGAGCATCTTCATTTTAAGGTTTTCTACGGGCAAATTAAGGTATAAATTCATCATTAATCAGCAACTTTTGATAACTGGCAAGTGGAATAGATTGTATAGTCGTTAGTGGGTCTGTCGGTCGGGTAACCTGTTTTGGAATCGGGGAATTTTAATAGACGAATGAAATCTTTCCAGTAGCTACTGCACTCGCAAAATGTGTCTACCAGATTTGTATGCAAATTAATGCATAGCAAACGCCACTTTGTATGCGTATCTAAAACACATTTATTGTCTAAAAAGATGTCACTGTTTACACGCGAGAAAACTGGTTGTCAGTCCTAGTTGCGGGGTGAGATACCCAGTCTGATCAGCGCCAAAAACTGTATGAACGATGGTCTTACAATGGAGCTCAACTTTTGACGACTCGAAGTAGATAGATGTGAAGCAATTCAGCTGCTGGAACTAACTGAGAAATGTTTCTATGAAGTGGGCTTTTATACCTGGGCCAACTTTATAGCTGGGATTGAACTTCAAGTGTAATACACACACCATGTGTAAGCCTGTATTCGGGCTGAGTTCGTATCCATATAGGATTGCACACACTTTAGACTTTGAAGCGCAAATTGCTATTGCTGAAAAGTCAACCCAGTGATTAGTCAATCGACGTTATAAATTTATATAATATATATGCGATAGTTATACATACTTAATTTGACATTAACATTAGGCAGGTGACGTCTGTGTACTAAATGGCAATCAAAAGTCGGGTTTCGAGGGATTCGTAACTACTATTTACGGGCAAGCATACTTTAAATTTATTTGTTTATTCAATTTAACGATCTCATTAACGATTTCCATTAGTAAATTCTCATTTATTACACTTAAGGGGTGTACAAAATGACCCTTCAGTAATCGTTTCCTAAACTGAAAGCCATCAGTTCTCGGAACAATTAGAATCTCTCCAACAAGTTTCTTTCAAAATTGAGTCAGAATACACTACTTCCCAGAAGCTAAGTACAGTACAACTCTACAATTAGGACTTATGTTTTGCTTAAAATTTTGCTACTGCCTAAAATAGCTTAACCCAAATATTTTGCATAAAATATACTTGTTTTTTATTAAGTTGTATTGTAGTTACAAATAGTGAAATGTAAAAAGTAACAAACACTTATACATTTTAGAAATCTGTACAAGGAAAATAGTCAACCTGTAGACCTTCTCAAATAATGGTAATTTCGTCTATTTAGGACTCCTAGATGCAGCTTTTTAACTTTACGCTTAAACGTTGTGTGTGTCTCAAAATAAATTGTCAAGAGGCAGTTATCAGTATTTGATCATTGCGCAGGAACAAATCATAATTGAATCTGGGCGGGACGTTTGCGTTGGAATATAGTTTCGATGGTTGAGAAGACGTCGCTGGACTTCTTGGCGGCGTCGACCTTGAAGTGCAGACCCCTCAAGCCGTAGTAGTCGACTAAAGGTCTCGTCTGCTTGTGATATGATTCCAATCGCTTCTTTAAAGCCTCGACGTTGTCATCACTGCGTCGGATTAGAGGTTCCCCGGTTACCTGTGGGTTAAAAACCTTCTTAATCTAGATTTTTTTTAGAATATCCTATTGAAATACTAACATCATCTGTCATGGGCTTTTTAGGAGGGGCAAACTCATCGTGATAGGATCGCCCGCTGGCCTGATGGATTAATCGGCCAGTGATTCGCCTTACCAACAGACTGTCGTCGATGGCAAACTCAATGACCGCATCCAAATTGGTTTTCCTCTTGTCCAGCAATGTGTCGAGCTAGATGGACCATATAAAAAGGGTTAGATCTTGGAATGCAATCAGTGTGTGTACTATTTGTGCGGTTACCTTCTCAGCTTGAACGACAGTCCTGGGGAATCCGTCCAGAAGGAAACCGTTTTTGCACTCAGGCTTGTCCAGATTGGAGTCGATCATGTCCACCACCAGGTCATCGGAAACCAGTTTACCGGCATCCATAACCTTCTTCAACTCAGCTCCCAGCTTGGAACCGGATGAAATTTCCGCCCGCAGCATGTCTCCAGTGGACAAGTGACAAACGCAGAACTTCTCCTTCAGCAGGGGCGCCTGAATTGGTAATAATTAAAAACGTTGATAAGTTTTATTCAATCAATTTAGCACCGCTCATATCAGAGAGGAAGGCAATTGGCTAACCGCTAGATAAGATGCACTTTTTGTCGCACAGAATATTCTAGTGGGTTTTTAATAGCTGCTCTGCATAATGAATGCTCAAAGGTGGCCTCATTTAATTCGTTTCATCTCACCAATTTTAATTTCATTCAGGGTCAAATGCTTTCCTGGCATAATGTTAATAAAATATATAGATGTACCTACATAGATAGCTCAGTAAGTACATATGTACATATGTATACTGTTTTATAAAATATCTTTTAATTTATATTAAGTGAATTCACTTGATTCGTGAACAATTTCAAGCACATGCCGACGCATTTGAACACGTTGTATTTATTTTTTGGGCATATAGCGTCCATGTCACTAAAAACAAATTATGTAACTTTGGACCCACCTGCGTTCCTTTGCCGGAGCCCGGCGGCCCCAAGAGAATAGCGTTGATGCCAATGTTTTGGGGCTCATATCGCTCCACTGGTACAGCTGCATTCGGCGCCATCGTTTACTAATGCTTAACTGATTTTTTGGGCCCGTACTAATTCATAACTAAACGGATCCAAGAATGAAGGTTAAAGATAAGAAACAAGAAGACAAGCCACTCACACGAAACACCCTGTAACATTTCGACCATTCAATCGGCGTGTTCCCACTCTTTCGCTTCATACTTATCGATAACATTCACCTATCAGATATACACATTAAGATTATAAACTGAATTTGTATTTATTTGTAATTAACAAGTACTTTTTTTTATATAACCTGTTGTTATTTTATTACTGTTCTAAGATTTTATAGCTTAAGCGTGACCATTGCGTCAATCCCAATTCCGGCAAAACTCTCATATTTTAACAGAGAATCCCTCGTAATAAAATTTTATTTTTAGATTGCTATAACAATTTTATTTATTCTGGAATTCGCGTATTACAGTTGCCGTGGTACATTTTAATATTGCCCTCGCACCGGAAATATGCGTCGAATATGTCGCTGTAGCCGTGATCCTTCCACCATGTGCACAGCTGTCGGTTCCAAATGCAGTCCAGTCTATAGATCAAGTTGGGGTACTCATATCCCAGGAGTGTGAAGAAGTCCTGGTCTCCTAGATGGCCCTTAAAGGAGTATTTGGCGACCAGGGTGTGCACCTCAGAATGGGTCAATTTCTCCAGGTAGGACTTTGAGTTCCTGATACGGTTTAGCAGCAGTAGGACTACCCCGGAATTCAGGCCGGGATATCCGTGGTGAATATGACTATGTTGGTTGCCCATTTCGTTATTCATCGGATAGTACGGATTACCGAAACTGGTCTTTGGATAACGCACTCGATAGCGATATAGGATATGTCGATATACGGGTGTTAGTTCCGGCGCCAGCCCGTAGAGCTGGTGCGGCAGAAAGTTGTCAAACTCGTTGAAGAGCAGTCGGACATCGGATCGGAAGACTATATCACAATCTAGCAGAATGGCTCTGTTCAAGCTTCTATCGGCGATTCTATGTAGGCCGAGGGATAGGAAAAACAGGGAGTCGCTATAGTACGAATTCGGAGTTGAGCTAAAGTACGGGGACAACTTTGTGGCTATGTCCTGTATTATGCTGGAGCAGACCTTTACATCGTAAATGGTGTATATAACCGTTCGTCGGAATCTCCGGATCTGACGCTGCAGGATCTCGAAAACCGAAGTCTGACTCTCGTTGTCCGTGATTACATGCAGATGCAACTGGGCACTAGAGTGCTTTAGTAAGCTGTGGGCGAACAGGTCGAACTTAAGGTTTAGATGGTAGTTCTCTCGAGTGTATATGACGAATATGTTGTAGTCCGATGAGAACCCATTTAAGTGGGCGCCCAACTCAAGCTGGGTGGAGGAGTAGTTAAGCAGGTAGTGCGTGGGCCTCAGAACCGGAGGAACTGCCGGGGTTGTGGCCTGAGTATCCGGATATCTCGCCTCCTGCTTCTCTGGATGCGAAAGCTTATTAAGTCGGCTTGAAAGAAAGGCCGAAATAATATTGCCGCGAACCAAAAGATGCGTATTAGCGAAAACGATTAGAACGCAGATACAAATAAATATTAACAACAGAACTAGTTTCTTTTGCCACCTGCAACGCAGCAGGGTCCACGTCCAACTCTTCGGCTTCTGGCGGATGGAGTTCCGCCGATTGATGATTAGGGTGACATTCTCCTGATCCTCCAACAGTTGCGATTTACACTTCATTCCGTACATATTTAGGTCCGCCGGAAACGTTTTGTGTTTCTGGCTAATTAAAGTTTTAAAGCTGTTCTTGGCCATTTCAAAATCAGTGGAGGCGCACCTATTGTACGATACATCAACGAACATATACGGGCTCCCAACGTTAGAAAACACTAAACGGAAACTCTGAGCAGACGAGCAGAAGCGCACAAAACATTTTCCGACTGGCTTTGAACTTAATTAAACTAGATCGATAAAGCAAGCACGGCGTAAAAATCAATGCAAGTCGTTTGGGGGCAGTAGGACCGTTATTGTAAATCCGAAAATTACTGAACCTATCGAACGCCTCCGTTTTCTAGGTCAAATTTCCACAGTGATTTCAGATAACAAAAGCGAAATGTGCTCAAAAAACTGATGTTTTCGAAACATAAACAATGATTAAAAAGTAGTTTTGCTTTTCAAAATAATTTAAATAGTTTTTATCGATAACTTACGATAGACGTAATCTTAATCACTATAAATCTAAATCATGCGCAGAAGTAATTTTTTTATCAGTATAAGTACATGTTATGGTTGTTCCAGAATTACCAAGCCACTGGACCTATGCTGAGAAAATGTAAAAAATCGAGCCTTCGACGGACTTTCAAGAATTCTACTGGAGAATACTGCTTTAAGACGAAACAATGGACTGCCACCATCGCATTGAAGTGCCCCTACGGGCCGGAAAGAAAATGAAGAAACGTCGGGAGTTGGACGCTCTGATAACCTCCCAGTCGTCCTCATCCAAGAGAGCCAACCGGAGAGTCCCCGGAGCCACCAACTCCCAGGACAAGCTGCTCTCGGTCTCGACCGACGACCCTGAGGATTACGCATGGGTACGTTATTTACTATATTTACATCGCCAAACACATATTCAAGTACAAGGTTAGCCGTATTTGTATCTATGTATCTAAACCCGTCCAATTGAACTTTCCCAGCCTATGAGTATTTCAAGATACATGTTCCATAGGAATTGATCAACCCTCACCAAACAAAGAAACAAATATATAGCAACACTTTAATATTGCGTACTTTTCAGACAAATGTCGCTGGATCGAGATCTAGTCGTCGTAGTCATCGGAAAATTGCCTTTTTCCGCATGTGTGGCCCCCTTTTATTGGGAATTATTGGCATTTTAATTGTGGCCATCTTGTACTGGCTGTACTTCGATCTACGCCAACAACTTACAGATTATCGTCAAAAAATCGAGGAAGGTACGATAAAAAAAAATCAAAACTTACCCCTCATTAATCTTATATAATATTTTAGTATCTGCCATGAGCAAAAACTTTCCGGACACCCTGCAAAGATGGCATGAGACTTCGTCTTACTTGCTGAAGAACCAGACAGCCGTAGTTACGGAAATAAATGAACTGCAAAAAACTATGGAGAGTCTGCGGAATAACTTTAGTAATTTGGAGGTAGCAGTGGCTGCCCAAAGAAACCACGGCAAGGACGAGAAATTGGTGGCCGACTTTGGTGCCAAGATAGAAGCTGTGGCCACAGATATAGAGGCAATCAAGGAGCACTATAACAAGTACACCGAGGTTCAGAAAACTCTACAGGCGGACACAGAAGCTTTAAAGGCAAGCTGGCACCTCCTCTATTTCGAGTTTCAACCAAGTAATGAAATGTAACTTACTCTTTCAGGTCAATTTATCGCAATTGCCAACGCTTCAGGCCAACGCTTTGCCCGCAAATCTATCGGAAGATATTGCTGCCCTCAATAAAACCACTCTTAATGCCTTTAAATTGATAGCCAACGACCTAAAGGATGTGAACAATACCCTAAGTCAAACAACGAAAATGCTCAGCGAGGAAATATCTCTACACAAAGTAATCTCCTGCAGAAGTTTGTGTTATAAACATTAATTGATATTTTATTACAGACTAAAATAGACGACTTGCTGGATCGATCGGAAAACATTACGTCCCATGTGGCCACCATAAGTAACAGTTGGCCGGAATACAAGCAGAAAGTGTCAAGCTTTGGAGAGTCTTTAGAAAAAATTGAAAAAGAGGTGGGTCGATTGCGTTTCCCTGCATACTCAAGATAAACTATTATTTATTAACCCCAGATAACGCTAACAACCAGTAAGAATAGCATGCTTGTTGCCTCTATGGATCAGCTAAAGAGCTTCTGCATTCAAAGCATAGGTACTAAAAAGCCTTCCATTAATGAAGACAGCTCAGTAGGCACCAAGGTATATTATTAATAGTAGCAATTAGTTCCTTACTTTTATTAATTAAAATTATTTTTACAGCCTGAAGTTAATGCCACCAAGCAGGAATTTATAAAGCCGTCTGTAAATGCCACAGTGAAGCTACAAGATTCAATGAAGCTGTAAGATGTTTCATTTTTAGTACAGACCGTTGTAATACCAAATCTGTTCGATTCCGTGTTTAGCCATTAAGACCTCATGGGTTCCATGTGTCAAAGTCACAGCCAACGATAACTAAATCACATTAAACACACGAAAGCTGCAATGTACATATGGTTCAAAGAGCTATTTAACTTAATGACAAATTATAGGATGACGATGTGCACGTGTGATTTCAATTAAGTTTACTTTTAAAGTCCGTTCTAGAAAAAGTAACTGTACATAAGGGAGTGAAGTTAAATGTAAGTTCAATATTATTCACTTTAGATACACGATATGTATTTTGTTTCCATATAATAAAATTAAACTAAAGCTCACAAAGTAAGCAACGCCATTTCTGAGGCATTTTATTCCACAACTTGAAAGAAAAGATAAACATAAAATTTAACAGATCATCATTACTAGTCGTCGTCATACTGATCGTCAAACTCGTCATCATCGTAATCTTCTATATCTTCTGTAACGTAGGCGGCCTTCTGTTGTTTTCTTAGGAGCCAAGCCCTATAAGCTTCCTCCTCCTCAACGGTTGGATCACTTGCCTCGATAAAGTCCTCGACCCCGTGAAGGTACTCCTCTTGCACCATGGGCAAGTGCTTAAACGGAATATTTCGGGCATAGTACTTGTGACCCCAGCCCAGGTATATAGACTCGCAGGTCTTCTCAAAGATAAAGGTGTAGGCCCCCGGCCAAATGTTAGACTGCATGAGAAGCATTCGCTCCTTTTGGTTTGTATACTTGCTGGTCAAGCGGACAAGCCACGGAACCGAAACCTCCGGATTCATATCATTGGCACAGGATGAAAGAATGCTGGGACCTATTTCGGGTTGGTTGAAGCCCTCAATCATGCCCTCCTCTTCGCCCTCCTCCTCTCCCTCCTCCTCTTCTTCCTCCTCGAGTTCCTCCTCCATCTCGCCCATCATTTGCATTTTCAAGTAGAGAGCCAGTGCCTTTTCTCTTTCCTTCTGAGCCTTCTCTTCGTCGTACCAGACGACTCGACCCTGCTGATTGAGAATATTCGATCTCACATGAACCCAAGCCACTGGGGTGGCCAGAGATCCTAGTGGTTCTACCTCGTATTTCTCATCTTTCAAAAGCATAACGTCATTATCTGGAAATTGATGGAAAATTTTTATAGGAATTCTAAATATCCCCAAGGCGTACCTTCTATTTGCTCCTCTTCGCCTTCGTTAAGCTCCTCCTCCTCCTCCTCCTCCTCTTCCTCCTCGCCTTCACCTTCATCCTCGCCGTCGAATATCCGCTTCTCTTTCTTGGTCATCCGCCTGTAGTAACCCACCGGTGCTATATAGGTACCTGCTGTAATTCGACCTATCAGTGCCCGGAGGTAGTGTTTCTCTTTCCCAGGAAAGCAGGGGTAAGATATAACATCTGCTTCCAGGTCGCCAGTTAGAAACTTCTTTATCTGCCGGGATACTGCAATTTGCCGGGGGGTCACTATGGGCAACTCGATCCAATCGTCAAACAGTGAATTTACAACAAAGTATGAGTATCTATTGCACCCTTTACCAATCAATTCAGGTGGAATGTCGTAGAATTCCATTTCCTCGACCAAGGGCACGGAGGCAGCCTTGGGCCTCATTTTATCCAGCTCCTCGGGCGGAAATTCTTCCCAACCATAGATACCCGGCGTGAGTTCTGGACCAATGTGCGGTGGCAGAGGCTTATCCTCCCTATCCTTACGCATCTGCATAGGGACTTGCTTTTGTTTTATCTCGTCCTCCATCATAACCAATCGCGAGGCTAATTCCTCGCGGGTCAGTGAGGCCTCAACTATATAGTAAGACGCCTTTAGCCCGTTAATACATCCCCAAAATCGACACTGCATTATTGAGGGATGGGTCTGCAGACGGTTCATGGCACTGGCCAATTGAAAGATGTCATCGTTACAGATGCTAAATCCACATTGTGTCCAGTAGAACTGCAGTTGCTGGACTCTTTCGTTAAATGTGATGAAATATCGCATGGAATCGTCAATGGCAATGTGCATATCCTCATTTGTCCTTGTATCCTCACCCGATAAATCTTCTCCCAGCAGATCATCGCCCTCTGTAATATATGGTAGCTACGGAGTGGTTGGATGAGGTACGATTATTAATGAATTATACTTTATATTACCTTCATGGATTGGAGAACTTTCTTGGCCACTCGGAAAGTGCGAACTTCATCGAAAACTCCACTCGGAGGAAAACGTTCTGGTAAGTGGAACTTCTGTTCGCGCACATTTCTGCTAAATTCTTCGAAGAAATCGATCACATTGGGAGGACGCTCGTCAATTACCCTTTTAATAATGTCACTTAAGTGATCAAATCTATTTAGATATTTAAAGTTTAAGTAAAGATATTAAAAGATACCTAAAATCTTTTTGTTAATGTACTCACAAATTGTCGCCACTGAGAGTGCTATACTTCTGCAATATCGACTTGGCCACATTTAATTCATAGCCTATATTTGGAGCCTCCGGGGCATGTGCATTGTGGAGGTTGCATTGCGAATCGAAGGCGCCTATAGATATGGTGGTCGTCGAGGACGAGGAGGACGATGTGATTACATTGGAACATTGTGGGGAGCTCTCGTCAACTTCGGGTTTATCTGGCTTTTTCTTGTTGGGAACGCAGACTGGCGGAAGAGCAAATTGCGAACTGGACGTGGAGTCCAATGAGAAATTTTGGCAGGAATCCTTGTCCATCGTAATATGTTGAATCGAGTTAAAAACATGTGTTGTTTGCCTTGAGAGAAGGTTATAATTAAAAGTATATGTTTGAAAAAATGTCAAACAGCATTGCAGCCTATTTGGTTATTTTTATTTGTAAATTTCAATATAATAGGATTTTTAATAGATATTAATTCTATTTTTTCCTAAATACGATCGTACTTTGCATTTTGAATTTCGTGCTGGGCGTCTTTTATCGTTATCGATCGATTAGTTTTGTAGCCAGTCTTCAGTCGTTACCTTTCACGAAGTTTATGAGAGTGGATTGCCGTTGTGTGCGTGTTGTTTACATCTGATTCTCAGTTTCTTATATACGAAAAGAAAGTGCTTAAGAAAGTTGTTATTTGTTATTGAAACAGAGTAATTTTGTTTTTTTTTAACTTCAAAAAAGAAGCTTCTTGCGGTTATATTTCAATCAAATGGCGCAAGCTCTGTGTATTTGTAATCGAAAACTTAAATCACAGTCTTGAATTTGGAAATAACTTTCTTTACTGCTAAAAAAGGTCATTTAAGTTTTTGAAAAGTGTCTGTTAGGCATTGAAAGAAAAATGTTTTATTTTAAACACCAATTGTAAGACTTAAGATACATCGTTAGTGTCTTAAATTAAGAAGAGGCAGCTCAATGTTCTTAGCACCTCCAAGTAACTTTCATAAGCAAAATGTACTATCTAAATAATGAGACTGCGGCTCTACCTTCTGCGGGGAACTTTGCACAAAGGGAGGCACACTCATCAACCTTGGAGCTAAAGACTGTATCTATAAATCCAGATGGTGAGTACCTACCAAAAACATTTCACACATATCTAAAAAGTATCTTTCAACAGATACTTACACTGTTCAGCAGGCGATCAATGCCTTTGGTTTCGGATGGTTTCACGTCAAACTCTCACTGTTAGTGGGCCTCTGCTGGATGTCCGACTCCATGGAAATGGCCATCCTAAGCATACTCGGCCCAGCTTTATTCTGCGAGTGGAACGTTACTAAGTTCCAGCAGGCTTCGGTCACAACCATCGTGTTTTTGGGCATGATGTTGAGTTCCAGTTTTTGGACACAACTGAGCAACAGATATGGTCGAAAGTCGGTAAGAACTATGCTCCTTTGATTTAATAATATTTTATTAAAATAATCCATATTCAGGCCCTCACTTTGTTTGGAGTATTATTAGTTTTATATAGTATTCTTAGTTCAGTGGCCCCCAGTTATGCTTGGCTATTAACCCTAAGAGGGCTAGTTGGCTTTGCAATTGGCTGCGTTCCACAATCGTGAGTATTCCATTGGTAAAGTAATGACTGTATACCTAACTTTCTTTAATCCATAAGAGTCACCTTATACGCAGAGTTTCTGCCGACCAAACACAAGGGAAAGTGTGTGGTACTAATGGACGTGGGTATTTATTTTGTATTAAAAGTAGTTTGTTTGATCGAATTTAATTTGTTTTCAGTGTTTTTGGGCCTTGGGAGCTTGCTTTGAGGTGGTCTTGGCCCTGGTTGTGTACCCTTATTACGGGTGGCGTGGCCTTTTGGCTCTTTCAGCTACGCCACTGCTTATATTTACACTTTTATCACCGGTAAGAATGTTTAGTTTTTTTCAATTACTTCTTTTAATTTCTGTTTACAACTAAATACAGTGGCTCAGCGAATCAGCGCGATATTACTCATATAATGGCCATAACGACAAGGCTATTAAGGTTCTGGAACAGGTGAATAATATAAGAACAGAATATGAAGAATATTTTCAAAGAATTCTCGATTTTAGATTGCTCATAATAACAAACGGCATATGCTAATGGGTCGCCTCATGGCCGACGAAGAGCCGAGTTCCAATGAGAGTTTTAGATCTCTTCTCAGCTCTAACCTCTATAGGACCACTCTATTACTGTGGTTTATATGGCTTGCCTCGGCTTTTTGTTATTACGGTTTGGTCCTGGTCACAACCGAGCTGTTGGTGGCCAGAAACAAAGAAAGTAACCCCAACGAGTGCGTGACGTTCATGACCTCCGATTTCATGGACTTGCTGTGGATTACGTTGTCTGAGTTTCCAGGGATACTGATAACAATCAAGGTGATCAAGCTTTTTGGCAAGAAAAGGACCATCGTCCTGCAGTACTTAGTTCTTGTCTTTTGCACATTGGTGTTACTGTCGGTAACAAGGTAGGGCATAATATAAACCTAAAAGTAATTCATAGTAATTGTTGTTATTCCCCTTTTAATTTTAGTCGCTTCTCAACTTCTTTGACACTATTCATTGCTCGGGGAACGATATCTGGAATTTTTCAAGCTATTTATGTGTACACCCCGGAAATATACCCCGCCACCCTGAGGTCTGTGGGAGTTTCGGGTTGCTCCGTTCTGGCTAGACTTGGCGCCATGTTAACCCCGTTCGTGGCGCAGGTTTTGATGGATACGTCCAAAGTTCAAGCCATGTCCACCTATGCCTTCGTAGGGTTACTGGCTTCCATAGCCTGCGCATTTCTTCCCAGAGAAAATGTTGGCTATCACTGATTACTTTAACATTACTATGTATTTAAATTATTAAAGACTTTGATCCGTAGAAATGGTTTGCCTAGTTTTGGGCTTTCTCTGATAAATCTTATTAGCAATCTGCGAACTACTCTAGAATTCAATTGTTTGCAGGTGGTGAGAACAAAAATAAGATGTTTCGATTTAAATTTTCGGAGCAAGTAATAAAGCTTTAAAGCGGAAAGCTTTAGTTTTTCCTTACCATAATTATATAGTTTTTAGATTTAACAAGCTGTCACTAACTACTAAATTCATTTTTCCCGATCCTCTCCTTCCTATCACCGGAATCCAAAATAGTGACAAACACCCGCCGAATCTAAACTTTGTATGGCCAATTTTCGTCTTATTTATACGACTGTCGGCGTTTGGCATCATTTATGACTCAAGTGACAGGAGGAAATGCACTTGCAAATTAATTATAAAAGTCATTATTTCAGAACATAAACATAACGTATAGCCACGTAAAAATAATCTTCTTGCATATATAATATAATACTTAATTAAATATGTATGCTGGCGCACTCTCGGGTGCTGAAATATATATGCACTCCTGTGACAGCTATAAACTTTTCGGTGTTCGCTTGTATTTGCACCCAAGTGGACGAGAACCTCAGCACATGGCTATGCACATTCAGATACAGTTGCAGATGCCGAGGTGCATGTGCATTATTTTTAAATTGTGAAACGATTTTCCGAGGGGAGCTTTTGTTGTGATCAGCGAATATCGATCAGTCGCACAGTTGTCGGGATGCAGTTAAAATCATTGGTTTCCGCACGCAGTAGCTATTATTCTTCACGCGACGGAAGTTTAAATTTAAACCTATTCCACTTTTGACTTGCACTGGTCCCCTCGCCAAATTCTTCGACTATTGAATTATGACAAACGAATTTGAGTGCCTCGAAACTTAGTGTTCCAACGATCGATACTTGGGCTCAATAATGCCACAAATCTTGTGCAAATAATTAGAAATAAAATTCGAAATTGCTCCCAGTAATAAGTTATGCAATACATTTTCGAATACGTACCAATGTGCGTAAATTAATGAAGTGTGCGTAGTTAATCGAGTGACACGAAATCAATCTCAATCAGCCGAAATGGATGCCGTAAGTTATGCGTGTCCAAAAAATACACACACAAATCGGTGTATGAACATGTGCCAAATTTACTTATTAATACATTTGTGCAAACTGATGTACGAGTACGTACAATATGAGGGGCTGTCCTTGCTAAAAAGCTCTAAAGTTAATAGCTTATTCCTTCTTATACGGGATGTGGAATCTTTAAGTCTCTATTTGGAAGAAATATTGGTGCAAGTAAATGGTGCAATGTTTAAGCGGTTTATTAAATAACAATGTAAAATAAATTACTCTAAACTAAATACATCATAAAGAGTGCAAAATATATATCGTACCTGGGTACTATGAAGTTTTCCATTAAGATAATTACCCCATCTGTGATTTAAAATGGCAAAACAGTATATAATCTGATGATTTATAATGATCATAATAATCCATAAAATAATCTGAAATTTTTTATTTGCATAAAATATTTGTGATTTTAAAAATGTATGTTTACTAAAAGTTAATCAAAATCTAGCAATTTAACAAACCTTGTGAAAATTTGAAATGGTGAAAGTTTTTTACTGAACGGCTTCACTGTGGTCTCGGATCATTGGCCCGAAATGAAGAACCCTGTTCGAGGGAGAATATCAGCTGTTTCGACTGCACAAGCTTTGCACTTAGTAAAGTTGGACATCGAAATAAATAGCCGAGCCCGCGTGTCTATGTCAACGCAAAATAGACTTTCAGCTAACGAGCTAAATATTGCACAGACACTTTTGTTTGTGTACGCCGAAACTGAATGTGTTATGAGAACAGATCGATAAATCTCGGTGTTCATTCGAAAATATACAACTTCCGGTCACTTAAAATAACGGTCGTTCTGAGGAACAAGTGATCATTCTGTTAAACAAAATGATTGAAAAAGATGTGTGTGTATAAAAGTAAAAAGTAATGAAATACAGCTAAATGCACGATATCGGATTTTTTTTAACAGGTTGCGGATATTGTATTCGTGAGTCGGGATTATCAGGCTCAAACGATGGCCACCGACGAAATCAGCGTTTCTCGCGGAGATCTGGTCGAACTTATTAGTTCAAAAGCTTCAGAAAAATCCAGGTAAGTTTTTGGCTATCTTAAAAGATAAAAAGTGCTTTAAACTATTGAACTCAAAAACGCATACAACACTTTTTAGATGCTTTGTTAGGATGTTCGACAGTGGGGATTCCCCAAAAGAAGGTTGGGTGCCCATTGAAATACTAGAATTTAACCCCACTATGAGTAGCTCAAATGGCAAAGAGAGCGGAGATGCAGAATTCAAAAAACTGTAAGAGATCTGTGCAGAATGGTAGGCCAAGCACTAGCCTCTATTAATCGGTTATTATAGAACTATTCTCAGGGAGCTCGTGGAAACAGAGGAGGAATTCTCCAGAGATCTGCTTCATGTGGTAGAGAAATATATAAAGGGTATAGACAAGCCGGTGGTGCCAAGATCTGTGCGAGACAATAAGGACATAATATTCTGTAATTTTTTACAAATCGCTGAGTTTCACAATAAGTAAGGACCCAACTGAAATATTTATACAAAAAACCTGGGAGAAATATTATCTCGTGGAATTTCAGCGTTCTGAAGGAAGGCCTAAAGTGCTACAGTAATCAGCCGAATATGGTGGCCAAGACTTTCCTGCGGTTGGAAAGGGACTTCGACAAGCATGTGGTGTATTGCCAAAACGAACCGTTGGCGCAGGACTACTTGACCTCAAGTCCCGATGCCAAGAAGTACTTTCAAGTAAGTAAGAAAACCACTTTTCCCGGCCAAATTTTCTCTAAAAATATTTAGGGCAACATAGCGAGCTTCATGCCAAATTAAATGTTTTTCCCTTATTTATTGTAATTGTGGGTAGAAATAAAAATCAAAAATAATAGAGAATTGAATAAGTTTTGAAGCTGAGCAAATGTTGGAATCGTCTTCAGATATTATGCGTGTGCTATGTGCGAGAATATCAGTTTATTTTTAAAGGCAGACGCTTTTCAATTCTAAAGCTTTTGCAGTTTTCAGTTGCTTCCGAGTAGTGTTCGCGGTCGTGTCGTGCCAATTATTCATATACGTAACCGTTTCGCTTTAGGTACTTGAAGTTGTCTAGTCATTAGTTGGTCCAACTATCATTTTACCCATTTTCTATAACGACGGTTAACTAATTGGTTAACCAAGGCAGAGCAGTCTTAGGAAATTATTTCCATTCAATGATATACATTAGTCATGCGATCACTCCAGAATGGACCAATTAAATCACTGGAGAAAAATTAGTTCTCAAATCGATGCGTGAATACTTGTGACGTTTAGCCCGTTATGCAACATTTCCGAAATTTTACTGTGCGAGGGTATATATTTATTAAAAGATCCGCTAATACGTATACATTTATAAATATATAGATGTGAACAATTTTTGTTCAGCCCACATATTTCGACCTCACATCTAAAAGTGTTTAAATATATACTGGCAAAAATATTGTAACATTGACTTTAATGAGTTCACTTCTACTCGTTCATTTCGAAATTGGTTCAGCAGTGAATATTCGTAGTTGGTGAATATCAACATGGCGCATAGAGTGAATAAAAATATCAGAACAAACATTTGAATACTAATATTCGAATATGTATTTGATGTACATACGAGTATGTGTATAGCTTTCCAAACCAAAGTACATGCATATAGAAAATCATTCACCGACGCACGCACACGTATCCGTTTTTGCAACAAGTGATAAATTTTTAAACATCGTTCCAAAAATAACCCCAAAAGAGAGAGAGAGATCGAGAAATCTTGTTTCGAATGTATATGTTCGTTAGACGGGCGCAAATTCAAGCGGATGCAGAAAACCAAACTGCGACCAAACTGCGACTAACATAAATAATTTTTCATTTCCCAATACATTCGAACTGTGAAGGAGTGGGAACACAGTCCAGCGACCTTGCATAGACTGGGAATCGATAGGTATCCGTACTAAAACACCTGTTAATTTTTGCCTTGCAGGAATTATCAAAACAGCTTGGAGACGACAAATCTCTTTCGGAACACCTTAAACTCCCCATCCAGAGAATAAACGACTATCAACTTCTGTTCAAGGTTTGGTGACATATCCATATACCCGTGTTCCATGATAATCTGCCACTCTTTTATCACTTCAATCATTTAAATAAGCTAATCCCCATGCAACTTGCGCCTAGCTAAAGACCTCAATCAATGTTTGTTTTCGCAGGACTTCATTAAGTACTCGCTAAGCTTGAAAGAGAACGTTAAAGACTTGGACAGGGCCTTAGAGTTAATGCTTAGTGTGCCCAGTAGAGCATACGACAATAGGTTTCTTTCCAGCATCGAGGGTTGTCGGGGTAACATCTACAAGTTGGGGCGTCTGCTCCTCCACGACTGGTGCAACGTACTCGATAAGGACGGCAAGTCGCACGACCGATACTGCTTCCTGTTCAAGTCGCGCATATTGGTGACCAAGGTCCGAAAGATATCCGAGAACAGATCGGTATTTATATTGCAAAATATCGTGAAACTTCCACTCTGCAATATCGAGCACAAGTCCGACGATAAACAAATTCAACTGAGTCTGAAGACACCAGAGGCCAGTTCCTTCTTGCCTATAAATATAAGGCCCCATGGCCCAGAGTCTCACTTGACCTGGTTCAACGAGATCTCCAGCCACATCAACCAAGACGTCACGTTGCAAGAGCACAATGCCGATGACCTGAAGGTCGATTCATCCCAAATTGCTTCCGAAAGCGAGCTGATCCTTCATCTTCCGCAAAGGGCCGAGGCCCACGATCCAAATCTTAGTGTCCGCCCCTCTGACGTGGCAGAGAACTACTTTTTGAGTAAGGAGACCAAAGAGCGTCTTCAGCACGAACAGCAGGAGCTACTGAAGCTAGAACAGGAAGCCATAGAGTTGTACAAGAAGCAGCAGTCTT